CTGACGCCTATATGCGAGTGTGGAGAGGGGCGAGAGACTGTCGAACACCTTGTGATGTGGTGCTTGGCCCCACCGTTGACTCGAAGATGGGAGAGAGCCGAGGTCAGAACGCGAAGGGACTTTTATTCTGTTCTACAGTGAATCAGTCCCAAAGCTGCACGGCTAACGGAGAGGATCCCGGACTGGCTGATGGACTCGGGGAAACTGCCGATGTACAGTCTGGCCAGGAGGCTGGAGCTGGAGCTCGCGGTTTGATACCCTTCTCCTTCGAAGGCCAAGAGGCCTTCTCACTTTGTATTTGCAGGATCATACACTGATCGTTTCCTTGATTGTCGATATGGGTTTTTCACCCGGCCCACGAGGGCACGGTTTTCCTGTATAGTCAGTTGTTGAAGGTTCGGCACGCCCTAGGGCACAGCGGTGTAGGAATAATAATAATAATAATATATACGCTAGGTGACACCGCCTGCCGTCGAGGTGCTTGCCTCGCTCGCGCGTGCCCCACTTGCTCTGGCATTTATCTCCTGCATCGCGAGAGCTCTACCCAGCTTCTTCCTTTTCTCTCCCATCTTGTGATTTTACACAATTAAGAGGTCTTTCCGCAGCCCTGCCTCGGCCAATGGTTCTCTGCTCGTGACACGTTGACTCGATTCATTCAGATCTACCTCTAAATCCAATGTTGATTGATTAGCCAGCAAGCTATATCTGCAACTGAGTGTGTTAGTTTGTCGTTACTCTAGAGCTCTTTAGCAATTTCAATAATTTTGCTTCCTTTAAGAAGAGTTAGTCAGCTCTATTAAAGAAATTGAGCGATGCAATGCGCCTTGCGGTGCGATACAGACTCCAAGAGAGGGGTAGGGATAGAGCTTTGATTGGGGGGGGAAGGCCCGACATAGTGCGATGCGACTAGCAGCATAGTACCAAATACCCTCCGCCAATAATTAACCGAATCTGACAATCTATTTGATTGAACTGAGTGCGTGCTTGTGGTCGGGTTGCAGAGGCTCACTTGAGATTAGGTTATTGAATTTGAGTTAATGGGAGTTTTGAAGAGCAAGCCGAAGGGGTGTGAGGGAGCACACAAGGATGCTTCATTAACCAATAACAAGCAACCCAATCGGACACACGCTTGCTCATTCACAAGCTGCGGTCTGTTTCTGGAGGATGCTGAGCGATACTGACCGCGGTCAGTGATGGCCTTCTTTGCTCCGAGGTTGACTTTTGATTCCTCCTCTTGGAAGACAGGTCCTGTGTCAGCTCAGCAAACGAGTAATCGCAGGACTTTCAGTAGCGAAGCAGCATCTTAAAAGTTTAAACGCGCAAATGTGAGGATATCTGTACATGATAAGTATTGACAAAGGCGAACGCAATCAGGATACCATGCAGTGGGGGGAGGGCGATTGCAGCTTACGGTGCGAGATGTATCGAGATGGATGGATGGATAATTTATTTCGCCCGAGATATTTACATAGGCCCACTAATCACACAGCATCGTTGGGCTGAGTTCTCGAGCAGGTCAATTCGTGCTTTGCGACTCTCGTCTTTGACTGATGCTAATGTCACGCAGGAAGCCTACGGATTTTGATACTTGACAACCACATACGTCACTCGGAGTGTTGAACGGTAATGGACCGATGGTAGCGGCAGTTTAAGGCTGCAAGTTGATCAACACTTTTATAAGTAGCACGGGTCGAAGCAAGGACATGTTGATGGTGCTCAAGTAAAATTCATCCAAAAACGCCATCTCCACAGGTGACAGGGTATCATCACATGCCTCGATAACTGCGACGAAATGATATGTCCGTCCTTGCCGAACTCTCAGAACAACAAGATCTGCCGAGGAGAAAAAGGGAAACAAAAGCGAAGCAAAGCCACGATCCCACCAGACTCCAGATCCGCCATAATCACCCATCACCCATCATCCATCATCCGTCATTCATCTCGGTTCACGAGGCACACCACCCCTTCAAATGTCACAACACCGAAACCTCCTGCCATCGATCATCGAATTACCGTTCTCCACAACCTCCAATTCCATACCCAGCCATCCCATCAAGCTCCTCAACAACTTCTGCACAGCAATTCCCCTTGACATGTTCCCGGCACTTTCCGCACAAGAATTCATACCGGCTATTGGCAGCGGCACAACAGCACACCCGATCAAAGTCCCTCTTGATATAGGACAAATCGCCCCTCTTGAGGTGCAATGGACCAGCCTTCTGGATCTGGCTGAGGGCATTAACCCAGCCGGCGTGGAAGGACGTGGCCAGGAACTCTTGCTGCGTGGCATTTTGCTGCTCCTCCTGAGTGAGAGGGATCGCAATGGTCGCGGTGGCGGTAGGTTGCTTCTGGGGCGGTTTGGGGTTGGGCGCGATACCGCGGTCTTGGCCATCGCCGAAGAAGAAGATGTACGGGTCAACTTAATCTTGCGTGTCGGTGTTCGTGTCTTCGGTGAGGGCTGCAGCAGTAACTGTGGCAGTGGTGCTGGATGTCGTCTGTTTCATGCTTGTGACGCCCTGGTCTTGGTTTTTTCTAGAGAAGCGGAAATACGGATCGACTTCCTCATCATCTTGCTCAAGAACGGCTTGCTGACGTTCCTTTGGGCGCAACGCGGTGATGCTCCTGAGCCGCTTGAGGTCGGTGATGGCTATCTTCTTGATGGCGGCGAAGAAACTGGATTTCCGTGAGCCCTTGAAGCAGTTGTGTGTCTGCTTGATGGGCTGATGGTCCTCCAAGACTTTCAGCAGCGCCACTGAGGGATTGATGTAAAACGCCAGCCGGCACATCAACGATGAGTTCAGCTTCAAGTAGTTGGATCACTGTCGGAGTGTCGAGCTGAGCTGGGAAGACCAGTGGACCATCGACATCCATGCTTGGTGGCTGCTCATCGGATTCATTACTCAGCCACTCGCTCTCGCTGGAGATGATAGCCAGTCTCGCGGTAGCGCCTCAACTGCATCGTGAGGAGTGACACTACTTTGTCTGGCTCGACTTTCTAGTTGAGACAGATGTGGGAGGAGAGATAGGGCACTGGCGAAAGGGAGTTTTCAAGTTCCTGCTGGCGATACGGCAGGCCTCGTGGCGCTCAAGGCCGTCGTCGCTGTCGAAAACGGGCGGGTATTCCACGCTCAGGATTGGACTCAAAATCGGAGCCGCAGGCCGCGCAGGCGTTGGCAGCGGACGGTTTGAAGGCATCGCGGTTGGTTCTTTCCAGTCGACTTGAGCTGACCTGCCAAAGGTCCCGGAAACTTGAACCGGGTCATCGCTGTCGAGAGGTGATGTGAGATTATCCGTGCAAAATCGGTCCTTCAGCGCAAAGAGTCGACGAAGTGAAGTTGGATTGTCGAAGATATTTCTTTCTAGTGTTTAGAGAAGCCCGACTGCATTGTGTTTTTTGCAAAGTTTGCGAACGGAGTTTCTGAACAGAGATTCCGGGCAGTCTCTGAGCAGTGGGAGTGGTTGAGGCGACGACTCACAAGATGCAGTTTAAATAATCCCCGGTAAGTAAACAGAGGACTGAACCGGTAAGTTGTGTCATGGTGCCGCTGAATAGTCGCATTGTTCGAAGAGGCTGCGGCTCATGGTGTCTCTTTAATTTTCTAGTCAACAGAGACTCAACACCTGGCGGCCAAGTGAAAACCATAGATTGTAGATAGTAAACACAAAACTCGAACTTAGAGTTCTTGATGCGGCTCGTTGAGAAGTGGGCAGAGAGGTAAGACGTAACGTCAGGAAAACCATGGATAATTTTCATCGATATAATGCCACTCAGAAGATTAACTACCTAACGTTAGTTACTAACAAGCTGTCACCGCGGGTTTGTAATACACCTGACAACTTAACAGTTTGAGACCTAAGTCAAAAGCTTTTTGAAGCGCTGGCACCGGGAAATGAAACTTCTGTAGACTTGCAAACTTCTGCAAGTAATCATGGTTTGAAACGACTTTTGATTCCTCTCCAAATCAGCACAAACGATGCGATTCGCCAGCTGCCTGGACTATGATCTATCAAACAGCCTGAGCGCTCTACAATGCCGCCTTTCTTTGAGATTTCACAAAGTCAACTACCTCTTCTCCGTCCCCCGAGCTCTGGTTTCCCGCCTGGCCAGTCGCCGGCGGGCTGTTTTGTTTATCAGGCTCCGAGTCAGGCTGCGTCTGTGCGTCCCTTTTCCCTTCCACATCTCCAGCAGGCCTCGGCTCTGGACTTTCTTTGTCCCCTTGGAGGCCCTTGTGTTCCGCCCCTTTCCTGCTCTTATGGTCGTCGATATGCAGGACCTCCTCAACCTCGTCCGCCAGCTTGGCAACCTCGTCTTGTAGCGTAGCAACCCTCTTCTTGGCCCCCTGCATCTGCCTCTCGGCCTCTTCCTCACCCACCAACTCCCTCCACGTCTTCTCCAGCTCGTCCCTCCATCCTAGCTCATCTGCCAGCTTCCGCACTCCAGCATCACAGTCCCCCAACACCATCACGTCATCCGCTTGCGTTCCCAACGACCCGACCTGCTCGAGATTGAACAGCACCCTCGGCACCTTCTCATCCGCCATGTTCGGCAGCCCCGCAAACGGATGCACCTGCAGACTCGTCCCCATGACAAGAATCAAATCCGCCTCCTTGGCCTTGCCAATCTGCTCAAAAAACGCACTCGGCAACGCCTCCCCAAAGAACACAATATCTGGCTTCACCAACCCCCCACACCCATCTCTCTCACACCTCGGCACCTCCGCCCTCGCCACAAAGTCCCTCATCCTCGCCTCCTCAAACGGCTCCTTGCAGTCGATGCACCGCTGCGTGGCAAAACTCCCATGCGCCTCGACGATGCGATCGGGCGGGATCCCCGCGGCGCGCTCGAGGCAGTCAATGTTCTGGGTGAACAGCATGTGCAGCAGGCCCTTGCGGGCGAGCAGGGCGATGAAGACGTGTGAGACGGTCGGGCGGTAGCGCGCCCCCGGGTAGAGCTCCCTGGCCAGGGCGTAGAACGGCCGCGGGTTCTCGCAGAAGAAGGTCAGGTCGAAGACGGCCTCGGGCTCGGGCAGATTGAGCGCGGCCAGGTTGGCGTACAGGCCTGTGTCTGGGGAGCGGAAGTCGGGGACTTTTAAGAAAGGGGGGAAAGGGGTTAGTTATACTTATGAAGTGAATGAAGCTATGAAGGGCGGAGGGATGCGTACTGCCAGCTGCGGTGGAGATGCCGGCACCCGTCATGACGACGATGCGGCGAGCCTTGCCGGACTTGATGAAGTCGGCAACGGCGGCGAGGCTGCGCTCCGACAGGGTCAGGGGCGGGGTGTCCTCGCTGATGTATGACTGGTCTTGACCCATTTTGCGCCTGCTTCGTTTGCCTTTGGCCTTTGACTTGGGGCGACGTTGCTTTCCTTGCAGGGGGAAGTCGTCGTAGTCGTCAAAATCGCCAATGTCGCTGAATTGCTTGCCCTTGTTTGGGCGTGGCCCTTGATGCCCGCGGCCTATCTTGGCGATGCTGCGGCTGTGCCGCGATTGAGGGGCACAGTTCGATGAGATTCGAGTGAAGAAGACGGAGAGACCTGAGGGCCACGCGTCGTTGAGCGAAGAGTCAAAACTGACAAAACAGTGGTTGCATGTGAGACATAGGGATTGTAGGTGTAAGACGGTGAGCTTCGACTGCGGACCTTACGGAGGCAATGTGAGGAAATCCGCCAACTGATGTCATGCACTACCGTTGTAAAATGAATGGCGAGCTGCTCGAGAGATCTGCTCGGCACAGCACTCTGTGGGGCTCGGGGGGGTAAGCCAGGGTTAGGGTCCATAGTCGAACGGGCGAGAGACCTTTAGAGACTTCTCGCCATGTACGGATTAGAAAATGGCAATTGTAATGTTTTCTTCCAAGTCCTGAGGTGTTCTCTCTAGGATTGAAGCGGTAGGTAGCAGCCAACCGACAAAAGCTGTGATTTCGACCTTGTCTTTGAGAACTTCCACCTAATCCAGCCACCATTTGCTCTGTGTGAAAACAAAGGAGCCTGCTTAAGCCTCAGGTTTTTATTCAAAAGACGTCCTGCCAACTATGCTGCTGATCAGAGCTCTAGATGGGGCGGTATATGCACTACTGGAAAACTTAGGTGTTCGGGAAGGGGAGAAGAGAAGTAAAAGAACCTGTGGCAACTCAGGCAAGACACAGTCTCTACGACTCCCCAGTACGCGAGGCAGGCAGCGGTTGACCATAATGAGTATGTTGAGGCTGATCGGATGTCAGACCTCAAACTTCTCTCACTGGGCTTGAAATTTTGCACCATCAACCCACCAAAGCTGGCAGCAACCACCACCTTCCAGTTAATGAACGAGCCACTCGATTATTCCACAAGCGTTGCTCGCCTGATCGAACGACGGCCGCTCTGACGGTTATGAGGTATGGCCTAATCATAGATACCACTAGGAGTTTTTCCATTATGTCTTATTTCTCCTCTTGAAAATTCGTTCAGCAGAGCTCGAGTTATTACCAGGGTCGCACCACACAGTGACCACAGCACGATGGCAGACCGAGACTGCCCGGGCGGTCACCAGAGCACTTCCCGCAAAGCGCAAACCGCAAAAGAAAGACCAGACGATGGAGAATCCAGTTGCTATTGCCGCAAATTCCCAGAATCCTGTCCGCGCGAACAACGATCAAGCCCACCTTCTGCCGAGGGGAACCCGCATCTATGCATCAAAGCAGGTTGACATCCACCCCCTCTTGGACCGCTCGGTGTCTCTCGACTACCTCCTTATCAACACCGACCGATGGAATGGTCTCGAAACGGTCCCGATCAGAGAAGCTATTGCTCGGATGCACGGCGGGTGTGGAAGGGATTGCGAGCTCATCATGAACGTTACCATTCATCTTGAGCGCTACTACGGAAAGGTCATCACAGACAACCAGAGTATCCACCCATAACCCGATCCAGGGTCTTCGACAAAGACTCGAGACAGTCCTCAAAGCCAAGATTGAGGGTCTCCCTCTCCCCGCCCTCCCATCGAGGGCAGAGATCCTTGCCCACGGCTACTGTCACCCCAAAGACGAGATTGACGGGAGGATTGCCAGTTTGCTTGCGCCGCTTCGACTTGGGCACCTTCTCTCAGTCGAGACGTACCATGAGATGACCGAGAGGACCAACGCTCCTGCTTCCGACGTGACCACCCCTCAAGCCGAGCGCATTGCTGAGCCGGAAGACGAGCTTCAACGGTTAGAAACGAAGTGGCAGGCCGTCTGGGTGCTCTCGAGCAAGACCAACAGCAGGTTACCTCGGGTAACCAAGATGTCGACACTGGGAAAACCTCGCTCGATACCATGGCCTAGACTCAACAGAGCATCGACAAAGCCAAACAGGAGTCCGCGACTGCGCTAGTCCATGAACTGGCCAAACTCAACTCACGCGTCGACGACAACATTCGAAGCATTGAAAGCGCCACCGAGCAGGTCAAGGCTATGCAGACGATGATTACCACAGTCCAAACTGCGATTTGTGATATTTATGATCTTCTCAAAGCTAAGGACGCAGCCGGCAGTGTCTCTAGTGCCACTTCCGCCAGATTAGGATCCGCAAGTCTAGGTGTCCAACCTACCAGCGCGCCCGAGGAATGGCCGAGGCCGGGATCCCGCGAGCGCGGCTAGAGCAACATCGACACCGGCGAAGAGGAGCGACTAAGCAAGCGCGGTGGGGGGGTGTTGTTAAGACTGGCGGTCTCGACGGACAGGACGCTACTGGCAGCAACCACGGCCTCCAGCCCTACCAGCTCATGTTGCATAACCAGCAGAATCGGAAACGGCTCATGATGGCTCGTCAGAAGCAGGGCCTTGTCACCATCAGCAACACGCTGCGGATGGTCGGGGTTCCATAATGTCCACCAGTTCCGACCCGAAACGGGCTCGCAAGACGGACGACGGCGTTGAGAGCGATGACGACTGACAGCGACATCACAGCGACACCTCAGACTGACGAGACCGTGAAGGAGGAAATCAAGAGTTGGGTTGATAAAATCAAGGCCAAGAACGCCGCATTAACAGCGATCAAGGCTGAGTCGCTCCGGTCGCGTCGAAGGAGACAGCCACAGCCCCCGGCAAAGGTTCATGCTAAGAGAATGAGCATCCCCACGGGTCCCGTGCCACAGCTCAGGTCGAGGGTGACTCCGTGGTGCGGGAACTGGTCCACTATGTCCCTTAGGAACGTTCGCAGCCTGTCATCTGATGCGCCGTCCTCGTAACTGTCAGCAGAATTTGTCATAGACCTCCTCAATGGTGGTTCCTTGATTTCAGGGCCGTGATAAGCACCGTGTTTGTCATCGCGACTGTTGTCATCGCTGTTTTGGCAACTCGTAGGATCCATCGTCATATTCGGGGTGAAAAATGACCAATGTCGAAAGTGAGGTGGGAGAAAGAAGCAAGCTCTGTCGTTCAATGTACATTAGTATAGCTGCCAAAGTAACAGATTTTGTGGATCGAGTTGAGGGCTAAACGAGATATGAGTGTAGCTGGATCAATCAGATGACGGTGGGTTGTGAACTCGAAGTAAAGGTGAAGATGCTCAAGTCACTTAAGTTGGCCAGTCCCAGATAGAATAAAATTACTGCCCACCGCTCCTTCCACCAGAACCCCCCAAAACCATGAACCGTATGTCCGGTAACCACATCGTGTGAACCGGGTATCAACGTCTCCCACGTTGCTGCCCGATTTGGTAGAGTGAACCTTCCTTGAATACCAGATCCCTCGCATGGTTGCCGGTTCTGTAATGTGTGGCCCACGCGAACAGCCGCAGAATACCAATCAACGCCTGGTTAGCATTAATCCAGCTCCTTCTCCCTCCACAAACTGCAGGAGCACTCAGATCAAAACACGACCGGCACCGGACTCCTCAAATACGGCTTCAGCGGCGTTGTCCCGTTGAGGTCCCTGCTAACCGCCTGCACAAACGCCTGCGCGACCTGGTCCGCACCGGCGGCGTTCGTGTGTGTGTGATCGCTCGGGTACAGCGCGTTGGTCCTGGCGCTTCCCAGCTTCAGAAACATGTTGGCCACGGCCCGGAAGTGGTCAACAAAACTCGCGCCATTCCCCACATTCTTGGCCGCCAGCGCCGCGTACCCAACGAAGCGCGGCACGCCCGGGTTGAAGGTGCCGCCCTCAAACAGGTTGTTGGGCGTCTGGCTGCTGACGATGACGCGGGCGCCCTTGGCGACGAACATCCGCGCGGCCGTCTCGACGTAGCGGTTGAAGGTGTAGACGGTCTCGCCCGTCTTGCCGGACTTGCAGACCTCGTTGCCCGTGCCCGGGCAGTCGCTGCGCCCGTTGTCGGACGCCGAGTTGGGCGACCCGCCGTCGTTGTGCCCAAACTCGATGACGACGATGTCGTCGCGCTTGAGCAGCCGCTCGATTTCGGCGAACCGCCCTTCGTTGGTATAGCTGCGCGCCGACCGGCCTCCGATGGCCTTGTTGACTACCGGGACCGTGACGTACTTGGAGAGGTAGTCGCCCCAGCCTGTCCTGTGTTAGTTGTTTCATAGGCTCGCCCTTTCTTTCTAGAGTGAGGAGAATTTTGAATGAACTCACCCGTATATGCGCCGCTGCCCTTGGCCATGGTGCTGTCACCGGCGAGGTAGACAGTTGGAGTTGCCCTCTCGGCCAGCTCAACGGGGGTGCCCTGAGTCCCCGTCACGGCGAGGCCGGCGGCAATGACTGTTGACCAGGACAACATTGCGACTGACTGGTGATGCGACGGAATGGTGTTCTTCGGATTGGTCCTGAGACAGCACCGCGATTACACAAGGTCAAGGTCGCCTGGTCAGCCTTCTTTTCAGTCGTCGTGGACAAGCTGTGATCTAATGATCCATCGTCCACTGACGTCCAGGCCATATTAATACGCCTAGTACTGGCCGTGTCGACTCCGCTTCCTTCTCCTGTCGCCATATTGCATGTTTCGCGGCTAAAGGTACCGAAGCCCCTTACCCGTTCCACGGTGGCCCATCATCCGGGGTTTTGAGGTCACGAACGGCCACTTCGTGCCCAAGCTCCGAAGCTGTAACACTAGCGCATTGGAGGAATAACAAAGTATTGTAGCATCCAGTGGATAGTTCCCCACTACGTCGATTGTTCAGGGGCCGAGGTAAAGTGCGATTCATGGACAAATGCTTGGCCGGAAGAAAAATATAATCAGGACTCGGATGCTACCTACATTCGTACTTGATCAGGAATTCGGAGGAGAGGTATGGAAAAGCCAGATGCGCACCAATGGGGGCTACATATTTTATGTCTTAGGTGTTGCTTCCCTTCGACCGAGTTCAGAGTCATCATTCAGAACAACTTTTCTTGGGCTTACCCTCGGCCTCTACCAGGCCACGGCCACCCATTGATTACTGGGAAACGAGAATACTACTTAGCCCCTACGTAAGGCAAGATTAGAGTCTCTGTAAATTGTAACTAGGTAACTCTGAATCCCACACACGTTGGCTCTTTGAAGTTTCAGAGTCCTTAACTACTCTGGAGACCGTGAGACCGTCCACTGCTAAAAGCACCTGACGAGCTACATACCGAGCGCCAAAACCCAACGCCCTTGCCATTCAGATCGTTGTTACACTACATGGCTTTACGTCTACTGAACCCCGACGCCTGATTCCCCTAATCTATTCCGAAGCTACCAAAAGCCCGTCTTTACGTAGCAAGGCTGCCAACACCGAGATCTCGCGGTTCAAACCAACCTCCAGCCAGTCGGTCCTAAACGCAATCATACCGCCAAATCGGAACTCTAGACGAGGCTCGGCCGACCGGAACCCTCTTATGGCCGGTCTACATGAGCTCAGACGTCCGGCAGAGCGCAGAGAGAAGGAAACCCGGGCCGGTCACCGGGGGTAAGAGACCAGTCACTTCGTAACAATTCATCGCAAATCGGGCAGCGAACTACCGCCAAGAGACTCGCTCAATGACTCAAGCAACATCCCCGGCCTGCCATGGTCGAGGCAGTCAGACCCCGTTCTGGCGTCCATTTGTCTGATGCCCCCTCCCTTTGTTGGCCACTCTCGGCCACATGGCCACTGCGATACCCCTATTAATCCGGCCCATCATCGCCTCACTCGACCTGCTTCTCACACCCGATCCTCCCCAGGAGCTCCTTGCGATCACTGTGGCCCGGCAGGCTGACACCCGTAGTCGTCGACCGCTCCGCCCTCTTGACGCCCGTCCTCCGCTCCCAGTTGCGGAGGTCAATTTCCTCGACGCCGACCTCCTCCTCAAGCGGCCGCGCCTCTTCATACACAAACTCCTCGTCGTCCTCACCACCGCCGCCACCACAGCCCTCACCCTCATCATCGCTTCGCACGTCCTCAGCGGGCGCCCCCTTGAGCACCTTGACCGCAACCCGCACAATCAGGGTGAACCACATGATGGTCAGGCACTGCAGGAACAGCAGCATCGAGAGGAAACTCCACTTGACCGTCTCGTTGTAGCAGAACAGGCCCTCCGAGTCCCACAGCGGCTCAAAGAGGTACCGGTAGCTCGCGAGAAGCGCGCCGCCCGCGTCGGTCGTGGTGGGCGGGTCGAACGGCCCCGTGAGGTTGTCCCGGTCACGACCCCGGAAGCAGCCCGTGGGCATGATCTCGGGGGTGTGCGCCCAGACCGAGTAGCACACCATGAGGTACAGGATGTGGCGTGCGACCAGCCACGAGGTCAGAAAGACGCCAAACATGACGTCGCAGATGGTGTGGTAGCCGAGGTACTTGAGGCATTTGGCGATCTGTGTGCGTGAGACAACGCGCGAGAGCGGGTGTTAGCAAACTGGTACATACACATGCGCGCACAAAACCAGGGTGGAACAGATGAGGTGAGTTTGTGTTGTTTTTGAGGTTCAAACGTACCCCCAGGGCCAGGTCCGACACGTCCATCAGGACCAAAATGAGGTTGCCCACGCGCGTGTGACCGTAACGATATGAGGCATAGATCAGGACGCTCGTGACGATGTGGTGCGTGAACATCTGCCAGTGGTCCTTTCGGCGCTCCTCGATGTTGATGACGAAGAGCTGCTGCAGCCAGAAGCCCAGCTGCGAGAGCATGTAGCCCTTCATGAGCCCCGTCAGCTCGCGGTCCGGCCAGCTTGTCCAGAGCTTATGCAGGTCGAGGTAGGCCGGCGACTTGTAGTAAATGTACTAGTTCAGGTTGAAAGTTAGCGATAGGCCTTGCCAGGCCAGGACATAAGAGCGGGCCGCAAGACATACCAAGCCAAGGGGCCAGTACACGGCGTAGTAGATGGACATCCACGCCTGCTCACTAAACCTGGTAATGTCCTTCCTCTTGGAGATGCCCTGGGACTTGGCAAAGGGCGCAAGGATGTACTCCATGGTGACAGCGCGCAGGCCGGTCAGGAGCACGATGCAGAACAGGATGAAGTGGCCATCGGCCCAGCCCAGACCGTAATTCCCCGTGTTCGTGTTGTAGTAGGAGAGGTGGAAGTATTTGGCTGTGTGGGTTCGCGCACGGGGCATTCCACCGTGGACAAGGAAGAGGAGGGCAAGAAGATTGAACGAGAAGCCTAGAATCGGTTAGCTACTTTTGTCAGGGGTAGGCGTTGGTATAGGGGGGTTCAACGCACCGATCTGGTTGTTGACGAACCACCGGGTCAGCTGCTTCATTGGGCCCTCGTCTCTCCTCTTGAGCCGGCGAACGAGGACGACATTACTGTTCGCCTGTTTGTAGAGGGGGCCGTTCATGTGCTTGGGCTTGGCTGTCCTTCGGAGCGCGCTGGCTGTGGGCTGTGCCGTACCATTGCCTTGGCTTGGTGTTTGGGCGGTGGAGGAGCTCATGACCGCGTCGTCGGTCAACTGGCGACGCACCAATTGGCTCTTCCGCGCGGTATCGGTTGGATTGGATAGAAGAAACCTCCTAAATCGGGCTGGAGGCTGGACAAGGGAAGTCTAGGTCGGGCCTCGTCGACAGCAACGAAGCGCCTGAACGCAAGTTCAGGTCTATTGGCAGTCGGAGTGATCTCTTCTGCCCGGAGAAAGCAGATAACGAACGATGCGCCTTGTCAAGAAGGGCGCGCAACTTCAAGACCAAACCACCAACCGGGCTTGCGTCGACGGCGATACTGGACCGGAGCCAGAAGCGGGAAACGAGCGACACCTCAAGACGAACCAGGCTGGGGGTGCAGTGCAACTGCGCTTGCTCCACCGCTTTTGCAGTTTGGCCAACACAAAATGTTGAATTTAGAGGCTGGCCCCACCGAAGATCGAAGGTGCACAAAGGCGGTGGGCAAGTCACACTGCAGCTTCCCTGTGTTCCTGACCGCGGCAAGGAAGCGGCCCCAATTGAAACGCGGGATTGGATGAAGCAGGGACCTTCAGGGGTCGAACTTCCAGCTTCGATCCAGGCTGTGACCGACGCCAAGGCAACTCATTGGAAATTTTGAATTGTGCAGACAGTGCAGAGCGCAAGTAGACAAAAGATAGAGGGAAAAGCCATTAATGTTTGGCATCCTTCTATACATGTGGGCAAACTGTGGGAGATATGTTGTCAAGATGCAGAAGCAAAGAGAACGGAAAATCGAGGCCCCATCCATTCATTCCATTCACCCTTGACCCGACCCCCGCCTTCTCATTCTTGCCCTGGCGGGGGTCGCGGGGTCTCGAACCTTAAGGATGCCGAACATTATGGCGCCCAAGGATTGCATCTGATCACAGTGATCAGCCAGCCTTGAGCCAGTCCAGATTCCCGCAGGTTGACATGCAGCTGCCGATAAAGTTGTCATTCTCGGGGCATGCTCCGATCTCTCCGATTTTAGAGGTTCGAGTCGCTAAGGTTCTTCATAGGAGCATACCTAGATGGCTGCTATGAAGATAAGTGCGACAATTGGATGATGCACCTGGCAATCCATAACCAGTGGCTTTACAATTCGCCAGTAGAAAAGAATGAACATCGAAGGGATAGTGATTTTGGAGGACTGTGATGATTTCAAGAAGTTATGCCCAAGATGGAACGTATCGAAGTGGGAAGTCAATGGAGTACTGAGCCCTAACCCTTATCGCATTGCTTCTGGGTTCTCAACCTCGGCAGCCTTGTGTCTTATCACAATCACCCATCCAGCCTTCTCCCTCAGATCACATCAACCTTCCCCCAACCACAATGAACCAGATCCGCGCCATCCAGGCGCTCAACAAGCGCGAGATCGAAAACGGCGTGCCGCCCGAAGCTTCGTGGCACGCCGACTACCGCGACACGGCCTTCGTCTACTTCGGCGGCCTGCCCTACGAGCTGTCCGAGGGCGACGTCATCACCATCTTCAGCCAGTTCGGCGAGCCCGTCTTCCTCAAGCTGGTGCGCGACAAGGAGACGGGAAAATCGAAAGGGTTTGGCTGGCTGAAATACGAGGACCAGCGCAGCACCGACCTGGCAGTCGACAACCTCGGCGGCACCGAGATCGGCGGCCGCCTGATCCGCGTCGACCACGCGCGGTACAAGGCGCGCGACGACGAGGATCTGGACGATTACAGGGTCGGGTGGGAGGACATGCTGCGCCGGGAGCGGGCCGAGAAGGGGCTGCCGGCGAGCGAGGACGAATATGCGACTGAAGAGGAGGCGGAGGAGGCGGCGGCGCGACAGACGCGGCCGATGCTCAAGGAGGAGCGGGAGCTGCAGCTGCTGATTGAGAACCATGACGATGAGGATCCGATGAAGGAGTTTCTCATTGAGGAGAAGAAAGAGGAGGTCGAGGAGGCGCTGCGGAGGGAGAAGAGGCGGGCGGAGAAGGAGAGCAAAAAACATCGGGACAGAGATCGGCATCGCCACCGCTCACACCGGTCAAGGGGTGAGGACAGCGCCGACGAGGGCCGCCGGCGAGACAGAGAGTACAGAGACAGGGGTGACCGGGACGCCGATTGGAATTCGAGGTCGAAGAGGGATCAAACTCCGGTCGACGACCGCCATGAGCACGATCACGGGCGAAGGAGACACCGCAGGGATTTGGCGGAGCGGGACCGCAACAGAGAAGGACGTCATGGCAGAGAGCGGGAGAGAAAGGAAGATCGCCGTCCCCGTGATGATTCGAGTGACGACGATGACAGCAAGGATCGTCATAGAAGACGGCGGGATGAGCGGGAGGGCTCTCGCGATCGCACTGAGCGTCGGTATCGCGATTTAGAGGATCGGAGACGGCGTGATCGGGGTAAGACTCGGAGCAGATCCCCGCGCTAGAGAGGAGTCCATAAAAGACGTTCGATAAGGATGACGGCAGTCCATAGAGGCATGAGGTCGGACTGGACGAGAATGCGCCGAATATTGAGATACCCAACAAGCAGTAGAAGAACGGAGCGTAAAAAATGAGCCAACTGCTGATATCTAACAATCACATTCCCAGCCTACCGTGTGACCCCAACTCAAAACCGTCTGAGCACCTGATGCATTACCCGTCCAACTCCTATCCACAAACCACCCCCATAAACACCTGAAAACCCAGATACAGAAAAGCACTTAGGGATTAGCAAGATACCGCTTCCAGCCCTCCCTCACACAATGCCTCCGCCCGTCCGAGGCCTCACGCACCACAAACCTCTCCCACCGCGCGTCCTTGCCCGCGCCAACCACCAGCAGGGTATCCTCGCCCACCCAGCCAACCACCCCCTTGGGCGGCTTCGACGTGCCCAGCGTCGTGCTCTCCGACACGGGCAGCAGCCCGCCAATATTCACCCCGCGACCGCCGCCGCTCTCCTCGCTATTGTCGTCGTCCACCTCGAACGGCGCCGACGCGAACGAGTAGACGTCCGAGAACATGCGCGGCATCATGGGGATCTTGGAGAGGATACCCCACTTGCCTCTGCCGTCGCCACCGCCGCTGCCATCAGACGGTCCCCCGTTTTGCTGCTGCTGCTGTTGTTGTTGTTGGAATTGTTGGTGTTGCTGCTGCTGCTGGGACCCGGCCCGCTTGGTGGGGTGTGGCACGTCAAAGATGTGCAGGGTCGACTTGTCTGATGTGCAGGCGAGCAGTGTGCCGGACGGGTTGAAGGCCAGCGAGAATATGGTGGCCGGGTCGATGCCTCTCCGGAGCTCCACCAGCCGGGCGCAGCTGCTGGTTGCGAAGATGCGGATCAGGGTGCCCTTTGTGGTCCAACACGGCATGAGTATATATCACAACGATTTGTGTTGGAAAGAGTGGGGAAAGGCCGGGGGACGTACCGTCTCGCTCGCTGTAGCCAGGAGCTCGCCGTCTGGACTCAACTGGATGGCCTTGACGGCTGATGTGTGTGCGGGAATAATGCTGACGTTTCCGGTTGCTATCTCGACCAACTGGACGTGGCCCGTCGTCCTCCCCGGGAAGGCAAGCCTCTTGGGAGACAAACAGCACAGTCCCCAGGGGTTGTTGGCTGTCTCGTACGCCGAGAGCAGGCTGGGTGGCTTGGCGAACTTGTAGACGCGGACGCTGTTTTGCAGCACGGCTACAATGTGTTCTTTAGACAGCTGTACGCCTCGCACAGGGGTCAGGGCGCTAATTTCTAGCGCTGCCTTGCTCTTGAGGTCATCCCAGATGATGAGCTGGAGGGGGATCGGTTAGGATCGCTCGGCATTGAACAGGGTTGAAGGTGAGCGGTTGCTTGCCTTGTTGGCGGCGAACTTTGGCTGTCTCCCTCCTCCGACGAGGCCCACGTAGTTAGCCTTGCCCATCATTTGGACCAGGCCCACGCCGGCGTTGAAGTCTAGCTGGGTATCAGTGGTGCTGCCTGTTAGGAATGAGAGGGAAGTATTACCTCGTGCCGTTCGCAGCGAGCATGTCTCTGAGTGAAAGACTGATGAGAGTTAGCCATCGGGATAAGAGGCGGAGTGGGGATTACAGATGCAACTCACTGCAGAACCCCGTATTAAGTCCGACAGCGAAGCAGCTGCAGTCGTCGTTAAAGGCAATGGAGAGAACAACAGTTGCACTGGGGTTCTCGAGGGGCGTTCGGGTGTTCATCTTGACCGCCGCTGGTGGTGAGATGGACTGCGGATAGTGAGTGTCGGGGGTTCGGTTGGTCACAGGTCCTTGCAGCCTGCACGCCTGGATCGCCGGCTTGTTTATAGAAGGGCCTCGGGGCTCCGAACCGGAGAGAGTTTTTCCGACCTCGATGGTCCTGATGTGGTGGAAATCTGTATCACGAGTTCATTCTGGAAAGATGGCGCTCGATGGGGCGTTGAGGTCTGACTGGTTTGATGTCCAGCTTCTAGCAAAGCGCCCGGGCATCATCAAACGAAACAGCAAGGGAGACCTTCGGGAATGAAGAATGCAGGTCCTGCAAGCCAAAGCGGCGTCTTAATGGAAAGTGTTTACCACAAAATTTGGTCCATGGCTCAAAGCTCCAAAATGCATGACAAAGAATAAACCGTGGCAGACCCAGGCTCTACATAATGAGGTCGGCCTGGCGATGACCTGCGTGCTCCGGCGCTAATTGTTAACATCCAAGCGCTGATGATGGACTTCAACTGGAGACGGGAGTCAGTGCGACGATCAGAAAGCGACAACTGGCCCACAACTGTGGACAGCTGGCGTAAGTTCGATCGTTCAATATGAGCCTCGCCTGGGGTATTCCCCACTCGGATCGGGATCCAATCAGAGTGGGTGACCCCTGAAGTCCCATTGACAGCTCAAGCTGCTGCTCCTGCTGTCCAGTAGCACCGCAACTTTTTGTCTTGAAATTGCCATTTTCCGACAAGGTCCAAGCCGAGCCCTCTCCTTTTCCCTAACCTGCATCTGATCTGCTGTCGCTCGAGCTCCGACGACCGCACCCGCAACAACATAAATCGACCGCCGACTTTTCGGTGACTGACTGGATAGAGTCCATCATCCATTTACTTATCTTCCCTGCTCCTTCTCTGAAGGTCGACGCTAGTTTCACCGCATACGCCCCCAATCCCGCGACTCGACTCGACTCCACGACTCCACCCCAATCACAATGTCTTCTCCGGCGGTACGTCTCTGCCTCTCCCTGCCTATCCCGAGCCGTGATACCTGCGATCTCGACCGCATTTCGAGTTCAATTCGGCACTTTTCTCTCCCATCGCCAATTCGCCACAGACGCTCCCTTCAATCACGACCAGCCCTCATCCCGCTCGCGCGCTAACATGTTCACGGCACAGAAGATGATCCGTCGAAAGAAGAATGTCAAGAAGGGCATCCAGTTTTGCCTGATGGTCTGCGGCGCCTCGGGCACTGGTGAGTCGCCGCCTCAGCAAATTTACGGTGATATCGCTCTGACAGCTGGCTCGGGTTGCAGGGCGGACGACCTTCGTCAACACCCTTTGCGGCAAGCCCGTACTCTCCCACAAGGACTCGGACGACGCTAGCACTGCTCATGTCGAGGAAGGTGTTAAGATCAAGCCTGTCACCGTCGGTACGCGTCTCTTTCCACGTCACTAGAGCTGTGGCGCGATCGAAGCCTAACCAACTCTAGAACTCGAGCTGGACGAGGAGGGCACCCGCATCTCGCTGACCATCGTCGACACCCCCGGCTTCGGTGACCAAATCGACAATGAGGCCAGGTAGGCTTCAGGCAGCAACCCGGTAATTCTGACACGCCTGCTGACGCGTACACCTCCAGCTTTTCCGAGATCGTTGGCTACCTTGAGCGGCAATATGACGACATTCTGGCTGAGGAATCGCGTATCAAGCGTAACCCCCGCTTCAGAGACAACCGCGTCCACGCCATGCTCTACTTCATTACCCCGACTGGCCATGGGTAATCATGATGCTGCCCTGTGACTGAAATGATGCTGACTCCGGTTACAGTCTCCGCGAGCTCGACATTGAGCTGATGAAGCGCCTTGCGCCCCGGGTCAACGTTATTCCCGTCATCGGTCGCGCCGACTCCCTCACCCCCTCGGAGCTCGCCGAGTCGAAGAAGCTCGTCATGGAGGATATCGAGCACTACCGGATCCCAGTCTACAACTTCCCGTACGACATTGAAGAGGATGACGAGGACACGGTGGAGGAGAATGCCGAGCTTAGAGGGCTGATGCCGTTTGCCATCGTCGGCTCGGAAGATATTGTCGAGATCGGTGGCCGCCAGGTGCGCGCCCGCCAGTACCCTTGGGGCGTCGTCGAGGTCGACAACCCGCGCCACTCGGATTTCCTGGCAATCCGGTCCGCGCTGCTGCACAGCCATCTCGCCGACCTGAAGGAAATCACGCACGACTTCCTCTACGAAAATTACCGTACCGAAAAGCTTAGCAAGAGTGTCGAGGGCGGTGCCGGAGTGTACGTTGCATCTCCTCCCTTCTTCCTCTTTCGTCAAATGCCTGCTGACTTAGCCACCAGGGATTCGTCAATGAACCCCGAGGATCTCGCCTCGCAGTCTGTCCGCCTCAAGGAGGAGCAGCTCCGTCGCGAGGAGGAGAAGCTCCGTGAGATTGAGGTCAAGGTCCAGCGTGAGATCAACGAGAAGCGCCAGGAGCTGCTGGCTCGCGAGTCTCAGCTGCGCGAGATTGAGGCACGGATGCAACGCGAGGCCGCGGCGGCAGCCGCAGCTCAACAGGCTGCTGCTGCCAACCACGAGGCCAATGGTGCCGAGTAGCGATCAGGCTCCGTTCGCCCGCCCCTTCCCCCGATTCGCCAAACTTGGGGTTGATATTGCCAGCGTCCCTGTACCGACTTGGCCAGAGCTCGACCTGAGCTAGGCAACCTCTGATGCGACCCGATCTTTCCATGCAGGCGTTGGTTCTCCTGTTGTGTTTAGAGACAAAAATATTCCCCGACTGCTTTTCGCGCTTTTACGATATCCGCTCTTAACCCAACTTGAGGATGTGGGCGATAACCGGGGCGACCGACAACCGGCATGCGCGGTGTCGGGGTGTCGGCCAAGAGTTATGCATTATGGATAGTGGAACAATGGAGGCCGACTGGGCTGGGAGTTGGAAGCTCAGTCGTGTTAATACTCTGCCTCGGCCTGCTGATACCGAAGCGCCGTGAGGACGGGACTGTCGCGGGGAGGGCTGACAACTCACGGTTCCTACTCATCAGCAACACGACCATGTCATCGGTTATACCCGCGTCCACCCCTCTCTTGACTGTCTGCTTTATTCCCTTTTTCTACTAATGGACTTCTAATGGAGATATCAACATAATTCAAGTTTCCTGCTCTCTCGGGTTGCTCCTGGGTCTCTTTCCGCTCTAGGACGGAGGCAGCTTGATTTTACCGACCTTTAATTGACTGGAACACCGCAAGGCCTGTCCGCAAGACAGCTTTGTGAGGTAACCCAGATAGCGTTTTCATAACCTTGGAGTACGGCATTGTTGCCTAGCGACTGCATATCCTCCGCCGCCCCCCGTGTCCCCCTATCTCCTCTCGCCCCTCCAACCCCTCCTCAGCGTACTCCTTGATTCGAGCAATCAACGGCCAAAGACGCATTTCTCCTGGCCTTCAATAGTCTCGTCGAAGTTCTTCAGAACCCCTTTCCATATGTGACGATGGCCACCTCCCCATTCCTTGGTACCAATAGCACGCCTTGTTCCGTAAACCTAATCAGCTGCATGGCAGACTCGGTTCCCAGCCAGTTCCTTGGTAAGAAGAAGTGTCTCCGGATATTTGGTGCCGTGTTTCCTTCCCACGAGATATCGCTTGTACATAGCCTGGCAAGTCTTCAGTAATCAAATCACAGTTCACAGGCGCATTCGTGACAGAGGTTAACTGATTGTTCCCGTTGCGGTCCGTTGACGAAGCTGCTGACAAAAGGGAACAGAGATGGCGATGGAAGCAAACAAAGAGTAACACATACCAATTACCATGGTCAATAAATACAACCTTGTTCCGATGACATCCCAGAAAGCTCTGCATATGAGCTGAGAGCTCGAACAGCGGCCGGCGGCTGACCTGCTCCTGCGGCGTCGATGCGGGACCCTGGAGATCCGTTGCCAGGAGCAGGCTGACGAGGGTCTTCTCCCTGTTGTCTCTGGACCGTGTCTTCCTGTACTTGGGGAGGTCTGGCAGACAAGATAACGATGTGTTATTTGTCTCGGCCAGGGCTTGGACCCTGTCAGAGTTTGTCGCCGGTGTTGGACGCGGCGTTTCAATGTTCTCATCTGCCAGGCTAGTCGTGGTGATGTTGTGAGGAAGCCCATCCTTGAAGTTTCGCCACTGGTGGATATGTATCCGGTTTTGCTCGACAAGCAGCAGCCGGGTCTCGTCAAACGGGTGATTGATTTATTGCCCAATCCGCTCTTCTTTCCTGGACTTGTCGCATATGATTGACTTGGTCCCAAGGTCCCAGATCTGATCCTGCAATGGGGCAGAAATCAAGAGAAGTTGTTCTTCTTGACTGAAGACGAACTGATTCGGCAATCCCGTCCGAGATTCTTGTCTCGAGAACAGGGAAGACTGCCCACTTCCCATCCTCCTTTAGCCCTCAGTTTCTTGACGACGATTTTTCCCATGTCATCGCCGCTGACGAGGAACCTTCCTGATGGTGACCACGCCAGGCTGACCACATCAACATTGGATCCGTGACTGCAAACTTTCCTTGAAATCTTTCCCTTCTTCATGTCGTGGATCGACACGGTTCCATCTCCCCTTCCACAGCAGTAGAACTCCCCTCCACTCTCGTACGTTAGCGCGGTAACATGACCGCCGCTGCTATCTCGGGAATACACGGGCTCCGATACAGCCTCCGAGGCCGACGAACCATCCACTGTGCTGCTGAGGTTATCTCCGTGGCGGTCAATGTCGTCCGGTCTAACCCAGGCGTCAGGCTCCCAGACGCAGCACGTTAACCCCCTCGTGTCGTAGATGCGCCGTGAATCCGGACTGAAGGCCATGTACGAACATAATCGTCGCCGTGTAGTCGGTAGACCAAATTAACCCTCGGTAACGCCCAGACGGACAGCACACCGGTGAAGTTGCAGGTAAGGAGGAACGTACCGTCGCTGCTGATGACCATCTCGCGAGCCTCGGTGTAGTCAAACTCGGATATCTCGTCCTTGACGAGGTCCCAGTGGACGAGAACTGTATCTTGATACAAAATGAATAGCGACTCCACGTCAGGATGCCAGATTGCCACTTCAGGGGCGTTGTACGCATCTGATTCGCTTGACCGAATCTCGTCGGCAGCACGAAGACATCGCCGCGGCGGGTTCAGGGACGCGTCATTGGTCTCCCACAACAAGACTGGTCGTCCTCGGAAAGCAATAGCGACTCGCGATTGGTCCGGGCTGAGTACCGTCAGACGGGGACAACCGCGGAGTTTGTGCGACTCCTCGGTTGTGAACTTTTCGACTTGAGTTCCAGCCACCATGTCGTACCAGACAACCGAGCAATCATCATAAGCGACGACAAGATCCGTCTGGACAGCTCCAAAGGTAATCTGGATGAGCCGCATTTGGGGGTCTTTGGTGATAGAATGAAGCAGCTGCCCCGAAGAGATATCCCAGATCTTGAAGGTAGCTCGACCGCTGGTTGCAACCGCGCTTCCCGTTGCGTTGGTTTCGAACAGGACGACCCACTCCTCGTGTTCAAGCCTCCGGAGCTCCTCGCAAGTTTCGGCTGACCAAATAATTACGGTACCGTTGCTCGATACCAAGGTCAGGAAGTAGACGCCGATAGCGCGCACTTTGGATGCCATCTCGTCCTGGCCGACGGATAATCGAGCAAGATTGTCATCCCAGGTTCGGGAGGAAATGCCGGTGACTTGGATCAGCGCGTTTTCTTGGTGAGCCCCGAACTGACCAATGATCGAGTCGCGAGAGCATAATGGCGGAATGTGTTTGAAGATGGATGAGGGAGTCTCGGCCAAGTTATTACCGAACTTGCCCAAATTCTGATGAGATTGACAACCTAACGTTCCAAGAAGTGAACCTCACTGTCACCGGATAATCCCCAAATCAAACTAGCAGGACTGAGCGAGGATGGCCGAACCTTTTTCCGCTTCTTCAGATAGAGCTTGATGTACTAGGACGCCAGGGCCAGACTGCGCAAAGACGGTGAAAGCGCCACGGCCTGTATCCAACAAAGTACATGCTTCGAAAAGAAAAGCTTGAGGTGTTGGAGCAGTTTTAAAGGAAGTGGCCGGGGCGTGCCGTACGTGGTACGCCCAGTAGTTCAGCGCATAGCTCAGGAGCGGATGAGTATCGTAGAGAACGGCTAATCGGTCTTTGTGCATCGCGTCGGCTTCAGGGATTTGAGACAGAATCCGCCGCCATCGATCATCCGAAAGGTATTGGAGACACGCCTTGGCAAGTGTGCTGTGGCCATCCTGTGATGGAACGAATTCGGGCTCGTTCCCATCGGGTGTGACCAGAAACTTTCGAGCGGTGGCGTGTATCAAGGTCACGCTGTCGCCATCGATACGGACAAAGTACCCACAGATCTGAGTAATGGTGTCCCTAAGGCGGCAAGTTTTATGGGCCGGAAGCTGCATGTCGCCCAGGTGAGGATTCGTTGAGCCATGTCTTGAAACCGCTGATCCTGACTTTTGACAGCCAAAAGCATGTTTCGGTACAGAGACTGCATGTCCTTGGGGATGATATCCATGGCTTGTTGTATGTCTCCGAGAGTATGCTAATTGTGGTGCAACGTTTCCAAAGCCAGGCGAGCCCAGAGAAATGACCCTTCTGTCCTGGAGACAATCTCATTGATAACCTGGGCCTGTATGTGGCTCTCCTTTGGAAGAGTAGCACTGACCACTGAGCGTACATATCCTTGGATGTCCTGCGCTGTGTCTCAAATCGTGATCGTGTCGAGCATTGCGGCTTCCGGGCGTTGTGCCACTACTCCTGCGATGTCTTTGTTCGGCCTGCTAAGGAGCATGACCTTGATACACGAGGAGGATCGTATTTGCGACACAAGTTTGAGAAGCGCCAGGGGATTCTCGGCTTCGTCGACGGCGTCGAGCACCCAATGCAAGGTGTAGCCGATGTCCATCTTGAATAGGATTCCTTCGAAGGCTTTTGTCCATATTGTCTGATACTTCTGTGAAGACAAAGCATCTCCAACATCTTGGTGCAGACGAACAAGCCGCTCGGCAACTGCGCCATGGGTGGTTGCGACTCAGAAGGCAATGGATCTGAGGCAAGAGGCGAGGCTCTTCTTGGTGGGTTGGGATTCGGTGAAGAAGTGATGCTGGCAACTCTGGCCAAGGAAAACTCGTTGCAGGTGCCGAATCGTCATGGCCGCGAGAGTTGACTTGCCTGTCCCTGGCATGCCGGCCAGACAGAGGAGACGTGTCTCTCCGCTCGGGTCGCTGAGCCAGTGCTCGAAGCTCTTCTGTCCGCGTAGCCATTCACCGGATCCTTGGAGGCCCTGGCTGGCAAACTTGTCAAGATTTTCCGTTGGACTCTCGACAATTCCCAAGATAGACTCCAGAATGTGAACTCGCTCTTGCAGGGGCCCTTGCGTTGGGTGCGACGCCACTTGGATTCACTCGTCAGCAAGGACTATGCAACCGACCAGCCGGTTGTGAACATACGAGGAGGTACAAGGTCCCGAGTGATCTGCTTTAGGAATGTGATGAATAAGACGTAGCTGTCGTCAACCCGACTGCGGTACTTGCAGATAGTATGGTGGTCGGCGTCTGCTGGACCGGAGACTTTCCTGGGGTAGTTCAGAATGCCGGTGTCTTTGCCAACAATCTGCAAAATAGCTTTAGGTAGCCTTTCTGAATCAAGGGTGCAGAGGAGAGTCTTTACCAATTTCTTGGTACCCGGAGGCACTCTGGTGGGGAGCGTCTCGTACATGGATACCAGACGTAGAGGGTCGCTGACGGACTGAAACTGCTCGTTGATATCTTCAATTGAGGTCGACTTGCTGTCTAGCTCCGCGACATACACCTTGCTCGATGTTCCAATCATAACCGAAAGGAGGTTGTTGAGCGAGCTTGCATGGGATGAACCCCGATGTGGCGTCGACAGAAAAACAATACCGTGGACGTTCGAGATCATATCTGTGAAGTGTTCATCATACCTGCCTAGTACATAAGCCTGGTCAGAGTCAGCAGCCACATCATCGTTATAACATGAGGGCACGCACGGACTCACCTTCACGACTAGCCCTCCCATGGAATGCGCAACGAAGATGATCGGTCGCTGTACGCCACAGTGTCAGCATCATGGCTCTCGGGCTCTCTCAAGAACTGACACAATCCGTACACCCACCTTCCCAATTGGTCTCTCTCCATTGGACTCGCAGTCGCCATACCCCCTCATCCGCACCAAAAAGCCCTTGGCAAATTCCAAAATGCTCAGCGTCGTATCAGGCCCACGCCAGTTGGCATTGTAGCCGAAATAATCACTCTGAAATGCGACAGCCCTTGTTCGCGTTGAAGCCAGGCCGGCCAAAACATGGACAGATCATGCCTCCAACACCATGGGGCCCAAGAAGAGCCCCCAAGGCCGTGCACAAATATTATATCGGCGGAGTCCTGAGGGTCGTGGACGAGGGTGTGACCGTGGGCGTTTCGGGGTGGCGCGGAGATGGTTCCGCTCAGGTTTGTGGAAGCAGTGCGGCGCATCGAGAAGTTCCCGCCAGTGCTTGTGGACGCAGTAACAATGGAGTCTTGTTCTAAGAGCACGGTCTCTGATGGCCTTAGCGGGAGATTTTCGGAGGCGAATGACGCCCGGTTTGGCAGGCGGCGCGGGCCCGGGTCTGACGAAGAGCCACTCTCGGACCGGTCCGAACGGAACCTTCGAAACTACCGCAAGTTAGCGTACATTGCGGCTGCAAAATATCACGGTCAAGAGGTACCATTGTGAAGCTTCACAACACGGAGCTGCGAAGGAGTGTCGATGTCCCATCGGAATCGCGATTATCTTCGAATCAACCTATGCGTGCGGCGTGGAATGGAGCGAGGGCGGTCGGGGGCCCGAGGCAGACCAGGACTAACGGCAGGCCAAACGTGAGTTCTCTAACTTCTGAGACCAACAAGCGGCCAGCCGCGACATAAATCCCCTGCAGGGTCGCTGACCAGCGACCACTCCGCTGCTGGGAAACGGAAGGTACGATGCTATACAGTGCGGTGGTGAATAGGAAAGGCGGGGAAAGGCGGTTAACCTCGATCAGGGATTTGGCAACAATCATCAGCAGACAGGTGAACCGAGACGAATGGGCAACCGATATGGAATAGTACTTTGTTCTCCCTACATAAGAGCGGCCTCATTCTCATGTTCCAGATCTGCTGAGCAGCTGTTTATTTTGTCCGGTCGTTGTCACATTCCTCAATCACTCAGTGTGGCTGTGATTCTCTCCCCGGCCACATTACCACTAACCGGCTCACGGTGACAGTTGACTTGGCCAGCCCAATCAATTCTCGAGCTATGGAGGCCCCAGACAACAGCAAGCACGAGATCTTTCAGGGCGCAGTTCTCGACGTGGATCGCCATGCGGGAAACGAGGCGCCGACTGCCCCAGTCCCCCAACCTCAAGTCGGAGGTGCTTTGAAACTAAACAGTGCTGTTGCCAGGAGTATGAATTCCAACCGGTTATCTCCCTAGCTATACTACAGTGCTCTCTAGACTTAATTAATGATATCAGCACTTCCTTACCCGGACTCCAAGGTTTTGAGCACAAATAACTACGGCATGTCTCTCTGGGGACAGACAGGAAAGATCACGGCCGAGCTTCCCGATGGAACAACGAAGCATTATTTTTTGACGACGGCAAATCTTGGAGACACCGGGCATGCCATGATACTCGGAGAATACGAGTCTCTCAAGGCAATCCACGCTGTGTCTCCCAACATTGTCCCTGGGCCTTACGGCTAAGGCAAATACGACGGGTCCAATACCTACTTCCTGCTCGCAGAGTTTCGTGAAGTTGGCGAGTAACCCCCTAACCCGGTCAAATTCACAAAGCGGCTGGCAGATATGCACAAGAAGTCCCAGTCGCCAACCGGAAAGTTCGGCTTCCACGTCACAACCTGCCACGCCAAGTTGCGGCAGATGACTGATTGTTGGGAGGATTCGTGGGCAGCGCTGTGCCGCAAGCAGCTCGCCCACATGATTGAGCTTGAGGAGGTCAAGCACGGCGAATGGCCCGAGTTCAAAATCGTCTGCCAACTCATCCTGGACAAGGTCATTCCGAGACTCCTTGAGCCTCTCCAGTCCAATGGCCGCAGCATCAAGCCGTGTTTGGTTCATGGAGACCTCTGGGATGAGAATACCGCCACGGACATGGCGACCGGCGAGCCGTTCATCTTCGATGCTGGATCTTTCTACGCCCACAACGAGTACGAGATTGTGGAACTGGAGAGCCGCGAGACACGGGCTGAGCGCCCCGGCTTATGTCAAGAATCATCTCCGGGAGTACCGAGCCTCTGAACCTGGTAAGCCACGGTCAATATCACACTGCTGTCACCTAGTTAACTGATTGGCACAGAGGGGGAGTGGGATGACCGAAAACCTGCTGTACTCTCTCCGTTTTGACCTCGGCACTGCTATTCTGATCCCCTGTAACCAGCGCCAAATGTGAGTCCCAAATCTGGTTTTCCTTCACACACACAACCTGACAATTCGCAGCGTCAAGGAGAACATGATCATTCTCTGCAAAAAGGTTTTCCCAAATGAGCTGGCCTGCTTTGCAGAAAAGCCTGGTTAACCCTGCCTTCCGCTCAAACCTGGGTCTGCGTCGTGCCGTTACGTACTCAGAAGACTAAGAGGCCGAGGAAGAAGAAGAAGATGAGACGCAACAAGACGAGAGCGAAGGAGAGGACGAGGACCCCGCGACCTCCAATCCGTACGACTTGGACAGCGACGATAAATGGGACGATGGTGTTACCCTGGTTGACGCTGACCGGCGGAGGCTGAGTTCCACTGGGGTTGCTGCCGGGCATTGGTGGTAGAAGAACTTGGTAAAAATGAGACTGCAGGTACTTTAATACACGTGTAGACAGTGTGCATATCGCAAATTTTCACTTTGGGATAGTTCGCAGGTGGGACGAATCTGATTTGACCGCTACAAGCCTACAAATCGAGGCGGGAGAGAGGGAGGGAGGGGCCTGAAACAGCACAAAATAGTGGTCAAGTTCGGGGATGACAAGGATGCTTGCCGTCGGTTGGTCAAGAGCATGCAGATAAAGTCCAATGGCGAATCATTCCTGATGAGAGGGTTGTACTTTCCACGGCAACGCGCCTGAGCTGCAGGGCGTGAATCAGCGACCCTTTTCGCCATTGTGTTCGATGTCCCCGTTGGGAAGATGTCTTCCACTTCAGACATCAGACACCAATTATGGGTCTTGGGTGAGCATCGGATCTTTCACGCATCATGGGTGACGGGTTCGAACTGACATCGAACTAGGACTGATCCGCGCCACGGAAGCCATCGCATGGACAAGCACTTTTCCATATGCCTACTTCATGATTCGGTCGTTTGAGGTCCCCGAGCATGACATTGCCTTCTACGCTGGCGCCCTGGTAGCTGTATTTACCTTTGGCGAATTCCTGACTGGCGTCGTTTGGGCCCGGGTCAGTGACAGGATCGGGCGGAAGCCGACCGCGCTGGTTGGCATCTTCTGCGGTTTCGTTACGGCGTTTACTCTTGGGTTGTCGCGGTCTGTTGCTGTTGTCATTGCCTCCCGCGCGTTTGGCGGACTATTCAATCCAAATGTCGGCCTTGTCCAAACATGCACCGGGGAGCTGGCGAGGAAAGAGCGGCGAGGTAAGTACTACCTTAACAAACAGGTAGTGATGCTGTTTGTTGTTCGCATGTTGACATGGTTCACTGATCAAAGATAGCGAAGGCATTCTCCCTCGTCACCTTTATCAGATCCCTTGGAATCCTCATTGGGCCAGTTTTTGGGAGGGCTCCTCGCAGACCCAGCTGCCTTGTACCCGTCCATATTCCCCCCAAACTCCGCCTGGACCAGTTATCCATACCTCCTTCCAAACCTTGCAGTTAGCCTACTGCAAGTACTTACCTTCATCCTCGCACTTCTCGTTCTGCAGGAGACCCATCCCAGGATGTCAAGACACCTACTCACCGGGCTATCTGGTCTACAGTTCCTGAAAAAGCTCTTCACAGGCGCGATATAATCAAACATGGCACATACGCTCCGTTGGCGGAGGACGCTGCTGGTCTGGAAGCGGAAGTGAGCGCCACCGAAGAGCATCCGCTCGAAGACTTCCAGAGAGAAGAAGAACAAAGGGATGGCGCGCAGAGTTCCTCAGATTCCGAAACTTCCAGTTTCGAGGCCGACGGACCGGTCAAAAAGCGCTTAGAACGAGCCTTCACGTTTCAAGTGATATTGCAAATCCTGGCAGTCTCCCTGCTTGCCTTCCACAAAGTAGCCTCGGATTCTCTCATGGGCACTTTTCTCGCCTTGGATTCTGGAGGTAATGGCGGTGACAACAAGTCAACTGCGGACGGAGCAGCAACCAGGGCCAACATCTCGTTCCCGCATTCCAGTGTTGGATTCGGCTTCGACACGAGAACGATCGGCATCATCTTCTTGACCGAAGCCAACTCCAGAGCGGCCATTCAACCTACCGCAATCCCTTGGTTCATCTCCAAACTCGGGGCATTGCGGGCTTTTCGCTGGGTTCTCGGTTTGTATCCTGCCACGTACATCGTGACGCCCTTCATCCCCAAGATACCTTCACCCTTCCACTTCGTTCTCTTGTTACTGGACCTGTGGATCAAGGCGGCCTTTTCATCAGTGGGATATATCTGCTCTGCCGTCCTGTAAGTCATAAACCAAACACATAACAAAACCGAAGCAAAAAGTTGGGCCAAACATGGTCGATGTACACAGCTTTGAACTCACGACCTGAGCAACCGCTGGGCAAGGGGAATTGTGGTTCGTAGCCACCTAAGCTAACGGAGCTCATAACGTTAACTGTTGCAAAAGCGACGCCGCTGTTGCAGGAACAGCGAGATGCCCATTTTCTAGCACACTTACGGTATCGAAGAAAAGTCTATCCCGTGAGAGTCCACATTTCACTGGAGTTCTCGCCCTCCCGGTTACAATGATAGCTTCTGAGCCTTCTGGTCTTCGTTGTTGTTCAAAGAGTGTGGTATTTTGTCCTCGTAGCTACGAGTTCGGGACCCTTTTGAGCAGACACGGTACTTGTATTGACAAAGGGGAGATTCCAGTCACTTAGAAAGAGACATTCCCCATCCAAAGGCAGTAGCGGACGTTTCACCCGCGTTGTTTTGGATACTGATATGTCTACGAGACACAAAACCAAAAAGTCGACTCAGCCGACAACTGACCCTCCCTTGCCCAAAAGTGCCCCGACCAGTCCTCCCAACCCAAAGATTATGTACCTGACTGTAACTCCGCTTTCCCCCACATGGATACCCCATACACTAAGTAGGCCAGTCCTCTCCAACCTTCACCTTGTCTCCCTGCCTCTTCTCGTTTCAACCTAGTTATTGTTCTGGCTGTTGAGAATGCGGAGGATGGCCAGGAACAGGTTGATAATGTCGAGGTACAGGCTGATGGCAGCAGCAATCTCCTCCTCAACGTGGTGCTTGCGCAGGACGAGCTGCGTGTCGACCAGGACATAGCCGCTGAACACGAGCGCCGTGAGGAGGCCGTAGACGAGCTCGGAGGTGCTCGTCTGGGGCAGGAACATGGCCGCGAAGCCGAAAATCACCAGCCCCCAGAGCGCGCCGAATAGGTAGGGCATCCACGAGGTGAAGTCGTACTTTGTCTGGCAGGCGAAGGCTGTCAGAAAGACGAAGATGCCCGCTGTGAGGAAGACGGCGTTGAGGACGATGGAAGCCCGGTAGAAGGAGACGATGACGCTGATGGTGTAGGCTTCAAGCAGGGTGAAGGCTGAGAGGAAGAGCAGGTTCGTGGGGTACGAGTGGCGCTTCCAGTAAGTGAGGAACATGGCAACCATGGCACCGATAAGCTATCATGAGGAATGATTAGTTAACGGTTAAATCCGGGGAGCGGAAAAAGGGTAGAGGAAGCACGCACCGATACCCAAACCACGGCGGGATGCGACTGAATCCATGCCTTGTAACCCTCGCTCAAGAAGCTGAGAGCGCTGACCGCGCCAGTGGCGACAAGTTGGACGGTGAGGATGGTGTATACCTTGCGAATGAACTGGTTGCGAATTTCGACCGTCGCTTCGGCGACAGAGCCGCCAAACTATAGGCATGGTGAGCGCTATCCTTTGTACCGGCGAGAAGCTCGGTGGTGCAGCTGCCGTCCTACCTTGAAGTCATCGGGAATGTTATCCTCACTGCTTCGCGGACCGCCAAACAGGCGGTTTTGGTCCTGAGCAGAGCTAGTCTCGGCTTGGTACGATGGGGGCGGCTGGGTGTAGACGGCATCGGGGTCTTCCTGCGGAGCAGCTGTGTACTTGACGTTGGCTGACATGGTTCCTGATGGCTGAGATCGCAGTCGCTGGGATGGTTGATGGCGTCGTCAAGAAAGATGCTGCGGATAGAGTCAGATAAGCGCGGTGCCAAAGCGAATAGTAATTGATGCTGTTCTGTTCGACGAGGCTGGGCCACACATACATATAGAACGGCCGATGACGACCACATGGGACTGATGACCAGAGACAAGTGGGGTGCGGTAGGTGGCGCGCCGTGACCAACTGACCAGGTGCCGGCCGGAACCTTCCAGATTGGCTGGGCTCGGTTTGCTGAAAGCTGGGGAAGATGGCCCGTGTGATTGGCGCCAAGAAGCCAGCGGAAGTGGAACAGCTTCAGGGTTCGGGTTATGGCAGCGAGAATAAGCCCGCAGTTTATGCCAAGATCCACCCGTCTTTGATTCGGGTCATTTTCGAAGCAGTCGACCCCGTCGCGTCTCGGCCCCGACAAGAATCGTGTTTTGGAGACTTGGACAAAGAGGCCGGCAAGCAAACATCTGCACCTGACGGGCTGTGTTCTAAACATTCACGGCGACGCAAACGGCTACTCAGAGACGATCCTTTACCCCTGCGTTCACTCGCTAATCATAAACCCCACGAGAGGACGACGACAGTCCAAGTTCAAGAAGCCAAACGCCTTCCAATTCCAATGCGCAAACCTGGACGCCGACCTTGAGCGGGCTCAGCCATGACGGCAAATACGAACCGCTACTCGACCTACACGGCCGCTTCGGTCGCCTCTGGCGCCGACTCGAGGAACAGCGACAAGGCGGAAAAGAAGGAGCTATGGAACTCGATGCTCGCTACCGTAGCCAGCGGGAGGCGGCTGCCAGAGAAGAACATCATCCTGCTTGGCGGCACCGTCGACTCCCAGCGCGAGTTCTTTGAGACGCTCTCCAACAACGACGGTCGCCGGACCCTCGACCGGAACGGCTCCCGCATGCCCCCCGTCGCCAACAGCTTCGCCCTGGGCTATACCTACTATGATGTCCTGGACGCCGACCACGAAGACACCCTAGCCCGCATCTCCCTCTACACTCTCACGAGCCCCTCAGCCGCCTTCTCCTCCCTTCTACAGCCCCTCCTCACGCCCCAATCGATACCAAATACCCTGATAGTGGTGCTGCTGGACTGGTCCGAACCGTGGAAGTGGATGCGCCAGCTCCGGGAATGGATCCTGCTCCTTAGGACGGTCCTGTTGTCTCTGAGCAATGAGTGCAAGGAGACCATGGAGGAGGTTATGCTGGCATGGCGGGACCGGGGACGAGGCGGCGGGATAAACTTGGACGGGACCACGGCCGTTCCCACGGCAGATGGCGAGATGGACCTGCCTGTGGGACCGGGAGAGTGGGAGGACGCATTAGGCCTCCCACTGTGCGTGGTGTGCCAGAATGTATGCACCCCGGCGCTCTGTTTTGCCCCACTTTTAGAACTAACCCTCCTGCAGGCCGAGAAGATGGAGTATCTGGAGAAGACACAGAGTTGGAAGGAGGAGGAATTCGATGTTGTCCTGCAATTCATGCGAACGGTGCTGCTAAGACGTGAGTTTTTCTCCCCGGCTAGTGTCGACACTCATCTAACCACCACGTCGTGCAGATGGCGCCTCCTTAATCTACACCACCCCCTCCGTTCCGTCCCAGCTTCCAACCCTGATCCATTCCAGCCTGGGGATACATTCCCTCCTTAAGAAGCAACCTCTCAAGCACAACGTAATCGACAGGGACAAGGTTGTCATCCCGCCGAACTGGGATTCGTGGGGCAAAATCCGGGTGCTCAGAGACGGCTTCGACGTCGACCAAGTGAGCAATGGATGGTCAATAGATCTCGACCAACCTTCCCCCCTTCCACGCCCTAACGGCACCACTCCTGAAGATGGTGAAGTCAACGGGGACAGTGAACGTCCTGCGGGCGACCCTGAGGGGTCAACAGTGGCGCTGTACGAAGAATCTGTCCAGGATCCGAGCATGGACGCTCTCCAATTAGCGGGGCGGAACACGCATTCGACGACGCTCGAGGTGGAAACCATAGATACCCAGACGTTCCTGGCCCAGCAGCTCAAGGTGCTGGAGGCGTACAAGCAAAAGAACGAGGAGGCCTCGCGGGGCGAAGCCCGCCACAAGACTTACAAGAAAGTGGAGGAGGAGCACCTGGTAGGCGGCGCCGACCCGGAGCGGGCAGCCGAGGCCAAGGTCCTCGAGCATATCGGTCCCGTGCAGTTCAACATGGGCGGCATTCAGGTGGATGCCGATGACATGGTGCAACGACTCAAGGTGAGCATTACCCCCCTCATTTGGTGTCCATCACTTTTGACTCAAACGCTAATTTCATCATGTCCGACAGGAGCGCCAGGCGTACGGCTCACCCTCCGAGCCCGGCAGTCCAACAGTCGAGGAAGGCATCGAGTCCACTCCGCACATGGACACGGAGAACCTGCAGGCGTTTTTCCACGGGTTGATGAACAGGAGAGGGGCTTCTGCCAAGTAAGGAAGCCGGGCCCGCTCGAGCTCTCTTGAAGCAATCTGAACCCCGCGAACCGAAAGGAAGACGGATACGTTGCATCGAGTCAATTGTCCCGATCGGCGATCAGACCGACGCGCGTACACACACATTACCTTTGGAGTTCCCTTGTATTGCGGATGTTGCGAGTTTCACATTCACGCGGGCCATGTAGGATGAGGCGTCAAGCCTAATGGCCTTCTTATCGGAACTGCGGCAGTGTTGCCCAAGTCTCGCTTTAGTTGGGAAGGATAGGGCTTGAGTCTGGTTTGGGCGATCTGCTGACAGGACAGACGAGGGTTGAAAGCCCAGAGAAAGTGTAGACTAGATACCCATTTGGAGAATTAGAGGTAATTCAAAGACAGAGCTAATTACTGGAGTTGGACTTTGCGGCAGACCTTGTTGCTGAGAAGGGTGCGCATCATGTTGTACAGGTGGTCCTTGGCCAGCCCAGTTTGAATTAGGAACGTTGTGGAAAGCTCCTGACTGACGGGCATGAACAAATTCAGGGTGTTTCAGAGAGTAGAGAAACAGGCAAAAGCTCACCGGTTAATTCTCTTCGCCGGTCGAAGAGAGGTAGCCTGGTGGGTGGTTTGGTGGGGAGAAGAGGAACGGGACTTGGATTCAAACAGGTTACATTTCGATACAAGGCCGATAGAATCCAAACGTAAGCCCTGGGTGGGTGACAGCGCCATTGGCTGTGGGGCCATTCAGCAGTGGCCGTTGAAGTTGGGGAACCTGGCCCTTTACATAAACACTGCCTGAGCCACCGGGAATCAACGGGGCTTCATCTGATCTCTTCAAAGTTGTCCGCCTACGATAGGTACACAAGGTGAGCGTGACAACGTAGAGAAGTCAAGGCATATCCTTCCATGATGAGAACGTAGGCCAACACTCTACCACCCAAGCACCACCGCCCGCGCCATGACCGGGTATGCTGTAACGCCTATCCAGCAGTGAAGCCTCCGCGCTTACCGTAACGAGAACATCTTCTGTGCACTCCTATAGATACAAGTCTAAGTAGCCGATATGCTTGCCGCCATCCCCGGCCCAGGTCAAATGCGATGATCGAAGAAAAAATAGATTTGCTCGTGCCACACAAGGCACGGCTCCGGCGGCCGTTTCCACACCCGAGTGCCGACTTGGGATCAGGGATTCCGACCATACTCCCAACGTTGTCACACTCAGGCTCCTCGTCAACAGGAGTATTCGGCCGGTCTGGCATCTCCAAGTCGTTGAATTCGATCGAGGATGGGACCTTCGTCCCGATGTTGTTCTGCCTCTCCGGGAGGGTTAACCACAATAGGACGCGTGTTTTATCCTCGATCACGAATTTAACGAATTGAGGATGTCAGACAGGCCGAGCAATTCCTGTCGACGAAGAGCAAACTCGCCCCGATCGCTCCGTCCTCAATCACGATCACCATCCTCAATACCGCTCCCCAATCGCCAACCCTTCCACTTCCCTCTCCAAGCCCGTCTCCACCCTTTCCCTATACGAAGTCTCCTCCCCCTCCCCAACAAGCATCAACACCCTTGCCTCGGCCCTGGGGCTGGTATAAAACCTCTTCAACCCATCCTCATCCCCCTTCCTCACCTCGACCTTCTTGACCCCCAACCGGGCTGTGACGACGCCGTTCAGCAAGCTGACAAACAGCCAAGGGTACTGCAAAATCTCGGCCTCGAAGGCATTCACCGTCTGCTTGGCCCGCAGCAGATACGCCTCGGGGCTTGGCGAGCAGCTTTTCGGAAGCAAAGAGCCCAGGCGGAACAAGTTCGATGCCGACACGGCGTTGGTCGAGGGCTGCGACTTGTCCATGCCGCTCTTGAGGCGCAGGATGGTCGGGCTAAGCGTTTCGGCCTCGGTGGAGTAGAACCCGCCTGAGTAGGCGTGGCGCGGGGAAGGAGTGGCGGAGATCTGTTTGGAAGAGGGAGCGTCGTAGAAGAGGAGTGTTTGCTTGTCTATTGTTTGTGTGAGTTCGACCTCTACGCTTTGATGACCGAAAAGAAATGGAGGTGTAGAGTACCTTGTAATTCCTTGGCCCAGTCCAGCCACTCCTGCTCAAGGGTTGCTGTGTAGAGGTCCAGAAGACCATCGATCAGGAAGGCGTAGTCATCAGCAAATGCGGACGTCTCGCTAGGTTTCTGCCAAAAGAAACGCTGCAACGGGTTGGTCCTCCTGGTGTCCCGCCCCTCCCACAAATTCTCCTTGATAAAGACGGCGGCAGCTTTTGCGGCACCGAGGTATCTGTCCGCTCTCACAGGGTCCAGCCAGCGGACAGCAGCGGCCGTCCTCGCCAGTGCCGCGATGACCATACCGTTCGTAGCAACCACAACTTTTTCATCCCTCGCCGGCCTGACGCGCTCCTTCTCCCGATGGGCACGCAGTTTCTCCCGGGCGGTCACGACGAGGCGCTTGATCTCAGACGCGGGTACGCCAAACTGCTTCGACAGCTCCGCAACATCGGCGTTGACAGACAGCACGTTCTGGTTGATGAATTCGTCAAACGGGTCCTGATCTTGCGGCACATTGCCGTCCTCCTGCACGTTCCAGTACGCTGCGGCGACCGAGCTGGCGTGATCATCGTCGCTGGACCCGCCGCCGACGACCTGGTCGAACTCCCTCCGCGTCCACGTGTAGTAGGCGCCCTCTCGCATATGCCGGTCCCCCTTGCGGTAAAACGAATCCGCCGCCTCGCTCGTCACAAACCCGCCCATTTCCGCCTGCACCACAGGACTCGTCAGATAATCACCCAGTTCCAGCACAACGTCGGCAAACTCGTCTTTCAACGTCAACTCCTTGCCACTGTCTCGCGAGTAACCCAGCCAGGCATCGAGAAACACGCCCAACAGCAGCGCATTCTCCCCGACCATCTTCTCAAAGTGCGGCATGCTCCAGTCGCTCGTCGCGCTGAAGCGCATGAACCCGGCGCCGAGATGGTCCCTCAGCCCGCCGTCGCGGATCCGTCTCAGCGTGCCAATTGCCATGGCCGCGGCCTTCTTCACCTCCACTTCCCCCCCAAGCACATCCCCAACCTCCGGGGGGAAATTCGTCAGCCGGAGCAGGAACGACAACCGCGCCGGGTTGGGGAACTTAGGCGTTCCGAAGCCGTAATCGACAGGGTCAAACATCCTGCTTATCCTCCCGAGCGCCTCGTCCAGCTGGTCCAGATCCAGGTCCCCGCCATCATCTACACCCGCGCTGGAGGAGGATGCGGTGCCCGCAGCAGTGGTAGCAGTGGTGGCACCAGCAGCAGCAGCAGCCGTAGCGACAGCGAGCGTCGCCCCGGCGCCAAAGGTCCCCTCCTGCGCGAAATCCTGCAGCTTATGCAGCATCTCAAATGCCTCGCGGCGACACCTCTCCTCCTGCTCGACCCAAAACTTGTGGATCTTCTTGGCGATGGCCAGGAAATCGTTGTACGACGATTCTTCCCCTCCCAGTACGCCTCCTCCTCCTCCTCCTCCTCCTTCCGCGCCACCGCCGCCGGTTTCGCCCACCGCCGCCGCTGCTGCAGCAGCCGCCGTGCCGGCTGTCGCGGTGCTGTGCTCGGTTCCCGGGCCGGGCCAATAGGTGCCGCCAAAGATGGGGTAGAGGTCTGGCGTGAGAAACAGGTTGAGCGGCCAGCCGCCTGTGGCATTGACGGCTTCCGAGTAGTTTTGGTAGATTGTGTCGAGGTCCGGGCGTTCTTCGCGGTCGATGAGGATGGGGATGAAGGCCGTGTTGAGGCAGGCGGCGACGGCCGGGTTGGAGAAGGAATCTTGGGTTGTGAGATGGCAATCTGTGAGAGAGGCAACAACAACGGTTAGCGAATATCCCTTGGAATACAGGGCCTCGAAAGTGGTGGGAATAGGAGCTCACGGTGATCGGCCAGGAAGCCGATGTGCATAAAGATGGGCTTGTTCTCTGCCGTAGCTCGGGCGAGGGTGGCTGCGTCGAGCATCTGCCATGCCACGGGAGTGTCGGTGTGCCGGCGCACGTAGGGGCTGTCGCTCTCGCCGGCACGGTTCCGCAGGTCCGGGAAGACAGAGCCGCGGACGGTGGCAGCCCCGCGCTCGGGATGGTGCCGCTGCTGCCTCTGTTCCAGTTGCGCACGCATCATCTTGACGGATGTGTATCAGAGTATGAAGGCAAATCAGTGCCGGAGATCCGGGTTCAGCCGGCGTGTCAGAATGTCCGGGTGTCCTGATGAGCAAGGCTGCGGGGTACTTTCTACTGTGAATTGCAGAGGGTCTACGATGACGTCTCCAGAATGTTCGGTAGCGCAAGACTTTGGCTGGGGTAATCCGCGTGAATAATGCCCTGCCGCTGCCTAATGCTGATGGCTTTCCACAGTACCGCGGTGAAGGGCAAGAACCTCGGAAAGAAGTGTGACCGTCCCAGACAGTTGGGTCACCAAACCGGGTCGAAATGGAAGATGGTGGAGCGTCGATCTCATGGATCCATCAGCCTAGCAAAGCCCCGCATGATGCAGACTGCAGCAAGGGCCCAGGTTGCTGGAAACCCGGGGCTGAGAAGGCGCAGGGTTAGGGTACGACTCCCACAGATATCGGTGTTTGTAGCCAAAACCCATGAGACCCGGCTGCTTGGGGATGGATGTTTTGGACTGTTCTCTGAAAAATGTTGGCGATCAGGCCTGTGGTAACAGGAAGCGTAGACTGAAGTGCAGTCATATCTTGTCAGCAAAAGTGGAGCAACACCAACAGGTCGAGGGACAAAAACACCCAAAAGCTCATCATCCAGCTCTCAGAGGAGGTGGATAGCTACGAAAATCCTGGGGCCAGTTCCAAAGCTTTGCTTCGATGGCCGGGTACGCGGAGGAGTTGGCGTTCGGCCTCCTTTTCAGGAGAGCACCAGTCCCAGGAGATTTCTGACCCCCTTGGACGCTTCCAACTAGGCCATTAACCTATTGGAAGCGCTGATGGAAGAATAAACGTGGACATCATACATCGAGCGCGGATGGCGGCAAATGCAATAGTTCTGGAACGTTAGGAGTTGCGATGAAAGGGAGTGGTTGACCGGGTGGGCTGGTTGCGAGTTCACCACGCAATTGGGGGATGGAAGCGAGCATAGCACTCGGCGTCATCTTCGCTGCCTTAGAGCAAGCATGCTCAGGGCATAAATACACCACATTACCTCCCTTCCCTCCCCTTGCAGTCCCCAAACACACAGGCTATCTACCCAGAAACAGCAGGCCTCCCATCCGTCTTGAATCCAGACACAGACAGCCAGCCCAACCCAACGAAACCCAACCAAACGTCCATGATAACGAATCACCCAATGCACTAGCGGCACTTCTCGAGACAATCTTAGCACATGCTAGCAGCTGTCGCCCCTGAGCCTAGCGATGGGTCGTAGCGACTTAGAGGAAGAGGATGGCGTGCTTCTTGTGTCGCTTGATCAGACCTCACCATGGCACAGGAGGCTGGTTCATGGCCTTGCAGTCGCCGCGGAGAGTCGATACCCTGCCCTAGGTGCGCGTAAGTGCTTGTCACGGCTGATGGGAGAGATTTCAACACCCGCTTGTGTGTCCTGCTATACACAGGACACCATTCCGAGGCGATGTATCGGTGATGGCCAGTCTCTGGCCAGACGAGGCGCCATGACCCATGGGGCGCCGTGGGCATGGCGGGGGGGATTGCGAGGCCGTGGGCGGGACGCCCGTAATTTTGAACCCTTGCCGTTGGCGCTCCTTGGTTGTCTTCACCTTCGCATGTCAGGTCGAGCTCGCAGCGGCCCCAAGTTCTTGGTAACCCAAGGCCATGGTCCGGTCGGCGATCTGCCGGGGGGTGTGGTCAAGGTTCCCGGGGAGATGGAACACATTCCGGCGGGTTATCCTCGTCGCCATACCAAGTAGGTACGTTGGGATGCTGGTAGTGCCCATGCTCAGAGTTGCGCAGTGTACAGACGTACTGTATTATACGTGTCGCCTGCCTCGAACCTGAAAAGCTCTCCACATGGGCAACGACAGCTGACCTTCTGTCGATCACTGCACGGCTCCCGGCACGCTTTGTGATGGCGACATGGCGTCGGAATAGCAGTACTCACTGCAACGCTGATTGGGCTCTCATCTGTAGTTGACACTTGAGAAGATGCGAGCCGTCAGATTCGAGTAAGACGGGCCGATGGTTCGTGGGATTGGGCCTAGGACAAGCAAAAAAGAAAGGAGGCCAATTCGGATGACGCGCACTCGATGGCCAGGCGAGGCAATAGCTGCCCGCTCCCTCTTGCACTCCCAATCCTAAGATGGCAGGAACGCGCCGCGCGCTGGATGGATCTTGTCCCCACTGAAGTCTGAAGGTCGTGTCGCGAGCGGGGGAGGCGAGATAATGCACTCAGCCGTCAAGGTCCTCGTTTATCATCGCATCGCCCACTGGAATGCTGAGTTGATGAGGCAAGAAGCAAAGCTGAGAGGAGACATGTGACAATCGAAGCACAACATGGTACAGCACCCGGCCTGCTAGACACGGCCTGGACTGATAGTTATGAGCTGGATCATGACTGACAAACAATCCAACAACCTCGGGAACGCAATCGAAGGTTATTACCATGAATCAAGACAGAATTCGTGCCAGATACCGTTTCCAGATTCGCAAGTGTCTCGTAAGAAGTTGACTCGAGTTGGGGGTCGGCGATGGGCAATGCACCACGAGACTCGGTGAAAACTCACCTTCCGTCTCTGGAAGCGCTGTGACCAACTTTATCTATCTCGACGGCAACACTATAACTTAGCACATCGGTCGAGAGTGGACTTTATCCGATTCTAGCCGATTTCCGCTGTCATACCAGGTACAGTACTTGCACAGTATGTTACCAGTCCCGGGTGCTGGACCCGGGACAAGTGGCATACTGTAACACAAACTGGAGATCACCCGCGCCGCGCTTCATCGACATTGCATGGCCGACGCAACTCCGAACCTGGTAGTTTTGCCTCGAATCTCTTCCAGCGAGAGGACGGGAGCCTTCGCACGCTACAGAGGACTTCACCAAGGGTAGTAACTGTGAACTGGCTCTCAGAGCGTCGGGGGCCGCTGCATGCCCTACGCACTATCGGATGCGGCAGCAACCGCTCACTGCTCTCGCACCAGGGCAGCCAAGGGCACTACCCGAAAACCCTCTCCCCGGCTTCATCTGTCACAACCCTGCCGCTTTGGCTCGTCATGAGCCCTCCAAACTCCCACTTCGGCCACGGCTATTTAAAGTTGCTGCTCCGACCCTGGTCTTTTTGCCGGACTGGCAGTATGCAGCAACTTCGTCTTTTGAGGTTCGCCCTCACGGCCCTCAGTTACACCGATAACAACTAGCATTGGCAGAGCTCAGCAAACCCGTCCGATGCTTAAGTTACTCCAACACGTTCGGTAGGCTGCCGCCTCACTCCGGCTTGACGGCTGCTAAGTCTCTTATTCGTCCCCTCTCCATCCGCGCGGCAGGGTCATATGTGTGGGGGAGTCGCACCCGTTCCTGACCACCGGCATGCACTACTTCTCGGGGGCCAAGTCATGAGATTCTGTGCCGCTGGCTCGGATGCGAGCGCCAAGCCTTTACCTGTCCGTCGTCATATTACCGCACAAACGGCATCAATCGTTATGTGATAGGCTTGATTGACTTGTGCTAGAGACAGATAACTATTCGAGACGAGAGATGGGAAAAAGGAAAGGAGAGGGAAAGAAAGGTCAAGAAAGAAAATTGGATGGGATCCGTCGCGAGCACCGAGCAACCCCAACTTGCAGGCGTTCAACCGTCCCGCCCCTCCGTTGAGCTCCCGGCATCCGCACCCCAGACCACAATCCATTTTTCGGTTGCAGTATCAGTTACCTCCGGGCGGAAGACTGAAACCAACGAACCAGCCAGCCCAAATTCCCCGGATCCAATGCAGTCAGTCTTGCCAGAACAAGGAGGAGACGACAAGCCGCAACTGTTTGTCACCTCCCCCTCCTCCTTCCAAAGACTACCTCGAAACCCAGCGCAGCCGCACCCCGGTTAGTCAGCCGAGACGAAGCAGCAGGACTCGCCGCCTAGTTCTTGCACGAGCGCCAGGCAATGTTGAGCTGCTGGGTGAAGGCGACAGTGGCATCGTCGTCGGTGATGAGGCCAAAGGCGGAGCTGTTGGTGCTGGTGAGGGCGATGCGGTTGTTGATGTTGAGGATGCCGCTGGCGCCGCACGGCGAGTAGATGTAGGACGCCGTGGGCACCTTGTCGGCCTTGGTGTACACCTGGCCCTCGGCCCAGATGCCGCCACCCGTGATGGACGTCTGCGTCGTCGTCGTGGCCTTGGCGTCCTGGCTGAAGTAGTAGGTGCTGTAGAAGTTGCCCGTCACGCCCGCCTCGAGCTGCGCGTAGCCGTGGTAGGTCGACTCGAGGACCGAGAATTGGAAGCCGCCGGGGTACTTTGAGAAGGGAGCGGTTAGCGTCGTGGTGGATGCGTGGGGAAATCAACAATATCTGAGGGGAAGACAATGGAAGGGGTAAATCACCTTGAGCTGGAGGTGGAGCTGGCAGTTCTTGGTCCTCTCGCTCGGGCTGAAGCCGGGTCCGATGTAGGTCTGGAACTTGTCGAAGCCGAAGGTGATGACCTATTGTGGGACAAGTCAGAATGGGGAAATGAATGGCTGGGCCAGGAAGAGGAGACTCACCGTCTTGTCGGGCGAGATGTTGGTGGACACACTGCCCTGGGGGCAGCCGTTGCCGGAGAAGGTGGCAGAGACAATTTGGATCTCCTTCGGGTCCGGAGCATCGGACCAGCCATCGTTGCCAACGACCTGAGCGACGGGGCTGGCGGCGACGAGCGCGGGGAGGAGGAAAGCGACGGAACGCATTTTGGCTGTTGGAGACCGAAAAGGACGGTTAAGACTCAGGAGAGAGGCGCTGGCTTGCTCTGGAAACGCTGAGAAGGCTGGAAGGCTGCTGTGCTGGGTGGTGAGGGAGAGAAGACGGTGCACTCGATGGCGATCACCGGTCTTTATATCTCTTTGTCGACCGTCCCGGTTCCTGGTGTCGGGCTCTTCGAGATGTCCTCGTCCAGACGCCCTCCCCCATTCCGAGGTCCCATACCGACATCAGACGGCACATTTTCCGGCTGCGGAGGCAAAGTTGCGACCAGCGAGATGCTTGGCGTCCTCTAGGCTGGTGTCGTTAATTTGCATCTCCATATTGATGCACCCGCCTTCCGGGACCCAGCGGCCTGCTCCCGTCTCGATCTCGGCCACTCGGAAGTCGACTATGGAGTCGCGTCCATGGTGCGTACACAATCGTGCGGTTTGGCTGGGCTGGTTCGAAGGGCGAGGTCGTTCTCGCACGTTCTTCTTCGTTTCGTGGTTCGGTGGTTCGCGGCAGGGCCAAATTTGCGGATGAAGTGAGGATAAATGAAACACAAATTAAGACGGGACGTACAGCTCTTATGAGCTTGCCGCAACAAGGTACCATCGATCCCGACAAGGCCTGTGCCGAGACCAAAGCCCGCTCGTTTTCGTTACTCACTCGCTGACATATCCATTTACTTCGCGAGGCTAATTCTTTTTATAGAAACCCGCCTCCAGACTTTGCCATCTCTAGGATGCTCCGTCGATCTCATCGACATGGAGGCTCGCCCTCCCCGCTGTCGGATTCAGCGGCCAGAGAGAGAGAGAGAGAGAGCGAGAGAGAGAGCGAGAGACCTGCACTTTGCATCGCCCTGGGTCCCAGACTTGGGTTTGGTCCCTGACAGCGGAGCATACCCAGTATGAAGATCGGTGATCATCCTCGATCGAGGCCAAGAACTGTGGATGTGGCCACCTCTTCGCTGAGCCGCGCAGACCCGGCAGGCCGGCAAAGGCGACATCGAGGTCGTCAGCGGGGAAATTCCTGTGCTGATCCCGTCCCTGCAACCCAGACCTGCACATCCCACCAGGGCCCGGCCGAGGCTCGATGCCGCCATGCCTCACTTGGCATACGGCTCGTCAAGGATGCTATTTTTGCGTCAAGCCCAGGGGTCATTGATTAAGCTTAATTGAGGGCCCACCGTTGTTCCCTGGATGGCAGCAATGCGGACCTGGATCGTGGCATGGTTGCATCCAGCTGTTGTTGGGGATACCTGGGAAATGCGAATCAGCTGACACTACGGCTGCATGAGTACTCGCAGTCCTGGTGGTGAGTCTATCTCCGCCTCCAGTCTGTCAAGCTGATGCCGTCCAGGAAAACCGGGGATGGTGTTGCTTCGAGTTCTCTTGCCGACCCTCTCGGGCTTGCGGCCACAATCCTCACCTGCCAGCCTCATGCCGACCAGCCCTCCCGTGCCGTCCCCCGGACTTTTGGCTCTCTGGTTCGCCTCTTGCTACCCAAATTTATGTAGCACCACACGGGTGAGGAGCAAGAGCCTCCGGATTGTGTGATTTGTCCCAGCACACGACCATTTCCACGTCTCATGGCTCGGGGACGAGTAACCGCCACCAAGCAAAGTCATGTCCCCTCTGCTCGACCTTTCTCTCTCAGCGCCAGCTGCCTCTGGCATTCTGTCTCCGGGCAACCGTCCTATTCTACTTCTGTCCTGTGTCCGCCTCCGGGTCCACATACACGTCGTCAGAATGGACCCAGACACCATGCCTCGCTGGCGGCTAGCAGTAGCAGGTTCGATGCAACACCACTCGATTGCCCAGGACTCCATCGTAGTATCTAGCAAAACCTCGGAACGAACACCTCCACTTCTGAAACTACCTATAGAAGGCGGACTAAATGTCTTGAGCTCCAACACGACACAAGTCCGTCGAGGTCCTTCATCACCGTCGAGTGATACCACGCACTGCACGTAGTCGACGACCCCCTGTCCGAGGCTTTTCCCAGACGGCAGCAGTGTACCCCCCGTCTGCCTCAGCCAGGATATCGGGTCCAACAAGCAATATATCCATATATCCCCGTTCGGTTGCCTCGTGGAAGGCTCATATTTTACTGACCGATGTAGTCGCACGGCGTCTCAGCCGCCCTGCACGGTGCCGCCCTCGCTGCTACATACATGGGCTAGCCGTACGCGCTGATAAACAGCTGCGTTGTGACGTTCCCATCACTGCATTTACCTGCTCCAGGTCTCCTCGTCACGGTTCTCATCTGTGGTCCGTCAATGGTGTGCTTTCAGCAAGGCGCCAATATATCCCCGTCGTGGTGTCCTCGTGTCATGCTTCTGGCAGTATCTAACCCCCCTGACGGTCCAGCAAGCTTGAACCCTCCCGCACGAGGCAAGAATAGCAACATTTGTATATGAAGGATCTGAGTCAACCGGGGTAACATCCTGGCCGGCTCAGTCTAACAACCCATGTTTATACCAGAGGGCTGTTCCTTAGGTTTAGACGCAGCATCATATCTTGCATTGCTTCCTGTGGTGTCCTTGTGTTTTTGCTCGTCAAACCCAATACCGGGGTTACAGTGCCCATACGTGCCAGATCCCATTCATATCAACGGGAGCTAAGAGTGATCCATCAAGGACAGCTAAGAGGAAGCTGTATTCGTACAACGGCGGCCTGACCCAGCCGAAAGATGAGCAACAATGTAGGAAACAAAGCATCTCTAGCTCAATCGTTCCCTTCAGAGGCACTTGAAGCATCAGCATGGCCGTCACTCTAGAGCCATACCCTATTTGTATCGGGAGCAATAGTGGGAAGCCAAGCCAAATACCCTTCTTTCAGTACTCCGTTCCTGAATCGAAATCCCAGGCACAGTAACACCGAGTTGGTCGTCGATGGCCGGAGAAATCTGTCTTGATCTATCCCGGCCAGGGAGCCAAGTATTCCGACGAGGGCACTCAACATTCACTCTCAAAACAATCTGCTTCCAGCAGTCTGGTACTATACCACATGGCGCGGATGTACTTCCCCACGGAAGGAAGAGGAACAGCAGATTGCCGAGAAAGTGAAGAAGCGAGTGACAATGAGTGCAAATCCCTACACCGACAGGTAGTCATCTCGTTCCGTAACCTGTTGCAAGGCGGACGGACTCTCACAGAGCAGGACCGAGCCTCTTGTCCTGATGCCACCGTTGAGCAAAGGCTCAGGGCTTCGAACACAACAGCACAGAACAATACCGCAGGAGACGGTGAACTGACCAGATGCAGTACTGTTTCGCTACAGGACGCTACACACCCTCTCTTCAGAACAAAACATATCACATCACACCCTCACCAAACCCTTCTCACACCACACCACCCTACAACACTCACCCTTCTGCAAAAACTACTGCCCCTCCACCATCCTCAAAATCCCCTCCAGATTGATACTCTTGGGCCTCTCAATCGGCAACCCAAGCGCGCGATCCCAGATAAGCTGCGCCAGCGGGCCCAAGCCCCTCGACACGCCAAACGTAGCCGTATAGTACAGCGTCTCGTGGAAGCCATAGTGATGAAACAAGACACCCGAGCTGCTATCGACGTTGGGGTAGGGATTCTTGGTCTTGCCGTGCTGCTTGAGCACCTCGGGCGCAATCTCGCTATTCTTCTGGACCAACCGGAAAACCGGGTCGCGCGCAATCTCTGGGCGGGCGGCGGCGTAGTCCATGAGCGCCTCGAAGCGCGGGTCCGGCTTGCGGAGCACGGCGTGGCCGTACCCGGGAACGACGCGGCCCGAGTTGAGCGTGCTCCAGAGGTAGTTGCGGACGTCGTCGTCGGTGTAGGAGGACGGGATGGCGTCCTTCATCTGGAGGATCCAGCGGAGGACTTCTTGGGCGGCGAGGCTGGAGCAACAGAGTTAGTTCAGTTGGCTACCTTTGGTAATGGGGAGGAGGGGATTGGGCTTTTGTGGAAACCTACCCGTGCAGCGGCCCGGCTAGACCCTGCAGGCCGGCGCTGTAGCTGAGGAAGGGGTCGCTCAGGGCGCTGCCGACGAGGTGCGTTGTGTGGGCCGACACGTTGCCGCCCTCGTGGTCGCCGTGCAGGGCGAGGTACAGCCTGAGAAGGTCCTGGAAGCTTTCATTCTCCTTTCCACCCTTGCCGAGCATGGCGGCAAAGTTGTAGGCCCAGTCCTGCTCGTGGTCGATCTCGGCGGGCAGTGGGCCGCCGCCGCGGTAGGCGTTCTGGTAAATCTTCGCGGCGATGGTGGGCAGCTTGGCGAGCAGCGAGATGCAGTCGTCAAAGGTGGGCTCCCAGTAGTCGGCCTTGTTGAGACCTTGCTCGTAGGCCTTGGCGAACTTAGACGTGTAGTTGAGGGCTGACACGGCGATGGCGAACTGGGTCATGGGATGCAGGTCACGCGGGAAGTCGTCGAGCATTTTGTTGACAAACTCCGGCAGTTGGGCCTGCCCGGCGAGCTCGCGTGAGAATTGGCGAACCTGGTTGACCGAGGGCACCTTGCCCGTCAGCAGCAGCCAGAACATGGCCTCGGGCAGCATCTCGGTGCCCGTCTTGCCCTTTGGCAGCTCCTTCTGGCAGTCCTTGATGGTGCGGCCGTGGAAGCGAATGCCTTCGTTGGCGTCGAGCACGGACCCCTCCCAGACCATGGCCTTGAGGCCGCGCATGCCGCCGATGGTGTTCTCGACCTTGACCTCGCCGATGACCTTGGAGCCGTGGGCCTTGACCTTCTTGAGCAGCTCGCGCTTGGCAGGGATGGCTTCCTTGAGTGTCGTCTTCAGGTCCGGCTCGGCGGTCGCATATGTCCTGCGTGAAACATGGTTGACGGGAGTAGCAACGATAGGCTGCTACAGTCAGGAACGTTGTTGTGGGAGAGGAACTGGTGTTCGTCCGACTTACACGTAGGGCTCCGCTCAGGGCGCGCCGTCCGGTTCGCAGATTCAGAGCCATGGCGAAGTGGTATATTTTGACTTGAATGCGGTGTCAATCCTGCTTTCCGCAACAGGATCCCGTGGTTTTCGGCGTCTTCAATGAAAAAAGTCCTGCCTCCTTGAACCTGCTCCTCGGCTTAACGTGGCAATGACGAGAATGTGGAGAATCTGGAGCCCACACGATAACTCGGCAGACGTGGGACGTCGGAGACCGCTAGTGCGGGGTGCTGCAATGGACCTTGTGGCTACAACTTTGCTGTTGTCGTGGAACGCCTTTGAAAGCCTGCAGTTGACCCAGCAGACTTACATTTGAATGATCCCGAACAGCTTTGCAGACAATTTCCAGGGCGCAATTGCAATCTGGCGGGTTTACATGTGCTCGGCATGGGGTGAGCCCCGGACGCCGCCACTGTTCAAGCCGAGGAAAGCCGCTCCGCTGCCCCCGCGTGGGGTTCCCCTTCCCCGGACAAACGGTTCTGTGGAGACAAAGCCATTGGCCATTGAGGGTCATCTCCTCGGCTCTCATCTGGGGCTGGCTTCTGGCGAACTCGACTGTCCCCGGACTGGCAAACCACCCAGTGATCTGCCACCTATGTGCAGCTTGTGTGTGCACAGAGAAATTCCCGACATCCGCTCGTTTCAAGCATGACCGGTGATATCGAGACCGAACCCTGCAAGGGCAAACAAGAGGAGAACGTCCTCAGAGTGAAGCGCTGGCTGGCCGGTTCAAAGAGCTCCAAGACTTCGGAACGAACGTGACGGGTTTGATGTGAGAACGTCGGGTCTCCATGCTTCGCCAAATGTGACGCTCAGAAGGGATCAAGTATGTGATCTTCCCAACCCCATACTCTTTGCGTACCAAGTCCAGGATTGCCGTCTCTACAAAAGTTGAAAGCTGAGGAGGAAAGATGTGAATTCGAGGCATCCAAATGTAAGTCAGATTACTATCAGAATCTGTCCAAGGATTCAGGGTTAGGGTAATTCCATTTGAGATGAGATGCCAAGAATCTGCTTGAGCGGTGCAGATTTAACGAAGTGGGTCCATCTCGCCCACAGGTATTGATCACTCCCTGCCTGCCTGTTCAGATGCCCCTCCGTGCTTATCATGCCGTCATGCTCCATGGATAACCAACTCTCCCTCCCTGCTTCAGCAACAACAAAACATCCCCTACCCTCACTCCTTGCCTCAAGGGGCATCATTTGCCTCTGATAACTTCGACGCATTACTGCCTAATATTTGCCTCGCACACCAACCTGTTCCATCGAAAGGCAGATCGTCATCATACCTCCCGCTTCCCCGCGCAACTCGCTCGTCAACATGGAAATCACGGCTGGTGACCTCCCCGGCCTGCTCGCCGATGACAACTCGGTCAAGCTTGCTGGCGTCGACGTTGACGGCATACTCCGCGGGAAGCTCGTCTCCAAGAAGAAGTTCCTGTCCATCGCTGAGACGGGCTTTGGCTTCTGCTCCGTTGTCTTTGGCTGGGACATGCACGACATGACTTACATGCGCGAGCTCAAGGTTAGCAACAAGGAGAACGGGTACAGGGACCTCATCGCCGTGCCAGACCTCAACTCCTTCCGCCGCATCCCCTGGGAGAACAACGTCCCCTTCTTCCTGGTCAGCTTTCTCGACCCGGACACCGAGAAACCGATCCCGCCATGTCCCAGAGGCCTCCTCAGAACACAGGTAGAGAAGTTCGCGGCCCATGGCTACGGTGCCATGGCTGGAGGTTAGTGACGATTCTCACCGTCGCTCGCGTAGTCGAGTAGCTGACGGACCGCGCAACAGCCGAGTACGAGTTCTACCAGTTCAAGGCCCCGCCGTCCGACGGCCGTCAGTCGACCGCCGCATTCCTGCAACAGAACCCCGCTCAGTCTCTCCCGCCCCTGACCGACGGCATGTTTGGCTACAGCCTGACGCGGCCCGTCCACAACCGAGAATACTACTATGATATCTTCAACACATGCCAGAAATTCAAGTGCGACATCGAGGGATGGCACACCGAGAGCGGGCCGGGGGTCTTTGAAGCAGCCCTCGAATTCGGCGAAATCAGGCAGATGGCGGACCGCGCGAGCCTCTTCAAATACGTCGTCAAGTCAGTGGCAACAAAGTACGGCATCACGCCCTGCTTCATGGCCAAGCCCAGACAGGGACTACCGGGTAACAGCGGACATATGCACGTCTCGCTGGTGGATGGAAGCGGGAAGAATCTCCTTTACCGCGGGGAGCGCGACCCGGACCCCCCATACCCTGACGTTGCGTACCTCTCCGACGTGGGGCGGCATTTCCTGGCCGGCGTCCTGGAGGGGCTGCCGGACGTCATGCCCATGGTGGCGCCCACCATCAACAGCTACAAGCGGCTGGTCGAGAACTTCTGGGCGCCCGTCACCGTCTCGTGGGGGCTGGAGCACCGTGCCGCCTCGATCCGCTTGATCGCTCCACCCACGTGCAAGCCCGGCGCGACGCGGCTCGAGGTCCGGGTCGCGGGCGCCGACGCCAATCCGTACTACGTGCTTTCCGCCATTCTGGCGCTCGGGTGGCGCGGCGTGGAGAAGAAGCTGGATTTCCCGTGTCCCCCGCTGGCGAGGGGCGAGGACGTTGGGGGCAGCACGGACATGGGCGTGCGCCTGGCTAAGACCTTGCGGGAGGCCAATGACAGGTTCACGCGTGCGGGCAGCATCGCGAGGGAGGTGTTTGGCGACGAGTTTGTCGACCACTATGGGGGGACGAGAGATCATGAGAATCGGCTGTGGGATGAGGCGGTGACTGACTGGTGAGTCTTCTGCTTTGTACTGGTAATTCGGAAGATTACTGACCGTCCGCAGGGAACTGAAGCGGTACATCGAGACTGTCTGAGTGGGTGCAGAGGGTTGGGCATGGTTTGGGCGATTGGGCTGGCGACTGTTTGTCTGCGATACCCCTGAAGAGTCAATTGACATATTACCTTACAGCTGTTTTCCATGCGCACTAGTCTCCTGCCGCCTCTGTAGGTATCGGCAGACTTATCACCTGCGCGAGACTGATATCCAAGGCCAGAGTCAATGGGTCATCGACTCTCACATCTACGACCTGCGCGTCACGACAATAATCGTCCGACGCATTTTCATCGAGCTATGGGTACGAGCTCCGGTTCAAGGTGCCTGGCCAGGACGGAGTCGACACAGCTCGGTGCTGAGTAGTTCATGGCATGTGCGCAAAAGAGAAGCCATCGTCTTTGTCACGCTGCCACGTCCGGTTCATCTCTGTCATAGACAACTTGTGGTTCCCTTGCGCCTGTCCGGGTCATCCAACCATGTCAGCCGACTCGATCTCTCAACTCTTTTGCAGGGTTAACCAGGCGTCTTGATGCGCCCATATGCGATGCCCTTAGTCAATGATAAGCACAGACTCCTGAAGACTGAACTCGGTAAATGTGTTGTGCAATGCTTGCCTCGAGTCCGTTGAGTGGCCCCGTCCACAGTCGGGGTTCTCCATTTCAAGTTGAGCACAGCTCCACCTGTTCCTGCATCAAACCGATTTGGCGATAGCCTCCTGAGCCGGATCATGATCGCTGTCATTGCCGTGGATCCAACTGCCGACCCCTGTTGTGGCAGCAAGCGGGGCGGAACCAAAGGCCGAGTCTGCCGTCCTGCGATTCTCCCTAATTCCCGAGTGGGCGAGCCGACTTTCGGGCAATGGCAACCGAGCGGTTGAAGCAGTGCGATACAGCCGAATATGTGGGATAAAGCTCTGGCAAAATCCGAGAGGCTACCCTGGCGGCGACACTCAGGAGCTTAAGATCTCAGAAAACGCCATTTTTTTTTTTTTTTTTTTTTAAATTTCGACTATGGTGTCCAGCGCAGTAGCCTACGCAGGATCGCCCGCGGGCCACATGCCCGTCAAAAGTACATTCGACTTCACCTTCAGCCAACCGTTCCAGACGGCATGCGACTTTGTGCCGCCCGAGCACGCCCTGCCGCGGATTGAGCCCGAGCGGCCCATCTTTGTCGACAACAAGACAGGTAAGTGCAGCATCTGGGGAAAAACGAGATAGTGGTGTCCTTCCAAGCAGGCACTGATCTGAGACACTCGTTGTTGATTGGATCCTTCTTGACTTTGCACAAACTGACGCTGAACAGACCGCACTCTCACATTCGGCCAAATCTCCAAGGATGCGCTCGCCCTCGCGTCGGGGCTACTGAGCCTGGGGCTGGACCCCAACAATACCATCAAGCTGCCCCCAACCCCGTCGTGCCCCCCCGGCCCCGAGATCGCCCCGGTTGTGCTGATCCAGCTGCCCAACTGCCTCCCTTTCGCCCCAGTCTTCTTCGGCACCCTCGCCTCTGGCATGACCGCCACTCTGGTCTCACCTGCCCTGACCAGCGATGAGATCGCCTGGATCCTCCAGAATGCCCGTCCCCGCGTCATCATCACCGCCACCGCCTGCCTCCCCGCCATGAAATCCGCGCTTGCCAAGCAGCCAGACACCTCCTACTTCTCGTCCATCCCCGTCTTCACCGTTGACACAGCAGCCGACACCTACCCCTCGGCACAAGCCTCCCCGCCTCCAGCTCCCTCCGACTGGCGCTCCCTGCTCTCCGCGTCTCCCTCCCACAAACTCACCCACGCAGCAACAACCACGTCATCACCCATCTTCCCCCCCTCCACTGCCCCCTCCCGCACAGCCGTCATCCTCTGGTCGTCCGGAACCTCGGGCCGCTCCAAGGGCGTGCTCCTCTCGCACCACGCGCTCAACTTCTCCATCGCCTCGCTCTGGCACGACGCAGATTATTTTGGGGTCAAACCCCAGCGCCAGGCCTGGCTCGGCTATGTGCCTTTCTACCACGTGTTTGGCCTCTGCAACGTCTTTCTCCTGGCCGTCGCCACGGGCAGTACGGTGTACACCATGCCCTCGTTCCACCTCGAGACGGTGCTGAAGGCGATCCGGGACCGCAGGGTCACGTACATGCACATGGCGCCGCCCGTGGCCGTCATGCTTGCCAAGGCGGCCGTCGTGGAACCGTACGCGCGGGGAGGCGGGTTCGCGTCGGTTGTGGCGGGCGTGACGGGCGGCGCGCCGCTGGGTCATGAGGTTGTCGAGGAGGTGTATAAGCGGTGTGGGTTCCGGGTGAGGTTGGGGTATGGGCTGAGCGAGACGTGCAGCACCGCGCTGCAGAGGGGCTGTGGGGAGAACGAGATGCGGGAGCAGGCGGGAGATACGGGGAGGCCGCATTGGGGGGTCGAGGTGATGATTGCGGATGGGGAGGTGTATGCGAGGAAGGAGGGGGAGAAGACGACGGCTGCGGGCGTGGATGTCGAGGGGGAGGTGCTGGTGCGTGCCGCGGGGTTGTTGTCGGCGTACTTGCCTGTCGAGCTGTACTCTGGGGAGAAGAAGATGGATATGTCGGTTACCGAAGAGGCGCTGACGGCGGATGGGTGGTTCCGGACGGGCGATGTGGGCGCGCTGAATTCCGACGGCCGGCTCAGGATTACCGACCGGCTGAAGGAGCTGATCAAGGTACGCGCGTACCAGGTGGCGCCCGCAGAGCTGGAGGCCGTACTGTGCAGCAGCGAGGCGGTTGCCGACGCGGGTGTCATCGGCATCTACGACAAGAGCGAGGCGACCGAGTGGCCCCGCGCGTTTGTGGTGCCCCGCGCCGGAAAGAACAACATGTCCGGGGCGGACCTCGAGAAGCTGGCTGGCCAGCTCAAGGTGCTGGTCGAGGGCCGCACGGCAAAGTACAAGTGGCTAATGGGCGGCATCGTGTTTGTGGACCAAATCCCCAAGAGCCCCAGCGGCAAGATTCTGAGGAGAGTGCTGAAAAACGGAGGCGAAGAGACCAAGGGCGTCGAGGTGAAGCTGTACGAGAAGAAGCGGCGGGATGCGAAGCTATAGTGAGTCATGTCAACGCCGTTTCAAGATATGTAGAATTGAACTTCGACCCTGCTTTTCTCGCACGCTTCCATTTTCGTACTCCCCGAGTCTCCTTCCTTTATCAAGATATCATAGTCAATAGCAGACCCGATCTGGCTTCGACCTCGAGGTACAACAGAGAGGACAAATACAACTGACACGCCCATGTCACGTGCTGACGCTGCATCGCTTGGCCCCTGGGACGATTGCGGAGCTGCTTGCATGACTGGCTAGATGGGAAGTAGCACAGGTGTAGTTATGATCAGAAAGTGTTGCGTCACCTGCATCACCCACCAAACCTTAGCTACACCCAACAGCCCAACAGTCGTGATTGTCTGGACCTCCAATAGCAACAACCTCTAATAACCTATATATCTGCAGGTAAGATGGACCCAAATCTGCAACCACTCCATCAGATTCGCCCACCATGGCTCCTCCCTTCGTGGTCTAGTCGTCGGCTAACGTGTGTTCGCATCCCAACCGTCTGGGGCTTACTACAAAGGAAGAAGGGCCTTCCATCGATACCGCTCGACTCGCAGGCCAGGAACTTCCCCCTCTTCTCTTCTCTTCCATGCATCCTTACTTATGCAGCTGAAATACTACTCAAGGTTAGTTTGGTAGTTATTTCTCTTTGAATGATTCTCCGTGTCGGCCATACAGAATCGCAGACTTCAAGTTCGAATTGGCTCCCGAGTCCCAACACAGGTTCCAGATCTGCATGGTAAGCTGATTGCAGATGTGGACTGAGAGCTCCGGATGATCTCCACTGTTCCCAGAGGGGGCCAAAACTGACAACACCTGGCATTTGTCACGTTCATGATCTTGCCGCCATGTTACACACATGTGCCAACACCAGATTCTGTGCCGCATTGGGACAAGAATGCATATCACCAGACGCCGAGGTTTGGGAAAGAAGGCAAAAATGATTGAGACCAAATAAAGCCGTAAAGCCCATCTCAGCTCCCATTCGCATGTTCTCGACCATCTCCCTCTGAACACCACACACACACCTTCAAGTTCAAATTCAAAGATACTGAACATTGCCTCATTGTACAAGACAAACCTACCTCATCTGCTATGCCTGAACCCGCCGATGCCCAGGCGGCCACTCTTGACCGTTTTATCTCGGCCTGGAGGGCTTGTTCGCCCGGTGGCCTCTCGTCGGTCATGGGTGCCGACTTCACCATGCAGACTCTGCCGTTTAGTCTGAAGGAGCCGCTTCACAGCCAAGCAGAGATGGCGGGGTTCCTTTCCGTCCTCCGGGGGATCATGTCCACGTTTGAGGTACGCCAGCAAGTGCTTTTTGTTTTCTTATTTTTTTATTTCCTGTTTCCTGTTTCCTTCACCCTTGGCGCGGCAAGTCAATCGCAAAGCTGACCGAGAATGTAGCTCACGGTTCACAACGTCGTCCACGACGCCGCGAACGGGAAGGCGGCCATCTACGCCATAACCAAGGCGGACTCGCCGTCAGGCCCGTATCAGAACGAGCATGCCGTCTTCCTCTGGTTCGATGAGAGCGGCGAGAAGGTGACCAGAATGGAGGAGATGGTGGACAGTGCTTTCTTGAAGGACTACATGCCAAAGCTCCAAGCCTTTCTGGCTCAGCAGGCGGCGAAGTCATCCGCGGCGGCGGAATAGTTAAGCTACCCTGGGTTTTGGGATAGTACGTGACTGTATGCCTCGTCAATTGCAGCGGGAGCATGACGCGGCCTGTGAATTGCTGTCTCAGCCATAACCATTGCGCTCGTCTTAAGCCGGTTCGTTCCCGGCAAGCCGGAATTCCCTTCTGTGCGCACATCCAGCCTCCAGAGGAAAGATGTCGGCGACCAAACACTGGCAAGTTGTTCCAATTTTTCCACCTCAAGTAAAGTCGTAAACCATCAAGCTCTCCCTCGCCCCCGTCCTCTCCTTCAACACAATCACCATCTCATCATCAAACCCAACCCAATTCCGCCTCTCATCCCAGTCCCGCGCCGGGTCGTTTACGCCAACACCAACACCACCACCTTCATCATCATCAGCCCAACTAATCGCGCCGCGGCTGCCACCGGTCAACCGCGACTGCGACCGCGACCGCGACCGCGCCTTCCCCCACGGCCGAATCTCGACACTGCGTGTGCTGCTGCCGCCGCCGCCGACGCCAGCAGCGGCCCGGCCCTCGAGCTCCCAGACGCGCATCTCCTCGCCGCGGGTGCTGACGCTGACGGCCTTGCCGCGGGCGGTGATCTCGGCGTCGCTGATGCCCGAGGTGTGGCCCCAGAGCCGGATGCCGTCGGAGATGGAGAGCGACGAGGCATTGGAGGTGCACAGGTGCAGGACCAGCGTGTTGTCCGGCAGCGTGGCCAGGAGATAGGGGTGGGTGTAGCAGAGCGTAGTTGGGCCCGGCGCTGGCGTGGCGGCGCCGGCTGTCGTCGGGGCGCCAGCGTCTGTTGTAATGCGCCGGTGTCCGCGTTGTGGTGTCGCTGGCGGTGTAGGTGGGGTATGGGGAAGGCTGGCTGTTTCGACCGGCGTGGTGTATGCTATCCGGGTTGCGTTGACTTCAGGGGGTGCTCTCACGTGGGAGGCAGGGTCGTTTAGATGCAAGTCCTGGATGCCAATGGACCAGCCTCGCCGGGTGGAGAAGGTGTAAGCGACTGAGGCGATCGTTGTTCTTCCGGCTCTGCGGATGGACAATGCCAGCGGCGGCCTACATGTGTGAGAATCCAGAGAGGTCAGGAGGTACGGGGCAGGTAGGCTGCCCGCAGCTTTGCCCTGGCTGGACTCCTGCGCCTGCATGCCGTCCTCTGTCTTTGTGGTAGGGACGTCGAAGGTGTAAAGCGAAACCAGCACCGCCTGGGTGGCGGTCAGTAAGTAGGGGTGCGAAAAGGCCATGGCGATGAGCTCGCCGTTGGTGGACTTCTCATGGCGGTACCGTTGCTCGAGCCGTTTCTTGTCAGTGAGCAACCTCCAAACCCCAAAACTGCCGTCATCGAAGCCCAGGGCTATGTCAAGCAGCCCACCTTCAAATTCAGTCTCATCAACGGCGATGCAACTTGGCGCGGCGTCCGCGCCGTTACTACCAATCTCAATCTGGGCAATAAGACTCCGGCTTTTGAGGTCCCAGGCGCGCAATCCCTCGTCCCTGTCCGCCGTGACGGCGACGCCCTCAACCACCTTAACGAGCATCTTCCGCCCCTGTTCACCACCAACATCCTTCTCGTCGCCAAGCCTGAGCTCTTCAACCGCGCACTTCCCCCTCGCCCAGTTATACCGAATCTTGTACTGTCGCTTCCAGTTGACCGGTCGTGGGACAACATCTTCCACCTCTTTCACAGAGCGCAATACCACCCCTTCACTCTCATCATCATCACCTTCCTTCTCAGCCCTGCCGCCCATCCTCCGATCCTCGTCCGCGCGCACAACCCCGCCCCTCCTCCCATCCGCCCACAGCGTCCGCCTCCCGGCATAGTGCAGCTTGTGCCCCGCGCCAGCCCCTACGGGCCCGTCGCGGAACCCCGGTATGCGCATCGCGCGGGGCAGAACAAAGCGCGCGTAGTACAGTGCCTTCCACAATTGGGAGTCGGACGCTAGGTGGTAGAAGCGGCGCGAGACGGGGGTCACCGCCAGGAGGTGCTGGAGGGGCAGGAAGGAGAGGATGCGGAGGAGGAGCTCGTCGGAGAGCGGGGAGAGCAGATCGCGGCCTGATGGGGGTGGGATGGCTGGGTTCGGTTGGGCGGTATCGGTCACCCGGCGGCGTTTCGCTGGCGGCATCTGGCTGGGATGGCGTCGTTCGTGGAATTCATGGTCGCGGTGGTGGTCGTTGGCGTCGGCGTCGGGCCGGAACCGCTTGGCGCCTGTCATAATCGCTGAGTGTTTGCGTTCGATACTTGGTTTGTCTTCTGTGCTCAGCGTCTTCGTAGTCCAGCCAAGTCTGCATCTTTCTGCTTCCGTGGTTTTTGTCGACACGCCACTGCCGTCCCGTTAGACTCGGTGGCGGTGGAGATTGGGGATGCAACAATGTTGAGCTAAGCTTTTGTGGAGACTCGGGGAGCGAGCCGAAGACCAGGGCATCTTCTGAGATTTGACTTAACTAACCCTAACATCATTCCCCTTTCCCCTCGACTGTGTCTTCTTCGAAACTGCTTCGAAAGAACTCCGGGCAAAAACCTTCTCCACGACCCTTGCGCTTGAGCTAACGGAGAAAGGAGGCCACCAGTACCCATACTACGGACTTTCTTGCCCTTGACCCATACTGCAACTTCGCAGATGCGAATTCTCAAGGAATACGGATCGAATGGAAAAACAAAATCCTCCAAGAGTTGGGTACTCTGCACAGCTTCAAGTCAGCGTGTACCGGCACCGGAAGCTCGAAATCGACTGGATTATCGGTGAGAGCACGGCCCTGGAGAGACTCTACCAAGAAGCGACAGCAATCATGCACGTGCTCTGTGGGCAGCAGTACTATACAGTACGACACTCCCCCGATGGATTCTGGCCACCTCAAGCCTCGACGGCGAACCATAACCCATCCCTGCCGCAGGCCGGATACCTACCGTCATTGCGGGAGACAGCTTCTCCCTGTTGGCACCTCAATAAGCCATGCGCGGTTTTCACCAGTCGATGATCCCTCCGGTAAGCGGTTGGCCGAGGAACCATCCGGATGATAGTTTGTTCCATGAGATCGACCTTGAGAACTTGTATTCCCAGTTGACCGGGAACCGCCCCTGAACGTCGGCGAACATCATGTAAACATGAAAAGTTCAACCCTGAGGTAGTTTGTTTGTTTCTGTGGAACGTTTAATTGCATAGTCACAGTCCTTCGTCTTTTTCTCACTTTCACTCTCTAGTTATCTTCTCTCTATCTTCTTCTTTCTGTTCCTCCTCCTCGTTGTCTTCATTTTTGTCTTCCTCTTCCCCCTTCCCTTACTTTTCCTCTTTTCTTCTATGTCTTTTTTTGTTGCCTCCCTCGTTTTTGCCATCTCAGCCAGTCGGGTCTCGGCATAGAGACACTCAACTGATGCTTGACATGCGGCGGCAGCGGACGACTACTAACGAGCGTCAAGAATTGGTCGATTGCCTTACTTCCTATCTTGGTTAACTCGAAGTTCGAGCTGTAGGCGTTTATACTTGGTCATTCTGCAGATCGCTTCTTGCGCGCTTGCCCGATGTTCTCTTCGGAGTGGGCAGCTGGCAACTTCCGCTTGGGGCGGACGACAACGACATTGTTGGTGATTGCGGGAGGTTACTCCAAGAAGCAAAGAGGTCGTAGAGGAATTGGTATTTGGTCAAGAGGTGTTGTGTTGTGTTTGTACTCTCATTGAACTCTATTTTCTTTTGCCTGCATATGTCTAGTGCCCGCCGTGGTTATGCTAACGAACAAACCAGGGCTGAACTGTACTTTTTTAAGGTAGCGCTAGTGAAGAGCATTTGTTTTTGAAGGGCCCGTACTCAGCTAAAGGAAAACCTGGACGGACTACTCTACTACTAGTCAGATTTCCAACATTCACAAACTCCTGGGTACCCCTAACTACGATTCTCTAATTTTCCTCCTCCTTCTACATCGTCGAATTAACTAACTTCATGGTTTAATTTGACTAATTTGGTTCATAGGAAATGTAACCGAATTCTAACCTGTCATACCCTCCCTTGCTCCATCAGGCACTTTGTCATGTTCCACTCCCTACCTCAGCCGACGTTGCCCGTCGCTCAAGGTCTTAAGCACTGCAACATCACCCTTATGGTCCTCGCCCGCCTCGAAAGGTCCTCAACCCTCAGCATCTGGTGGATAATACAGTGCACCAGGAAAGGCCCCCTCCGCGGCCAACGTGGCATAGTACAGCTCTGTCTCAGCCAAGATGACCATCCGCCCCAGCCCAGCGAATTGGAAATTGGGCACCGCATTCCCAACGTAGATCTTGCCGAGCAGTTTCCCAGACGGGCTGTACACTTGCACGCCATCGCCGCAGCCGACGTACACGTTACCCTTTGTGTCGACGTGGATCCCGTCGGGCACGCCTGGCGTCACGAATGCAAACGGCTTTCGGTTCACCAGGGTGCCGTCCTCGTTGACGTCGTACTGGTAGCTGTCCACACAGTATGATTTCATGAGCGTGCGATGTTTAACGACTCGGAGACAAACTCGACCGAGAAACTTACATGGTTGAGGGAGAGGTGAAGTTAGTGCCATAAAATGCTTGGGTCATTCCGGTGTCGGTGATGTACACGTGAGAGCCGGTAGGGGAGAAAGTGATGCCTAAGGTAAGAAGGACATGGGAATGAGCAGGGCTCTCCGGTCCACATCTCTCGAGTCTCTCATCAACTGACCGTTGGGCATGTTGAATCCATCTGCTGCCACTCTCACTACTCCGGTGGCTTCGTTGAAGCGCCATACCTGCCGTGGCATTCCCGGCGTTGGCCGGAAGTCCTGCAAGTATCCGTATGTCGGGTCTGTGAAGTAGAGCTCTCCATTCCGAGGGTTGATGGAGACATCGCTCAGCGAGTTGAACTGGCGGCCGAAGAAATTGTCTAGGAGTACTGCGAAGTCCCACACTGTTAGAATGATCCGATCGACCATGGCGGCATGGTTATAGGCGGGATGCTCAAGAATGTCACAGCTCTCTCACCCGTGGTGTTGTATGGAGGCTGTGGATCCATAAGATACATGGCCGGCGCTATGCTTTCTCCTTGTCCTTCTCCGAGAAATAGCAGCTGGCCCCTGAAGTTGGTTCCACCTACGCTCCGACTGTCAGTCCCCATATATGATGACAGAGTGAGTAACCAAGATCGGACCCTAGACTGACCATTTGGGTTCATAACAGTGGGATATGAGTCTAAAACTTCCACCTTTACCGAACCACTAGCATTTCTCTGGCTCGCAATGGCGGGAGTAATAGCAGACAGCGAAATCTTCTGAATGGTTGCCGACTTGGCAAGGCCAGTCCCAGCTGCTCTCGCACCGGCATTCTGGACGAAGAACATCTCGTCCTTGGCGGGATACCTCGTCAAGCAGTCAGTTCCTCGTTCCAGGGCAAGCAGGTTGGTCATTCAAGAAGGGAGCCTACCAGACGGGCGCTTCATGGAATATCGGGTCTGATGCTGTGTGGTTGAGCAGGGTCAAAGTCGGGTTTGGACCGATAATTTCCAGAAAATCCTCGTCGTAGACATGAAAGGGGCGGGCGAGAAGCCTTTTCAGTGTTGTACCTGGAGGAACGAATTGCTAGAAACACAGGATCAGCCTCACCGAGCTAGTACGTAGGATCAGAGACATACTGCGAAGCCATCGGCCACGGATGGCGCAGCGACAATCTGGAGAGAATTGAAGCTCCGCTGGTCGATCACTTGAGCCTGGGGTGGAACTTGAATACCATGCTGTGAGAGGCCTGTGGCGCCGAATCCCAGTAGCAGGAGCAAGTTGGGCTTGTGCATCGAGAGCAGCTGCTTGACCACAGCCCCAGACAGGAATCGTCGGAGCAACGCCATAGCAGTACAAAGCGGCCGACGATGTGCGGGAGACTTTGCTGAAGATGACCGCTAGGACGACGTGAGCTTCATATCTAGGCCCGTTGATGAGCAATTGGAACAGCTCAATCATTGATTTGTCCTGGACCGTAGACGGGGTGCGGGGAACTGAAACATACATCGTATACGTCGTGTGACTTGACGTCCTCCCAACAGGCTCATGCGTCACAGCATTTGACCGTGATAAGGTCTTTCTCTTGCCGAGCCAAGCAACCCTAGCCAATTCCCAGAGGTCATTCGTCGGGTTTGCTATAGCGATGGACACAAGCAGGTCGATTTTCCTCTTCCCGTTTGATCTTGGGGCTGAGGGAATCCACGCCTCGGCCATTACGAGAGTGATTAGGACTGGGAATATGCCTGGTCATTAACAGCAACCGCAACCTAGATAGAACTCGAGTTCAGCTTTCCGAGCAGAATGTTTTTTTTGCTGAGAAGCTACCATGCCAGCCATTAACTTGCACTTGACTGGTAAGAGAAACTTGGAGCTAGGCTGTTACGATCCTTACTAAGCAGTTTGGAAGGCCCCCCTACCTAGTGAAATGACTTGGGTAGGTGCGTTGCTCGCAGAGTCTCAGCCTGATCCGGAGAACAGTCCTCGGTTATAGTAAATCTGAATGGCACAGTTAGACCCCATCAGGTACTTTTGTTCAAGGTACGAGCCGGCAAACATACGAGCGTAGTCCGCCTGCCACCGCTCCCTAGGTCATGTCGGGGACCAACTGTGTCGAGGTCCTAGGGCGACACTTGGCCTGCAGGTATTGTACATGACTACATGTAGTGCCAGCGATTTTCTAGCATAGGAAACTGAACACCAAGACCAACACGGTTCTGATGGAACTGCCGTACTTTCCCTGGGTTCAGGTTGAGCGTCAGTGCATCTTGCACACGTCAGGAGAGAACCTGTGCTCATGGAGACGAACTCGGACAGGCAGCGGCCGGATCTTCCAGCCAACATCCTATACACGTGCCCGACGAACCATCCTCCGAGAGCACGACTCGGCAGCTATACGGGAAGCGTTAGCCCATTTACAGTCTATAACCGGAACGGATCTTCATGCTAGTCTCCCTAGACCCGTTCAGGAAGTTCCGGACGGATTAGCATGCCGCAAGAGCCGGGTAAATTACCGTCCGATATTGCGCTGACGGCAAGCCGCCAACTGCTGCGGATGCCGTCCAGCCCGTTGCCAGTCAAGTGGGTGCGTGCTGTATATATCTCCTGCGGCCGGAAAACGACGCAGATGCTGGGGCATAGTGCTTTATACAAGCCGGACTGCGAGGCCAGTCCGGGGCCCCAGCCGCCCCATCTCGGCAGATGGCAAGGATCGAGAGTAAAGCCGAGCAGCAGGCCCATGCCCATATTTCCCTGGTCATGGATGCCTGACGCCGGTAATTGTCTCCGGGGAGAAAGCTGCTGCGTTTGACTGCAGGTTATGACGACGGTTTGGCTGAGTACAGGAGAAGGGTAGACTACATACCTAGAAAGCTCCTATATAACACCGGAATTGGACAGCATGCGCCGGGTTTGCGCCTCTTTCCCGTCTCACCAACCCCATGAAAAGACCATCGACAAAGCTGGCCCAGAACGACCAAGCTTATCAGAGCAACCATGAGGTCCACGATCGCCGCGGCTTTGACAGCGCTGGCTGCTCAGGAAGTAGCAGGCCATGCCACCTTCCAGCAACTGTGGGTGGACGGCACTGACTATATAAGTCTCCCCTGAAGACGGTCGTAGTCCGCAACCGCTAACACCCGCGGCACGGCTCCTCATGCATCCGCATGCCGGGCTCCAACTCGCCCATCACCAACGTCGGCAGCAGGGACATCGTCTGCAATGCAGGCACTCGCTCAGTCAGCGGCAAGTGCCCCGTGAGAGCAGGCGGCACCGTCACCGTTGAGATGCACCAGGTAAAAAGAACCACTAACCCTATGTCAACCACCACTCCCCACCCCTCTAACCCAGAAAAACCCGCCTCCAGCAACCTAACGACCGCAACTGCAAAAACGAAGCCATCGGCGGTGCCCACTGGGGCCCCGTGCAAGTCTACCTGAGCAAGGTCAGCGACGCGACGACGGCCGACGGCGCCTCGACGGGCTGGTTCAAAATCTTTTCCGACTCCTGGGCCAAGAAACCGGGCGGCGCCGTGGGCGACGACGACCATTGGGGCACGCGCGACCTCAACGCGTGCTGCGGCAAGATGGATGTCAAGATTCCCGCCGACATCGCCTCGGGCGACTACCTGCTCCGCGCCGAGGCGCTCGCCCTGCACACGGCGGGCCAGTCGGGCGGCGCCCAGTTTTACGTCAGCTGCTACCAGATCAGCGTCGAGGGCGGCTCCGGCACGGCCAACCCGGCTACCGTAAAATTTCCGGGCGCGTACAGTGCTAGTGATCCGGGCATCAGGATTAATATTCATGCTGCCGTCGATAATTATATTGCGCCCGGTCCGGCCGTGTACTCGGGCGGCACGACCAAGAAGGCTGGCTCCGGCTGCGCCGGGTGTGAGAATACGTGCAAGGCTGGCTCGTCGCCTACCGCGGTGGCCCCTTCGTCGGGCAACGGCGCCTCCGGAGGCTTGGAGGGAGGCGGAGGCGCTGCGGCCGGTGGTTGTACGGTGCAAGCGTACGGACAGTGCGGTGGGAATGGGTACTCGGGGTGCACCCAGTGCGCGGTAAGTTGATGTTGTGTGTGTTAGAGACTGCGTTCTTGGACAAGCTTTAACTGATGTTGTGCTGCAGGCTGGCTATACTTGCAAGGCTGTTTCTCCGCCGCACTATTCGCAGTGCGCTCCTTCTGCTTAGCCTGTGTAAGTGGATACATCTTCGGGCGGATGGCGGGAGAGTAAAGCGGGCAAGTTGGTGCGAGGGTGCCGCGAGTTGTGAAGGTCGATTGGTGTGCATATCATTCGTCAACGGAACATGTTGCCTCTTCAGTTGTCAAAACCTGTAGTCTCAAGTCAGGTTGGCAGTTTCAGGGAAGAGCTTCCCCATCCTCAGATAAACCTCGCTGTGCCAGCTCTTGAACCCAACTTCGGTGATTGTTGAACCCGCGGCAGGGCGGAATCTGCAACCAGTTTCGTTGATTTGTTGACGCAAGAAAAGATTTGCCTGTTGACTCGAGACCCGCGCAGGCCGTCGTCTAAATGTCATATGTACACCTGGCGCCTGACCTGACAAGGGATCTGGTGCCACCTCCCTCATCATCCACGTTTTCCTGCTCCTCCTCTCACAGTTGCTCATGACGAGCCCTTTGCCTTCGCCAGGCGCTCCGCCTCCAATTCCCTTTCCGCCTGTTGATAGTACTTGGCCGTATCGACGCCGTGTTGGCTGTGATTCACAAAGTTGAACCATGGGAGGACGCCGAAGAACAGCGCCGAGTACCTGGATTGGCGGGCGGCAACGCCCTGCATGGCGGGGGTCAGCTTGCTCTCGCCGTAGAGCGGCTCGCCACGCTTGACTTTGTCGACCATCTCGCGCATATCCATCTCGACCTCGCGGGCGTTTTCGCTCATGCCGTAGAACCGAACTGCAGCCGTGGTTAGTACAATGTTCATTCAACGATGACCTGAGAAAGGCTCCAAAATCTCCCAGCCCACACCCTCCAGCGATCGGTGTTATGTTGAATAGAGGCGCTCGACAGGTAGGTCCGGTTCACGTACGGATGGAGCGCTGGTAGAAATAGAGGAAGCCGCCGGCAACGCCAATAAAGCCGCACAGCCGCATGGCCTGGGCGAACCCGCCCTTGCCAACCTGCGACGGGGCGAACCTCTCCATGGCGTAAAGCAGGCCGGGGCCAGCGGCGGCGGCCACGGCGCCATGCGCGTAGTCGGACGGCCGGGCGTACCGAATCACGCGCTTAAAATGTCTGTCGCATGTAACACAGTTAGAGTCATTCCGTATGAGGAGGGCTGTCGGGGGTATGTATCGGCGGGGGAGGGGACGTACGGGTCATTGTCGATGAGCTGGTTTGAGCGTCAGTCAGTGAGTGCAATTGTTTTCGGATCTTAAACTGTCGACTTACTGGGTACTCGGTCTTGACTGTCTTGCTCGGCCACGAGTACGTTTGGTTTGTGGTGTTCGACATCTTGGCGGCCGACAAGGCGTCGTCGAGGATCGCGATGTTCTGAGCAATTGAGGACCCAATGCCGGTCGAAGCTTTAGACTCTTGGAGTGGACTCACGGGCGCTGCATTGAATTGATGCCTCAGGTTAGTGAGGCGGGCCGAGTCGGTGAACTAGAATGAACTTGGTGGGCCCAGCACCGCCATAGTCGGCGCCACAGCAGAGCTAAGCTCCAGCCACAGCCAGTAACAGACCAATTTCCGTTTGGGACGCGACGCGTTTGGTTTACGAAAGACCGCGTCGAGCAGACCCAAAATCCTTCCCTGCATACCACCAAATTCGCCCTCCAAACAACAAAAAAAAAAGAGAGCAGACCAGGACATGCCATCCAAGACAGTTCCCAAGTCAACTGACTCGGCGGCTCGGGGTAGAGGCAGCAGCAGCTTTGTCAACGATTACCTCGCCGACTGGGACCAAGATGATCCGTTCAGGTCACCCAGCCCGGAGCCTGCCAAGAACGACAACAACGACGGTAGCAAGAAGAAGGATGTGCTGGGAATCGAGAAAGAGCTCGACTTGAAGAGGAAGCCCAGAGCCCCAAGGGTGAAGCTCGACGAGACCCGGTCCGTAGCTTGCACCCGCGCTGGTCGCGGCCCTGGCTGACTCTTCCTGTAGGCTGCTTTCAGATAAGGGCATCCCGAAACTGCGAAAGACGGCACAGAGGCTCAAGTTCAAGGGCAAAGGTCACGAGGTGTGTGACACACTGCCGTCACATCACCCTCCCACACTGACACAGCTAGTACAACGACGCTGCCCGGCTGCTCTCCTTCTACCAGGAATGGCTCGACGACCTCTTCCCAAAAGCTACTTTTCTAGACGCCCTCGCCATGGTGGAGAAGGCAGGCCACAAGACAACCATGCGCAACGCTAGGCTCCAATGGATCGACGAGACCAAGCCTAAGCCCGCAATGGCAGAGGATGAGGAGGAGTACCGAATCCGCCAGGGATCGTCTGCATCGCGGCAGTCGGACAAAATCGCACCGATCTTTGAGAACACTACGAAGGCGACGCAGGGCCGGGCAAGGACGCCTGCCGCGGACGACTTGTTTGAGGACGATGATATCTACAATGCCACGCCACTGCGAAACACCGGCGGCACTGCGCCCTCAAGGCAGTTGGGGAACGATGGCGTTCCGGACGACGATGACCTTGATGCCCTGATGGCCGAAGCTGAGGCAGACTCGGGGAACAGGACACGACCCGCTGCTACTGCCCCGGCCTTCGAAAGCATCTTTGGAAACGGAGCGAGGACTGCAGCCCCAATTTCAGCCGGGGAACCCGATGATGACGATTTGGATGCGCTGATGGCCGAGGCCGAGGCCGAGACGCGTTCTGACCTAACACGGCCTGGTCAGCCAGCGACGGGCGGCAGCATATTCGAAGATGGCAAGTCAAAAAAACAGGCGACCCAACAGGGGGGCAACGATGGAGATGACTTGGACGCGCTCATGGCCGAGGCAGAAGCGGATATTCCGGTCTTTGCTCAATCAAGCAGGACAGGGGAAAAGGTTAGCAACAGCGATATTCAACCTGCAGATGGCAGCCCTGCTATGGACGACGGCGAGGACGATCTCGATGCGTTTATGGCGGAGGCCGAGGCGGGGCTCATTACCACAACACGCCCTTTGAACGGCGCCAATGCCGCTTCGTCAGTGCATGCCGATACTGGGGGACCGATGGCGAGCTTTGAGGACGACGAGGAGGCGATGGCCGAGATGGATGGACTGTGGTAAAGCTGGCGTATGATACTCAAGAGATGTATGTGTCTGTACCGCAGGGAACCGCGACCGCATCAATTACGACCCACATGCCTAATGGTTGACAACCGTGAAGCCAGGACTTCAGCCTGCTTATGGCAGTGGATATCGAACCGCATGGCGTTTTAATCATATCAATAGAGGAATACTGATGTCCCTGAAAAGAACACTAAACATTGAAATCGGCGGCGTCCGGCCGTCGCAACCTAATCCCGAAGCCAGTCCTTTGATCCGAGATCCGAGCCGTTGAAGCCGGCTAGCTTCGGCCCCCACATTTCGGGCTTGGCAGGCAAGCTTCCCCAGCCCAGATAACGACTACATCGTCACTCGCGCGTTGCAGTCAAATGGACTGCGCGAGAGCACAGCAATTGGGACGCGGTTCTGCCATTTGAAAACCAGCACGGCGACTCAATGCTCCGTACGATTATCCCCCGCCTTCCCAGGCGGACTGCATCGGTACGGCCGCCGTCCGCCTTCGTCGCCGGTGCCGTCGGCGTAAACTCGCGACGGCTCTTGTCGGTAAACAGCAGAATGGCCCCTTTGCTGCCACCGCTCGATCCGACGATACCATCCACAACACCCAGCGCATCATACCAGCTTCTCCCGGAGGCACAAAAGGCAGGCCCAGCCGAGGATGCCCTGCACCAACAACAAGTGAAGGAGGTCGAGGCCTGGTGGGCGTCACCCCGGTTCGCCGGCATCAAGCGGGACTGGACAGCTGCAGAGGTAGTGAGCAAGCGCGGATCACTGCAGCAGTCGTACCCGAGCTCTGTCATGGCGCGCAAGCTGTGGAACCTCGTCCGGGAGCGCGAGGCAGCCGGCCAACCGATCCACACGATGGGCGCGATTGACCCGGTCCAGATGACACAGCAAGCGCCGCACCAGGAGGTTCTCTACATCTCTGGGTGGGCATGCTCGTCTTTGCTCACAACCACAAACGAGGTGTCGCCCGACTTTGGCGACTACCCGTACAACACGGTGCCCAACCAGGTGCAGCGCATGTTCAAGGCGCAGAGCATGCACGACCGCAAGCACTGGTTCCTACGATCCCAAATGACGGCCGAGGAACGCGCCAAGGCGCCCTACGTCGATCACTTCCGCCCCATCATCGCCGACGGCGACACGGGCCACGGCGGCCTGACAGCTGTCATGAAGCTGGCCAAGCTGTTCGCCGAGAACGGCGCGGCGGCGGTGCATTTTGAGGATCAGATGCACGGCGGCAAGAAGTGCGGCCACCTGGCGGGCAAGGTGCTGGTCCCCACGGGCGAGCACATCAACCGGCTGAAGGCGGCGCGCTTCCAGTGGGACGTCATGGGCACCGAGAACCTGGTCATTGCGCGCACCGACTCCGAGAGCGGCAAGCTGCTGTCGTCGTCCATCGACGTGCGCGATCACGAGTTCATTCTCGGCGTGGCCGACCCGGCGGTCGAGCCGCTGGCCGAGACGCTCGCGGCCATGGAAGCCAAGGGAGCGTCGGGCTCCGAGGTTGACGCGTTCGAGGCGCAATGGGTCAAGACCACCAAGCTCGTCACGTTCGACGAGGCCGCCGTGGCGCACTTCCAAGCCCACGGCGGCGCCAGCGCGGACAAGATGGCGCAGCAGTACGCCTCGGCCGTCGCGGCCGACCGCGACATGGGCGTCAGCGCCCGGCGCAAGCTGGCCGAGTCCCTCATGCCGGGCCGCCCCGTCTACTGGAGCTGGGACGTGCCGCGCACGCGCGAAGGGTTCTACCACTTCCGCGCGGGCATGGCCGCGGCGACCAAGCGCGCCCTCGCGTTCGCGCCCTACGCCGACATGCTCTGGGTCGAGACGGGCGACCCAGATGTCCGGGTTGCGACGGACCTCGGCCGGGCGGTGCGCTCCGTGTTTCCGGGTAAGCCGCTCGTGTACAACCTCTCGCCGTCGTTCAACTGGATGGCGCACGGGTTCACGCCCGAGGCGCTGAGAAGCTTCATCTGGGATATCGCCAGGGAAGGGTTCGTGCTGCAGCTGGTGAGCCTGGCGGGGCTGCACAGCACGGCGACCATTAGCAGCGAGCTGGCGAGGCGGTTCAAGGGCGAGGGCATGGCCGCGTACGTCGAGATTGTGCAGCGCAGGGAAAAGGAGCTGGGCGTGGATGTGCTCACGCACCAGAAGTGGAGCGGGGCGAGTTATGTGGATGCCGTGCTGGGGCATATCCAGAGCGGAAGCTCGGGGAGCAAGAGCATGGGCGAAGGGAATACCGAGGGGCAGTTTGTATAGTACGGATTTGCCGTGGTAACGCAGACACAGCCTATAACTAAAGCGCATCTCGAGTCAAGGATTAAGTTGTTGAACTGCGTCCGAAAGCGGCAATACCTCTAGCACCCCTGGAAAGAAAATGGTGGGTATCTGTATTTGCCCCTGAAAGTGGTCCCATGACCGCTTATCTTGTTTACTTTATCTGGTTTAACGTTATCTCGACCCCGCCACTCCTCGCAACTCGGTTGACTCCTTACAAAGAACTCAAAAGAAATCATAACTTGAGGTTTTTGAGGCAGACTCGTTGTTGCAATGGCTTCCTCGGGACGTGGCCGTCTGGCTGGTAAGAATGCCGTCATCACGGGTGCTGCAGGGTAAGTCGGATGCAGATCACTGCGATTCCACCCTCTGCATCTCACCAATCAAAGCATGGTCGGGGTTTCTAACATTCCGCAGAGGCATCGGTCTTGAGACCAGCATCTTGTTTGCGAAAGAAGGCGCCAATGTGCTCATGACGGATATTTCGCAGGAGGCGCTGGACAAGGCCGCGGGCAAGGTCAAGCAGCTTGTCCCCGATGCCAGCCGGGTCGAGACCAGGGTAAGAGAAAACACCAATTTCACAAATGATATGGCTGCTCCCGCTGACTTACCCCAGCTCTGCGACGTTTCCAAGGAAGCCGACGTCAAGGCTGCCGTCGAGCACCTCGACTCGTGGGGGGGGCTCGACGTCATGTTCAACAACGCGGGCATCATGCACGCGCGCGACGATGACGCGCTCAACACGCCCGAGGATATTTGGGACCTGACGCACAACATCAACGTCAAGGGCGTCTGGTACGGCAGCAAGCACGCGGTGTTGGCCCTGCGGCGACACGGCAAGAAGAAGGGCAGCATCGTCAACACGGCGTCAGTCGTCGCCCTCGTCGGTTCGGCCACGCCCCAGCTCGCCTACACGGCCAGCAAGGGCGCCGTGCTGGCGCTGACGCGCGAGCTCGCCATCGTCCACGCCCGCGAGGGCTTCCGCTTCAACAGCCTGTGCCCGGCCCCGCTCAACACGCCGCTGTTGCAGGACTGGCTCGGCGACGACCAAGCCAAGCGCCATCGCCGCGAGGTGCATTTCCCAACGGGCCGGTTCGGCGAAGCCGTCGAGCAGGCGCAGGCCGTGGTGTTCTTGGCGAGCGACGAGAGCAGTTTTGTGAACGGGACCGACTTTGTGGTGGACGGCGGCATGACCAAGGCCTATGTCACGCCCGAGGGCCCGGCTGCGCCGCCGCCGGTGAACAATGCGGCCAAGGACAGGTTGGACTAGTGAAGATAAGAAAGGAGGTTTAGTCAGAGGCACCCTTGGAGCTGAAAGCATCTCGATTTTCTGAGCCAACATCAATATATACCCCTGGCATTTAGATTCTAGCTTGCGTACTCTCAATGCATCAACGATCTGTCACCAACTCGGGAAAGGATCGAAGAGAAACTCCCTAACAGGAGTGCAACCCGCCTCGCTCGCTGCGCGGTGTCTTCCGTACCTTGCGCCAACACGTTATCCATGTTCGTTCCAGTTAAACTACCTACCTTACCTTAGGTACCTTGTGCAGCCAGGAACACACGGGAGGCCTGCTAAGGAGTGGTCCGTTCCACGACCAGAACCGAATTGACCTGGCAATCCGTTCATAGTAAAGAGGCTCGAGAATTTCAGCGTACAAGTGATATTGCCATTCGAATGTCACAGAACACTGTGACGGAAGTTGCAAAGGGAAGAAGATAATTCCGCCTAGTAACACACTGTCCTGCTGTGGTCCACGGGCACTGTGGCGATCAAAGCTTCCTGAATCAACCCCGCCAGACAGCTCACAACGAAGCCCCGCTGGTACGTACTTTGGAGCTGTCAACAATACCTGGCAGCGATTACTACCATGGTTTGCGTGGACATGCATCTAAAACGCCGTCGCTGACACAACCTCAAATTTTGCATCGTTTTGTTAACGAAGCAATCTCCTTCTGCGGAGCTTCCAGCCCTGCACCGCCATCATCATGGCGTCGGGACTCAGCGAGGCCATGCAGAGGCTGCATCTCGACGGCGACGCCCCGTTCGACGCCATCGATGACATCCTCGACAGAACAGTCACCCCCGAGCCGCGGCCACCACAAGACCCCGACCAGCTGCGCGCCGAGCTCGAGGCGAAATACCTGACCCCCTCCACAACGTTCTCGACCGATTGGCTCGACAAGCTGCAGCAGCGCTGGGATACCCCGACCGACTACGCGCTCCTCTTCCGCCTCGCCCCGACCCAGTCCCGCACCGTCACCCGCTTCATCCGCCATGGCCTTGAGGGCCGCGTCACGGGCTACCGCAACGTCACGGTCCCGGCCTCGCACGCCACCGCCAAGTCGAGCACCTCGATGCTCCGCAAGCCCGCCGGCCGAGCCGACTTTGTGCGCGGCGCCGCCGGCTTCTTCCCCTTTGCCCCCGGCGGCCTCGACGGCGTCGAGTCAGCCGCCGCGTTCGAGGACCAGCTGCGGGCCTCGTCGGCTGGTGCTGCTGCCGAAGACGCGGATAGCAGGAAGAAGCTAGAGAAGGTCATCCGGCTTGGCGAGGGTGGCCTGCTCGAGGTTGCTCCGGGGCTGGATCGGGGGATCGACTTCAGCAAAAGGAGGAGGCTTGCCGATGCCGAGAGCGAGAGGCAGGCTAAAGAGGTAGAGGAGGTGCTGGACCAGGAACCCGAGGCTGCGCCTGGTCGGGAGGAGGACGAAGTGGGGGAGAGACCGGGTGTTAATGGCGCGGAAGGGGAGGAGGATGAAGATGAAGAGGAGGAGGTAGAGGACATTGACTCTATTCTTCCCGTCGAGTTCCCCGCTCTCGAGCCTCGTGGGACACTCGCCGCATCCAGCGCTAGGAAGGCTGGCCGCGAGTGGGCGCACATGGTCGACATCAAGCGGGAGATGCCCAACTTCCGGGAGTTGGTGCCGGATATGGCCAGGGAGTGGCCTTTTGAGCTGGATACGTTCCAAAAGGAGGCTATCTACCACCTTGAGAACGGCGATTCCGTCTTCGTTGCGGCACACACTTCGGCAGGCAAGACGGTCGTGGCAGAGTATGCCATTGCACTGGCCGCGAAGCACATGACCAAGGCCATCTACACGTCGCCGATCAAGGCGCTGAGCAACCAAAAGTTCCGCGATTTCAGGCAGACTTTTGCCGAGGTCGGCATCCTGACGGGCGACGTCCAGATCAACCCCGAGGCCAGTTGTCTCATCATGACTACCGAAATTCTGCGGAGCATGCTTTACCGCGGCGCCGACCTTATCCGAGACGTTGAGTTTGTCATCTTCGACGAAGTGCACTACGTGAACGACTTTGAGCGTGGCGTGGTGTGGGAGGAGGTCATCATCATGCTGCCGGAGCACGTCTCCCTGATCCTGCTCTCCGCGACCGTACCCAATACTCACGAGTTCGCCTCGTGGGTCGGACGGACAAAGCAGAAGGACATCTACGTGATATCGACGCCCAAGCGACCCGTTCCCCTGGAGCACTATCTCTGGGCTAACAAAAACATTTACAAGATTGTCGACTCAGAGAAGAAGTTCGTCGAAAAGGGTTGGAAGGATGCCAACGCGGCCATCCAGGGCAAGGATAAGCAGAAGTCGCTTCCACCAGCAGCAGCACCGCCGGCTCGCGGTGGAGCAAACGGGAGAGGTGGCCGCGGCGGCGCCCAGAGGGGGGCCAACCAGCAGCGTGGTGGGAGAGGCGGCAACCAGCAACGTGGGCGAGGGGGGCCTCCTCGTGCTAGCCATGCTCCAGGTCACATGGGCCGGGCAGGGAGACCTGGCGGGTTCAGCTCGGCCGCCCAGGATAAGAACCTCTGGGTTCATCTGGTGCAGTTCCTGAAGAAGCAGAGCCTGCTTCCCGCCTGCATCTTCGTCTTCTCCAAGAAGCGGTGCGAGGAGAACGCGGATGCGCTGAGCAACCAGGACTTTTGCACGGCTCAGGAGAAGAGCGCCATTCACATGATCATCGAGAAGTCGGTTGCCCGGCTGAAGCCCGAAGACCGAGTCCTGCCTCAGATTATCAGACTGAGGGAGCTGCTCTCCCGCGGTATCGCTGTCCATCATGGCGGGTTGCTACCCATTGTGAAGGAGCTTGTCGAAATCCTGTTCGCCCAGACTCTGGTCAAGGTGCTGTTTGCTACCGAGACCTTCGCCATGGGCTTGAACCTTCCTACCAGGACCGTCGTCTTCTCCGGGTACAGAAAGCATGACGGCCACCAGTTCCGCAACCTCCTTCCCGGAGAATACACTCAGATGGCTGGCAGAGCAGGGAGACGTGGTCTCGATACAGTTGGGTCGGTCATCATTGTCCCTCCGGGCGGGGACGAGGCACCTCCCGTCACGGATCTGCGTCAGATGATACTGGGCGAGCCTAGCAAGCTCCGGTCGCAGTTCCGGCTCACCTACAACATGATTCTCAACCTGCTACGTGTCGAAGCGCTCAAGATTGAGGAGATGATTAAGCGTAGTTTCTCCGAGCACGCCACCCAGCAGCTCTTGCCCGAGCATGAGAAGGCGGTCAAGCTGTCCGAGGCCGACTTGGCAAAGGTCAAGCGGGACCCGTGCCCGGTCTGCGACGTCCACATGGACGAGTGCCACCAAGCCGGCGAGGACTACAAGCGCCTGACCGAGGAGCTGTACCGCCTGCTACTGGTCAACCCCATCGGGCGGAAGATGTTCACGCCGGGGCGGCTGATTGTGTGGATGAAGGAAGGCGTGCGCACGCCCGGCATCCTCCTCGCCGAGGGCGCCAGCGTCAAGAGCAGTGCCACGAACCCGACGCTGCATGTCCTCGAGATCAGGACGCATCGCGAGAACCGCAACGACACGGATATCCTTCCTTTTGTGCCTGCGTTGCGGAAGCACCTCACCCCATTGCCCCAGGCCAAGAAGCACATCTCAACTAAGACGTTGCATGTGCCTATTAGCGACCTTGTATGTCTCACGAAACACGTTACCAAAGGTGTTCTCCCCGATATCTTTGGCGGCGGAGAGGGCCACGCCAAGGCGAAGGAGAAGCTGCACCACATCTGCCGGTCCTGGACCTCGGATATCTGGGACGAATTGGAGCTGGGGCGGATCAGGAACCTCGCGGTGCACGACGTTGCGAGCAAGCGGCGCGAGGCCGAGATCAAGGTTGTCAAGTCGCCCACTGCGGCCGAGTGCAAGTCGTTTTTGAAGCACTACGCCATGTGCCACGACCAGTGGCTCATCCAGACCCACATCCAGCAGCTGCGGCAGACGCTCTCGGAGCAGAACTTGCAGCTGCTGCCCGACTACGAGCAGCGCATCCAGGTGCTCAAGGATTTGAGCTTTATCGACGACGCCAGCCGCATCCAGCTCAAGGGCAAGGTCGCCTGCGAGATTCACTCGGGCGACGAGCTTGTCCTGACGGAGCTCATTCTCGAGAACGTGCTGGCCGACTACGAGCCCGCCGAGATCGCCGCCCTGCTCTCGGCCTTTGTGTTTCAGGAAAAGACCGAGTCGGTGCCCCGCCTGACGGCCAATCTGGAGAGGGGCATGAAGACCATCGTCGACATTTCGGAGCGGGTCAACGCCGTGCAGACGCTGCACCAGGTCATCCAGACGAGCGAGGAGAGCAACGATTTCGTGTCCAAGCCCCGCTTCGGACTGATGGAGGTCGTATATGAGTGGGCGAGGGGTATAAGCTTTAAGAATATCACTGATCTGACCGATGTGCTGGAGGGCACGATTGTCCGGACGATCACGCGGCTGGACGAGACGTGTCGTGAGGTGAAAAATGCGGCGAGGATTATTGGCGACCCGAGTCTGTACCAGAAGATGGCGGCCGCGCAGGAGATGATTCGGAGGGATATCACGGCTGTGGCGAGCCTGTATATGTAGTAGGCACTATCTCCGGACCATGTCGAGGACGTGTGGTGATTCATTATGCTTTGGAGGATGCGCTCCGTTCCGTTCGGGTTATTTAATGTGGGAAGATAAAAGGCCATGAGCATCGCACAAGTGTTTGGCGCAATTTCAGTACCTAGCCTGAGAAATCAATACAGAGAGAGTTCTCCATGTTGTATGAGTTAAGGTGGGCATGCTCTGGAACACCGAGAGATCGCCGCCCTGAGAGAGGTATGAAAACAAAAAGCAAATGCCTTGTATCTCAGTACTACGAATACCTCTATTACCCCCCAAAAAAACAAACAAACAAAGAAAGAAAGAAAGAAAGGGCCCTGGCGTCAGACGCCTGAAGACTTGATGCCAATATCGCCGCGTCCTAAGAAACCTCCTGCCACCTCGCGCCCTAACGCCCTTACAGTATATTCCTTCGCCTGCGTAAAGAGGACCGCCCCAGCAAAAGATTTGCCCTCCATTGGACATGATCCCTGATTCCCCGCTTCTGGAAACCAACATAACCGGCCCCTCCCATCGAAAGTCGTTCTTATTCTACCAGCATTATCCCGCGCCCATTTCATCAAGCCCATGACACCTCCATCACGCCCGCAAGGCCCTCAACCGCTGTTGCAGCGCATCCTCGACCTCGGCCGTCGGCTCCGCCGGCTCCTTCACAGGGTCGACCTTGCTCGTACTAGCCTGGTTCAGCTCCTGGCCCAACTCCAACCCGGCATCGTCCGCCAGCTTGCCCAGCAACTCCTGCACGGCGTCGTCGGTCACCGTGACCGAGGTATTCTGCGTCATGGCGTCTTGGTAAATGCCGTTGTTGACGGCGTACTCCTCGTTTTGCGCGCGGAACTGCTCCAGCGTCAGGAGCGTCCGCTCCGGGTTGGCCTGCCGCTGTGCGCGCTGCATCGTGCGCGAGGATTGTGCCATCATGGCCGTCATGCGATTCATGGCGTTGTTGGCCTGGATTTGTGCGAGCGAGAGCTCGGCCATGTCGGCAGCCTGATCCATTTGCGCTGCGATAGCCTGCTTGGCCAGGAGCATGCGGGCTTTTTGGGCGGCTTGGGCTGTTTCGCCTTTCTTGAGAAGCTGTGATGCGAGCGAAGAATGGATGGGTTAGCGTCGGCGGGGAGGAAGGGGGTTTTAAGGTGTTGGTGTGTCGAGTCGTACATTTTGGATCTGCTTCTTCAACTCATTGTCCTGCTTGGCAGCCTTTTGGGCTTCCCGACGGGCTTGTTTGGCATTAAACTGCTCGACTATGTCAGACACACTGGTGGGTGAATCATGTCACCTCTGCTCTGGTTGCGACGACGACTGCTTGGAGGGAAAGCGCAGGGTTGAAGGAGCGAGCGTACCCGGGCCTGGAACTCGGTTTGCATGTCTCGGGCAAGCTGTCGATTGGCCATGGTGATTGTTGACCTGCTGCAAAAAATTCGATAGGCTCCTCGGCGAAGAAAAGTGACCCTGAGTTGTTTCTTAGGGACGGCGTTTGATGGATAGGTAAGGACAAGCAGCGCCATCAGGCTGACTGATTGCTGGCATTCGAGGCCAGGGTCGGCTGAAAGCCGGGCGCATGGAACACGGGAATGGTGGGGCACTGTGGCCCCCATGACGCACCAATTTGTGGCTGGTGAGCCGGCATCGCGCTAACCCTCGGCTCTTCTTATCACTTCCACGCGAGAAGAACGCACTTCATGCCCAAAGTGGGTATAAGTGGGCCGTAGCAAGCCACAACACTGGCCCGCAGTCGAAGGCATGGATGAGCCCGGTAGACTTTTCGAGTGTTGAAAGAGTATTTTTTTCACCGTTCTCTCTTCGCCTGCGATCTTTACAACCGAAAGGTTTTCCCTCCTCTAGCAGATACCAGGCGACCATTACTACAGCGAACAGCGAGCAGCGAGCAAGCGAGAGGCTTCACCATGTCGGCAATGCGGAAGCACAACGTCACGACCTTCCCTCGTCCGCCAATTGTGGAGAGGACGAACCGTCACATCCAGATCAAGTGGCATGGCCAGCTATTAGCCGACTGCCCGCCGGGCGAGGCTTACTGGGTGCTCGAGGCCCATCACGCTCCAGGTTAGTAGCTCCCTATTTGGGTTCCTCCCTCTCCATCTGACGCCTGTCTCTTCCCTGACGGCCACCCTGAAAAAATTTGTTTCTCGGTGTCGTGACTGACTTTCCTCCCTTTCTGATGCAGTCTACTACATCCCGCCCCAACGAGTCCGGTTGCCCCTCTCGACCACACCTCGGTCGACCTTCTCTGAGTTCCATGGCGCCGCCACATACTATGCCATCATGAGCCCCATCTCGGCCGCCGAGATCATCCACAACCGCATCTGGTCGTACAACGAGCCGCCCAAGGAGTACGAGGCTATCAAGGGCTATCTCGCCTTTTATGTCGGGCCCTGGGAGTGCTATGTTGACAACGAGAGGGCCCACGCGCCGCCGGGCGACTACTACGGCGGCTGGGTCACGAGTGATATCGAAGGCCTCGTAAAGCCACCTCACCAGTGGGGAACCGGTTGGGACGCTGTCTTCTAGGGTGGTGATTGGGGAGAGAAGGAGGGGAGGCAAATTTTCACACACCGCCGCCGCTATCTCTGGAGATAGCTCGGGGCGGTCAGCATGTTCGGTGTCTGAGGCGTTGGGAAACGGTCCATAACACATCGGGGGGGCATTGGGCTAGGGCGAGGTACAGTGATAGACGGAATCGGAGTAGAAAAAGTGTTTTTTTTGTGTCCACAGTTTGAAACATTCGGTGGGATGAGCTGTGATCCCGTGAGCAAGTTGTCTGGCGGGTTCTTGATAGCCAGCGAGTTGCCGAACTGTCCGGAAGGGAACATGAAAGGGAGGTCCGAAGCATGGCAACTGTACTGCACAGCACCCTCGAAAGAGCCCACAGTTGCGCACATGTCGCCGTACCTGAGGAGGACTTGGTGCCGCTTGACACGACTATTTAATGTGTAGCAGTACCCCAGACTCCCATCATCCACACCTGCGAACGAGCGGGTTGCGACGATGGCTCCATCAATCTTTGTCCCCACAGAACCTCTGAAAATGGAAACGAGGTGGAAAGAAAATGGAAGGAAGGGAGTTGTGGGGGCCGGGAGGAACTGTCCGCAAGGACAAAAAGGAGGCCAGGGATGGCGGGCCGGCTGTTGAAGGGGATCTGGGGTCGCAATGGAACGAAACGCACTTGCGCGCTCTGCCAGCTGAGAGTTGCGGTGGGGGAAGGAGTCGGAGAAAACGACCGGCCGGGGTTTTCTTGGTCCACGCAAACCCGACTTCGTACCTCGTGGCTCTGGCCTCGACCCACTTGCGACTCGAGGCCGCGCTGCGAGCTGTTGTCGTCTGTTCCGCTGCGAATGGAAGGTGCTGTTATGGATAAGTGTATGGACGCAAAAGCTTCCAGCGTCAGCGCAAATCATACGACAGAGATGCCTTCGTCTTTTGAGGTGAGGGAAAAGTTAAGAAACCAAGGAAACTGGGAGTGTTGTTGGGCGGTGGGCGATGCCGCCTCAAGCACTGCGCCGCACCATCACGCACGTGCCGCCAAGGAGTGGCGACGCTAATATTCAGGGGTTTCGGATCTCGGTCACCGATCAACTCCCTGAGACGCTGGGGATAAAGCCCGGCTTGGCATCCCTTGCACATTAAGGCATTCACCTTCCCATTTGGCCCCGGACTGTTCAGTTGTCTACCTTCTGGAACAGAACTTCAACGGTGAACCAAGCCCTCGACGAGCCGATGGAGCACGGACATAGGAGTCCTCAAATGTTCGGTTTTCACGTAAAGAGCAACGGCTGAAAATGCTACGCATGTCGGGTGCCAAAAAAGGCTGACGGACCTCGCATGCAGGACGCAGTAAGCACGGAGGCTGAGTGGCTGTCAACGAGTAGAAGAGACAACAAAACTGTCCGCCGAACGTCTCTCCTGCCCGTGTCTCGTCTGGACGGGATGCCATACTCCATATTGCAAGAGAATTGGATGTAAGTGGATTTGAATGTTCAGAAATACGCTACCTGGTCAGGTTGACTGCCGGTTATAGTCCGGGGAAAATCAGCCTGATTTGCCGCAGTTGTTGGCTGCCAAGCTTTCCCCATCCTTCCGCTCTTTATTGCGGATTCTCCAAAGATAGAGGGTGTGCCACTGGCATGGCAAGAAGGGGACTTGAATTGCTCGCTGCTCAATGAAACCTTGAGAGACGAATACGGAGGAGACGGCGGGCCATGTAATGAGAATCTGGACGTACGAAAAATAATGGTATCTTTGTAAGTTGCTGCGACCGGATCAGACATGTCTCGGCAAGGACTCGCCATTGCACCCGCTGCTTCATCCTTTCCCCCTCCGAAATCAACGCGGGACGGCGGACACGCCATCACCGTCGGAGGTTGCCTGAAGTGGAATGCGGTGGAGGTTATGCTAAGATTAGCTTTCCAGCGACATCACTGGTGGATGGCTTCGAGTGTGGATAGGGGTAAGGTAATCGGCGCAGTCAGCAGAGTCGCTTGAGACGCAGAGACGTTGCCCTGCGTAAGCCGCGGGTCCCCTTGGGTGAGGAGAGATCCTCCCTGGGTTCAAATGGAGGAAAGACGGCTGAATTAACAGCCCCGAGTTTTGCCGTGTCTCAGCGGGTTAACGGGATGAGGAAATGGCATGTTTGGCTTTGTCCCTCGCTGCGTCTCTTCCTATGAGAATCGGTGGGAACGCTGGTTCCAGCCCCTGAACTCGGAGCCGATGGAGGCTGTGGGTCCGTGGAAACGCTCGGGTTCCCGCCCGAATCCCCTTGTGCTTTCCTTGTTTGGGAACTCGGATGTCGCAGCCTTTCCGGGCTCGTGTGACAAAAATTGGCCCAATCAACGCAGCATGCGCTTCCCGTGCCCCATGTTTCTGCCTCAGGCATCCAACCCATTTGGCCAACGTGGCCAGAACATAAAGGAAGCCTGGAGCCCCGTCAACAACCAGCGCCGTCCCAGCTGTTCACCAAGAAAGCCAAACTGTCCTTTTCGCCAACACAACCAACCACCGAGTTCGCTCAAGTCGACAGGGTTGAGCTGAGTCACGGATGGACTCGTCATGCGCAATGCGAATCCCCTGACATCTCTTCTGACATAATACTTGGTATTGAGGAACTGGGAAGGCGCCTCAATATTACAGTCAGCCTCAGCCCTTCAGCGCTCTGCAACCCTGCTTCGCTCTTTGTCAACTGGCAAACAACCCACCAAAGAACGAATTCAGTCAACTCGCAGATATCGCACAAGTCCTCCTACAAGGTGTAAGGTCTAAACCACCATGGCCGAAATGCATTCCTGGAACCCCTCGGCGTCGTCGCCAAACGTCAAATTCGAGGGCTCGCCCACCGAGTCGGTGCTCTCAGCCCCCGAAGAGATATACCCCTCTCTGTTTGGCACCAGCCCCGCCCCGACGACCACGGTCAATCCCCTCGAGATGATGTCCCCTCCCGAGTCCATCTCCGGGGAGAGCCAACCCGACCTGACCATGCTTGCCGGCCTGACGGCCCTGACACAAACCACTCTGGCCCGGTCAGAAGCTCCTTCGGCTTCTCCCCAGCCGGAATCGGAGAAGAAGCCGGTCAAGAAGAGGAAATCATGGGGCCAAGTTCTCCCAGAGCCCAAGACCAACCTGCCCCCCAGGTATGCAATGCCAATGCCGAATCTAGCCCATGGCTGCTTTATGCTGACCCATTGAAAGGAAACGCGCCAAGACCGAGGACGAGAAGGAACAACGCAGAGTCGAGCGCGTCCTTCGCAACCGCCGAGCCGCGCAATCGTCGCGTGAGCGGAAGCGCTTGGAGGTAGAGGGTCTGGAGCGGAGGAACAAGGAGCTCGAAGCGGCACTCCTTCAAGCCCAGCAAATCAATCTCACTCTCCTCGAGGAGATACAAAAGTTCCGGCAGGGCGGAGTAGTCGTGAGCAGAACCTCGCCGTCATTCGACGGACTCCGCCAGACCCCTGTCACATTATCACAGCAGCTCTTCGGCTCTCAAGACGGCCATGGCGCCGCGATGGGTGCCGGCAGCTCGTTGGAGCAGCTCTTCCAGTCTATTCCATCTACCGCCAACAAGACGGTTAATCCGGCCTCGTTGTCGCCCGCCTTGACTCCGATTCCTGAGGCGGCTGAGGAGCAAGTCGAGCCCGCGGCAACTAAAACTCCTGTTGCCGACGTCACTTCCACGGCCCAGGCCAGTGCTTCCCCCGATGCGACACAACATCCTGCAGAGATGTTGTGGCAAGACCTGCAGTGTCGGTCGGCGGAAGCACCACCCTTGGCGTGGCAGATGACGTTGCAGCAACAGCTGCACCCAGCACTGGCGCTGCTCCTCCCGCTCCAGTTCCTTCTAGCCTCCACCTCAGCGATTCTTTCTCTATGCCAGAGGCCCTTGATGCAGATCGCTATCTCCTTGAAAGCGGGCTCCTCTCTTCCCCCAACTCAGCCGATTATGAATACGATCATCTGGCTGGTGACGACACCACACCGTTCGCGTTCACAACCGAGTTCGACATCAACGAGTTCATCACCGACGGCGAGCTCAACGTCGCGCCCAGCAACGAACAGCAGCCGCAGCAGCTCTACAGCCGCTCCGTCGCAGACTCGTCCCTCCTCCACCCTGAGACTCCGAACCCTTCGGAAGATCCTTACCTGCAGCCCCACTCTGGCGCGTCCCTTGATGGATGCGACGATGGAGGTATTGCGGTTGGCGTCATCTGAGGGACACGCGGTCGACCGGGTTTCGGGAGACGACGAGTCGGCGGGGGCAGCAGCTGCCGGAGACTCGCAGCGGCAGTTGCCTCGTCGCGGGCCGACTACCGGCTGGCTGAAGGGAGCCGCCCTCCCGTCGAAGGAGGTCTTACTCGCCCTGTTGTGGGTCCTCAGAGTCGAACAGCGGAGACCAAAAATTCGCGACCAAGTGAAGGCTTCTCTGAAGCCCGGAACGTCCAGTGTCCCCAAGACATTAACACCAACAGTGAACAAGACGACGTACGTCTTGAAAGTATCACATAAGCGAGCGAGCGAAGAAGCAGGACATGGCGCTTTCCTTAAGAAGCGGCGCTTTCAATGAGGGATTTGTATGATTCAATTTTGGAATGGCATAGCATGGCGAAAAGGGATCCTGGAGGTGCTATCTGGCAGGCGTTGATTTACTGAGCGTGCGTTGCCGCTTCGAGCCTTGAGTATTTGTGTATTGTTTCTCTGGACAATCGAACTTGTCTTGGCCTTCGACCTACCTGGTCTTTCTACCTGTTGATTCTGTGCCTGGGTGTGCAAATGCTTGGCTCTACGGTCCCAGTTTGTATTCGGTGTTGACTGCTCAATACAATCTGCATCTTCAAGCAACATTAGGTCCTACCAGGCTTTTGAGAATACAAGACTGGTACTTGGCCTTAAGTCCACCGATACCATACCATTGCTCGCCGAATCTCAGCCCGGTCTCTGTGGTCGATTTAGCAAGATAATTGGGTTGCCGAGTTAGTCCAGTGTTGCCTTGAAAACGCCGTTTTCGTCAACAAACTCCAAGCATAAGGAAGTGTCCGCATTGCTGGAAGGAGACCTATGGCAAGTCTGTCTCCATCAAAGAAAGCACAACATTGGACATATACAGCTGCTAGAACTGGAAGCATCCGGGTGGAGAGAAAGGTAAATAGATACCTGCTGTGTCAAGGATACCGTAGTACACTTGCTCGTAGCACCAGGAGGATCTCAGTCACCTCACAATACGTAAGGTACCCGAACCTAAGTGAGAAGCCATCTGATTGCCTATAGTCCGCCCACTGGTTGCTGACGACAAGGATTGACTGACCAAGTCAATCCGAACTTGACGTGAGTAAGTGGTTCTCTTGCACGAAACGATCTCTTGCCCCGGACCACCACGGGGCTGACGGGTGTATAAGACCGCGGAGTTCGTGACTTTCGTGCCAGGGTCACAAGAGCATTGTAGTATCTGGCGGCGCCGCGGCATCGGGCACCCTGTCGTTCCCTTTGATTCTCCAGCCGTCTGGAATCGATGTCTCACTCTCTCTCAGAGAAAAGGCGAAAGAGAAGTTTGGGGAAAGATAAACGGCGACCCCAACTCTATCCCTTGTGGATCTCGACTTCAATCTCCCCGGGGCCAGCGGGCGGGGAGGGGGGCGGATTGACTAAAGTGTGGAAGTTAGTTAGAGGTGTCATGTAGAATATCACGGCACCCTCGCAAAACAATTGGAATGTATCGCACATGCGAGACATAGTCACGTTGCTGGCGACTAGGGCAAGGTAGGTTTCTTCCTATAATTGCTATCAACGCAGAATATGCACTGCTGCAAGGCACAAGTCTAACAGTTGGACTTGTCACTGGGCACACCGACTTGAGACAGGGCAGCTGAAAGAAATCTTGCATTTTCATTGTCGTCGCCGCTGCGGTTTTTCCATTCCCACCAGGCATCGATTTCTGGGCTCCCACCTTCTTCCAAATTCCCACCTTGAAAGTCTCAAATACCAGATTCTCGCCAGGTCCCAACACTTCAACACACAGTAAGCCGCGACAACGACACTCGCACATGATTTATTTCTTGGTCTCAATGCGCAGCACTGCCTGCACCTCGCCAAGCGCAGCGGTTTCTGCCTGCTGGCAGCCTGTCACCCCGCCAATCGCGCATCCGAGTCCGACGGATACTTGCGTATCTCGAGCATTAGGTGACTCCCCATGCAGCCCATTGCCGGTTGAGGCTGAGATAACCTCCCTGAGCTATGTAACGTGTTAAGCTATCGCGCCGACCACAGTTGACGCTATTAATAGACCTCTCCGCCACGACGGTCTATCTGTCCATCGGGCTGGAACCGCGACGGGACGGATGTTTCCGGAACCGCTACGAGGCAAACGAAGGGAAAAATGGTCAGTGGTCGCAGAGTGTCACGAGGATGTCAATTTTTGGTTGTTTCTGATGTTGATTGTGTTCTGTGTTCTCAACTGTCCGATGTTCCAGACAGCCTCCAGGGTGTCTATCACCAGCCACATGTGCGTCCGTCTTGGCACCCCTGAATCAGGGTTCACGTTCCAACAGATGTATCCCATCAAATCTCAGTGGACAGCGCCTCCTCTCCGCCGCCGCCCATGACGCACATGCAAACAACAAGGCGGCCGCAGCCCATCCCCGCATCGGCCGTAGTGTTGTATGCCTTGGCTGGGGTCTGCTTCTCCGACAGCTGCGGAGTTATCAACCAATGAAGCCGTACCCCGCGAATAAGGTAATGATGACGGTAAGGCTGAAGATCAAAGGATGCACAGCCCGTTGAGAACCACAAGATCGAGATCGGTTACGTAACGACGGTGCTGGTTTCCATTGGGCAGAGTGGCCATGCGCACCTTCCCCAGCTTTCGGCATTGCCTGATGGTGGGTTGCACACCACCGGCCCTGGCTGACTTGACCAGACCACCAACAACTGAACAGTTGCCGGCGATAACACGAGCGAGCAGATGGAGAAGAGAAACTGATCGAAAGCAGCCCAGAGGCAAAGGAAACTACCTCGGGAACAAGAAAGCTAGGTCACTCGGAGTCCATCTCGGACTTCCTCTCTCCCAGCCTTGACCAAGCTTTGCAGCAGTAAGGGCTGCCTCATGAGACACTCCACGCTTGACACGGAAGCTCCTCGGCTTTGGCCAAGAACCATGACCATGCCGATGGTCAAGATTCCGCTCTACCAAACGGGATGGGCTAGAGCCGCTCCAGCAATCCGCCCGCCTGTCTTCCTAACGGATACGGTCCTGCGGTTCTGTGGACAACGCCTCTCCTGGCAAGTGCCAGTGCTCTGAATTCCCTTCACTGTGTCGGTGGCCACACTTCCTTGCGGCTGCAACTGCGCCCCATCCCGGACGCCCTCCGACAGCACGGCTGATCTAGTCACTTAACTGTGCTAGCCTCCGAAACGGCACGTTGGCTCCTATTGCCAGTTGCCAGCAATACGGAGTGTCCCGCCGGTGCCCATCATGAGCGACTCAAGACACGACACGCCGGCCTCTCAAGTCGAAAGTGGCAGTGTCGATATCATGATTGGAGTTATTCCTGGCAGCGAAATGGCTGGCCACCATGGCGTCGGAGAATATCCCCAATGCCGGATGGAGTGGAAGTCGAGTGTGAGAACGACGTGTATAAATCTCAGTCTTTACGGGCATGCGCTCACTTGCCGTCTCATCTCTCCATATCACCCCCAACCCCCTTTTCTCCTATATCTATACCACGTGGAAGCTCCCTTCGTTTGACATCCGGGTGCAGCACCCCGGCCCCTTCCCTCACACTATGCTTCACAGTACATTATTCCTTGCTCTCGTCGTAGGAGGAGCGGTATCATCCCCCACAGGCCCCCCTCACTGCACCGGCGGTGATTGCGGAGGCAAGTGCGGCGACGGGTAAGTAAGCTTCTCATCACCTACTTCAATCAGCCTCCATTTGCCTCGCTCCCGTCTTGAACCTTGAACAGGTCTTGGCTAACAACATCAAAGCATCGTCCAAGCGCCCCACGAGCAGTGCGACCTCGGCGCCAAGCTCAACGGCGCCCTCAACAGCGGCTGCAGCGTCGACTGCCAGATCATGCCTGTCTGTGGCAATTCCCAGGTCGAGACTGGCGAGGAATGCGATTTTGGCAAGGACTTGAACGGAAATCCAGGTTCTGGCTGCACCGTTGACTGCAAGAAGTGTGCGGTCTGTGGCAACAGCCAAATTGAGGGCACTGAAGAATGCGACGTTGGCCCTGACAACGGCAAACCTGGCTCTGGATGTACTGCAGACTGCAAAAAATGCCCGGTCTGCGGTGACAGCAAGGTTGAAGGCACTGAAGAATGCGACCTCGGCTCTGACAACGGCCAGCCCGGCTCCGGGTGCACCATCGACTGCAAGAAGTGCCCGGTGTGCGGTGATGGCAAGGTTGAAGGCGACGAAGAGTGCGACCTGGGAACTGAGAACGGCAAGCCCGGCTCTGGCTGCTCTGCCGATTGCAAGAAACCCATACCGCTCTGTGGCGATGGCATACTCCAAGATGGAGAGGAATGTGACGACGGCGAAAACAACGGCAAGCCCGGTTCAGGGTGCACTATTGACTGCAAAAAGTGCCCAGTTTGCGGCAACGGGCAGGTGGAGGCCGGCGAGGAGTGTGACCTGGGCCTGGACAACGGAAAGCCGGGGTCTGGCTGCAATGCCGATTGCACGCTGATGGGTGAGTGCGGCGACGGCATCGTTGAAGACGGCGAGGAATGCGATCTCGGCATCAAGAACGGCGAGCCCTGCTCCCGGTGCTCGGCCCATTGCACGAAGACTCCCCCTTGTTCCTGCGGCAATGGCATACTCGAGCCGGGTGAGGAATGCGACGAGGGTCCTAACAATGGTGCGCCCGACTCAACATGCTCAAAGGACTGCAAGGAGACCCTGCCCTGTGTCTGCGGTGACGGCAAAGTCGACCCCGGCGAGGAATGCGATGAGGGGCCCAACAACGGCGAACACGGTTCGACTTGCTCGAAGGACTGCAAGAAGTACCCCCCTGATGTCTGCGGCGACGGCAAGGTCGACCCCGGTGAAGAATGCGATGAGGGGGCTAATAACGGCGAGCCAGGCTCGATTTGTTCGTATCACTGCAAGAAGTACCCCCCTGATGTCTGCGGCGACGGCAAGGTCGACCCCGGCGAGGAGTGCGATCTTGGTGAAGTCAACGGCGAGCCCAACTCTGGTTGCTCTGCGGATTGCAGGAACGCGCCGGTTTGCGAATGCGGCAATGGCAAGGTCGAACCGGGCGAGGAATGCGACCTTGGCGACGCCAACGGTCAGCACGGCTCGGGCTGCTCCGAAAACTGCAAGGTGGTACCCGTATGCGGCAACGGAAAGCTTGAGCCCGGCGAGCAATGCGACGCCGGCCCGCTCAACGGAGCCTACAACAGCGGGTGCGCGTCGGACTGCACGCTCTGCGGCTACTGCGGCGACGGCGTCGTTGACACCTCGCAGGAGCAGTGCGACTTGGGCTGGCAGCTGAACGGGTCCCCCGGCGCATCCTGCTCCGACAACTGCACCACGATCAACCCCCCTTGCGGAGAGTGTGGCGACGGCATCGTCCACCCCGGCGAGCAGTGCGACGATGGCGCCGACAAGAACGGCCAGCCCGGCTGGCGGTGCGGCGAGGACTGCAAGTGGGCCTCGGGCCCCAGCTGCGGCAACGGAGTCACCGAGTGGCCCGAGGAGTGCGACGACGGCGCCGACCTCAACGGCACCCCGCACAGCAGCTGCGCTAGCAATTGCACCCTGACGACACCCTGCGGCCCTCCCCACCCCCCGGTCTGCGGCAACGGCATCGTCGAGTACCCCAGCGAGGAGTGCGACGAAGGGTGGTACATGAACGGCCGGCCGGGCAGCAACTGCACCACCGACTGCCGCAAGACAAAGTGCGCCCACCACCACCAACAACCAGACTGCCACCCGGACCCGCCTCGCTGCGGCGACGCCAGGGTGGACGAGACAGCCGGCGAGGAGTGCGACGACGGGGAGCTCAACAACGGCAGGGACTGGTCCGCCTGCGACGGCAACTGCAAGCTCAAGAAGACGGACCCTCCGGGCGGCGGCGTGTGCGAGACCTGCAACCCCAACCCTTTCTTCAACAAGTGCACCATCACGACGTCGTGCATCGTCGCGCCGCCGCCGCTGGGCAACAGGCACTACTGCGCCTGCCGCGCGGGTTACCGCGCCAACAACCTGCTGCCGACGGACCAGCGGCAGTTCAGGCTCAAGTTCGAGGGGCAGGAGTACAGGGTGTTCGTGGCGCCCGGGATCGAGTGCGATACGCTCTGCACGAACCCGCATCCGGGACCGAACTCATGCCAGGAGGTGCCCGTGAGGGAGGATTGTTAGGTTGAAAGGGGGTTGACTGCACGGGCAAGGTAAGGAAGGGGAACGGCGGTTTGAGGTGGGCTGTTTGTCCGAGGTTTTGATGTTTTTTTGGCTGGTTTGTGTTTTGTCATCTTCTTACTCTCTTTAACGGAAATCACTCTTGGGTTACAGTGGGTGGTTTCCTCTTCACCCTCCGTGATATGTTATTACCGCATGTTTGATCTCGGCCACTGGTCGGATTCTTCTGTCTTACTATGCTTGATGGTTATTACATACTGCCTTTGCTTGGAGGTTGGCTGGTTCGCGTTCTTGTCGAAGGCCGTCTTGGGTACTGGAAATGACAGTGGTGTTGAGGGCGTCGCCCCTTTTTCGGTCTTTTGATACCTGAGTCAGCGCTTAAGTGAAATGAGTTAGACCTGAATTTGTCTCAACTCAATGTTCTATCTTTGGTGTTTGAAGTACAGAGAACGAGATGTCCAGCAGCCGGCTCATCGAGGAATTTGGGGAGAAAATGCAAAAAGCTCACCATCCAGCTCCCAGAGGAGGTGCCTGGCTAGCAGTTCTGGTCCTCCGGCCATTTCCAACTGGGCCATTGACTCCGTGGAACGGGCGTTGGACGAAGCGAACGTGGACCTAATCCATATGGGGCGGGAAGGGGCTTGCATGGACGATGCGTCACCTTGTGGATTTGAGATGGAAGAGAAGTCGGGAGTAGGGCTAGGACCTGATCTGGCCTGGATCTCCATGCAGATGTTGGGCCAAAGACAACTTGTTGAGGGAGCATTCGAAAATGAAGATTACCAGTAGTGTTTCCCGTGCTGCTAGCTAAACTAAACTCCAGCGGCGTCCCTCGCCCTCTTTCTATGTGATCCAAAACATCAAACCAATAGACACTAAGTTATGTTATAAGAGAACATGGAAGGAAGTCGTGACGTGAGACGTTGGTCCCTGCGAGGGTGGGGGATGGGGAAAGCAAAAAGAAAGACCAGTCTAACCTCGCCGAAATGAACCTGACTACTGACTATTTGCTCTCCAAAAACACAGCAGCATATTTACGTCCGAGACAGCTGGTCAAGGAGGACGGAAAAACAACCGCCTACCAAGAGAAGGTCATCAGGGCCGGGTTGAGGGCCAGCGGCAGCAGCAGGTGCGACGCGGCGACGGTGGCCATGGGCAGGATGGCGACAAAGTCGGTGATGTGCCAGCTGTAGGGGATGAAGGGAGCCACGGCGAGAATTACCATGCCGGCGATGAAGACGGTGGCGAAGAGCATCGAGAATTTGAACTGGGCCAGCAACCCGTTAGCATCAACACAAACGACGTTACACGTGCCATATCCATCCACGAGCGGGGGGACTCACCTTCTTCAACACCTTGGGCACCTCGATGAAGAAATTCGAAAACTCGGCCTCCTTGGACGTGGCGCCCCACGTCATGTCAATCTCAAACATGTGCGCCAGCAGGGCCTGCGAGACGTGCAGCGACAGGCCGCCGAGGAAGATGGCCAGCAAAAAGGTCCACTTAAAGTTCTCGAAAAGGGCGTACAGAATGTTGCGCTCGCCGACGCGGTACCGCATGACGGCCAGGGCAATGTTGCCGAGACCGTTGAAGACGAGAATGATGGAGAACCACACCTGCCACGAGTCGACGTAGTACTTGTCGAGATAGCCGTTGAACCAGCCCATGAGGAAGTAGTTGACGCTGGTCATGATCCAGGCGGCGCCGATGGCGTAGTACGTGCCAATGTACGAAATGACGGTGATCTTGGACGTGAAGCGGATATTGGAGAACAGGAAGCGGCGGAAGAGCGGGGTGAAGGGTCCCTTCCAGAGCCACTTGCGGATCGGGTGGAAGAGCAGCTCGTTGCAGCCGTAGGCGTATTTTTCCCAGCGGGCCAGCTCGTCGTACACGGTCAGCGACACGCCCTCCTTGAAGCCGTCGCCAGCCCAGGCGGCCAGGCGGATGATGTAGCCGTTGCACTGCAGACGCAGCGACATGTCAAAGTCCTCGGACACGTGGCTCTCGGACCAGAACTTCTCATAGCCGTCCTCGTCCTCGTACGAGACCTGCTGGATGGCGGACCAGCGCAGGATGGCGTTGTGGCCGACAAAAGGGGCGACGTCGCCGTTGGAGACGGTGTAGCGGATGGCGCTGTAGATGAGGTTCGTGAAAAAGGTGATGCCGTTCTCAAAGTAGGTGTGGACGACCTGCATGACGCCCGACGAGAACTGCATGATGCCGACGTCGGGCGAGAGCTCCATCTCCGACACGGCATCCAGCAGACAGTCGGCGGGCACGCGCGTGTCCGAGTCGATCAGCAGGATGTAGTCGCCCACACGGATGTTGCCGTCGGCCCAGGCACGGCCATCCTCCTCGAGCACCTCCTTCAGGGCGCGCTCGTAGGCCTGCGCCTCGTCGTGCTGCGACCAGTCGGGCGTGCGCTGGACGGCCGCCAGCTTTTCTTCCACCTTGCACGAGATCATGAGGGCAAAGTTCATGTTGGAGGCCTTCTTGAACTTGCCGCGGCGCTTGAAGCCGTTCTCGCCATGCTTGGGGCGGGCAACCCAGCCAATGCTGTGGTCCGCGTAGAACTCGATACGCGCGCGGCGGTCTTCCTCGGAGATCAGCTGCAGGCCGTCGTCGTTGATGAACATGTTGGCCGACCCGCCCTGCAGTTCGTAGGTCGACATAGCCTGCTTGATGGACTTGACGGTCGGGGCAATAACGGCTTGCAGGCCCTCCTTGTAGACCGGGCACTGAACCGTGACGTGAGGCAGCACGCTGGACCGCAGTCTCGGCGGTGGCCGGGCAGAATAGAACTTGGAGTTGATGGTCAGTTGGCGGATCGGGCCAAAGATCTGAGCCAGGCAACCGACGATGACCTGGGCGAAAAAGAGCGTGAAGAAGATCTGGACGGGGAACAGGGCGACGAGCGCGAGGCGCATGTAGTTGCCGTCGACCGAGACCTCGATGGCGAGCTGGCGGAAGGCCGCACCCAGCGAGACGGTGACCAGGACGAGCGTCATGCTGACCAGGTACGTGTTAAGCAGGTGAACCGGCCGCTTTTCCGGCTTGAGCTCGCCGCTCTCCTCATCCACTTCGGGCTCCTCCACGATGGGGCCTCCCTTCTCGTCGTCCTCATTCTCCCCACCGGCCTTCCACACCAGCTCCATCAGCTCCGACTCAATCGCCTTGGCGCGCTGGACGAGGTGCAGAGCGTCGTCGTCCCAGACCACTAGCAGACCCTCGGACGCGACAAAGGCGGCAAACTGGTGCTTCCGCGCGCGGGGAAGGTCGTCGATGGTGGGGAGAATCTGGACGCGCAGGCCGTTCATCAGGGGCACGTCGACGGCATCTGGTGACCACTGCAAGAAGGTCTTGATAACTCTAGAGTTGACCGTCATGGCACACTTTGCGAAACCGTCAGCATCTTTACCACCACCCGGACTTGAAGTAGCGTTAGCTACAGTGATAGGATCCAAAACGCACCTGAACATTAAGCGCGGCGCAGGCCAGCGCAAATGGCGAGTTGCCCAGCTGGGGCGGGCAGGCCATGTACTGGCCCCTCGTTTTCCGCAAAAGGACACCCTCGATCTCGCCGCTGCCATCCGACACCCACAAGTGCGAGCATTGTTGCTGGTACAGGTAGTTGACCATGACCTCGTGCTTGATGTCATCGAGGAAGAGGGAGCTCCCTGCCGACCTCACGGAGCGGCCCGAGATGGACTGCGGTCGTGAGCCATAACTGGGTGTTGGGGGTTGCAGCTCTGTATCTGTTCTAAGCGATGGTGGGGGGTTTCCTGTGACGGATGGCCGTTGCTGGTGTGCGGTACTTTTCTTTGGTGGTGATGCGGGTGTTGTTTGTGCCTTTTGCTCAGGCTTTTCAGCCTTGAAGTAGTTACCGATGCCCATGGCGGCGGCAGCAGCCCAGCGGTTGGGCTTGCTCCCTCTCTGTATTAAGATCCTCGCCGTTCAGAACGGGACGACCGGATGGCAAACCTCCCGTCAACCTCCGAATCACTCGGGAATTTTCCGCCCTTTCTCTCAGTTGGGTTCTAATTATTCAGGTCAGCAACCGGACATGGCACATCGAGACTTTCGACTTAAAGCAACACTCCAGAGATACCGATAGGGGCTCAGAAGCTGCGCTAATTCGGATCTCGTACCTCGTGGTGGCCGGGGTAGCACTGCGGCGTATGCTGTGCAATGGTGACAGAGTCCTCGCTGTTGCCGGCACCGGTTCCAAGCACGCGGCCGAGGCGAAACCGGTTCCCACTTCGAAATCGTCGAACGAGCGAGAGTGAGAATTCCTCCAAGTCCCAAGGCACAGTAGCGAGTGGACGGCTTCAGAGGTGCCTGAAAGCCCAGATTAGCGAACGAGGCTCGAGGATCGCAGCCGTCGTGGTTGCAGGTTCTCGAGGGGAAGAACTGTCTTTGCAGATCCCGAGCGCGTGGGAACGAGTGTTGATCGCCGGAAACTTGGAGGGACTGAGGCGGGAGACAGCGACAGGGGAGGGGGAGGGTCAAAAAGAGGGTGGACACTGGAAGTGGAGGGCAAAGCAACGCTGGCCGATGCAAGCTCCTGCACCAAGCAGCTGGTCGTCCACGGGCAGCACAGGGGTGTGTGCTGGCGATTGGTCGAGAATGGTCTGCCCTAGCGAGGCACCATGTGTGCTTGGCGACACGAACCTTGACCTTGTGGGTGGATGTACCCAACAAGGATCAAGGTTGCCGAGGGCCCGTGTAGGTGATAGCTAGCGTTAGCGGAAGAGCCGGTTTCCCGGTTTGTCCAAGTCAATGCCCGTTCCTACCAACATTTCCTCCAGCCTACAAGGCTTTTATCTGCGTAATTGTAATCTGTACGGAGCGTACCCCGTACAAGAATCAGTAACAGTCTCATGGTGACCAACACCGTGACGACGGAGCTTCGGAGCAGCAGCAATTCTCAGCTCCCATGGTGTCAGTCCGGCGGCTGTCACCGCTGCAGGCGCCGCCTGGAACGATGGTGGCAGGGGAATTTTCAAGGTCGCCATGGCGTTTATGTGGCGGCTGGGCGAGACCAGAGCTCGGTGGCCATTGGACTGCCTTTTATCGTTCAGTGTCAACTTCGATTTGGCTTGGCTCCTCAGCAATTGACGAGAAAACGACCGGTCGCTGCACCCAGCCATGCAACTTTTTCGCACCATCCCGTAGCATGCCATACGATAAGTACTGTACGATGTATGCTGTTATTAACAGGCACGCGAGATTTTTGCAGACTGGAGCCGCATCGACGGCAAGGCGTGGAGTATTCTCAGGATCTCTCGGGTTCCACTCTTTCCTCACTCCAGATTGGTGCCCTGGACATCGTCGGCAAAGTGGGGCTGCCTACACGTACGTGTAGAAGCGGGCGGGTCTGGTCCAAGGGAAAAACCATGGCGGAACAACCGAACAATTCCAGGCTCTTGCTCCTGCCTTACCAATTAGCTAGGGTCTGGTGCAGCTTCTATGTGTATCTCACGCTGGGTTGCGAAGTCTTCGATTCTGTATCATGTTGTTTACGGATACCTGTCCCATGTCCAAGCCATGACTGGAATCTGGACCGAAGGTTGACCCGATAAGGCTCAGCGGGAAGCAGGACAAACGGAGCTGATGAGGCTGAACCGATGGAGAAATGGCCGACAACGCTATCCGTATTGAGATGTTTCTCAATTTTCACAGTGGGTACATGCGCCAGCACCAACTTTCAGCTGGGCAACAAAGTCCGCCTGAGAGCGACATGCAACTTCCTTGACCAGCAGTCAATAGCGCGCTGAAACCCTGCCATCATGTCAGGCTGGTCAAGATCTTGGCGATACAGCTTATTGTCAGTAATAAAACCACGTTACAGCTGCTTGTATTCGTGATGCTGCTCGTTTCAGAGATCGTAAGAGAAAATGATCATCATGATGATGGGTGCCGCAGCACTCGAATCCCCCAAGCATCATCTCGAAACCCATCCGCATTGGGATGGTCGGCCTATAGCCAGTCATCGCGGGTTTCAACGCGTCCTGAGTCAAGGTCAAAGAAAATACGAGCATTGGCACTGGCCACTTGCTGGGCAAACAAACGCACTTCACGGTTACGATACCAAAAATAGCGTCCCGTCGGCAAGAAAAATACCGCCTCTTCCCCTCTCCCCTCCCGTCACAATGATCCCATCTATCTGCACAGCACAACCCCATCGAATGCATCTGTGCAGGCAAAATGACCTTCCCGAAGGATTGGGCTGTTTGCATATTACGTCTCGTTTACGATTAGCTGTGCTGGCAGCCTCCATGGCCAGTCAAACGCTTTTGTCCTAGGATCGATGATGACAGACGCCGTCTGAAGATACTGCACCGATCATCGCCACGCTCGTGATATCAGTTGGTGATGATGAGACAAGGAGAGTACATGGGCATGCGGCCCATCTTCTAGTCTGGCGTCTCGCTGGTGTTTTTGACTACTGTATGCATGTAGTTTCACCTAATTCACAAATTTCCACTTTGTCCGGATCCGCCAATCAGACGCTATCGCTCCAGTCCTCCGAGCTTCGATCTGCATGAGTGCGCACAGACCCACCAGCTTTTTTGACAGCGACAGTACGCATGAGTATATGTGGGCCGCCCTGTGGAGGTGTATGAGCTGGATGAGACTGTACGGTATGTCTCAGTCCCATTCTTCTGAACCAACGAAACTCGCTGGTCCGTGGATTACCTCACGATCACCTTGCAGTTCCTTCAGCCTCTCAATGAACGACGAAAACCCAACACTAGCATAAATGATGTTGACGCTGTTGATAGACAGAACTTGTTGAAATCGAAAGGTATGGGAAATCATTTGTATTGTACCTTACCATACAATATACTTCAATGATCAGAATCTATCGAATCCACAGCGGAGATAACTAAACTATAGATCTGGCTGATGATCCCCCACTCTGCCAAGTTCCAGCCCTGTTCGGGCCAGGCCGGCTCCTGGTTTCTGATCCTGTCCAACATTTTGAAGTATTTCGCAGCTCGATTATCTGGGTCTTGGGCAGGAGAAAGATTGTAGTGTTGCGGATAACACGGTCCGAGATTCTGGTTGCAGTGCATATTGGGAGTGAAAAGGCTCGCATCGTATTCCCCTTGGGCCACTCGGCCCCTCACCGGCAGGATTCTCCCTTGATGGTTGCATCACGCATGAAGCTGCATTCTTGTCGGGCCCTTTTCGGCAAACTCTTATCCATCTACACCGGTCGATAAGCTATGGACAATTGGACACATTGGGAGCCAGAACCAACCAATGTTGAGAGATTGATGAGGACGAGTGTTGAAGGGATTGAAAGTTGGCGCCGCTCGAGCCCCCGCCAAAAGCACAAAATAAAGGGGTACAACGGTCAGACATGACGCCGCAGCGCCGTAAAGCGTTTCGGAAGCCGGAATAGCTGGCTTGGAGAGACAGATTCCGTCAAAGCGCTGGTTCACTGTGTCCCAGTGCATCATAATGATCGATCAATCCATTGGATGTTGGTTAAATGTCATTATGCTCGTGTGCTGTTGGGTAAAATATGCTGCCCATGTCAGAACCACCAGCTGTGCGTTCTAGATCCAACTCAATTCCCTGGAAATAGCCAAAGAAATATAAACATTAGATACCCAAGAAACAACCAATCTATAACCCGCAAAACACCATCGCAGACAGAGCGCAGTAGAACCCTCGTCAAAAACCCACTCGAATCACCTAAAGATCCTCATCGCCATCGCACTGCTGCCACATCATGACCTTGCTGACCTCCATCTGCGGTTGGGTCCAGGTGGGCAGCCAGCGGTCCTTGGCCTGCCAGAAATCCTTGCGAGCATTGGGCGAGGCATCCAGCCAGGGCTTACCGTTGACATTGTCCTCGAACCAGCCGTTGGTGCCACCAACAGCCAGGTTCAGGATTAGATAGAATTTCTGATCAAACGGCGTCTGCGCGCGGCCAGTCTCGCTCCAGATGTCCTTGATGCGGGTGCCGTTGCTGTCCTGGACGGGGAAGTTGCCGCGCGTCCACATGGGCGTGTCGAAGTTGACGTACAGCACCTGCAGCAGGCGCGAGTTGACGTAGGTAAACAGGTACTTCTGCGACCACTCAAGGCCAAAGACGTTGAAGCCGGACGAGTAGGTCGTGTGGAGGGCCTGGCGCTTGACGTTGGTGCGCCACCAGGCGTCGTTGGCCGGGTTGGGTCCCCAGTGGAGGGCCGACGACATGATGTTGTTGCCGCCCTGCGGGTACGTGTAGTTGTTGCCGCGCGACTCCATGATGTCAATCTCGCCCGACTGCGGCCAGGGCCCGTAGGCCGAGTCGACCGGCATCATCCAGATGGCGGGCCAGAGCCAATCACCGGCCGGCAGCTTGGCCGTCACCTCGATGCGGCCGTACTTGATGGTCGCGCCGCGGCGCGTGTTGATGCGTCCGGACAGGACGGGCGGCACGATGGTCGAATTGCCGGCCGTTGTGTTGGTCACGGCGATGCAGTAGTCCGGGTTGGTGGACGTGCAGGTGCCGTCGCTGAGGAGGTCGATCTTGTGGTCCTGCTGTATCAGAGCGTCATCTTGTGGCGTGGCCTTGATGATCAGGTGGCCGTTCTCGACATAGACGTTTTGGTCGCCGCCAGTGGTCTGCTCGAACTCGCCGTTGCTGTTGCTGTGAGTGTCTGCTTCCTTCCGTTAAATGATTGTGGCTGGCAAAACTCACCCAAACCCGTTGACTTGGACCTCCTTCATCCACACCTGCTCGTTGAAGCCGTTCGACCACGTCTCCTCCAACACCGGACAGTAGTTGTGCTTGACGACGCTGCGGATGCCGTCCCAGACAAGGAAGCCCGAGATGCCCAGGCCGATGACGATGCCGATGATGGGCAGGATGGTGACCCACTTCTCCTTGGGGTCGACATTCTTGGTCCATGGCTTCTCGACCTCGCCCTTGCGCACACGGCGCGAGTGGAAGTAGCGCTGCCCGCCGTCGAAGCGGCCCAGAGCCGAGGCCGAGTCGAAGCTGCTGGCGGGGCGCGAGGCCATGGGGCTGGAAAAGGGGTTACCATTCTGGCCGGACGACCGCTGTGACGCCCGCGACTCGACACCGTCTCCAAAGGGGTTTTGGCCGAGGGACTCGCTGGGTGTCCCGGGCCGTTGCGGGGTCGGGGCGGCGGTGGAGGCTACCGACGGCATGCCGGCGCCGGAGCGGCCGAAGTAGTCGTTGTTGTCCATGGGATGAATGGCGGGGCGGGCCGCCGTGATCAATGACCAAGCTGCTCAATCAGCTGCGCCGGCTTGCTGTTCTCAAGCAGTAACAGCTGGAGCGAATCGCCGGTCAATTAAGGGTGAGGACGGGAGTACAGAGTATGGGTGATTGATGAGCGAGTGTCGGCGTCTGGTGTTGGGTTAGGGTCTCTGTGATGAATCCCTATTGAAGTGGTAACCTTGCGGGCGGCTCGTAAACGAATGACGGGGTGTTGATGATGTGGTGTTGTCAACCGCACCCGATGAAAACGAGAGACACTCCCAAGCAGTGGGGGAAGCAAACGCAAGGAAGTCGGGTTGTGGTGATGTGATGATTCTGGTGGGAGTGCTGCAACAATCGGCACGCTGGCGAAAACGCCACAGTCTGGCTGGCTAGGCCCTGACTGGGCACCAGCAGCTGTGTGCCCGCTGTCCAGGAACTGCCATGGCCGAAAACTTGTCCAGCTCGCAGCTCGCCGGCCTGCAAGGTGCTGGGGGCTGGAACAACCTGGAAAGTGGCTTGGCGATGCTGCCATACCAGCGACAAGTCGCATTAGCGCATCCATGATGGCGAAGTGGAGCGATACGCTGGGGATCCGCCGCCGTCGCCTGAATCTGGACCGTACCCGGTAAGATACAGGGCCCCTTGGAATGCGGCATGTCTCCATCAGTTTTCCCGTAACTTACCGTAACTATGTACCATTCGATTTTCAACTCCCCTTTTCTTGGGAGCCCAACTTTTCCCACAAGCGCGATCTGCAGTGGCCGCGGCGGCTGAGGGCTGCTAGTCTTGAAAAATTCAAGCTTCCGTTCAGGTAGCCAGGGGTGCTGCTTGCAGCCAGGACGGAGCTGCTCGATGATCATTTCCACCATTGTCTTGACCATCGATAGCGCTTTCTGTTTCTGGCCGGCCAGCTGTCAATGACGCGGGCGAAGAAACGATGGCTTCAGCCGCACATAACACTGGGCTCCAAATGATGAATTGTCGACGACAGAAATCCGCACGGAAATGCTCTACGGCGTGTGGCTCGGTTGACTCCCATATCGTCGTCTACCTGCGCAGTGGGCCAATCATGGCCTCGATAAAAAGTCGTAGACTGCAGTCGGTATCGACAGATATCGTCGAGATAAGGCTACTGTACGGTACACAGTCATCAACACCCGGCGCCATGGTTCCCTGGTCTCGATCGCCGAGGGATCCGGCGGAGCCAAGAATAACACTTCGGGACGGGAAGGCCAAGTTCCAGAATTCCAGAGCCTCATAGTGATCGCCCCAAGCCGAGATTGATGACAAAAGAAAGAGATTTCTGAGCAGTCGTGGGGGTCCATATCCCGCCCGTCTCGCTGCAGCATCTCGCGCCACGTGCGGCATTTGACAGTGTGACACATTTCAAGCATATGTCTTGAGAAGAGCGGAAGGAACGGCGGTCTGCGGCCATCTACGTACTCCTTGCAGAATCATGGCCAAGGCATCGGAAGTCAAACATATCCTGATTCAGCTTCTAGAGGAGAGGACATGCAGTCTACGGAGTAATACAAATAAGAACCCGTAGTTACAGTATATGGTAGATGTTTACACTCCCTTGTGAAATGTGCGGCAGAATTGTGATCAGTCCGAGGGGCTCAGAGTGTTCAATCTGCCTAAACCTGTAAAGCTACTTAGAGCGGCACATTGAATGAAATTTGTAATGAATCAAATCCCCTTGTGGTGTAGTTGGCTATCACGTTCGGCTGTAATGGAAATTATCGATACCGAAAGGTCACCGGCTCGATTCCGGTCGAGGGGACACTTATCTTTTTCCACTTTTCGGCTCGATCAACACTCACTAGCACCACCTTAACATGGAGTTTTGATCAAGGAATGGGGTTCAGGGGTAAGTTGCTCGCAAAGGCACAATCGACCGTGCCAGTTCTTGTTGCATGTACGTTACACAGATCCTGTTATTCCAAATTGACTACTGTTATTAGCTTAACTACCTGACATTGGGACTCAAATTGATGATTCATCTGAATACACAATGACCATTCTCATTTTCATAAGACCTTACTAACAGAACTTTTAGAATCCAGTCACCCTCAACTCCCTAATTTTTTTTCTCCCCTTCACTAAGACCAAAACAAATAGGAATGGCACCTCCAGTCCCAGGGTAGTTTCCAGCTCAACACACCCTCTCCCTTCACTTGGCAACGCCCACACCAGCAAAGTACTCCTTGAACGGTTCCGTCTCAATGGCAAACACACCCTTGCGATCGACCAGCTCAATAGGCGGCCAAAACTCGGCCTCCACACGAGACACCACGCCCGGATAGCTCGTCATGCCCTCGGGCTCGGTGACGCCCCAGGGGTGGCGCAGGACAATGTACTGCTTGCGCTCCTGCGGCGCCGCCCAGCCCAGCACGGAGTAGGCCATGTTGCCCACGAGCGTGCAGCCGCGGAACTTGGAGTCCGAGGGGCGCGTCCAGGCCACCATCGGGTAGATGGTGCGCTGATTGAAGCAATGCGTGCGGACGAGCGAGAGCAGGTCGGCGCCGCGCCGGTGCGACGTCTGGAAGTACTGCGGGTCCTTGTCGGTCAGCTGGCACATGGCCTTGACCGGGTCGCCGTGCGAGGTCTGCGTCAGGTCCGGGTGCTGGTGCCAGTGGTGCGAGGCGTCGCTGTCGCGGGCGGCGGCTGCGGAGGAAGACTCCGGATCATGGGATTCTTCGGAGGAAGAGGAGGTCAGCCAGGCGGCGAAGGCCTTCTCGTAGAGGGGCGCCCACAGCTCGGCATTCCAGGTGGTAGACTGCATCATGTACGAGTGCGTGGAGTAGTGGGCCGTCCAGGTGCTCATGCCGCTAGGCCGGCAGTACATGAGCATCGAGGATGAGTTGTTGGTGGGCAGCTCGCAGTTGACGGTGACGGTGGCGGTCGAGGCGTCCTTGTCGCCGCCCTTGCTGTAGAACTTGACCGACAGGGAGCAATCCTCAGAAGAAGAGGACGACGACGAAGACTTGGATCGCCGGGGTCCCGTGCAGTGCTTGATGACGGTCGGGTCGGCCCAGGCGACGCTCATGAGGGCGGCCATGAACCAGCTGTTGCTGATTGCGCCCTGCACGGGGTTGCTGAACATGGTGGCCTGCTGGCGGTTGCAGTAGCTGATTTCAGTCCAGGAACCGTTGGGGGGGATCCACTCCTCCTTGGGCTTGATGCGGAACGGGGTGCACAGCTCGCGCAGGATCCACGTCATCTCGGAGTTGCACACCGTCTTGCCCAGCGACTCGGGCTCGAGCGTCAGCCGCAGGTTGCCGTTGGACATGACGGCGTGCTTGACCTTGATCTTGTCGAGGTCCTTGAGCCCGACCCGGTCGAGGTCGCCGAGCTTCTCCACGCGGGAAAAGTCCGGGGTAACGAGGTCGCGCGGCTCGAGCGTGTGCATGTCCTTGGCCGGGATCGGCTCGGCCTTGTCGCCGCTCTCGCTGAGCCGGATGCCGGCGTACAGGATCGACTTGAACCGCATGTCGAACAGCTCCTCGTAGTCGGTCTGCAGGATGCTCGATACCAGCCGCGTCGTGGCCGGGTCGGTCCAGCTCAGCTTGCGGCCCAGCACCGCCTCGCACAGCGCAAAGGGGTTGATGGCCCCGATGTACAGCCCGTGCTTAGGCGGGTTGTCGGGCTGCTCAGGCTTGGAACCGGTCATCTTGAACATGTAAGGGAGCATTGAGCTCTGTATGATGTGAGGGAGGCTAAGTAGGTGCCCGAGTGTCGCGGCTTGTTACGAAAAGGGCGAGTGAAGGCTGGTTGCGACGGAGAGGCACAGTCTTATACACCTCCTCGTAGGACTCTTTCTCCTTCACTAAACAACACATCTGTGCGCGCCATCTCGAATCCGTGATCAGACCTCCTCAACCCCTCATCGGTCCTTTTGCCCATCATCCGTCACGCTACCCATCTCCGGTCCGTGTTCTACGTTTCAGCGTTCCATCATTGTCTTCGGCAGAGTGCATACATCAAGTGCCCATGGTGTTATCCCCGGAAGCTAGTGTGTTGGGTGACCACAAGACTCTCTTTCTGAACCTGGAGAGCATCCATGATCCTTGTTGTTGTTGTCGTTATTGTCGTTGACGGTAGCCTTGTTGTCAGTGTTGTCGTCGTCTGCTTCATTGGTTGGAGAGTGGACAATGGAGAGTCTCGGTTTCATCGACTGTTTTGTTACCGGCCAGATCTGCGGCATATCTGATCTGATTTCCGTTTACTCTATTTTACAAGATCTCTGAGTCTGGCAGTTCTCGTTTTGGTTCAGTTATCTTCCACATGTAAAGGATCAGCTTAAGGGTCTAGGTGCGCAGCACAAGGCCGCCTCTACTCACCGTGAGTCTGAGATAACAGAATTGAACCAAAGCAGAATGGTCGGGAAAAGATTCCGAAAGCTTGGTGCAAACAACTTAGCCATGGCTGCCAGGTTTGTGTGTTTCAATGGTGATCAGACCGTCAAAGCCCTGATGTCGTCGACAACACCTACACAGTACGGGAATAGTAAACTGTCCGGGTGGGGGGGGGGGCCAAGAAGTAAACAAGGGGAGTCATGCATGTCCTTCTGTTGACCATGTTAGTGTGATCTAGCAGCATCCATGCCTACTCGAAGCACATGCCGACGTGTGCTGTTCGTCATGGATCTCTCAAGACATAACCGTTCAAACACCAAACAGTCTGCTGACTCCCCCTCGTCTGACAGCAGTCGTCCCATCCATTTTAGGCGTTGTCGAGTCCTGGTGAGCTGTATTGTTAGAGTGATGTACACACGGATCCCGCTCCAGGTGACTCAGGCATGTCGGAATAAAATGAGCCGGTTGTTCCAGTTTCACCCGGCCTTCAGAGTCGGGTTCCCGGCGGCCAGCGTCACGTCTGCCATTCCGGCGAACCGTAACCAGGCATCTATCGCGTGCAGGGGCAGGCTGTCGTGGAAGGCAACCTTAGGATGCGTAGCAGTGACTGGTTGTGCATCAATTCTGATACTGGGTCCCAAATCTATGTGACACCAACCCCCATGAGCCAGTTCCGGGCCAACGCCTTCCCCAAGGCTGAATAATATTATTCTCAAACTCATCTCGGGTATCATCCCAACCAGATACTCCTCGCCTATTGGGCTGCTGTTGCCGGTGCCGGCGTCGGATTGTGCTGCTTCTCCCAGTCCTCAAAGTCCTTCTTGGCCTCCTCAACCTGCTTCTTGAGATGCTGCAGCTGCTTCTCGTAGTCTTCAAGGATCTGCCCTTCATTTAGTCATTCTCTCGATGTGTAACAAATAAGGCAAGACGTCATGAGCACCCACCTTCTTCGCCTTGGCCTCAATCTCCTCCCCCAGCCCATCGCCCTCGGCAAACCCAGGCTTGTTGATCTCGTCCTTCAAGTTGTCAGCGTACCCCCGGAGGATGATGAGCCGGCTCCACAGCTCCTCCATGCGGGCGCTCAGCGCCGGGTCTTGGATATGCTTGTCGATGCGGGCCAGCTTCTGCTTGAGTTCGTCCTCGTCGCCGCTCAGCGCGTACCCGCGGTTCCGCAGCACCTGCACGCGCGACGCGAGCACGAGACACCGCCTGCTCAGCTCGGCGTGCCGTCGGCGCGCGTTGAAGGCCCGTACCGTGTGCTCGAGGTCGTGCTTGGACAGGATCGCGTCCAGCGACGCGTTGATGGCGTGTAGCTTGTTGTTGAACTCGACAATCACCCGCCGCTGCAGCGTCACGCGCGCAATGATGGAGGGGAAACCTGCGCACAGCACGGGGATGTAGTTGGGCGCCGGCTTGCGCTGCAGCGCCTCCTCCCACTCTTTCGGGTCCTCGTTGGGGCCCGGCCCGTACAGCGGGACCGTGTGCTCGTCCACCTTGTTGTAGAGGTACGTCTTGAAGGCGCAGTTGGGGTTTGTTGGGTCCCATTTCTCCGTGATCAGTTTGATCTGCTCCGGGATCGGCTTCTGGTCTGGTTTGGGCGGGGAGAGGAAGAGTTTAGCACAGCACATCGTGGCGTTTGGGGGACGTCGGTAGCGAGAAAAGGTCGGCATATGGAGAGGAGATGGGAGAGAAACGTACAGCTTGTGTGGCTACCCGGCTGCCATAATGAACTGCCCAGCTGCGGGTTGGCGTTTGGTAGTTGCTGGCCCAGAGAAGGCGCAGGCGCGGGCTGCTGCTGTTGCTGTTGTTGCGGTTGCTGCTGCTGCTGCTGCTAGATGTTCGCATCAGCGTTCCCCTCTTCGTCCCCATGCGGCAGGCTGCAGAGCTCACGTTGGTACTTCCGAGCGATGGACCAAACATGCTAGTCGTACCACCGCCAAAAACTGACTGGCCCGCAGGCCGATTTAGTGAAGAGAACATCTAACCGTTTGGGCTGTTGGCTGAACCGGGTGGTGTGCCGAGAGACCCAGGGTTGGCGCAAACGGCGGAAATCCAAATAAAAACAATTGGCGATGGGAGGACGTAGAATCGTACAGATGAACCGTGCAGAAATCGGAGTAGGCTATGGTATGATTGGAGCAGCGTTTATGCAATGTGCCCTGAGCTCGACGCAACTGAGGGGTACCGTATAATAGACAAAGCCGAGCTGTCGTCGGCGATTCTTGGTTGTTGATTTTGGTTGCCGATGATGCCCTTCGCAGCTTTTCGGCCGAAATACGCTCCACTGCTGTTTCCAACTCTCAAGCTTGAAGCGCGTCGACAGTGGCCCGAGCGTCTTGAAGCCGCAGCCAATCACTGTTTTGCGAAATTGGGCCCACTGGTCGTGGAACAAGCCGAAGTTGGAACCTCACACTGGAGACTGCGGCATCGCCAACTCCAAACCACGCACAGCTTCGAATCGCAGGACGGGCTTGCCCAAACAGTCAACATGGCAGCGCGGAAGCCGGTGTAAGTGTCCTCACACGATGCGCAAGCTATTGCGGCCCCCAATTGGGTCCGCTGGAGCTGTTGAGCAGGGGAACCGGACTGACAGAAATGATAGCTTCAACCAGCAGGTCCTCTACGACACTACCCCGCTGCCAGACTCGATCCCCAAGGTCAAGGAGATTGGCGCCAGCTCTGCCCCGCTCCTGTCGGCTTCCTTCTTCATCGGCGCGCGATGCAGGGACTACAATGACGACTACATGCAATGCAAGACCGAGAACCCCGGCAGGGGCGAGTTCGAGTGCTTGAAGGAGGGCCGCCGGGTCACCCGATGCGCCCGGAGTGTGTACGTTGCGGAACCATTTCACGTTTGGATGGTTGTTCTTGGAGTCAGGTTTATGGGATGGGCACAAAGGCGCTGGTCAGAGCCTTGACTGCGGTCGGGACACATGCTGACTCTCCTCCTCCTCCCAGTCTTGAGGACATCAACAAGTCCTGCCTGGAGCAATTCCGCGCACACTGGCAGTGCCTCGAAAACAACAATCAGCAGCTGTGGCAATGCCGGCCCGCCGAGTGGAAGTTGAACAAGTGTGTCTATGAAAATCTGGTGCGTCTTCCGGAGACAAAAGCCGTCCCCGGTTTCCCGGTCCAGCGAAACCATCACTAACATGATCGCCTGCCCAGAACCTCGAGAAGGTTATCCCCGATCAGCCGAAGCAATCGACACCGGTACATCTTAGACAGAAGCAAGTGTTTGCCCACCGATGGATCCAGCGGTGGGAGAAGCCCTTCATACCAGGACAGTCTGAGGCATCGGAGTCTTCTTGAGCGTGCAGTGGCTTTTGTATTTACGCGGACGGTAGGGAGGGGAGGGGGGGTGGTGCTGGGCCAGAACCTGTACGTACGTACATACTAAGAGAGACAGGCTCATCCGGCTATACCATGTCGATCTCCTTGTGTCTAGAATCGTCCACCATCTGCATGGCGATTCTCGCTGTTCAAAAGTTGGTCGAAAGTCGAAAGTCAACTTGGGTGGGAGACCTTCCGCTTGCTGTCTTCGACCAGCTTCTACCAGTGGCTCGATGCTCCTCCGCTTCCGACAACCTGGTGGAAGGTATCTTGTTGGTGCATGCTGGGTATTCCACTCGCAGCATGATGATTTTTATGCGAGGATACCACTCCGCGGCTGGAGATGCCATATGTCCGGATTTCACTCGTCTCTTCATCGACGACTCTTTGGTTCAGGTAGGGGCTGGCATGAGATCTTCTTCAGGGGACCTCAGTGACTCTCCGAAGTGGTATTCAGGGAGACTCCAGGGGCTATGATGGTTACGGCTAACGGGACATACGAGGCTGTCAGAGCCTGAGTCAGTCCACTTAAGTCAAGCTCAAGCGCCATTCCTCTTATCACAAGACCTTTGTCTCTCTTTGAGACAGATTGGCGCTCTCCTCTCTAAGGTAATTGAAGCCGACCCGGACTCAAGGTGGAGAGTCCTACGTTGAGCGGTTTTCGTATTCAAACGTCCAGCAAGAACGAGCGCACGACAGGTCTCGGAGCAGTGTGAGCTGCTGTTATCTAGATCTCGTTCTGCTACCTTGCACCGGGATGCCGCAGACGGGTTGATTGTTGGTGCCGTTCGCCGTTGTGCGAAATTGCACGAGTGACATATCCGGCCAACCGTGTGAAGCTGGATGGTGTTCTTCCCTGTTTTCCCCTGGCCTTCCTGCTTACTACGCAGGCTCTTGTGTGCTTACTCGGGAATTCTGTGTCGCTGTCTTGAGCTGTCGTATGACTAAATAGGGTAATGCAGGCTGCCTCCCGTCTCCGAGCGATGTTGGTTAGCATGTAAGCTTCATAACGTTCGAGGGATCGAGGCGGTGTATTTGGCCGTTTGCTTCTTCCGAGTCCCGCATCACCGGAAACCCCACAATCTACGCCCAACAAACATCCCCGTTAGCCCCTTGCTTTACACCGTCGCCGTGGACATATTTCGGGTGGAAACGAATTCGACTCGTCTGCTGTACGCTCAGGCACGTGGTCGACGCGAACCGGCGCACACAGGTACGCTGCCCAGGTCATTGGAGTCGAGTTCAACCCTCGCTCAGAGGCACAAACAAACAACCGGGTAAGCAACATCCTGAGATCGGCTTCTGATGCAATAACAACCAGAGGTCCCCCAATGTTTGACGCGCGTCGACAGTGCCACGTCGACTAGATGGTAGGGCAAGAACCGAGACCGACGGCAAGAGTTGGCAGCCGTCAAATCGACCGCCATGATGTATGTGGTACATTCACGAGATCAATAGGCATACACAAGCCCCTTCGTCCTAGGACCACAATGGACATGTGTGTACGTGGGCAGTCTGAATGGTCTGTGTGAGGCTCTTACTTGAGAGCAGGGTATCAAAGTCCGGATGATCCACACCTCCGTCTTGAAACGGGTCGTTGAATTTCTCCGGGGCTTCCCCAGACCTCCCAAAGCCGGCACTGGAGGGGTTACACGAATAGCAGCGGCTGATATACTTCGTTTGAGGCCAGTTACGGCCAGCTCATCAGGCCAGAATGGTGTCCAGTCCTATGACACCTGGATTCTGTATTTGAGTTCCGACTTGACACTCGCACTCATCGTGCGAGATTGACAGAAACGATTCTGGGTTCGACATCAAATCCACAGCGTCGGGGCCACAACAGCGGGACTGGCCTGGATTAAAGGCCGGCCTGTGTCGGTGGGAGGCAGATGCCGGTCTCACAGGCTCTCAATGTCCGCTGCAGCTGCTCCGCATCATTTGCTGTTATCACGAGCGCAGTGTGACCTGCAAACCTCTTGTTGGCTTCGAAGGATTTTTGGTTTTTTTTTGAGAGGGGGGAGGGGCCGGGGCGAGGAAGGGGACGAGTGGCCTCGGCAGCTGCGTGGGCTTTTTGTGAGGCGATGGACGTCCTCTTAAGGTTTTGTGGAGATTGTGGCATCGCATGAGGGCTTGGACTTCTGGAGATCGAGAAGGATCTTCTCGATCGACTCCAAACCCTACTTCCTAACTCTTTGGATCTTAGAGGAGACACCGGAATGTCTGCAGCGTCTGAGTCTGAATGTTCTTCAATCGAATTCTAACTCCCACCCCAATGGGGTTCAAGTGGCCGCTCGAGAGGTGCAAGCGTGCTGCTCTACGAAGCAGGCAATATCTGTGGTTTCATGGGCCAGACCGGAGACAGCGACGGTCGTCTTCGGATATTGCTACGGTACGCTAAGGTGCCTAGCCGTCTTCACGGCCCGTCGTGAAGCCATCTCCACCAGGCGAGAAGGCTGGTGCATGCATGTTCGCATGCTTGCGGATGCCGAGGGTCCAGAGCTGCATACATGGGATGCTTGACCGAGAATCTTGGGAGATGTCTCTTTATGACCGTTAAAGCTCGACAAGACATGAAAGGATGCCCGGCAGGAGGGTAGGAGGTTGCCAGCTACTTAAGGGACCATGCTGTTTATTGAATCTGGCCGCTGACAATGACCGGGTTGAGGACTCGAAAACGCTGATAAGATCCATGATTCGTTGAGGCTTTCGAGCTCTCGGGCGCTTCTTCAAAGTTCAGTGCATGGACCAAGAGATCGAGCTGCATGCCGAGCCAAGCATTCCGAGGTGGAGACAAATTGACGTCTGTTAGCGTGTTTCAGGAAGACGCTGAATACGCTCATTGGCCAGCCGTTCCGCTTCCAAACAGAGCATGGAGGTTGCATGAAACCCACTCCACTTTGGATATCCTGTAGAGATTGAGGGAACGTCAGATGATATTCCTGTTTCTCCTGTAACTTGGTCATGCATAATACATCAACTTGTGTTGTTCAGTTTCTCACTCAAGCCTGGAAAATCCGGCCCGGATAGCCGATGTGCTTGATATGGGAGAGCAGTCCGAGGCACTGCGTGGAAAGGTCCCTCGTCAACCCGACTCTGCAATCTGCAAGGCACAGCTCCACAATTGGCTGCTGCAAATGTCAGGGGCGGACCCGCACCGCCAAGTGGAGAGATGAGATTTGACGCCGCGTGGCATGAATCGAAGGTGCCTGGTCGTGAAAGCGGCCATGTCAGAAACATGGGATGGTTGTTTCTTGCCAATGGCCTTGTTACCGTGGCACCACATCTGAAGTGGTCGGGAGACCTTGACCAGGGCAGCAGAGGGGCCAGAAACCATGACGACTGGGCAGCAGCTTTCTCTTGTACATAATGCGTGACAACTGCAGTCTTGGATGGCGGTCGCCGTGGAAGCAGGCCAGAGCCGCGACAGGTTCACGCCGCAGTAGTCCGAGAAATTGGTATAACTGCAATAAGTCTCGCACTTGTATCTGAGACCGGCCAGCCGTCACTGGAACTCGCCCTGAACAGCCGCCCGACGGAATCAATGTGCGAAAGTCCCCCGAGCCCTCTTTGAGAACGCCCATGCTCGCCCGATCCGAGGTCATTTGCCCCCCCAAGCAAGTCGAGCCCGGCCAAAATTGAAGGGCTTCCAGAAACCGGGACCAGCTTCTTGGGTTTTGCTTGGGAATTTGGGGAAGCCCCTTCAACTCCAGGCCTGTTTCCCACTTTTCCAGGGTCTGCGTGGGTCAGATTGGGGCCCACCTGCTCCCGCCTGCTAAGAGCGTCGTCCCTTCCTCCTTCACAACAACCTCACCTTTCCGCCTTTTCTTCACCACGCGGCCGCCGAGTTTGACCTTCAACTCGCACACCTCCTTCTATTTCCCCACCGCTCCTTTTGAAGTCTTTACTTCGTCCACTCCTTTCTTGAATCATCGCCATCGCCCTCGCGACAACTTCGAGTTCGCATCTCCATTCCTTCGAGCGATTCTCACACCTGCACTCGGTCAAAACAGCGACAAACAGTCCGACTTATACACCATTCCTTTTGGCTTTTTCGACGGCGGCGCTGTCACCTGTGTCTTTGAGCAACAACCGGATTCGTGTGTGGTCGGCGCAGCATTCGTGGGATCCCACCCAACCGTGGCAGACGACGAGTAGTATCGCCGCCCTTCGTTTCCCAGTCACTCCTTTCACAGGCGCTTTTCCCCCGGAGGTTCGTGTGCAGCACGAGACTCGACGTCATCTGGATCCAGACAAGCAGGTCGACCTCTTGTCCTACCTTGCATCTGCGTTGGAGCATAAGATCCCATCAGATCCTTGACGGATCCCAAGCATCAGCAGCGCTACCTCCACAGCTGGCCCTGAGTAGCTGAATCTGGCTTCACCTCCTCAAAGGATACAGCACATTTTTGGGTATGTTGATGTTTGTTGGCTTAGCTTTGTTGTTGCGGGCGCACAATGGCTCCTTGTGAACCGACGACCATTTGGAATGGAGCTTTGTGGCGGCATCCCGCACAATACCTTTGTGCAATCCTTCGAAATGGTGGCTGGTTCGGACAAAAAATGGCCTCGTCGACGAGCCATGAACACAGTCACCAGGTTATTTGGGACAGTCACTCCCAAGCCAGGAGCGCACCGCCATCTTTCCCTGTTTACCACCAAATCAGCACACCATGACTGCAAACCTCATTCCCAGCCTCGCCCCGAGATATAAAGCCCGTCATTGTAAATTCAGAAGACACGCTAACCGTCTCAACAGCACAGCAGATTTTCGCCATGAAGTCTTCAACTATACTCGCCGCCTGCGGCGCTCTCCTGGTCACTGCCAGTCCCATCCTCCAGGAACGCCGCCTGTTTGTCAAGACGGATGTCGTTGTTGAATGGGTTACCGTCACCGTGACTGAGGGAGATACTTCCACCGTCTTCCGCCGCCCGAACCACGTCAAGCCCACAACGACCACGACCAGCTCCGCTGCGCCTTCCAGCACCTCGCAGGCTCCTCCTCCCCCTCCTCCGCCTTCATCATCTTCGTCTCTTGAGCCCGCTGTTCAGCCCACCCCTGAACCGAGTCCGGAGCCAAGCCCGGAGCCAACGCCCGAACCCGCTCCAGTTGCAGCGCCCATTGTTGAGGCCGCTCAACCTTCGTCCGAAGCTGCCGAGGCGCCTGCTCCCACCGAGCAAGCCCCAGCTGCACAGCCCTCCGACTACCAAAGCACCGCTCTGTACCACCACAACATCCATCGTTTCAATCACTCTGCTGATGCTCTAACCTGGGACGATGGCCTTGCCTCCTCCGCCGAGATCCTCGCCAAGAGATGCGTCTTTGAGCACGATACGTGGGTTTATGATGCCAATGTATTCAGGTAAAGTCTGCTAACAGAGCTTAGGAGTATCAATGGCGGTGGTTACGGCCAGAACCTCGCCATGTGGGGCTCCAGCGGCGACCCTGAGTCCTTTGGCGCTGCCGGGTCGGTCGCCCGTGCCGCAAGCGATGGATGGTACAACAACGAACTCTATCTTTTCCCACAGGACGACTTTGGCAAGGACACTCCTGACATGTCCAATTTCATGCAATGGGGCCACTTCTCCCAGCTCGTCTGGATCAACACCAAGAAGGTTGGGTGTGCCACGCACTTCTGCGCCCCTGACACCCTGTCCAAGCTGGGCTCGTGGTACACCGTCTGCAACTACTCTCCTCCCGGTATGTCCTTGGCAAGGATCGTTTGGTTTCTCCCCTTTTGCTAACCCTTATCCAGGTAACGTGGGCGGCGCGTATGGCGAGAACGTCAAGCGTCCCCTCGGTCAGCCCCGTGTTGCTGCACCGGCCTAAACGGGAACCCCCCGAAACCTCCATTTTCGGCAGCCAATTACCAGACCACAGGTCGCATGGAATCTGCTGGCCAGATGGATAGCGGCGGCTCTTTTGGAATTTTTCGCTTCATGTAGTGTATCTACTTGTGCACAGATATTCCTTCTCGACCAAGATGCGAGTTTGGCGGTTGGTTTACCCTGCATCTCTCTACGCGATCAACGTTTGCCCGACGAGCCATCCAGCTTCGACAGGTTACATTCTCAGCCAGATATCATGACAAGGATAATCTCTGGACGACGTCATTAGGTGTGGGTTTTACAAGTTGGCTCACTCGGGTAGAATGAGAGGAGTCTCTGGGGACGGTTGCTTCGCTTGTATTCTCTTCGTTGGCGAGGACATGGCTCTTGGCTTTGTTGTCCACCGCCCGCTTGTTTCTTGGGGGTGATTTTGTTATTCATTTCTGTATTGAAATTTTTTTGGCTTCATGTTCAGGGTTCCCTTCCTGGCTCTGGCAGCAGTTAGGGCGCCTTTGATTTTTTTTTTTTTTTTTGGTGACAAGCTGCCGCTGGTCTTATCACTAGTTATTGGATGTGTCTGAGCATCGTGCATCCCAGCAGGCGCCAACGTGGAGGTGTATATGCTTTGTCCATAACAGAACGAACAGAGGTGCGTCTATAACCTTGGAATTCCTGTCTGCGGAAACCTTTACCTTTGGTTTTCGCATACAATGCTGCCAATCCAATTCCGCTTGCAGTACATAGCTGCTCAGTCCGGCGAGCGTTGTCTTTACTGGGGAATGGTCATGGCCTTTCTTGTTTAGACCTGGCCGTTTCGGACCGCCCGGCGGGCCGCTGCAGAGGGGGTCTGGAACCTGTTTGTGAGAGGGGGTCTAGGCTCTGAGTCGGTACTGCATGCCCCTTGACTGGTCTGAAACACGGACGTGATGGTCGGGGTGAGGACGGCCTGTTTGAGCGGATGGTAGTATGAGAACTGAAAGGACGAATGCGGGGGTGCGGCACTGCGGCGCAGCATGGGACAGAGATCAGAGAAAGAGGCGTGGTAAGTTCGGTTGGATTTGAAATTTCTGAGGATGAGTTACACTGCCATTCAGCAAGTGGTGGTTGATTATGTCTGCACCTCGCCGTTGTATAGGGGTCCATGTGCGGCGCCGTCTCTCGCAATTTGATATAGCCCCAGACGATGTATGGGTATCATGCCGCGCTCGTCGCTGATGAAGCCTGCGTCGAGGTCGGGTGTTGTGTATAGGCCGGGCGACGTGATGTGGTCCAGCCCCGCAAAGAACTTGATGGGACACCTGAGGAAGTGAAACAATGCTGAAGAAGGTCCCGGCGGCTTGAGGAGTTGTACGGCTCAGGGACGGATGGTTCATGTGCAGAACGTCAACCCCTTGATTATCACATGTAGCCCTGGACTTGCATCAATCGTGATAGCCAAACCGGCCAACAAGGACACTCAGTGCATCATCGGCTTGTTGCGCTGGTTCTTGAAATAAGTCTCCTACGGTAGCCTGCGTTGAGGTAAAGCATCGGCCAGGATCCAAGCTCATTGAGGTCATCGTCAGTTGTACGAACCTTGACACAGGCGTTTTGATATCGTTGGTGGCCTGCGGACCGGTTCCCTTAGTGTTCTACTCCTCGAAGACCTTTAGTACTACTGTAACACGTTAGCTTGCCCTGACTCAGGGACGGAAAAATGATATCGCACGCTTCTAGACTTCAGCGTCTCCGCGAGCAAAGCTATTCCGGAGCCTCGGCGTCTAGGGTACGTAGCTTGGCCCGCTAGCCGGAGAAGATACCACGTCTCGTCGACTTTGTATGGGATGGAACGCTTTCAGGGGGAGTCAACCTTTGTACCTGAGTCACCGTAAGGGTAATCATGGTTCAACCGAAAAAGTGAGCCATTACAGCAAGCCACCAAGCAATCAGACCGAGCCGTCCCATGAATAGTCATGCCTCAAAACGACCAACGGGAACATCATTGGAGGCCTCCAGCCACCTAGCCTGACAGACAACACTGCTGCTCCCTCCCCCGTCCATCCGTTTGTAAGAGTTTTCCCCGATCACCAGGTGCACGGCACCACATTCCAATTGTCATGCCAACATTCACGACCCGGGCAAGAATCGTCTGTGAAAAAACCTGCCGGCGGCATTCTTCTTCAGGCAGCACTTGTAGCTCTGGTGCCAGTACTTGAAGTGGGCTATGGTGTTCTGCCAGTCGATACAGGACTCGGTCGTGCCGGGGACTCCCGTGGCGTGGCAGCCGTCGTTGACGCTATTGAGGTCGTAGGAGCCGAAGTCGGTGTGGAAGTGTTGGTAGGGAGTATTTATGTGGTTACAGATGACGAAGAAATCGGCGTCGCAGGTCCAGGTGGTTTCGAGCCAGTCGGCCACAACCGAGGGCGCAAAGCCGGCGAGGCCGGCGAGGCCGGCGAGGACGAGGGACCCAAAGCGCATTTTGTTTTTCCTGGGCAGGCCACGAGTTGTCAACAAGGGCACCTTGAATGGATGCCATGTCTCGGGAGGCACATACCAGGTTAGGTACTTGGGTAGGTCATTTGAAAAGCGAACTGCAAGCGATCGAGGCCCCGAGTTGATCTGCACATGCAGACTGAGGAACTGCGGGATATGTCAGTCAACTTATAATCCTCCCCTCCAACGGCGCCAAACTTAAAGAATCATGCTGTCTTGCTCAGTCAAGCCTGAGTTCAGTAATTCAGGTCGTTTCACGTTGCACTTGAGCGACAGCGAGTGCCTAACTGAGGTTATCACGGTTCCCGGTGACAAAGGAGAGAAGCCAGAGCAGCACTCGACTCGTTGGCTTGCTCGAGGGATTGTGATAGTGACCCTTGGCTCTTTCGCGCGTAACTTGAAAAAAGGGAGCAGCAGATCGCTACCATCCTATGATTGTTCCTCGGTCCCGAGTCTGGTCTCAAACAGGCTGCCCAAGCGAGGCTCGGCCCCCAATGGTACATGTACCTAAGCCAGGGTGTTGCTCAGCTCTAACCAGCTAGCGGGATGTATGCCCCTTCCACTACCATACCTCTCGTCATCATCTGACCTCGCTGACTAGGTAGGCACCCACCCCACCGACCGCTTCCAAGCCCGCGTGTGTGCAGGTTGGCTGCTATGGGTTCTGCGCGACTACCCTTCTGCCCTCAGGTTCCATTTGCCTGGCACAAGGGCTCGGGACCCAGTTGATCGCCCGGACAGCTCAGACAAAGGGGAGATAAGGGAGCTGCGGAGTCTCTAGCTGCAGCCGTGTATGGTATGTGCATGCTCTCCCCGCAACTGCAAGGCTCTCGTCGAGGGTCTCATCTGGGACTGGTCCGGCGTGATGACATAGGCAGGGGTAACTGAGTTGATCGTCTTTGGGCCCGGCGTCGTGGTTGGAGACGGGATGGGGGTGTTCCCATGCCCTCACCTATCCTCGACATTTTCCTTGGCAGACGGTAACACTGACCGTGGCATTGCCGGACAGAGGATAGCGGCGCTCTTGACCGGACCTACTCTGGCAGTGTGTACGAGGAACGTCCGGCTTCAGATGGGCGAGTGTTTGAATGGCCAACAGTGGCCACATGCGGATGATCCCGTCTCACCGATCCGCGATCAAAGCGACACCCATGCCCGCTGGATAAATCCCCTCTTGTCTTCAACTGTTCCTTGGCGGGCATGGTCAAACCGAGAGCTTTGATAACAGTATCGGGCAGTACACTAGCATGTGTCTGCCCTCTGGCTTCAATGCTGTTTATTTCATTGTTTCTTCTCATAAAGCTAATCATACCAGTCCAGAGCATTACTCCAACTACCTTGCAGACCGATGCTATCCTTCCAACCTTGGTGGTCGATAGAAAGCGCCTGCGGCATACCACGATGGCTGTGTAGGCTGTGGCTCGATATGCTTCGTCAATACTGAAACCGAGGATAGGCCTCCATATCCCCGAGTCACAGTCGGTTAGATGTCCTTCAAACTGGACCTCACTCCTAAGAAAGTGTAGGCCACCACTTGCTTGCACGCTCGCCTGTCCTGTGAAGCCAAGAGCAACCCGATGATAGACTCCTCCTCAGCTGCCCGTCTCGACGTCTACCCATGGCCACCGGGATCCCCGACTGCCACCTCGCGGCCCTTGTTTGTTTTGATATGACATGGTCCGCCGATCAACAACTTCGTTCTGTTTCAGAAGATGAGATCAAAAATCTTACCTTGGACGCCAACACAGAGCCGGGCCCCTCGCTCGCGGAAACCCCGTCGATTGTATCACCCCCCGGACCGCCCACCTCGAACGAGATGATATGATCCTCAGGCTAAGTGGGAAGGAATTCCTGCTCACTTTTCCCGTTCCTTCTCAAGCTCGCACAATGGAGACTAAGCAACCCCCCCCCCTCCCCCCCCCCCTTCTCCTCCTAGTGTACTGCGCCTCGATACCGTGCAGGATTGTCGGCCCCTCGCCGGCGTCAGGGCAGGGCGTGGACCAACCCTGCCGAGCTCAACGCAATCAAAGCCGCGATTTACGTAGAGACGGATGCGCGTCAGGCAGTCGCCGTGCATTTCGAAGCTCAGCATAACGATCTCCCGGGGAATGAGATGGTTGGCAACCAGACCAACTCATGGGGAAGCTACCACGAGGGGCGTCAGCAGGTCGAGTAAGGGTGAGCGCCAGTAGGCAAGACTCGCCGCCAGTTTTTTCTTCCCAGTAGTGACCAAGAGTAGACGGAGACGGAGTATGTGGCGACGCTGCAAGTGGCGAGAGGGGCTTGGACAGAGACGCCGATTCTACTTCCAGAAGGCCGATGCTCGATATCACACCGTCCTTGCAATAATAGCCGGGTTAATTTTACAGTGACTGGTGGAGAGATGAGGTATCACCACCTACCTGATTAATATGGGCCTGTACTACCCACAAAGCATGTGTCTTGAGAAAGCGCGAGAAGAGCTGTAGTGGTGGCCGATAGGTGTCTGCCTTGGTCGTGCCACCAGGGCCAGGACGTGGCATAGTAGTTCCATTGAGGGCCACCCAGGAACGGAGACCTGTCAGTTGGTTGGAGCCATGCATGACGAGCCCGTGAAATGACAGCATCAAGTTCAATTAGGTAGGTGATTGGTGATTACTTACGCCGGTGCGATTCGCTCTCGGCGAAGTGTTGGTATCTCTCGTATCTCTGTTCGGGTCCACGGTCGCGAGGCGTATCATGAGGGCTTTTACAGGCTGACCACCCGGGATTCGTGTAGCAATTTTGTGAATGTGAGGCATGCCAGCGCCATCAAGGCCGAAGACGCGTCTCTGCTGGCCAAGGACGGCACACACCCCGACTAGGCCGTCCAGTATGCCTCGAAGATGACAGGTTTATTGTGAACTTCGTCCTTGGAATAGAGGGACAGCGTTCTCTAAAGCTCCCAGGCGCTATCCGGTTGCTCCCTCTCAGACAAGAAGGCCATGTTGCGGCGGATGGCCGCTTCAAGAACCCTGCTGCCAGGCTGAATCGGGGGAGCCATGTGGACTTGGCGAAAATACCGAGGAGCCAGCTGCTGCTCATAGATGCCCTAGATGGGTCTCCTGTTCGCAAGCAAGAGGATGCTTGGAGGGGTCGGTCATGCCGTACTTTGGGGTCGTGGCCTCGTCCACGCAAAAGTACAGCGACTTGTAGTCTGGTGACTTGATTCTCTGCCTGCTCCATGCGATCGAAGAGGGGCAACAGCTGGTTCAGCCATGGCATGTCGTGCTCAGGGGTAAGAGTCTAACAGCCAGGAGCGAAACAGTGCGGAATCAAGAAATGGGGCACTTACACCCGAATACTTGAGAATCGGCCCAGAGATGGAAATCCTGAGAAGGCCTCTTATTAGCTGCGTGTCGCAGCAAACAAAGCTAGGGTTGAGTTTACCTGGAGCCAACCCATGCTTGTTCGTTGCTGCCCGGACAGTAACTCTGGGTCAGCTACTTGAGGCTCTCCTGGTTGACAAGGTTTGGGTCGTAGGATTCGGGCATATATTCATTCTCTCACTCGGTAAACCGCTCTTCCCCTTCACTGATGTATCCTTCGGCGGTGTAGGGATCAGGTTCGCCACGTTCTACTGCTTCGCGTTTCCGTCTCACGAAGTGCCGCCGTTTCTGTCAAGGCGTTGCGGCCTGTTGAACAATCAAGTGCCTATCCTCAAGAGATCATCCACATACGGCGCAGATACACGGAACGGTCATCCATGGTACCAGGTGTCGATACGCCGCTGAACCCGTGTCAAAGTCGAGGTGTGGCTTGAAAGAGGTTAAAGTCGGGTTGTTTGCAGCCTGCAGTACTAGTTGCGTGAACCCCTAAACAACCCAATGTCGAGTTTCCATTATAGGTAATCCCAGCCATGCCTGAAATGCACAAAAATTGGCGATAAAAATGATGATATCGTTATATCCAGTCCGGCTTAGAATGACATTATCCGTGCAATGTGGCCCGTGCAAACTTCGTTGGACAATCTCGCTCGGGAGTATTAGTTTTGATTCACGCACCGATAGGGAGATCCGGGGCTCCGACTTGGCATGTCAATTTGCACACCGCTCCTCACGAAGTACTATTCTGCATTTGACGCGTCGCTAATCCCAAGCTCCTTGTTATCACCAACCATCATTCGTTCTCATGCTCGGGTAACACTAAACCCAATCAGGACAAATTCCTTTCGACCAACTCTTCATCCTCCTCGGCCTGCGCTGCATTGTACAGCTTCGCAAAAGCCGACTCGGGCACGTCGAGGAGGTTGTAGGGACTGTCAAACTCGACAAGCCTTCCAGCGTCCAGGACAGCGACCTTATCAAAGTCCATGATTGTGTCAATCCTGTGGGCCACGGCGATGATGGTGTGGCTGGCAAATTTCCTGCGGATGAGGCGCTGCATCACATCTTCGGTCTTTGCGTCGATGCTGTTGGTCAAAGTCAGTACACGAGTCTGTCGGGGGAAGACCTGGTGGGCGCCTACCTGCTGGTGGCTTCATCAAGAATGAGAATGGTGCTGGGGCGGAGCATGGCACGAGCGAGACAGAACAACTGCTTCTGTCCGACTGACAGGTTCAGAGCGTCGATATCGGCGTCCAGCCCACCGTTCTTCTCGACGGTCTCCATCACCTGCACGCACTTCAGTGCCTCCTTGATCTCTTCGTCCGAGGCGGCTCCGATCGGATCCGCGTTGAGACGGACTGAACCCTTGAGGAGGAAGGGGTGCTGCGGCACAGCGACGATCTTGCTGCGGACATCTTGCCTTGGGAGGGTGGCAATGTCCACGCCATCCACCCGGATAGACCCGCCTTGCATGTCTACAAGGCGGAAGAGGCTCATGATGAGAGAAGTCTTGCCACTGCCGGTCCTTCCGCAAACGCCAATTTTTTCACCGGCTTTGATGGAAAGGGAGACCTGCTTGAGAACGAGCTCATCACGACTGAAAGAAACATTCCGTTAGCAGCAAGGTCAAGTCTACCGTAAAGAAAGCCGGGACTTACTTGTAGGCAGCAGACAGATTCTCAAACTCAATCGCGCCCGTTGACGGCCATCCCGGAGGCGGCGTCTCCTTCTCCTCCGGCTGATCCTCCGACACAGCATTCTCAGTGAAGCTCCTGATACGAGCCACTGAGCCGATATGCGTCTCAAGCATCGTCCAGAAGGTAACCAGCAGCTTGATGTTCTGGCTAAACTGGATCACATTGAGAAGCGCGAGACCGACCCCGCCGGCCGCCATGGTGCCGCGAAGCTGCACAACCAGGACCATGAGCAGCACAGCAACAGCGGCGACGACGAGATCCAGGACGAGCGTCAGCCAGCGCTGGACGGCAAACAAGAGATAGAACGGCCGCTGCGAGCGGTCCAAGAGCTGAAAATTCTTGTCGTTCAGGGCGTCCTGCCACCCAAAGGCGCGGATCGTGGCTAGCCCGCTGAGCGATTCCTCAAAGAGCGAGTAGAGCGGTGCCTTGGTTTCGATGTCCATCAGGCGGAGCTGCCGCGAGGTGCGCAGGTATACCTTTTGGATAAGAAACAAAGTAAAAAGCACAATGGGGAACGAGATGGCCGCGTAGACAGAACCGTAGCCGATGAGCGCCATTTGTGCAAGGCACAGGACAAACGCTGTGGAGAGTGAGTATGTCAGAGGTATTTCCAGTTATGTAAGGGGAGAGGGGGGGGGGGGGGGGGGGCTGTGGCATCATACTGGCAAAGGTATTGAGGGCCGCAGTGGGCAGCTCCATATCGATCAGCTGAAGGTCCTGGCTGAAGCGGTTCAGGGTCACGCCGGAATCTGTGTTGACGAAGAAGGACAGAGGCGCGCTGAGGACTGTGTTGAGCAGGGCGAAGTGGAACTTCTCGCCAGATAGCGGTACCATGGTGATAATCATTTGCCTGGAACAACACAGTTAGCATGGATGCCGTCAGGAGGAGGACACTCGTGCGGATACTCGGTGTGCTTACCAGCAGCTGACGAACAGACACACGATGGCGACGCCACCAAGCATGGCGTAAATTCCAAGCCAGTATCCCAGCCTGCCGTTAGGGTTGGATTCGTTGTAGGCAGCCCACCACTGCACCCAGATGGCTATTCAACGCAGTCAGCAATGCAACATGCTGGTAGCGAGGACTTTATGGATAGAGCATACTCGGGAACGACATGCAGAAGACAAAGCCGACAATCGCCAACACAAAGATTAGGCTTGCCCACAAGCCAACCGACTTGATGTAGTAGAGGTAGATCTGCACGTCGCCCGTCCGTCGGCTGGTCCTGTCTTCTCCGTCGGCTGGGCAAGCAGTCTCGCTCGACGTAAGCGAGCCGCGAGAGTCGACCTCATTGGCCTGCGGAGTTGCCAGGCCCGCTTCGTCCTTGTCAAGCTGAAGCCGTGGTGTTTCTTCGTCAGGATCCTCAGGGGTGTACGACCAGTCAGCGCGTGGCAAGTTGAACGAGGACACGTAGCTCCCGGCGTCATTGAGGGCCGCGAATGTGCCTTGGCAGTTGACCTCGCCGTTCGGGCTGAGACATATAATGTGATCTGAATAGGGGAGACGCTTGACTGCCTTCGTGTGAGCAGTTGTCCTGGCTGAGGTTAGGGGTTGGGACGTACCAGATGAAGATACAACTAGCACAGTGGCTTTGGTCTCGCGAAGGATCCCATTCTTGCCGAGAAGGTCATGGAAGACGTGCTGCTCTGTGGTATTATCTAGACCGCTCAAGACGTCGTCCAGGATAATAATCTTTCTGCGAGCATATATAGCACGCGCCAAAGCCTATAACAGAAAATTAGCAATATCCAGGGGAAGTGGCGAGGGAAAAACGGAGAGGCTTTACAATGCGTTGACTCTGCCCACCGCTCAATGCGACACCGCCGCTGCCGATCCGCGTGGCATCACCCAGAGGCAGTTCTCGGAAATCTCGTTTGAGAGCGCAAGCATGCACAACACGGGCATACCACTTCTCGTCATACTCTCCGCAGCCAACGACAGCCTCCCTGATGGTGCCGTTCATGTGCCAGGGGTCCTGGGCGCAGTAGGCAATGCTTGTCGACCCCAAGCTCACGGAGCCTTTCAGTGGCGGGACCTCGCCGAGAAGAGCCTGCATCAGGGTTGATTTGCCGCAGCCGACGGGGCCGACGACCATAGTGAGCTTGTGCCAGGGAATAGAGAGACTGATGCCCTTCAACAAGGGCTCTTTAGCGGGGTCCCATCCAAAATCGGCATCCTGAACGGTGAGGGCGTAAGCTGACGCGTTGTCGATCTTGGGTTTCTCGCCTTGTTCCTCTGGCTTCGGCTTCGGCAAGCCCGTGCGCTCCTCCGAGTCGAGGAATTGCTGGATGCGGACGAAGCTGCCAACGGCGCCCAGATAGGCGGCCAGGGCCATGACCAGGGAGGCGAGCGGCTCCGAGAGCAGGGCAAACAGGGAGAGAGCGGTGAAGACGCGTGCCGTGTCCAGGGTCTTGTCTCCGCTGTCGCGGGCACGGAGGGAGAAGACGGTGAAGGTCAGGACGGGCGCGAAGACTTGAGTTACGTAGGCTAGTTTCAAATGAGAACATGGTTAGCCAAACGCCCCTGAGCTGATTCCAGTGAGTTCGTGCCAGGGCTTACCGAAGACCATATTCCAGATGATCAACCGTCGAAACCGCTTTGAGATACGCAGCTCATCAACCCGAAGCTTCTGGAGGTTTTCAAGGAGTATATCCTTCAGCCCACACATCTTAACGCCCTTCATAGAGGCGAGCATTGCCGACGTGGCCGAGATACGTTTCTCGATGGCCTCAAGCCACATGGCCTGGCGGGACATGATGAAGTTCATGGCGAAGATGGAGCCGAGCAAGGATACTGCGCAGTGTTTAGTTAGGCAAGTACTGTGCACATGTAGGGATCTGGAGTAGAAAGAAACGCAGCTCACAAATCGACACGGCAACGGGCACCACACAAGCCACGCCCAGCTGCCGCTCGAGCAGGTAGATGGCGACGCCGACTTCGACCGAGTTGCCCCAGATCTCGTGCATGGTTTGCCAGCCCTGAACGATGCGCTCCATGTCAGCGCTCATGAGCGTCATCGACGTGGCCGGGTCCATGTCCCTGATGCTCAGGGTGCCTGTCTTGCGATAGACCATGGAGACGAGGCCCGCGCGGACCATGGCGATGGTGCGGTAGGTGCGATGCTGGTACTGGCCCATGGAGACCTAAGTAGAGACTAATGTTAGTAGCAATCAAGAGCAGGATTACGGCTAAGACAGGTCAAATTATGACTTACCGCAATGCCGACATAAACCAAGAAATAGGCGCCAATGAGGCCGTAGCCCTTCTGTGTCGTCTCATCCGTGATGGCCTGCTGGGACAGAGTGATGGCATGGTTGATCAGGAATGGCTGGCAGAAGGAGAGGGCAATGAGACAGGCGCGTGGCGGAATAGTCTGGAGAATGGGCCATGCGAGGACGGCGTAGGATTCCCCCAGCAGAGAGTAGGGTGACTTCTTGGTGACTATCGTCGGCGAGTATTAGCAGCTGAGCAAATCGCTTGACATGATACGAGGAAGTTGCAATGAGACGAAAGTGGGATGGATGAATGAGGATAGAGTAAGCGGGAGGGGTGATAGGAGGTAGGGAGGGAGTGACGGAGCTTAAGGCGGTTACCGTACTAAGAGACACTAAGAATTGAGAGTGGTAACGAGTGAGTGGGTGTGTGAGTGAGTAGGCGAGTGAGTGAGTGACGGGTAGGCACCCGCATTGGAAGATTGGGTGTAGATTGACAGAGACCGGAGAATAAAGAGAGTGAAAAACTGACCTGAACTCCATGCTGCAGCGAAGCGCTTGTAACAGTACGATGCCTGAAGATGCTTGTCGAGCACGAACAAGTCACCGACTTCCAGTTCATGGCTGTATCCCTGCCGGAACAGCGGGTTGAGCCACCAGAAGAAAGACCGGTTGTAGATGCTGCTAGTTGCCTCAGGCGGCTGAGCCCTGTACTCGGGACGGAGCAAGCGACGCTTGTCGAGGACCTCCAGCGCAAGCACAATCAGCTTGACCACAACGGCAGTAGTGCATATGTATGCAACGACATGATTAAGATGGTCTGCTGCACGGAGCCACAAGGTTCGCGCGTGGGCAGTATCAAACAGGAGCGTGGCAAGCAGGTACCCGTTGAGAAGCGTCGAGGGCCGAACCGCACGGGTATGCTCGACGTATGAGAGGAAGCAGAGGCCGAGAACCGAGACTAGACTGAGTGCTGCGCCAGGTAGAGTCGGCCGTGTCCGGACAGCTGAGGGGGTCGCCCAGAGAATCAGCTCAGTGAGCTGCAGTACACCGAGGACTAGCCAAGCAACCTGCACCGTAGTAGAGAATCGAGCAGAGTGTTAGCGTAAGGTAGCTTTCATATGGGGTTACACAAGTGTGAGGCAGTATACTAAAACATAGGCGGGACCAGTGTCAGATGTGCTTACAATCTTGATTGCTGCGAAGTGATTCCCGGCTACCACTTTCTTCTCTCGCTTCCAGAGATGCCAAATTCGAGCGGGAAGCACGAGTAGCAAAAGGCCCACCGGAAGGAGTGTTAGAACTGTCTCCTCAAAGAGCAGAGTGAAGTCGAAGCCGCCCCGACACTCGCCGGCATGGGGACCGAACGAGTCGTCGAGGCGAGCACACTCCAAGGCGGTTGGTGGCATGTGGGCCATGGTTGGCAGAGCTTGACTGGTATCAAACAAACATAAAGGCGCGTAGGCGAGAAAGCACGTACGACACAAGGGAGACTGAACGGAAACAGAGCACTGGGGGTAAGGGGTTCTCGATCGACGAGACTGCGTCGAACCAGACGGGGCTTGACGGGGCCCCAGGCTGCAGGCTTGATATTGATTTTCATTCCGCATTCCGAGATTTCCTTACTCCTTTTTTTTTTTCCAGACATCTTTCCAGTCCTTGGCTTACCGGGCCTGGGCCCGTTGATCCGGGCCCAGCATGGATGGAGGACTGGACTGGAAGGAGGCAAGGCAGGGCGGCATCATGGTTTGCCGTTCAGGAACTTCAACTTGACGATCGATGCCATGGCCTGGCATATTCTGCCCCCTGGCTGACGTGACAACGCATACACGAGTAGAATACTCTGCTAGGACGCCCGATGGAACCTCAGCTGCCGGTTTCGGCATGTTGGTTGCCGACGGTGTGCTGGCCCGAGCCCAGAAATTCAAGTTCACAGTCTGTAGTGAATCATGAAGACTCCCATCAAGGGGGAGCCACTTGCGTCGACACACAGCTAGGACTCGCTTAAGAGGCGGGCTCAGAACGAGGCGAATACAACGCTGGGATTCGGGTTTGACATCTCCACGGCCCACAGGCAGGGCAGGACAGTCCTGAAATCCTGCTTTTTCCCGCCGGTGAAGGTACCCAAGTTTCCCGCCGTGTTCTCGCCGACTTCAGGTTGAATCGAGGGCGACCTTCCAAGTTGGCAGGTCGTGGAATGCCGCTTTGCCGCCCTTTCCACTCCCCTTGCATTGCGTGACGAGACGAAATTCTTGTTCTGCCAACTCAGGGCCAGTAAGGGTTGCAGATGCGGTCAGTGGCGTCAGTTACAGCAAACCAGAAGAATGGGCCGGGTGGTAATGCACCTTCAGCCGTTTCTTGTGCGGTAGCTTCAGCGTCCTGTTTTGGGGGCTCTATGCTGCCGTTCCGCCTGCACGATGCGGCTGGTTTATAGCCGGCCTTAAATTTTCCAGCTGTCATTCCTTGACAGCGGCAGGGTACGAGCAAGGTATGGGTTGGCTCCAGGGGCTGATTGGTCCCGCTATTTACCGATGACCCCGGGCCTCCCAGGAGATCGGCAGAGGCGTTACCCGTCGTGGCGCCCCCGGCAACATGTCCCGCTGCCGCTAAGAGGCTAACTGAGCGGGCCATATGCAAGGCAGAGGTGCCAAGGAGTTGCCCCCCCTGCATGGAAACATGGACGTCTTCGCTGTGTTCCAGCCCCGGCAGGCAATACACGTGTTGATTAGCCTTCCTAAAACTGCAACCCCCGCGTTGATCACCTCGCTTGAATCTCGCGATCTGTATCTGCGACCGAGAGAGTGTTTACCCATGGGGCAGGCCCTTTTGATTGTCTGGGGACGGCCAAGCCAGGACAGGGCTCAATTCATTGACACAACCAAAAATAACTGCTGGCCAATGTTTTGCCAGATCAATGTCACCCGGCTCGGCGGGCCATGGTACCAGACGGCAGAGACCGAGACCAGGTGCTTGCTGTCCTAGGTAGTCTAGTCCAAGCAAAATTCTTCACCCTCCATCCTGTTGGGAACTTGGAAGTGAAGGGGCAAGGCCAAGGAACCGGGAAAAGAACTGAAGGAGAGACACCGGACCGGCGGGAGGCTCAAGTTTGAATTATAACTACATGTGCCTAACATTGGAACACTCGCTTATCCCTTCGGCCCAGCGTTGCTTCCGTACCGTGGTCCCCAGTCCCTGCAGTCCTCCTGCAAGACGCAAATTACTTTCGATTTCTTTGCAGACTTCTGCTCAGTTTTTCTTGAGGCTCCGTGTCTTACCGCTCGTTGGGTTCTCAGTCACACGGCTCGTCCCAAACTACCGGAGAACACACGTGTTGACTGCACGCTCAGCAAGGCAGCAACCCCTTACTCTTCCTTCCACTTACCTCTTCACCTCCTATCTCGACTTGGATTCCTGCCTGTGCTACCACTAGTCCGGTGAAACCATCTTTGCGCTCCAGTCACCAGACATCATCACCTGGTCACGATGGATTCCACCACCAAAGCCACCAACTGGGACACGTACCTGAAGGGCCTGACGCCCTGCCGGTTTCCACGCTTCAGCCGCGTCAACCAAACCGCGGGCTCATCACACAAACTCTCAGCGACCCGCATCAACGTCGAACAGGCGGACAAACTGCTGGCCTTGGACGCCTATGAGCTGGGTGCTGTTCTCCGGGCCGCCTGGGCTGTGCTGCTGCGCTGCTACACGGGTCAGGATGATGTGAGCTTCAGCTTCCAGCACGGCGGTGACGGTGACGGTGGTAACATTGCCGGTGGACCCGTCGTTGCGCGGTTTCTTCTCGACGATGGAGCCTCCGTCGCTGGGATCGTCGGCCGAGCCAAGGCGGAAGTGCCTGGCGATCTCCCTCTTGTCTCCACTGAGCGACTCCGCCCTGGCGGTGGTTCCGATCGATCGTTTTTTGATACCGCTGTCGTCTTGTGGAATTTCAAGACAGAGCGATCAGCGTCATGCCCTGCTTTCGATCCGGTACGTACCTTTTGCTTCTTGTGCTTTCCTTTTCCGTTTTTGTTGTTTCTTTTCCCCGGTTACCCCTGACCCGCCAAGCCCAATACACTGTCGCCATATACAGCCCTAACCCTTGATCCCCTCATTTCGTCAGCCTCTGACTGACGAGGCAAAAGGAACAATACAAGCTCCGCCTCGTCGCAAAGCGAAGCGAGGGCAACTTGAGCCTGGTCTCAGAATGGAGCAGCGAGCTGCTCGGCATGCCTGAGGCGCAAGGTATGCTGGTGGCCAGCACTCTGGACAAGATCCTATCGGGCGTCCTGTCGAGTGCGCCTGACACGCCACTGGGGTCGCTGGATGTTCTGAGTCAGACAAATCTGGACCGGATTTGCGCTTGGAATGCGTCTTATCAGGTTGACCCCGTGGAGAGATGCATCCACGATGTGATTGCCGACCAGGTCCTCGCGCAGCCTGACGCCGAGGCTGTCTGCTCCTGGGACGGCTCACTCAGCTATCGTAAGCTGTATGATTTGAGCGGCCGTCTGGCGATCATACTCGTGGGACACGGAGTTGGACCCGAGGTTCTGGTGCCGCTATGCTTTGAGAAATCGGTTCGTCATGCACCTGCTCACTTTCTTCACATTTGATAGCTGACAAAGTTCCAGAAATGGACCATTGTAGCAATATTAGCGGTGCTTCGCGCGGGAGGAGCATTTGTGCCGCTTGACCCTTCGCATCCCGTTGAGAGACTCCGCGGTCTCTGCGAGTCAGTCGGGGCGAAGTTGGTGCTGTGCTCCAACCATCTCGTAGGTATGCTGACAGGAGTGGTCGTCAAAGTGCTGGCCATAGACGACAGCACAACCGTCGAATCCCCACAGAATGGCGCTGTGGCCTTGCCCACTGTATTGAGCAAGCACGCGGCGTACAATATCTTCACCTCCGGATCGACCGGAAAGCCGAAGGTAATCACATCTGCACACAAATGTAATAGCAACTGAGAAGGGTGCTGACCTTACCCAGGGCACCCTGATTGAACACCGAGCCTTCTGCTCCAGCGCCAGGGCACACGCCCCCATGCTGCGGATTGATGGCACCTGCAGAGTGTTGCAGTTCGCAGCCCACACATTCGACGCAAGCCTGGTCGAAATCCTGACCCCGCTGATGACGGGTGCTTGCGTCTGCATTCCGAGCGAGCACGAGAGGCTCAACGACTTAGCCGGGGCCATGAACCGCATGGGCGTCGACCACGCCGTGCTCACCCCTTCTTTCGTCAACTTCCTGACCCCCTCCACCGTGCCCAGGCTGCGCAGGTTGGTGCTGGCTGGCGAGGCCATGTCACGCTCGCACGTCGCCACTTGGTCGCACATCGAGCTTGTCAACGGCTATGGCCCCGCTGAGAGCTCTGTCGCGGCCGTTGTCAACTCGAGCGTTTGTCCGGAGACCGAAGCTACCGATATCGGTTTGCCGTGCGGTGTTCGGGTCTGGCTCGTCGACCCTGCTGACCATAATCGCTTGGTGCCTGTCGGCTGTGTGGGCGAGATGCTGCTTGAGGGACCGAGTTTGGCCAGGGGTTATTTAAATGACCCTGTCAAGACCGAGGACAGCTTCATCTCTGGCCCTGCATGGGCAAAGGATAGCTCTGATGAAGAACAGCCTGCCCGGCGTTTCTACAAGACGGGCGATCTCGCGCGGTACAATTCTCCCTCTGGCTCCCTGAGCTACGTGGGAAGAAAGGATACGCAGATCAAGCTCCACGGCCAAAGAATTGAGCTCGGCGAGGTTGAAGCCCATCTTGCGATTGACCAGAGCGTGAGGCACGCCCTAGTTCTTCTTCCAAAGAAGGGCCTCTTGGCGAACCGACTAATCACGGTGCTCTCGCTGTCGGATCCTTCCGTCGCTGCCGATGGTCAGCAGTCAAGGGAAGGGCCATTACAGCTGACTGGGAACCCGTCGACCACGGAGCCGATCTTGCAGCGCATCCGAGCGCGAATGGGCGAGCGACTTCCTGCATACATGGTGCCGTCGACATGGTTATGTGTCGACGATATTCCCATGCTGGCCTCTCGGAAGATGGATCGAAAGACGGTGGCGACATGGGTTGAAACCATGCTCACCGAGGAGGAGTACCAGCAGGTGATCAGGGAGCAACAGGCCGCCTCCACGATACCTGAAGACGGCAATAACAGCAACGCGCTCCTAACGGAGGTTGAGAACAAGCTCTGTGAGATCTGGAGCCTAGTTTTGAACTTCCCCGCGGACCAGATCAACCCAGACGGCCGCAGCTTTCTTAGTCTGGGCGGTGATTCCATCTCGGCCATGGCTTGCGCCAGCCATGCAAAGAAGGCGAGGCTGGGGTTCTCGGTGCAGGACGTCCTCAAGGCCAAATCCTTGAGGCAGCTGGCGGCCATCGCCAGGCCTATGGAACAGCCCAGCAAAGCACACGGCGAAGCCGAAGACGAAGAACAAGAGGGTGGTTTGAGTGCACCCTTTGACCTCACTCCTATCCAACAGTTCCACTTCCAGATCCGTGGTGAGGCGGAGGGTGACGAGCACTTCAACCAAAGCTTCTGCCTGCGTCTTGCTCGGCGCGTGCAAAGAACCGCCATCGAGAAGGCCATTCGAGCCGTAGTGAGGCGCCACGCTATGCTCAGGGCTCGTTTCACCCCAGGGGAAAACGGACAGTGGCAGCAGTCCATCACCTCTGATGCCGACTCATCCTTCCGCTTCCGGGCGCATACCGTATCCTCCCGTGTTGAGATGGACGCCGGGATATCCAGCGCACAGGCTTGCCTAAATGTCCGCCGAGGCCCACTGTTTGCGGCAGAGCTGTTTGACCTGCAAGACAGGAGCGAGCAGGTCTTGTTCATGACTGCCCATCACCTTGTCATCGACCTCGTCAGTTGGCGCGTTATTCTCGAAGAGATCGAAGAGATCCTCGAGAATCCCTCAGCACAAGAGAAAAGCCTCACAGTCCATCGATCACTGCCATTCAGGAAGTGGGCTGCTGCCCAGGTTGACGACTGCGCGGAAAAGGATCTGAACCAAGTGCTCCCATCGGCGGATCAAGTACCCACGGCTCAGTTCGTCTATTGGGGAATGGACGATCAACCCAACCTGTACGGCGACGTCGCATGCCAGGGCTTTGAGCTTGACGCTTCCACCTCGGCTGCCCTTCTCACCGACTGCCACAACCCTTTCCGCACCGAAACGGTCGACCTACTCCTTGCGGCGGTCATCTGGTCGTTCCAAAGGACTTTCACAGACCGGAATGCCCCAGCCATATTCAACGAAGGGCACGGCCGGGAACCGCCTAAAGAAGAAATCGACATTGCCCGCACCGTCGGCTGGTTCACAATCCTCTTCCCAGTGGCCCTATCCTCCCCAACCACCTTTGCCGACGCCCTCATCCAGACCAAGGACCTCCGCCGGCGCGTCCCATACAATGGTCGTCCGTATTTTGCAGCTCGCTTCCACACCCCCGAAGGCCGCGAACGCTGGTCCACGCAGCACAAACACATGGAAGTCTCCTTCAACTTCCTCGGACGCTATCAGCAACTCGAGCGCGCCGGTGCCTTGTTCCAGCCGGCAGAGGGCGCTCTCATGGCCGGCGAGGCGCATCCAGGCAGCCCAACGGCTGACTTTGGGAGTAAAGCGCCGCGGTTCTCCCTCTTTGAGATCTCGGCTGTCATCGTCCAAGGAACTCTGCGCTTCGGCTTTGCATGGAACAGCGGGATGCGCCACCAGGATCGCATCCGCGAGTGGGTTGCTAACTGCCGTGACGTCCTAGCTGAGGCGGCCGTGACATTGCCCGCCATGGGGCGCAAAATCACGGCTAGTGACTTGGCGCTGGTTCCCGACCTTACGTCTATGGACCTCACCGCGTTTGAGCGGGATAAACTTCCTGGTCTGACCGGGGGACGCGGCTGGGACGCGGTTGAGGACGTCTATCCTTTGTCGCCTATGCAACAGGGCCTGTTGCTCAGCCGGACCAAGGACCGCAACTTTTATGCCGTCCGCCGGGGATTTCGGGTCAAATCCAGTGGCAAGAGCGGCAAGGGAGTAGATGCTTGTCGGGTGGTTCAAGCTTGGAAAGAAGTCGTGAGGCACCACGCTCTGCTCCGCACCGTTTTCGTGGACGCCATAAGCCGAACGCGGGCGGGAGGCTATGACCAGGTCGTTCTGAAAGATGTAGAGCCTCCGATGCTGGTTTGCGAGTGTCCCAGCGAAACCGATATGAGGAGGCTGGTCGAGGGATTGGAGCCCATGGATTACCGAGATGAGATGCCGCAGCATCACTTCTCCGTCTTCTACAACAATGACTACGTTGTCTGCGTACTGGAGATGAGCCACGCCATCATGGACGGAGCTTCAATGGACATCCTTCTCCGAGACCTCGGACGAGCCTACGACGGAACGCTTGAACACCTGCCGAAGCCCCTGTTTAGCCCCTTTGTGGCCAGCCTGCAGCAGCGCAGCGTTGAGAGAGACGTGGCTTTTTGGTCGAACCATCTCGCTGGTCTCGAGCCCTGTCACTTCCCTGCCCTCAACGACGGAATCAGCGTTCCCGAGTCCGAAAGGGAGCTGTGTACGCTCCGGCTCGACTTCCCGGGGCTGGTAGTATTGCAGAAGTTCTGCAGTGCAACTGGTTTCACCTTGCCCAACGCCTTTCACGCAGCGTGGGCCGCGACACTGGCGTGCTACACCGCCACAGACGATGCGTGTTTTGGATACCTCGTTTCAGGGCGCGATGCTGCGGTTGAGGGGTCCGAGGATGCTGTAGGTCCTTTCGTGAACATGGCCACCCAAAGGGTGAGACTTATTGCCGGTGATGGAGGTGACAAACCCACCCTGCTGCAACTCCTTGAGGCCGTGCAGAAGGACCAACTTGACTGCATGCCATATTCTCAGACATCGCTGGCCGAGGTACAACACGCGCTCGGGCTACGGGGCGGCATGGCGCTGTTCAATACGTGCGTTTCCTACCGCCGTCTCCAGCAACAGACGGAACAGGTGTCAGGATCAGTTGTGTGCGAAGACCTGGGAACCATCCATGACCCGACTGAGTACCCCGTCTCGCTGAACATTGAAGTGGACGACGAGGGAAACGCCGCTATTGACCTCGATTACTGGACAGACGCGGTGGCCCCTGGCCAGGCAAAGCACGTCGGGGCAACCTTTGTGCAGGCTCTGCTGAACATCGCAGAGCGCGCGGAAACGCCCATCTCTCTGCTGGATAACGTCCACAGTTCGGGTAAGGAACTTATTTGGGCCTGGAACGCCAACATGCCGGCGACCACCGTCGAGTGCGTGCACCACATGGTGGAGAAGCAGGTCGCCATCCGGCCGCAAGCCCAGGCCATCCGGGGATGGGATGGTGACTTCACGTATGAGGAGATGAACGCCCTCGCGAACCGTCTAGCCCGGCACCTTCATACCCTTGGCGTTGGACCTGAAATCCTGGTACCCGTTTGTTTCGACAAATCAGCCTGGACAACTATCTCCATGCTGGCCGTTTTGAAGGCAGGCGGCGGCGTTGTTCCCCTCGATGCCACGCACCCTGCTGCTGCCCTTGAGGGCAAGGTGGCTGATGCAGGCGCCCATGTCGTGGTCACATCGGAGGCCCGGGCAACCCTCTTCAGGACCATGGTGCGACATGTGGTAGCGGTCGGCCCCGCGCTTCTGGCTCAACTCCCCGAGGGTGGCAACGGAGACGACATTCAGTCGGGTGTGACCCCGGAAAACCCAGCATTCATCATGTTTACGTCTGGGAGCACCGGAAAGCCGAAGGGAGTCATTCTCTGCCATCAGGCACTCGTGTCAAGCGCGCTCGCGCACGGCTCCGCGCTGGGTCTCGGCCCGCACACACGCTTCCTCCAGTTCGCGGCCCACACTTTCGACAACAGCATCGAGGAGATGTTTACCAACCTCATCCACGGCGGCTGCGTGTGCGTCCCGTCAGACGCAGACCGTCTCGGCGATTTACCTGGCGCCATCGACAGACTGGACGCCAACTTCATGGACCTGACCCCGACAGTGGCAGCACTCCTGCGGCCAGAGCAGGTGCCCAGAATCAGGGGCATGGCTGTCGGCGGCGAGGCCCTGACGCGGGAGGTGCTGGACGTGTGGGGAGGGGTCATCCCTGTGCACAATCAGTACGGCCCGAGCGAATGCTCCATCAATTCGACCCACAAGCTGCATGTCAACAAGCAGGGCGACGTGGGCAACATCGGGACCAGTGTCGGCAGCGTGTCCTGGGTGGTTGACCCGCACGACCACAACAGGCTAGTTCCGGTCGGATGCGTGGGCGAGTTGCTCATCGAAGGTCCCATCCTGGCAAGGGGCTACCTCAACAAGCCCGCTGAGACAGCCAAGGCGTTCATCAAGATGCCAAAGTGGGCAGCTGATGATCCACGCCATGGCGAGAAGGGTGACCGAAGGATGTACAAAACGGGCGACCTTGTCCGGTACAACTCGGACGGCTCGCTCATCTATCTCGGCCGCAAGGACACCCAGGTCAAGCTCCATGGACAAAGAATTGAACTCGGCGAGTTGGAGCACCACGTCAAGACCATCTTGCCGGCCACGGCCCAGTCCTCGGTCGAGCTGGTGAGCGTTGGACGCACCAAGGCGTTGGCCGTGTTCTTCTGTCTCTGTCTTTCATCGAAAAGAGATGATATCCGGATCCTCCCCATGGACGCCGATTCCCGATCCCTCGCGCAGACCGTTGCGGGGACCATGGCCGCCAAAGTTGCCTCTTACATGGTTCCGAGCTTGTTCTTCCCAGTGTCCAAAATGCCCCTCACCTCATCAGGCAAGCTGGATCGTCGACGTCTGCGCACCATGGCACAGGACCTGTCCGAAATTGTGGTTGAGTATCGCCTGAATAGTCAAGCTGCGGGCGGCCGCCCACCCGAGACACGCATGGAGACGCAGCTGCAAGAGTTGTGGGCGACTGTGCTTAACGTGGAACCCGAATCGATCTCGGCCGATGACAGCTTCTTCATGCACGGTGGAGACTCGGTTGGCGCCATGCGCTTGGCTTCGATGGCGCGCCAAAAAGGCGTTGTCCTTACCGTGGCCAGCATATTCCAATCGCCCAAGCTTTCTGACATGGCAGCAGCGGCAACAGGAAGCGGCCAGGCAGGGCACAACTTCGCCAGTGCGGTTGTCGAAGAGAAACCGCTGCTTGGACCTACGGAGCCGTTCTCATTGCTCAATGGCACCGACGCAATGGACCTGAGAGCCCTCCAGGCGCATGTGGCGTCGATTTGCCGCATCGATGCCGGCGCTATCGAGGATGTTTATCCCACGAACCCCTTGCAAGCAGGTCTGGTTGCAGCGTCCCAGAGGCATCCTGGCGCCTATGTCGCAGTCAACGTTTATGAGTTACCCGGCGGCACCGACATTGCGCGGTTCAAGAAGGCATGGCAGGACGTCGTGGATTCCGAAGCTATTTTGCGGACGCGTGTCGTGCTTGTCGAGAACATCGGGTTCTTGCAGGTTGTTGTCCGCGACAAGATTGACTGGTCCACGGCAACAAGCGCAGAGGAACTTTCCAAGCCGGGCCATCGTCAACTGCCTCCGCACGACGGTGGCATACTGACCCGATACACCATCATCGGTGAGCACAGCAGCCGACCGACGTTTGCCTGGACGGCACACCATGCTGTGTATGACGGATGGAGTTTGCCAACGTTGCTGAGCCGGGTTGAGGCCCGGTACCGGAAAGCAGAGTCGTCCATAAGCCCGGTTCCGCAGTACTCGCGGTTCGTCGAGTATTTGTCCGCCCTTGATAGTTCCTCGTCAGACGCGTTTTGGGTGAAAAAGCTCTCTGGTAACGGCATCACGCACTACCCACAGCTACCCACCCCAGATTACCGGGTGCAGGCCACAAGCCAGGTATGCCGGTCAGTGCGCTTAACGAAGCCGAAGGGCTCTGGCCTAACCGTGGCATCCTTCCTCCGGACCGCCTGGGCTCTCGTTGTGTCGATTTATTCGTCCTCAGATGACATCGTCTTTGGCGAGATTCTCAACGGGCGTGACATTCCCCTTGCAGGTATCGATAACCTGGTCGGCCCCACGCTGGCTTCCATCCCGCGACGCATCCGCATCGACCGCGCCATGACGGTGCAACAACTGCTATCCGACATTCAAGCGCAGCTCAACGATGTGATGCCCCACCAGTTTGCGGGTCTGCAGCGCATAAGGACTCTCAGCCAGGAGGCTGCCACGGCGTGCGAGTTTAGGAACCTGCTCGCTGTCGACCTGGTGGATGAGACGGCCGAGAGTAACAGCCTGTGGGGTAAGCTGACGGGCGGCGGGACGGCCCAGGGCCCGGATTTCTTCAGCTACCCGCTCAACGTGACTTGCACGCTGGGCCGCAGCAAGAACAACGGTACTGAAGAGATTCAAATGCGCGTCATCTTTGACTCGGGGGTGGTGCCGCAGTGGCAGGTTGTTCGAATGCTTTGCCAGTTCGAGAGGCTTCTGTCGCAAATTTCAGCCCCAGAGAGCCAGCGCGAGAAAATGTCCGATCTCGATTTGCTCAGCCTGGAGGACAAAGCCATGTTGAGGAAGTGGAACGAGGTGCCTGGTCCACTGGTTGAGCGGCGAGTGCACGACATGATTTGCGAGCAGATGTCGCAGCAAGGTAGTGGCGAGACTGCCGTGGTTGGCTGGGACGGGACCTTGTCTACCGGTCAACTGGATGCGCTCTCGACAGCGTTGGCAGGTGAGTTGTTGTCGAAGGGCGTCGGCGCTGACAATGCTCGCAGGTTCGTTCCATTTTGCTTTGAGAAGTCAATCTTTGCTGTCGTCGCCATGCTCGCGGTTTTGAAGGCCGGCGCAGCTTTCGTACCCCTGGATCCGGCGCATCCTGTCAGTCGGCTGCGAGAGATTGTCGGCGATTGCGAGGCAGAGGTGGTGCTGTGCTCGCCGAAGTACGAGAGCCTCTGTTCCCAGGTGGCGGAGACAGTCATTCCGGTCAATACGTCGATGATTGAGAGCCTCAGGAATGTGACGTCCGCGAAGTCGATGATGCAAGGTTCGTTGCTGTGGGAGGCTTGCCCTGAGAGACCTCTGTTTACTTGCCCCTGGAATCTGGCTGATGTGGAACTCACCAAACCAGCCACGTGCCAGCCAAGCGATCCTGCGTATGCGATTTTTACGTCAGGGACAACTGGAAAACCAAAAGGGACAATAAGTACGTTGAGATTTTCTTCTTCTCTGTTGTTGACGTTCTTCCGAATTTTGTTTTATCTTCCCCGCATTGCAAGTCCTTTCGTGCATTCCCCATGTCCATCGTTCACGCCCTGAGACTCCAGTTGTCATGCCCCGGTTGGTCTGTGCGCGCAGTGGCCCACTCGCGCTCTGTCGGCGACTCGGCGCAACCTGCAAGCAGGCGTGACTGTGAAGAAACCTCACCCATTTCATCAACACGCATTCCCATATCCAAACCCGCTCCATTGCCATGGCACGACGATGTCCACGATACCTATCGACGGATTTCAATCAATATTCCATCCCATGGTCAAGAATCGCGAATTCGCGATTCGACCATGGCTTCCGGCGATCGCTATCCGCGTCGAGATGATTTACTCGACTTCCCCTATTCAATCGATGCGCAGTGAAGTTCACTGCCATCATCGGGACCACCCTCGACTGAAATAGACATTGTTTAACCACCTTATTTCTGACGCATGACTTCCAGTCTCACATACCGCCTTTTGTTCGGGCGCCGCTGCTCATGGCCCGGCCATGCTGATGAAGCCGCCGTTCCGCTTCCTGCAATTCGCGTCCTACACTTTCGATGCCTCACTGGTTGAGATCCTGACAACCCTCATCCTGGGCGGAACGGTGTGTGTGCCCAGAGAAGAGGACCGCACCAATGGCAACATCGCCGCTGCCATGGAGGACCTTCACGTCACCATGGCGCTGCTCACACCCTCCTTCGCCCGCATTCTCGAGCCTGCCAGCGTACCACACCTCAAGACGCTCATCCTCGGCGGTGAGGCCATGGCACAAAGCCATCTTGCTACGTGGGCCGACAGGGTGAATCTCGTCAACGCCTATGGCCCGAGTGAGTGCGCTGTCGTGGCAACCGTGAACTCACAGATGCGCCGCTCGTCCAACCCGGCAAACCTGGGCAGAGGATTGGGCCGCTGCTGGATCGTCGACCCCAACAATCACCACCGTCTTGCCCCTCTTGGATCTGTCGGCGAGCTCCTTATTGAGGGTCCGACATTATCGACAGGCTATTTGAAGAACGAGGCCAAGACCCGCGAAGTTTTCATCGAGAACCCTCGTTGGGCATTGGGTCCAAGCCTGCGCTATACAGATATGCCGGCCCTGGCTCCGCGGCGCATGTACAAGACAGGCGATCTGGTGCGCGTTTGCGACGACGTTTCCGGAGAGATGGTCTACGTGGGCCGGAAGGACAATTCACAGGCCAAGCTGAACGGTCAGCGACTGGAGATCGATGAGATTGTTGTCCATCTTGCTGCCGATGACCGCGTCCGACATGCCGTTGTTGTTCTGCCCCAGAGCGGACTCTGTGCCAAGCGCCTGGTTGCGGCTTTTTCACTCCGGACAGTCTCCGAACAACAGCGCAGCGATCATACGGCCAACAAATTTGAACTGGTTACATCCATTGAGGCTTCTTCTGCCATGGAAAAGGTCCAGGAGCGCCTGCGAGAGAAACTGCCGCCGTACATGGTTCCTTCAACTTGGGTCGTGCTCCGAAACATTCCTCTGCTGCCATCTGGGAAGCTTGACCGCAACAGCGTAGCCCGATTTCTCGAGAACATGAGCGAAGAGACCTTAGACCGAATCAGTGGCGCGGCTAGCCAGGCTCAGGGCGACGGAAGCTCTCCCTCTCTCCAGACCCTCCCCATCGACGCGAAGCTGAAGACCGTCTGGAGTGAGGTCCTAAACATCGGTCCCGAGAGGATTGGCCGGAATGTCTCCTTCCTGCATCTTGGGGGTGACAGCATCACTGCCATGCAGGTTATGGCAAAGTGCCGAACCCAGGGAATTCGCGTCACCGTTCCCGACATCATCAGCAGCAAATCCGTCCATGATCTCGCGCTCAAAGCCGTCGTTCCCAAGGAGCAGCGACAAAACCCAAGGGCAGCAGCCGTCGATGAGGAGGATCATCATGAGTTTGACCCAGCGCCCATACAGCAGCTGTATTTTCAGCTCATGCATGTCGAAAATGGCCACGGGCCTTTGGCTGCTGCGCACATGCAGTTCAACCAGAGCGTGCTGCTCCGCCTAGCCAAGAAAGCAACCTCACATGACCTAGAGCGAGCTCTACAGGCCTTGGTTGAGACCCATTCAATGCTCCGAGCAAGGTTCCGACGCGACGGCACGGGCAACTGGCGGCAACGCATCACCTCCGATGTCAGAGGATCTTATCGCTTCAAAACTCACGTCATTGGCAATCCAGGCCGCATGGAGAAGCGCATCCAGAGCTCACAGAAGGCTCTCAACATCCAAAAGGGGCCCCTGATTGCCACTGACTGGTTCAGCATTGGGAAGGAGAGCCAGGAGGTCTTAATCTTTATCGCCGCCCATCACCTGGTCGTGGACGTCGTGTCATGGGGTATTCTCCTCCAGGATCTCGAGGACTTCTTGGCTACCGGGAGCTTGAAGGCTCACGCCTCTCTGTCCTTCCAGGCCTGGACCCGGAAGCAGTCCGAGCGGGCTCAACTGGAGAATAATGGAGCCAATCTACTTCCGCATCATGAGGCTTCTGACGCAGATCTGGAGTACTGGGGTATGGCTGACGTGCCGAACCTTCATGGAGATGTGGTTGCTGCCGATGATATCGAGCTTGACGAGGATACCACGGCTCTGCTTCTGGGCCCCGAGTGCCACGCTGCTCTTCGGACGGAGGTCCTTGACGTCCTGTTGGCCGCTCTGCTCCTCTCATACCGCAATGCAATGGGGGGACGTCGCGGAATTCCGACCATCTACAACGAAGGCCATGGGCGCGAGCCCTGGGATAACACGATTGACTTATCACGGACGGTGGGATGGTTTACCACGCTGTGCCCTGTCTCTCTCCCAGATGAGTCGTCTTCTGGTAAGCCCCCAGCCTCACTGCCGGAAGCCGGAAAGGCAAAGACGCTTTACTAACCAAAGGCAGATGACGACCTTCTGAGCGCCATCCGTTGGGTCAAGGATTACCGGGGACGGCTGGCTGGCAAAGGCCGACCCTACTTCGCCTACCGCCTCCTCACTTCCCAAGGCCGCGATGAGTACGGCCATCGCTGGCCAGTCGAAGTCGCTTTCAATTACCTTGGGCAGATGCAGCAGCTCAGTCGGTCTGATACTTTCCTCCGGCCATTCGACAACGGTGTTGGACAAGGCGTAAACAGCTCATCCGACATTGGCAAAGACGTTCCCCGCTTCGCTCTCATAGAGGTGTCCGCTTTAGTCATGAGCGGCAAGATGAAGCTGTCTTTCGCTTATAACAGACGCATGAAGCACCGGGATTCGTTTGCGAAATGGGCCAAGGAGTGTCGGGCGTTGCTTCTGGAAGCTCCACGGCGGCTGACGCAGCACAGGCTGGAGGAGACACTCAACGTGTTCCCACTTTTACCTTTGGCCTACTATGGCTTGGAGAACCTCAATCAGAGGCTCCGGGATGCTGGTATCCAGCTTCAAGACGTGGAGGATGTTTACCCTTGTTCGCCCATGCAAAGGGGTCTGTTGCTGAGCCAGATGCGCGATCCTGAGAAGTACGGCTACAAGCTCATTTTCGAAGTGCAGCCCTCGGGAGGAGGCCGTATTGGTGCTGATCAACTTTGCAACGCCTGGCAAACCGTGGTCCGTCGCCACTCGACCTTGAGAAGCATTTTCGTCGATACAGTAGGCGACGAGGGTTTGATGGACCAGGTGGTACTCCGCTCCTCGTCCGGTCGAATCCAGGTTCTTAACAGCGACGATGACCATGACGCAGTTGGGAAGCTGGAGGCCCTTGACTGCATCGACTTCAATGAGAGAAAGCCGCCGCATCGCCTCTCCGTCTGCGCTACCCAGACGGGTCACATCTTCTGTCGACTGGAGATCAGCCACGCGATTTCCGACGGCTCCTCGATGCCAATCCTCCTTGAGGACCTCGCTGCCGCCTATGGCAAGGGCAAGATCACGAAACCTGTGCCGCTGTATCGCGACTACGTTGCCTACATACAGTCGCAGCCACGCATCGAGAGCATTCGTTATTGGAAACACTACTTGGCAGGAGCAGAGCCCTGCATGTTCCCAACGCTCACAGATGGTGAGGCAGAAGGGGAGCGATCGCTCGGTGCTCATGCCATTACCCTTAGCAATTTGGACAAGATCAACAACTTCTGTGGCAGCTCAAGCATTACCCTATCCACGCTCCTACAATTCGTGTGGGCACTCGTGGTCCGATCGTACACGGGCGCGGACGAGGTGCTCTTCGGTTATCTGGCATCGGGGAGGGACGTCCCCGTCGCAAACATAGAGCTCGCGGTTGGTGCCTTCATCAACATGCTGGTCTGCCGCCTCCACCTCCCCGTCGGCACGGAGATTGGCGAAGCACTCGACACAATGCGGGCTGACATCATCGATGCTATGTCTCACCAATCCTGCTCACTCGCGGAGATTACGCATGAGCTTCAACTCCCCGGCGCAAACCTGTTCAATACAGCATTTACGTACCAGAAACGCACTGAAATTGGCGATGGAAGAGGAGATCAGCTCAGTCAATCCGCCCTGCGGTACCGCGTTGTGAACGCCGACGACCCGAGCGAGTATGCTGTCGCCGTCAATGTCGAGGCCACTAACAAAGCAGTTGAAGTCCACTTCAGCTACTGGCGAAACGCAGTCTCAGAAGCACAGATCAAGAACATCGCGGCAGCGTTTGAGCAGGCCCTGGACGGCCTTGTTGCCGACGGACGGGATGACCGCACGGTTGGGGAACTGGATATGGTGAGCAGAACGATGGTCGAGCAGATCCGCTTCTGGAACGACTACGAACTGCCCCGTGCTGAGCAGTGCGTACACGACATCATCGACCAGCACGCTCTGCGCCGTCCAGTGTCGACGCCTGCTGTGTGCGGGTGGGATGCATCATTTACCTATCGCGAGCTGGACATGGCTGCCACGGCCCTAGCGCGCCATCTGGTTGCTCATGGCGTGGAACCAGAGGTATTCATTCCACTCTGCTTCGAAAAGTCGGCTTGGACCGTCGTTGCGCAGCTTGCTGTTCTGAAAGCCGGCGGAGCCTTTGTCAGCCTGGATCCTGCTCATCCCGATAGCCGTCTCGAACAACTTATTCAGGACGTGGGTGCCAAATTAGTTCTCTGTTCGTCAAGGCACAAGACCAAGATGGACAGGATTGCCCCCACAGCTCTGGTGGTCGATGCTGAATCCATCTCGACCCTCAACAGGGCGGCAGCCTCGGATAAGACGCCATTCACCTCCGCCGCCAAGCCCTCTAGCCCGGCATACATCATCTACACGTCGGGGACCACAGGAAAACCAAAGGGCACTGTCATTGAACACGCCGCGTTCTGTACCGGCGGCCTCGCCCACGCCAAGGCCATGTTCATGCACTCCAACTCACGCGTCTTGCAATTCGCTTCATACACATTCGATGCGAGTGTCATGGAGACGTTGTCGTGTCTCCTCGTTGGCGGGTGTGTTTGTGTCCCGTCCGATGAGGACAGGATGAACGACCTTGCTGCTGTGATTCGCAATCTGGGCGTAACGTGGACACTCCTGACTCCGTCCGTGGCAAGTACCCTCAAGCCGGAGAGCGTCCCCTGCCTCAGAACCCTCGTCACCGGTGGCGAGGCTATGGCAGCTGGCCACATCGCCCGCTGGGGCACTCGGTGCGCCCTGGTCAATGCATACGGACCAACAGAGTGCTCAGTTGTGGCAACCACAAGCACCAAGGTCGACGAGTCTCATCAGGTGATCAACACCGACCGCTCCAATATTGGCACTGCTGTCGGAGGCCGCGTCTGGGTCGTCGATCCCAGTACCCCTGATCGGCTGGTACCCATAGGCGCCGTGGGCGAGCTTGTGGTCGAGGGTCGTCTGGTCGCCCGTGGCTATCTTAACAATAAGCAGCAAACCCAGAAGGCCTTTATCCGATCCCCAGAGTGGACGAGACATCCTGGCTTCCCAGAGTCCATGTGGCGCCACCAGGACAGCATGTACCGGACAGGCGACCTAGTCCGTTACAACTCGGACGGATCTATCTCCTACATTGCGCGCAAGGACACCCAGGTGAAGCTGAACGGCAGACGAATTGAGTTGGGTGAGGTTGAGTGGCACTGTCGGAGCGGCCTGCCAGATGACGCACAATCTGCGGTGGAGGTGGTGATGCCGCCCACCACCCGCACTGCGGCTAAGTCCCTTGCTGTGTTCTTCACCTTGTCGAGCAATGCAGCCTCCACAGCAAGCTTCTCTCTACTACCCATGAACGAGCCACTGCGTAAAGCAGCTCTGGCAATGGAAGCCCACGTAACAGCGCAGTTACCATCCTATATGGTCCCGCAGCTCTTCGTCCCCGTCTCTGTGATGCCGTGGACAAGCGCAGGCAAGCTCGATCGAAGACTGCTCCGACAATCTCTCGAAGAGGCGAGCCGGGAGACCGTGGCCGGCTACAGGCTCTCCGCTGCTGCTGCTGCTGCTGTCAGGCAGCGGGGACCGGCCAGCGAGACTGAAAAGAAGCTGCAAGGATTGTGGGAGTCCGTCCTCGGCCTTCCCGCTGGCTCTGTCGGCGTCGCTGACAACTTCTTCCGTCTTGGCGGCGACTCGCTGACAGCCATGCGGCTTATTGGTTCCGCACGTGCCCATAAAATTGTTTTGACGGTGCTGGATGTGTTTGAGAAACCGGTCCTGGCCGACATGGCGCAGGCATCTGGCGGCTCAGAGGCCACGGTCCCCGCATTGCCCGAATTAAAACCCTTCGAGTTGGTGCACCGTCCTCAACCGGAGCTTGACGCCCTTATCCAAGAGCTTTCCAGCCTTTGCGTGCTCTCTCAAGCACAAATCCGAGATGTTTACCCCGCGAGCCCACTTCAGGAGGGCCTTGTCACCCTTGCTAACAAGCAGGAGGGTGCGTATGTGGCTGTCAACACCTTGAAGCTGTCGGAAGATGTAGAATTGGTTCAGTTCAAAGCAGCTTGGCAGGCAGTGGTCGATGAGACCGACATCTTGCGAACTCGCATTGTCCACAGTGCGGCTTGCGGATTTTTCCAGGTCGTGGCAGCGCCAGAGCCGATCGAGTGGCATGATGAGCCATCACTTGAGGAAGCAGTCGCCAAGGGAAAGGCGCTCGGAAAACAGAATGGGACTCGGCTGACCAGGTTTGCCATTGTCGAGGCTCCTGAAGGGCGTCTCTTTGTCTGGGCCCTCCACCACGCACTCTACGACGGATGGAGTCTGGGCCTCTTGGCGAGGCAGGTCCAGGATATCTACTACCAAGGCTCAATTAAGGGTTTGACTCCTCGTCCCTCATACGCCACCTTCATCCGCTACCTGGCGCTCAGGGACGTGGCAGCCTCGGAAAAGTTCTGGAAGGACTCTCTCAGCGACGCCGCGTCGACGATCCATTTCCCACAACTGCCACATACCAATGGGAACCAGACCGAAACCCCAAGCTTCCGGGCCGAAACCCGGATGATCAAGTTCAACCGCAGCGACATTCGCATCAACATCACCGTCCCGACGCTGATCCGAGCGGCGTGGGCCATTATTCTCGCTGCTTACACGGGCATGGATGACATCGTGTTTGGAGAAACCCTGGCTGGCCGCAACATTGACGTGCCCGGTGTCACGGAAATGGCGGGGCCGACCTTTACCACCGTCCCAAACAAGGTTCGAGTCAGCCGTGACATGGCCGTCGCCGAGCTTCTGCAGGACCTCCATGCTCTGGCCAGCCGAGTCGTGCCCCATCAACACCTGGGACTCCAGCATATCAAGAGGCTTAGCCCAGATTGCGCGGCGGCCTGTGACTTTCAGAATCTACTCGTCATCCAGAGCCCCGCATCCGCCTCTCTCCAACAAGCAAAGCTACAAGCTGGCCAAGGGCCTGACTGGGAATTCAAAGGGGAGTCTTCGACCGGGAGCTTCTTCACCCACCCGCTTGTGCTGGAATGCACCGCCACTGACACGGCTATTGAGGCCACCTTCCACCACGACGAGAAGGTGCTCTCAGCGTGGCACACAAAACGCCTTGCCTATCAATTTGAAGCCGTTCTGAAGCGGTTGGTCGAGATGTCGGACAGCAAGGGGGCCAAGCTGGCGGATATCCATGCCATCAGCCCAGAGGATCGAGCACTCATCGCAAGGTGGAACCGAAAACATGTTGTTGAGGAAGTTGATTCGTGCATTCACGATCTCTTCCTGGAACAGGCATCCGCCCATCCTGATCGGGTAGGCGTCAGTGGCTGGGACGCCGAGTTGACCTACGGCGAAATTCGCGAATATTCCTCACGCCTGGCGCTCCACCTCAAGCAACTCGGAGTCCGGCAGGGAACCCTGGTCCCGGTGTGTCTGGAACGCTCAGGCTGGTCCATCGTCATCCTCATGGGCATTATGATGGCCGGCGCAGCCTGGGTTCCGCTTGATCCCGCTCACCCTGTGTCCCGGCAAAAGGAAGTCCTGGAGTCTGTCAAGCCTTCTCTCATTGTCTGCAGCCCCGAACACGCGTCACGGTTCTTCGGCATCGTCGACACACAGCTCTCAGTTGACGGTGCCATGCTTCGCGATCTTCCTTCTCCTCCACATGGCCGAGCTGTTGCTCCCGTCTCTCCCAGCAACACGGCATACGTTTTGTTTACCTCTGGGAGCACCGGCCGGCCGAAGGGTGTCGTTGTAGCGCACCGCGACTTTTGCAGCAGCTCGCGCGGATATTCGCGCATTGTTCACCTAAACCCATCCTCGCGGGTCTATCATTTTGCCTCGCTAACCTTCGACGCCGCCCTTATGGAAGTCATGACGCCCCTCACGATAGGGGCTTGTGTGTGCGTCCCGTCAGCCCATGACCGTCTCCATGACCTGGCAATGTCCATCGTCCGGCTGCGAGCGACATGGATTTTCCTTACGCCCTCGGTCGCCAACCTGCTGGATCCGGACGTGGTGTGCCAGTCCCTCAAGACCCTCGTTTGCGGTGGCGAGGCCATGCTTGCCGAGCTAGTTGCCCGTTGGGCCGACCGCCTTGCGCTCATGAACGGTTATGGGCCGACAGAGACGTGTGTCTTCGCCGTTGTCAACCCGCATCTCTCGACGCAGAAGGACCCCAGTGTTATTGGGCATCCCACTGGTGCGTCACACTTGTGGGTTGTGGACCCCAGAGAGGGCTGCAATGATCGGCTCGCCCCTGTTGGGGCTGTTGGGGAGCTCGCCATCAGCGGTCCTCTCATCTCTCGCGGGTACCTGAACGACCTAGAAAAGACAGCACGGTCATTTGTCGAAAGCCCTGCCTGGGCGAGGAGGGAGCTCCTTGCAGGTGCCACCCCTCCGACACGTATCTATCGCACCGGCGATCTGGTGCGATACCGGTCGGATGGAGCTATCGAGTTTGTCGGTCGCAGGGATGGCCAAGTCAAGGTCAACGGCCAGAGAATCGAGCTCGGCGATATTGAGAGCCACCTGTCCGGTGACCCACGTGTGCGCTCCGGCACCGTGGTACAGCCCAAGAAGGGGCCGTGCAAGAAACAATTGGTTGGCATCATCACCTTGGCGAGTTTCGCAAATCGCCTCGGCGCTTCACAGGAAAAACCGTCTGCGATCACCACCTCGCCTGGGGACTGCCAGCCACTCTACGCAGACCAGATGGTGAAAGCCCGGTCTCAGATCGCCAAGATTCGGGCTCGCCTGACCGACATGCTCCCGCACTACATGGTTCCCGCAGCGTGGGTTGTTCTGGAAACCATGCCCGTCGTTGTGTCTGGCAAATTGGACCGGCCGAGGGTAACCAGATGGGTTGAGGACCTCGATGACGCCATGTATCAGCAGATTGCAAGCAGTCTGGGCATCATCTCAGGGGAAACCCCTGAAGAAGAGGCCGACGTCACTGGGCCCTTCAAGACGCTGAGGGATATTTGGGCCAAAGAACTGAACTTGCCCGTGGATCGCATCAAGCTCAACCAGCCCTTCCTTGGCTTGGGTAAGTCGGCCACCACCCATGTGAAACATCTTCCGTTCCGGGCACTGACTTGTATGACAGGAGGAGACAGCATCAGAGCAATGGGCGTCGTCTCACGAGCCCGGACGGCCAAGATCAAGTTGTCCATCCAAGATGTCCTCCGATCCAAGTCCATCGTCCATCTTGCTCAGCTCGCCAAAGTGCTTCCTTCCATAGCAACTCGGCCAAAGGAAGAGGAAACTGATCAGCCTTTTGCACTGTCTCCGATACAGACCATGTACATGAGGTCGGCCGTTAAGCATGTTGGTGACGCCCGTTTCAACCAGAGCGTCACCTTGGGCATTTCCCGGCGGGTTACCATGGATACCATCAAGAAGGCGGTCAGCTCCGTTGTGCAGCGTCATGCCATGCTCCGTGCTCGGTTCACCAAGACCCCGGACGGAAGTTGGATGCAGCGAGTTACAAAGGTATGCTTCCTCTTCTTCTTTCCCTTCCTCTTCTTACTTCCCTTCCTCTTCTTATTTCCCTCCTCTTCTTTCCCCCCTCATATTCTTCCCCTGCTCTTCTTTCCCTTCTTCCTCTACCTCCTCTTTTCTCCTCTTCTTCCTCTTTTTTCTTTCCTCTTCTTCTTTCCTTTTTTTTCTTCTTTCCTTTCTTTCTTCTGTTTCACATTTGGGACAGAGGGAGGCTAATACTATTCCAGATGGGGCCTTCAGCATACCAGTGCCTTGAACACGTTCTGGCCTCCCGCGACGAGATTACTCGTATTGTTGCCACGGCGCAAGCCGGCCTCTCCATTGAGCGTGGCCCTGTGTTCAGAGTCGACCTCTTCGAAGTGGCTGGCGAAGACGAGACCATCGTCTCTATGGTGGCTCACCACCTCTGCATCGACATGGTTTCCTGGCGCATCATCATCCAGGACCTCAGCCAATCGTTGGAGACCAACTCCTTGTCGGCAGACGCGCCTTTGTCTTTCCGGTCCTGGTGTGCTCAGCAGTCCGCTCATAGCAAGGCAGTTGATACCAAGAGTCTCCTCCCGTTCAAGTTGACCGCTCATGACCTAGGCTATTGGGGTACACAGGGACCACTCACGTACGGCAGGACCAAAACGGAGACATTCAGCCTGAGCGAGGAGACGACAAAACTCGCAATTGGAGACTGCCACAAGACTTTCAGATCAGAGCCAGTGGACCTCTTCCTGGCAGCCATTGCCCATGCCTTCGCGAGAACCTTCCCCGACAGGGATGTGCCAACGCTGCACATTGAAAATCACGGGCGCGAGACTCCTGAGGGTTCCAACGTAGACTTGTCTCAGACAGTCGGTTGGTTCACCACGGTTTGTCCCCTGGTTGTCCCTGCCGGTGCCACCGATAACGATGCCCTGGATACCCTCCGAAGAACCAAGGACATCAGACGCAGCATCCCCGAACATGGCAGGCCGTATTTTGCTCACAAGATCCTCGGACAAACGCTCGATGAAGAATGGGTCCCGCTGGAAGTCCTGTTCAACTATTTGGGTGGCGGCGTGGGAGTGCAACAGCAAGAGCATGCGGACTCCCTGATCAGTGAGGTTGACCTGGACGGCATCGACTCTCCCGACAACGCCGACGTGGGCCCCAAAACAAGGAGGCTCGCTTTGTTCGAGATCTCGGCCATTGTCGTCAGCAACAAGCTGAAGTTCAGTTTCGTGTACGACAGCGGCCTCAACCGAGCAGGTGACGTCCGAAAATGGATAGCCGCCTGCAAGAATACGCTCGAGAAAATGGCCGCGACCCTGGTGCAACTCCCTGCTGAGCCAACGCTAAGTGACTATCCGCTGATGCCAATCACCTACGGCGGCCTCCGCACGCTGACCGAGGTTGCACTCCCTCGTGCCGGCATTGACCGAGCGTCCTCCTTCTCCCAAATCGAAGATATCTACCCTTGTACACCGGTACAGGAGGGTATGCTCATCAGTCAACTGCGCAACCCGGAGGCCTACGTCTTCCACGCTGTATACCACGTCAACCACGCCGCCCCCGGACAACCCCTGGATGCCGAGAGAATCGCCACGGCGTGGCAGAAAGTGGTGAACCGCCATGCCGCCCTCAGGACCGTCTTCATCGAAAGTGTTCGCCGTGGTGGTGTCTTCGACCAAGTTGTCCTCAAGAAGGCGCACAGCGGGGCCGTCCTGCTCAGAGCCAGTGACAAAAAAGCAATGGACAAACTCGGTGAAGTCACTCTCCGAGATGCCAAACAGCCACAGCTCCCTCATCGACTCGCCATATGCACCACTCACAGCGGGGGGGTGCTCTTGAAGCTCGAGGTTAACCACGCCGCAATGGACGGCGGCTCGCTCGCCGTCATCCTCGAAGAACTGGCCTCCGGATATATGGGTACACTGGAGAATGCTCCCGGGCCCTTATACAGCGACTACGTCCGATACATCCGCAGCATGCCGGATGGCGAGGGCGCCAAGTACTGGATGCGCTACCTGAAGGGCCTCCAGCCGTGCTACTTCCCGAATCTGAACAGCAGCAGCACCACCCTCGCGTCACACACGAGAGCCCTGCGCTCTATCGCTCTGCACTTCACTCGCTACGCCGAGCTCCGGCGGCTTTCTGAGCAAACGCAGATCACTCTTGCAAGTATGATGCACGCCTGCTGGGCCTTCGTCCTCCGGCAGTACACAGGGAGTAATGACGTCTGCTTCGGGTACCTGACGGCAGGACGGGATGCCCCGGTTGAGAACATCAGCCGTACAGTCGGAACACTGATCAACATGCTTTGCTGCCGTATCCAAATTTCTGGCTCACAGAGGCTTGAGGATGTCTTCCGAGCAGCCCAAGACCACCATCTGGAGAGCACCCAGTTCCAGCACTGCGCGCTCTCAAAGGTTCAACATGACCTTGGTTTGGCAGGCAAGCCTTTGTACAATACTTCCATGTCGATACAGAACCATTCTGAGATTGGGGAGGATGGGTTGAAGGACACCATTTCCTTCGAGATGGAACGGGGTCACGATCCCAGCGAGGTAAGCGGAGCTATTGTTTCCAGCATTTGACGTTTGCTAATCGAACTGCAGTATGCCATCACCGTCAACGTCGAGACATCCAAGGGCAACGAGGGTGTTCTCTTCCGATACTGGTCCGACCATATTAGCGATGACCAAGCCCAAAAAGTTGCCCGCTCCATGGCCCAGGTACTGGACGCATTCATCAGTCAGCCGGCACAGTCCGTTGAGGAACTCGACCAGAAGCTTGCTGGCAAGCTCGCAACTACCTCCAATTCTGCCGAGGACCTGGCGAAGCTGCATGACTCAGCAGCCCCTGCAACCCCACGAAGCATGGATTCGTCTTCCAGAACTTCTTCTGACAATTCCCTGGTAACGCCCATAAACGAGCCGGTCGGACAGAGCCCGTACGACAAGACGCTCCTCTCACTGTGGAGCGCTCTGCTCGATCTACCTGAGGATTCCATCACAGGAGAGGCCAGCTTTTTTGATCTCGGAGGTGACAGCATCACAGCAATGAAGCTCGCCGGCGAGGCCAGGGACTGCGGCCTGCCACTCACTGTCGCCGATGTCTTCAGAAACCCGTCTCTCGACGGTATGACAGCAATCGTTCGCCAGGCTGCGGGCATGCATGCAGTGGACAGCAAGCTTCGCAAGCACCGGGCAGAAACCATGGCTACCCAGACCACCAAGGGCGACCTTTACGAACGGTTTTCGCTCTTGGCGGCGTCCAACGTTGATGCATTCCTCCAAACGAGCATTGTGCCACAAGTGTGCGTTTTTAGAGGCGGAATCTCGGACGTGCTTCCGGCAACCGACTTTCAATCCCTGGCCGTGGCGGGCGCCCTCCTCGAATCCCGTTGGATGCTCAACTACTTCTATCTGGACGGCGACGGGCCGCTCAACCTCGGGCAGCTGAAGCGAGCTTGCTTCCGAGTCGTTCAAGCTTTAGACATCTTACGCACCGTGTTCGTCCCTTCAGGAGCACGTTTCCTACAGGTTGTTCTGCGCAATTTCCGGCCGACGTTCCATGTCGTCGAGATTGACGAATCCTTGGATGACTTCAAGGTGGAACAAGAAGGAACGGAGCCCAAACTTGGTGAACCATTTGTCGAGTTTACGGTTGTCAAGCACCGGTCCAGCAACCGCCATAGGCTTTTCCTACGCATCTCACACGCCCAGTACGACGGCGTGTGCTTCCCGAATATCCTGAGTGCCCTCCAGGCCGCATACAAGGGCGAGACGGTGCCGCGCCCACCCTCCTTCGCCAACTACCTTCGTGCTGCGGCAGGGTCCCTGACATCCGAACATTACCAGCATTGGAAGCAGCTTCTCGCAGGGTCATCCATGACGAAGCTTGTCCGGTGCAAGGGACCAAATTATCATCGCAACACGGCAGGTTCAACGACAACCTGCCTGAAGAAGACAGTGCACATGCCACCAGTCGAGTCTGGCCACATCACCACAGCCACCGTCGTCAAGGCCGCGTGGGCGTATGTCTTGGCAACAGTGTCTGCTAGTGCCGATGTCGTCTTTGGCCACACGATCAGCGGGCGCAATGCTGCTATCGAAGGCATTGGTAATATGATAGGGCCCTGCCTCAACATGGTTCCGGTCCGTGTGCGGTTCGACAGCGGTCCTGGCTGGACGGTCAAACATCTCCTCCGCCAGGTCCAGGACCAGCAAGTCGCCAACATGTCTCATGAAATCCTGGGATTCCGCGAGATCATCCACCACTGCACTTCTTGGCCGCGCTGGACCTACTTTACATCAACGGTTCAGCACCAAAACATCGACCAGGGCGGCCAGATTTGCCTCGGTGGAGTTGAGTACAACGTTGGGTGTGCTGCAACTGCACAAGAAGACTTTGCGGACCTGTCAGTCTTCTCGCAGCCTCTCGATGACGACAACTACGAAATCATCCTTAGTTTCGCTGAAGGCGGACCTATCCCCCGTGACTTTGCGGAGCGCGCTCTTGACATGCTCAGTGAAGCAGCGCATCTCTTCGCCACCAACCCAGACACGTCTCTGCCCTCGGCGGATGAGCTTTCCAGCAAGCCGCGGTTGGTGCCGTTTGAGGAAGTGCCACCGGCGCCAGAAGACAACGATGACACGATTGTCCAAGCCGCTGTCCGTCTCCAACAACTCAGCTACGCGCAGCTGACCGACATCTCCTCGTTAGTCAGTAAGTCCTGGCGCGAGGTTTTGGGTGTCTCGAACCAGGACCAGCAACAAACGTCTGAACCGCGGACGGAGACGACTGCGCTTGACTTGGATACCTCCTTCTTCGACCTGGGCGGCGATATCATCGGCTTGTCCCAGCTCGCCTGGCTGCTCAATCAGAGCGGCTTCTCTGCGCCTCGTCTTGAGGGTCTGATCAAGAATCCGACTGTGCGCGGACACATGGCTCTTTTGGCGGAGGGCTTGCCTGTCGCTCCCGATTCTGGTTCTGCTGCTAAGGAGGCAGCTCAGGCGGTGGAAAAGGCGTCCACTTTCCCCGCGGTACAAAGGTTGACGAGGGTGGATTCGGGACTGAAGTTAGCTAAGGCGTTGGGGTTAGTCAGGAAGAAGTTGACTGTTGCTGGGAAGAAGAAGGGTGCGAGCGTGGTTGCTGTTGCGTGATGTGGTGTCTCTGTGAGATGCGAAAAGAGGTGACTGTCGGGGGGTTGCATGGTTCTATTCTTCCTCTTCTTTGCCTTGTCCCTCCTTCTCTGTTCTTCTAATTCGCTGTAGGCTTTCCTGTCATGTTTTTTGTGTCTTTCTTTGGAGCAAATGTCTTCGCATCCTGTCCTCTTCTTTTTTACGTCCAGTCACTACTGGTAATGGTTATGGAGCCAGGGGTATAGGGTGATGTCCTTTAGACATTTTCAGTAGCTACCTCTCTCTGTTGAGGTGTTCTTGATATCCATATGATCAGCTAATTCTCACCGCCTGGAGTCATATAATATTCGTCCACCGAGGTTACAAATGTGAAAGACAGGGTGTGTGCCAGGGTGTGTGCCGGTGCGTCGACCAGGGCAAGTAAGCCACTCACGTATTCCGTTACTAAGTCACTTTCCTAGCAATTTCCATAGGGGGATACCTGCACTACAAATCCTACGATGGCTTCCTCACCTCCACTGCACCTTGCACTGCACTGCAACAGCTACTGGCACCCCTATGCCGGGACCGACATCCTCTAGAGGGCTGAGCTGATCTAACCAGCTATTCCACGGCCCAAACGGCTAGGGCCCCTAAACTGACCCGCGACGACCGCATCCGTATCCGATCCTTACACGACTTCGGCCATACATACTATGAGATTGCTTTTAAAAGACCCAATATACGGTTCGGCAAATCGAGTGAGCTTGCAAAGGCTTAGTGATCTTTGTAACGGCACGGCTGGTCGGGTCGGCAACGCCCGGAGACAGGTGCCAGTTGTTACAGTTTCATAGTGCAGCCAGTGATTCAATCTGTCGGATTGAATCATTTGTACCCTTTTCAGGAATATGGCGAAACGGTATGGCTGCACGTTGTGTGCCGTTACAATCTTCCAGGAAAAGAAGCTAAGGAAAGGGGTTATTGAAACCCCGTAATAGGAGCAGTTAAGGCGGTAATTATAGACTGCCTATAACTGCTATATCTCATTGTACCAGCTCCCTGCCTAAGTGCCTCCATCGCTCTAAGGCTACAGTGAAACGGTTCTATAACTTTACACGTAATCCACGGCCTCAGGTAGGCTTCCATTAATCGGCCTAGGGAGATTGATCTCACCGAGGAAATTTACGCCATTACACTCAGAACAGTTACGGCTATTGTAACGACAACGATTACTGCCTACAAGAGGGCGAGCCTCTGGATCAGTAGGTCTATTTTATGAGACAAAAAGCTATGGAGAGTAAAAGAGAGATCGGTGCGTTCCTTCTTGGGCAGACTGGTGAGCGCGGTGAGCGGCTGTCACAAATGAACCAACGAGAGTCAACAACGGCGGCTTACTTGCAGAAGCCAGTGGGGAACGTAGGACGTTCCGAGCCAATCACTTAGGACCAATCGGAACGAGTACTAGAGGTGCTCCAGAGAGCTCTCAGGAGCATGAGAGAGCACCAGTGCAAGGCCAATCAGAGGACGCTCTAAGAGGCTCTCGAGAGCACCATAGAGCATTGGCTCTAGGTGGCTCTAGAGAACACGAGAGAGCAACCAAATGCATCTAGTATATAGTCACTCGTTCTGGAGGACTCTGGGAGTTCTCCAGTAAGTAACTCAAGTGCAAGATTGTCAGTACCCTTGGACATTGCTTGTTGTGAACCCTTTGGCTTCACCGAACCTCACCCCGTTGTCAAGTATAACCTTCAGGAGTCCCTTTCAGAAGTTGGGGCTTTGAGATTCGTCACAGCGGCTCATCAGGATTACCACCAAGGAGGCGATCGCTGCGATCTCGGGTCCCAAGGTACCTGGGGGAGGAAGCTGTATATAAACTACGATCTTTAGGCCTACGGGGATCACAGTAGCTTCCTCAGTAAGCAATACGAGCAGTTACCTACACGTACTGTTGAGACAATTGATTGTGCACTTATTGTGAGCCCTTTGCCTTCACCAACACCTCATACCACTGTCGAGTTATAACCTTCAGGAGCCCCTTTCAGTGGCTAGGGGACCGAGATTCGTCACATGCCTCCCTACTTATAGCCTTCTGGTCTAGTAGATATTTTGCATCCTACACAGTAAGTGTTTCTCCGAGCTGCACACGTGTTTTCTTGGCTCTCCAGCGCTTGCTTAATGCCTCGTAGCTGATGGGGGATGTACCAGAGGGAAGGCCGGTGTAGGGGTGTATCTGTATTGCTGGAAAGAAAGATGGAGATTCAGAAGTCGGTGTCGCGCATCCTGGATGCAAGATAAACTGGCATGACGGGGCTGCGCGCGCACAGACATTTGCAGCGGGGCTACTCTACATGATGCCTCTTTGACGAAGGAGGCACTCGTTGAGAGCTCAGACGACACGACATAGGTCTCTATGATAGAGTGTGGCACCGCTGAAGGCCGGAGACTGCACCCCTGTATCGTGTTCACAGGCGCCAGTCTTCAGGGGCAATGGTTCCCCTCCGAGGAGGAATTGAAGCGCAATTTTCCAGGCTGGCAATACGACTACTCCATTACAAGTTGGAGCAATGGCGATGTCGCTCTCAAATGGCTACAACAGATCTATCTGCCAGAAACCAAACCAACAAATCCGTCAGAATGGAGGCTCTTGATTCTTGACGAGCACTCAAGCCATATCACGACTCGGTTCATGCATCTGGCCTGGATTAACCACGTTCAACTACTTTACCTGCCGCCTCATACATCCCATAAGACTCAACCTCTCGATCGGAGTGTTTTCTCGCCCCTGAAGATCTATTTCAGGCAAAATACCAAGTCTATGGTTCACTTCACGGCATCAGCTCCCATCAATAAATGCCGCTTCCTTGATTGTTATCGAGATGCCTCCCAGAGAGGTATGAGCGCCAGGAACATCGTCAGCGGCTTCAGAGAGACCGGAATCTGGCCGTTGAATCCGAGCAAAGTATTGGATGACACCACGGCAGTACTTCAACCTAGAGCCCCCGCTGCCACGCCGCCCACCCCAGAGGAACGGCCTCCCTCGCCTACCAACATATATCTGCAGACTCCCCAGAAGTCACAGGATATTCGCAGCGCCTTGAAAAATGCCAGGGAGCGCATATCTCCAAACAACCGCATGCTGAGGTCTGTTTTATACAAGGTTGGCAAGTCGTTGGACTCGAAGAACGCCGAGGTCGCCAGCTCGCGCTCAAATCAAATCATTATCTGGCCAGTTGGAAGCCCACAAGCCAAGTAGTAAAACGAGTGTCAAAGAGAGTGCCAACGATGCTTTTGCGAAGATTGAAGAGATTGTGGCGGCTCAGAAAGAGGGTGAGAAGCCATCCAAGCGGAGGAAAACGATAAAGACAGACGACCCGGGGCCAGTCGTTGAACAAGCGCAAGACATGATTGTACATGGGCTGGATCGCCTTCGTCAGGCTGAGGAGATGTAATCTTCTCCTACATAGATTGTATACAAATGAGTGATTTAGACATGTTGTGGTGTGGTGTGGGGGTTGCAGGATCATCAACAATCGTTGGGTCTGTGCGTCTAACCCCTATAGAGGAATACTCGGCGCACGGAGAACTGCTGACGAAATGTGCCTGAAGACGCGCGTGAACCAAAAGGATGACCGGAACCGGCTGACTCAATTCCTGCGATAATAAGTTCAGATGCTTACACTCGGAATCATGGCATGGAGTCCAACAACGATCATCACATCTCAACCTGCCTACATGGCACATTGACTTCTATGAGTTAGGGTCGACCGACGTCAAGTTCAAGTATGGTCGGAGACGCCCAACGCCGAAGACCTGCAAGTAACTATAATGCCAATAGAAGCGACAGACAGTGCAACGGGAACAACCCAGAGCCGACAGAGTACAAAAAGTAGTTGTGATCCCCTGCAGGGGAAAAGACGATCCACCCAGGGGTCGAACCTGGAACCTCCTGATTCCCAATCAGCCGATATCATGAGATCTCGGACAGAATCGTAGTCAGACGCTCTGCCATTGAGCCAGCGGACCTTGTTGGAGGGTATGCAATCAATTCAACTCTAAGAACGGTAAGCCTATTGCGCAATTTTTGAAGTTTTTCGGAGAGTCCACATTATGGAGCAATGGAAAGGTCTGAGCGGCCAATCAGAGGTCAAGCCGGCTCCGCCAGTTTGCCGTAGAGACCGAGTTTACTGACAGTCTTTACCCCTGAATATAACAGTTGTCTTGAGCAACACCTTCTTGCAACATTGAGCCGCGTCTTCGCCAATATGAGTAATTGGTAGCCTCGGTATCTCACGCGGTTATTCAGGCTGCCATACATTGTGCCAAGGAGAGCCGAGGTTCGGGCAACATCACGAACAGGGCTTCAAGTTTTCGCCTTCAGTGTCAAACCCCCTGTTGGACAGCAACAGTTACAGGCTCGAATAGGCATAGACCAACCAGGTGACACTGCATCAATTGAGGCACAAGATGAAGCTTGAATTGACTGTCTAAACCATGCGTCATGTGTGTGTGTTACTTGAAAGAACCGAGGGCTTCGGAACCCTCGCCAGACCCTGCTTTTGGGTGGGTGACGAGTCTTCCACGCTTACTGCATTGGGCAACAGTGCCCAGCCCCTGAATCCAGGTGCCAAGGAGCCAGTTCAGTTCAACACCCCCTCAGCAACCAACAGATTAGCTCAATGAACAATGGAATACATAAACAGGAGAGTAGCTTTAGAAAAGACAAATGTCAGGCCTCCCAAGCAACTTATTTGACTATTGTGATAAAATCGTGAGTATTTAAAGTCAGTATTGCTAGTTATAACCAACATTGGGTGTTAATTAACAATCCATACGTTAACGTTAACTTTACAGTAGTTAATTGGAATTAATTGGTCTAACGTTACCTCTATTGAAGAGAGATGTCATCTACCTTACACATATACCATTTACTATTTTTCTCTATACTGGCATCTACAGGTACATAGATTACGCATCTTGAAGTTCATGTTGTCTCCCGACATAGATACAAGCAATTTTCCTGATAACTGAAAAACCAATTGTCACGGGTCGTGACAGTGTGAGGTTTATGTGCGTAACTCCTGGTTCGATCAGACAGTTCGAACCACGGTTCCTCTTTTGAGCATGTTACGCAATGGTCAGTTGCACCCACCCGTGACACTAATCTAGGTATGCAAAGACTCCATCAAAATGACGGTTGGCCACAATCAGAACTGGTAACGTTACCACACTGAAAAAAATCTGTTCACACTTGTGATTGCATGAGCCAAGGGTGTTGAGAGACTGCTATGCCCACTGTGCCTTGCAACGCCATCTTCTATTGGTCCCCACTACAATGTTGGACCAAGGCAGTCTCCTTTCTAAGTGTCTTTCGTTGACGAGGCATTTACGGTGAACATCGACGAGGTTATTGAGGGCTTTGAGTTCTTGGCTGCGCAGGACTAGCAAGCATCTCACTGGAGAACAGGAAAAGGACGGCAGCAGCCTTCACCGCACAGACTACTGACCGGGGTCTGCTACACCCAATAGCCCCATCTCATTGGGAATCCAGCAGTAACGGACTCGCTAGGCAGCATCGAAAGGGGCCAGGCAACATATCCTCTCTGCCACCCGTTGACCAGCGCCGCAACAATTGACACACATAGAAAAGCAAGATCCGGGGCGTGCGGAGGGCGAACTATCGTGGCGCAGGGCGGCGAGTTCGAACTCGTGCTACCCGTAGGGATGGCTGAGGTTCGTGCTTAACACACCGAGGTCCGGAAGTTGGGAAACGATAAGTCACAGCTTGTTCAAGTAGATTTATAGAAGGTCAGTAAGCACACGGATAAGCCTTACGACCACTGAGTCTCGCACATCACGGTGCTGGTGACCGGGCTTAGAGGGGCTCCGGGGAGTGCCGGAATGAGTGGGGCCAGAAGACCGATCTGGGACCTCCGGCCCAAGGTCCGGAGCACACGGAGTTACTGGCCCAACCGGACGAACTTTACCACTCGTCGCCAACTAGACCTCGGGAACTTAAGATATAACATTGTTCTACCATTGTCTGATTTCGTCCGGACCCGCTTTCACAGCTGGAGAGCGTCCATCTTAGGCCCAGATTCGACCTTTGCAGCATTCCTCGCCCAACTTCTCTCCCCACGCATAACAACGCACCCCTCCGCTCTTTTCCGCATGCTGCCATCCTCACTGTTTTGTGCGTGCGTTTCTGACCCCCTTCGCTCCCGCGTCTTCGTGGCCCTCTCGCGATTCCTGTCGTCTTTTTTTTTGGCACTCGCTGTTCTCGCCCCTAGGGTTTATTCTATTTTCTTTTTGCCCGACATGATGCATTAACCCGGGGATGCGGCGACAGAGTCTGTGCCAATTCCAACGTCCTAGGCCTGGAGTACGTCAAGTGTTACCGCATCGTCAACACGTATGGTCGAGTCTTCCGTAGATTCCCAGACCTGGCAAAGCGGCACTAAACCTTCGAGTACGACACCCCTGTGGCGCCAACGCCAAGCCTTCATTTATTGTTGTGGCACTTCGCATCTGTCGCAATGCGAAAAACCGTGACTGCTCTACCAGGGGAGTGCTCCGTCGGAACGACCTTTCCTCCTTGACGACGAGATCGGCCACCGGAATGTCCTATATACAGGCAAGGTTAACTTCATCACCGGCCCTATTCGGTCAAGTTCAGCAGCTGCCGCAAAACCCCGTAGCTCAGCCGCCGACACCTTTTAAAGCTCCTGCCCATGTGCGTTCAAGGCGAGCATTGCGGATTTTGCCTCGGTAGTGCCGATAAAACGTATCCAGGTCTTGCGGAATACGGAGGGTGGGATAATCGCGGCATCACGCTATGTCAGAATGAGCGGTACTGTGTTCCAGTAATGATTGAGAAGTTTCCATGCCTGGAGAAAGACAGATCGGCAGAAAGCCAAGCTAGGGTTCAAGGTTGCACAGCTGCAAGCGACAAATCAACATACCTAGTACTGTATCAACACCTGTATGTGAATAGAGTCCAAGTAAATGACGATCGACCAAGGCATGTGTCGGAACCGCTACGAGGCAAACGAAGGGAAAAATGGTCAGTGGTCGCAGAGTGTCACGAGGATGTCAATTTTTTGGTTGTTCCTGATGATGATTGTGTTCTGTGTTCTCAACTGCCCGATGTTCCAGACAGCCTCCAGGGTGTCTATCACCAGCCACATGTGGGTCCGTCTTGGCACCCCTGAATCAGGGTTCACGTTCCAACAGCATGTTACATTTGATAGACAGCCGCATGCGCCCAGGCCGGCGAACCCTAGTACCCACTGTATCTCATAAACAAAAAGAATGAAATGTTTGGACCCGATAGGGTAGGTAAAGTATGAACATGAAGACCCATCCCCATCCCCAGCTCTAACTCCAGTGCTATCACCGCGTCGCCGCCTCCACCACCGGCGTGATGCTCGCCACCAGCGCCAGCGGACCACACTGGCTCGCCTGGCCGCCCGTGAGCACAAACTTGAGATCCTCATCCTCCAGCGCCTTGAGCGCAGCCTCAGACGTGTCCTTGACGAGGAACACCTTATTCAGCTGCCCACCAATAGCACACATGACGGGGAACAGGTAATCACCCTCTCCGGCGCCGTCAATGGCGACGAGCACGGGCTCGGTAGCCGAGCCCTCGTCCGCAGGCATGATGGGCACCAGGTTGATGAGGTGCGAGCCGAGAGGCAGGTGATCCCAGGCGGCGAGGCGTAGGCGCGACGCGCCGACGAGCGCGACCTCGTCGGGGAAGTAGTGCAGCAGCCGGTCGGCCGAGTCGCTGTTGACCAGGTAGGGCACGTCAGCGTTGCTCGGCAGCGTCATGGCGTTGAGCACCGTGTTGTTGGTCAGCAGGCTGAGCTCCTCGGTGGTGTCCAGGGGCGCCAGGAAGAGGTTGCCGTTGTTGGCCGGGAGCAGCTGCAGGGAGCCGGTCGTGTCACGGACGGTGGCGATGCCATTGCCAAACTCCACGTCTGAGGCTGTGGGAGCGGTCGTGTTGGAGAAGAGGGTCGAGTTGGAGTAGGGACCTGCACCGGTGGTCGAGTTGGATGCGTCTCCTTCTTGTCGGGCGCCCAGACTCAGCTGTCTCTTGAAGTTGCCGCCAGGACCCATGAGCCTGAAGCCGTCGCCTTCTACGCCTGTGGCATAATACAAGGGTCCATCCTGGCTGAACCTCGTATCCCGGTACCAGATGACGGCAGTCTTCACGGTGCCGACCCAGGTGTCCCCGAGGAGCTCGTTCACGAATTTGGACGTCTGGCCGTTGTAGGCGGCGCGGTAGATGGTGTCCCAGGCGCCCTTGTTCCGGATTTGCGACCGGCCGTAGCAGACGTCGATGATGCGGATCCAGTTGGGCAGGCCGAGCGAGGAGGCCGGCCAGTCCGGCACGAGCATGCTGGACGAGGGTGCCGAGGAGATGGCGCCCGGGTAGATTGTCACGATGCCCGAGTTCTGAAGGCCGACCCAGGTACGCGTCTCGGCGCCGTAGCGGTACAGCATGAAGATGGACTTTTGCGTGCCGGGCAGCCGGTCCTGGCCGCCGGCCTGGTTCACTGTGTTGGTGTTGATCTCGATACGGTTGCCGACCTGCCAGTTCTGCACCGCGTAGGCGGTGATGTCGGCGGTGCCGAAGATGACGCTGGTGATCTCGAAGGGGCTCATGAGCATCATCGAGTGATACGGGCCGGCGCGGGCCGGACCTGCGCGACTGCGCGCCCAGCAGTTCCAGTGGCCGGCGGCGCCCGCGGTGCCGTACGACACGCCGGCGCAGTTGGACTGGGTGGCGCACCACGCCAAGCACTCATTCATGGTGTCGGTCCAGATCTGTTGTGTGTCGAAATACATGTAGTCATAGTTGCACCGGATTGCCCATTGGTTGCCCTTGTCGTCCGTGTAGGTCTGGCCGTCGTACTTGGGGCAGGTGATAGTGCCGTCGTCTGCGGGCGGCAAGTCCGGAACGTCGGGAGGGTTCCCACTCCCGCCGTCATCATCGCTGCCGCCGCTCGGCGTGTACCCAATGCAGCCCTCGGCCAGAGCAGGGCTGGCCCACTCGGCCAGCTTCCACTCGGGGCCATCGTCGACCTCCAGAGTCACCTCGTTGGTCAGTTTGATGTCCCAGGCAATGCCCTTGCACTCATCGCTGCCGACAGACGTCTCCTCGGTGCCCACGTTGACCTCGAACTCTGCCGTGCCGGTAATGGCAGGCGTGTCAACAAGCGCAATGCCCTCCTTGAACAGGCCGTTGAGGATGTCGATGCCGAACCACAGACTGACTGGCAGACCCAGGGCAGCCGTAGCCGTGACAGCGCCGCGAGTCTGGAAGGTGTGGTCGATGTTGGGTGTCCAGCCCTTCTGGTACGAATTCCGCGAGTTCTTGAGGTCTAGCTTGGCCTCGAACCCGGGCCAATTCAGGGAAGCGCCGGTGAGGACCTGACCCTCAGCCTCGACTCCAATGACGAACTTGCCGCTGAGGGTAATCTTGGGGCCCAAGGTCACGATGCCAGGGATGGACCATCCCGGAAGCCCCTTGGAGAAGATCTCCTTCTCCCACTCCTTCTCCCACTTGGCAAAGCCGTTGACGCCGAGGTACATGCCGATGTACATGTTGCCGGTGACGCCAATGTAGGCCTCCTTGACACCGCTCAGAGGGGTGGCATTGATCTTTCCCGTGGCCTTGATGGAGCCCCGAGCGCCACAGTTGACGCAGTAGATCTCGACGCCTGGCTCGGGCTCGGGGGAGCCGATGAGGTCGTCAACCAGGTTGTCGAGCACAGCCTTGGTTGCCGAGAACTTCTCGTCATCCCCGCCCATCTTGAACGTGTACATCTTAAAGGCCTTGCCCCAGGGCGACTCGACTTGGACGCTGGACGGCGGGCCGAGGTTGACGGGGAGCGTGAGCGAGTTCTCGTACTGTCCCGTGACGGCAAAGGCAACGAGCTTGACGGCATTGACGGCGAGCGACACAGCCACCTTGGCCACTGCCACGGCCGTGTTCACGACAAAGGTGGCGGCCGCTTTCACGACATTGACGACGGCCGTAGCAACCGTTTTGACAACGTTTACAACGACCTGCACTGCCTTGGTCACGACCGCCGCGACCGTCTTGACCGCGCTGACGATGGACTTGAGCCAACCCCAACCGCGTCTCTGGATCTGACTGTCGTCTTGTGTGGGAGCAGCGAGTGACAGTACTGCCTAGGAATCAGTTAGCGACCGGAGATATGCAGGCAACGGAAGGAACGCCGCCAGTGACATACCTGGGCATCACGGCCTCCATCGCTGTAGTATCCCAACTTGTCGTCGAGGGCATTGTCAAAGTTGGTGCCGCACGGCACGGCAGGCAGGCCACGCAGGGTATCGGCAGATGGAGAACCGCAAGTTTGCTGCTCTTCGTCGGCCGGAGTGCTGACGGTGATGTTGCCAAAGTCGATGTTCAAATCGGCAAACACATCCTTGAGTTCGACGATCTGACCGAGAGCCTCAAAAGAGAAGGAAGACTCCTGGAAGGAGATGGTGTGGGCAAGGAAGAAGGCATTCTGCGCAGCATCGTCGCCGCAGGACGGCGCGGACGTAATAAGGAGCACATCCTCGTCTGTCTGCCACGTGTCCTGGGCGAAGAAGAAGGGGTACGAAGAGTTAAAGCGGCCATGAAGGGTGCCGGCGGAGCAGACGACGTCTCGGATGTAGATGGAGTGGTCGAGAACAATGGACGCATAGTTGTAGGTGATGTTGAGGCGCACAGTAACGGGGCCGAGGTCACTACCATCGCTCTCGCTTTGCGTTCCATTATACCAGAGCTCAGAGACTGGGTCGGGAGTCAGGACGCCGGTGCCGGCCATGTTCACGCCCGGAGGCGGGACGGGGCCGAGAGTGGCAATGGGCGCTGGCTCAAACTCAAAGGGACCCTCGAAGTTCTCCTCGGTGCCCGAACCAGGATCCATGGGCGTGACGGTGGGAAAGCTGAAGACGGAACCGGGGGACTGAAGCTGCTTGGCCGTCCACACATGGCCGACCTGGGTCATGTCGCCCAGGGCCTTCTTCAGGTAGCAAGACGGTGCTACGTAGCTGGTGACAAAGGACATTAGCTTAGACCTGGTAATGGTCAACCAACTCTGGTGACTCACCTAACGTCGACACAATCCGTGTTCTCATCGCAGGCCGCGATGCAGTCTTCAAAAGTGGCAGCAGTCGTGGCCGCGAGGTCGTTGCCGCCAAAATCCACACCGCACAAAATTTGGTACAGGCCGCTTTTTGCCGATGTGTACTTGACAAGGTTGCTGGCGTTGCCCTCGCAAGTGAGCGGCGTCTTAGTGGAAGAAGGTGTGCTAACAGCGGTGGCAGTGGTGGACGTCGCGGTCGTGGTGCCGGTGGTGGCAGACGTGGCAGGCTTGCGCACAGCACCCCAGACGGAGACGCTGTCGACGGCGGGATTCTGCTGCTTCTTGAGGTAGCACGCCCCGTAGACGTAAGCCACGTTGACGCACTCGACATGCGAGTCGCAGGCGTCGATGCACTCTTCAAAGGATGCCGTGCTGAGGCCGAGGAGGTCGCCGCCGGCGTAGTCCTTGAAACAGGTGATCTCGAAGTCGGCGTTGGTCGCCTTGTAAATCTGGCCATTGCTCGCGTTGCCGTCGCAGGAGAGTTTGGCCAAGGGCTCGGGGTCCTCCTGGCCGCTGCCGCTGCCAGACTCGACGAGTTTCGCAGTCCAAACCCAGTCTCTTTCAAGGGCAGCCTCAAGCTTATTCTTCATGTAGCAGGCTTCGCCGACGTAGCTGACGTCAAGGCAGCCAGCAGTGGCGGCACAGGCGTCGATGCAGTCCTCAAAGGTGGCCGTGGTGGTGGCGGCGACGTCCCCGCCGACATAGTCGATGCCGCACTGCACCTCAAAGACAGCACCGGTTGACGTGGTGTAAGTATCCTTGTCGCTCTTCTTGTCGACACATGTAAGCTTGTTGTCCGAGGCGGCCTGCTTTGCGGTCCAGACCCAGTCTCTTTGGAGGGCATCCGTGACTTTGTTTTTCAGGTAACACTGATCGCCGGCGTAGCTGACGTCGATACAGCCAGGGGTCGAGTCACAGGCGTCGATACAGCCGGCGAAGGTCGAGGCCTGGACCGCGGCCATGTCGGAGCCGGCATAATCGATGCCGCAGAGGATCTGGAAGACGGCACCGCTGGTTGCCGCGTAGGTGCTCTGGTCGCTGGCCTTGTCAACGCAAGTCACGTCGGCAGGACCAGCGAGGGAGCCGGGGAGAGCGGCAAGCCCCAGAAGAGCGAGCTGGCGAAGGCCCCTAGCCATGGTGGCCAAACGAATGTTGGGATTTCTGCCAAAAGAGAGGACGTGGCGGCGAGATTCTGGCCGTCCACTTATGAATGAAAGACAGAGCCTGACGGCAAAGGAGAGGACGCAACGGAAGTTGCTGCAGTGCCAATGTGCATCAGGCCTTGAGAGACGGCGACAGCCTGGGAATCGACCCTTTTAAGTTCATATCCAAGAGGCCCATGTCGGTTTGTTTTGTTGTTGCGGCCATGGGCACGCTATTGGAAATACTCCCCCTATTGTGCGACTAGATTACGGCGGCATGTAAGTGTTGATGACTCGGGCTTTGTCTCCCAACTCGGATGAGCCGCGCTTCCCACACTTCGCCACACACATGGGTCGCATGCCATGGGCTGGCTTACCGTACCTGGTCGCCGGTTCCAGCTGTGGCTTCCGCGCAGGCCTAGCCCTGATAAAGTCCCATTCTGCAAAAATCGCCAATATTGGCTCAGCTAGTGGATCTCTCGCAGGGAGAGGCGAAGGCGCTATCGAGGGGCCGTCCGCTCGGTTCCTCGTGGATGAACCAACTAAGGTTGATTTCGGTCAGCTGTCCACCAAAGGTCCGGAGGGAGAGTCTTCTCGAAGGGGAGATCGCGTCGCCGCGGGACCGTCTAATGCAGGTACCGGTCCTGATATCCGGAATGGGGAAGGCGCAGAGCTTGTAGGAGAGCTGAAGATGGTGGCATGATTGGTACCGCGATATCGACGGCCACTTCGGTCAGAATTGCGGATGCCCCACGAGGTAGTGAATCCATGCGGCTGCACTTTTGACATGATACAACATGGTCTAATACCGGGCCGGGAGCGTCCGATGGGCGAGATCTGGAAGCTCTCCGAGTCGGCCATTGGGCGATGCTTGTCCGGTGGAAAGATGACTTCGACCGTTTGGGGAGCGTCAAATGCTGGAGCCTGGGCTGCTCGGCAGCCTCCAGCCCCGGCCGCCGCCCAGTCTAGAACCTCACTTGGCCACGTGAAGTTGTGGATATGTCTAGCCCGTTCAGCTGGTGCGGCTTAAACTCAAACAGACTGGACCCACACCACTATGCATTCAATACTCCGTAATCCGTACATGAACTTCAGCCCCATGGTTTGCATATAAATCTTCCCTGTCTGCTCAAAAGGGTCCAGAACTGGTCGCTCTGAGGACAAGAAACCGCCCCCTTTGAACAACACACACACACACACACACAATTAATTCCGCCCGGTGAGCTTAACCCGAAAGGGCAACTAATCCACATCTTCCTAAAATGGATTCTGATCTCTTGATGCCCATACGTCCTTCCTTTTGCAATTTGGTTTCCTTCTCAATAATGGGATAAAAACTTCGTCAATCTCCAAAGTCACGGCAAAGGCACAATTTCAATCATGGTTTGGGGTGGCATCTGGAAAGGAGGGAGGACTTGTTGGATTTGGCAGGTGGTCAGAGAGGGCAGTTCAGGGGTGACCAATGGCTTGGCACCAGGATTCTCAGGATTAGGAACAGGCAGGGAACTTCTGGAAGAACACAGACAGGTACATCATCATCAATTGAGTGGTTGCCCATCTCTTTGATACCCATTTACTACGGTGCGGCACATTCGTGGCTGTTGGCTTTCCAACAGGACTGACCTCATTGTCATGGAACGTGACTACCAACCACCACAAAGGGTGGGTATAGCTCCTGGAGCTCTCAGCAAGCATTGCAAGTGGGCCTTCTTCCTATTTACGACGGCACTCGGCATTTCCAACAAGGTAACGCAAAGGTTCATACCTCTGCGTCTTCAGCTACCTGGCTGATGAACTCAGCAGTTGAGGTGCTTGACGGTTGGCCTGCCCACAGCCCAGATCTCAATCCAATCGAGCATATGTGGGCTCTGTTGAAACGGAAAATGAAGCAGGTTTATCCAGATGTTTGGTTACTCAAGAAAAACCAGCTGGATATTGCCGAGTTTACTAGATGGCTGAAGGAGTGTTGGTGGTCGATCGACCAGGCTCAGGTTGACCGGCTGATCGACTCGATGCCGAAACGATTAGCCGCAGTCAGAAAGCCAAGGGTTGGTACACAGGATATTGATGGCTGGAACCTGGATTTCAACTGTATCTATCTATTTTAGTAAAGATTTTGGTTGTGGAATGTTATTTGAGGATATATTTGCAGGCTACAGTACCACAAAAAGCGGGGGGCTGGACTCAACAAGTGGGGTGCTCCAGACTTTTGGACCCTAACTGTATTTAGCGTGCCAAGGCCCTTTAGGCTTAGTGCCTCCGGGCGAAATCAAATCCATCCATCCATTCCACACATCCAATACGCGTCTGTTCCCCGAGTCCAGTTGTGTATCGTACCGTGACTGTACGGATCCCTACGTCCCATAGGCCTTCTCTCGCCCGCCCTTGTTGACCATAGATGTCAGTCCTGATAGGGGCAGTGAACTCGTTAATACGGGCAGATCTGCGAGTGATGCGAAGGGTTGTTTTTGCTGGTTTTATGACGTTGCCTCATTTCTTCTTCCCTGGTTAGCCAAGCCCCCTTTTTTCGGCGCTCCCTTCTCGGTTGCTTCATTTCCTCTGCCTTTTGGGGGCGGTTGTGGCGTTGCTTCTCTGTCCTAGCGAGTCGGTGTCCAGAGATGGGACGGATCTGCAAAGTTTCCGGTTGCGTTCTCGTGTCTCTTGTGCCTTGTCTTGCCTCGCCCATTTCGATCTCTGTTTGAGGAGGAACCATTCAGGCAACCCCGTATCAAGGTCCATCAGGCCGTCAAGGTGGTCTGCATCAACGTCACCAGGCTTGTTCCTGTCTTCGGCGTCTGTTCCGTCTGATTCGCTCGATTCATCTTCCGAGCGATCCGATGTCCCATCCATCGGTTTTCTTCCGGCAGGTAAGGTTTCAGCAGATGACCTGCTTGCATGTGGCTGTCGTGTTTTTTCATGCCGGGCATGCCATGCTTCGAGATGCTTCATGACGAATTCGCGGTGGTTGTTGACCGCGTAGTCGTGAATCTGGTCGACGATGCATATCAGATCGTATGCACGGCTGAACTGCTTCACATCGCCTTCCCAGATGATCTCCACGAACTGGTTTCACAGTATTAGCCAAGAGGCTTTCACTTTGGGGCTCTGTCAAACTTACACAAGTGTTGAGGAAGTTCCAGGCTATGTAGACCTCCCAGTAAGAACCGCAGGAAGTGAAGGCAAAAAGCTGGTATCCGTTGCTGTCGGCCGTTTGGTACTCGGCCACGTTGTCAGGGTCTCGGACCAGGTCGTCCAACATGGCGAGATATGTCTGGCATGCGTGGTAGATCTGCTGCTTGGCTTCTTCAAAGCCCGAACCTCGCTTTTAAGCCTCGTAGGCGGCATATGGGAAGACGAGGTCCGTCTTCCCCCCACGCCATCCACGGCGAGGCCGCACTGAGGGTTGTGCATCATGTCGCGCAGTCGGTCCTGCGAGAGCCTGAGGTCGGGCTGCCTCTCGCCATGCGCGTCTTTGCAGTCGCGGACGGCGCAGCCAAAACAGCGCTCGAGGAAATAGTCGTCGAATGTTGTGAGCCCCAGCGTCGCGTCAGGAATCCGCGTTTCCACGGTCCTCTGTCCACTGTCGTCCGTTCGCACGAACTCGTATGGCCTCTTGTCCCTGTTGCGGTGATTTGTGTGAGCTGGGGACCTGCGGCTACAAGCAAAGATTGTGTAGGGTGTGGAGAGCGAATGAGCTAACATCCTAAGCACTCTATCATCCATGATCAAGCCGAAGGTATCGAACCAGGAACACACTTCCCAGCCAAACTCGGAAGACTTGTACAATTGGTTGGCGCACGCCCTCTGGCCAACTTGTTTGCCCTCCGGTCAAGCTCTGGTTTCTTCTCGTTGCTGAGAGCCTCCCGGTATTGTACAATATCGAGGTTGGGGCAAAACCGGGCCCATGTCTGAGCCATTGGGGGGTTTGGAGGAACACTGCCTGCGTCGAAATGCTAACATTGTTGAACGGCTCGGGCACCAATGGCATGGTTCGGATCCTCGGCGTCCTGCTGCGAAGGGTGTTGTGGTCAGCGCGGTGTACACCCTCCCCAGCTTCAGGTTGGACTTGCTCCATTCTGTTCGTTTGTTGAGTCGTCGTCCGGCAACACATAACGGGTGATTCTAGCGCTCATGACTTAGGTCTCTGTATGCGAGAGTTGAAAGATGACTGCGTTTCTTTAAAGTAGCCCGAGCACTAGGCGACAGCAGGCGCCCGAAGGCCTTCTCCTGGGCCGGCGGCCGCAACGTGACAGCCGTTCGCGGGGATCAGAACCAACAGTGAGTGGGTGTTGCGAAATCTATCATTGGCTATTAGGGCGGCTGTGGGCGGCTGTGTTGCAGACGGCTGCATCACGCAACCTTCGGCATGAACCTCAAGGCTTCCTGAGGACGGACAGGCGTCTTTTCTTCAGGGGGGGCGTTTTGTGGTTTACGGCTGCTCCCTTTGTTGGTAGCCTATCGGCCGCGATCGTTTCGCGGGTCACAAGCCTCAACCATCTTGAGGTGGACCATTTGGAAACAACATTCTTCTGCTGTAAGTCAGGAACATACGCGAACAAGCCCGTGCATTTTCACAGGACAGCCCCCAAACTCTTTTCAAAACGCGACTTGATGACCCGCCACACGTGAATCAAAGCAGCACCACTTGCCCGCAGCCGACTTGATCGAGGCCTACAAGCCGTTCCGGTACCTATCCACCAAAGATTGTATCGCGTGTGGATTCCCCCAGTCCAGGTCGAGCGTGATGATGCTGACAGGCCCCTCCAAATCCCCGGCACCGGCTGGCCCATCTGGTGGGATTGCCAGTCCGCCAGGAGAAGAATGCGCGGACCTTCGCCCATCACGTTGCTGAAGAAGGCGTTCACCGCGTGACCCGTACCATTTGCCCGTATGTATAGCACGGCGCGCAAGGTGGTGAAGCGAATTTGGATGTCGCGCATCATGACGTCGTAGGCCGAGACACCAGGTTCCTGGTTGAAGCGCTGCCACTGGAAGAGCCAGCCGGTCAGGCCGCAGAGGTTCCGGATGCCCCTCTCGCTCAGCGGCTGATCGGGCAGGTCGTAACCGTAGGCGGCGCGCCACAGCTGCTGGACGTTGGCGTAGCCCAGCAAACGGCAGAGCGAGACCGAGACGCAGTTGTTCCTCATGTCGGTGGGGTTGATGTTCGTCGCGCCGTAGAAGCCCATGGCATCGACGGCGCCGAAGAAGGTCGACATGTTACCAGTGTTGACCTCCATTGTGGATCTATTGGGGCGCCCTGGTGCTGGTGCGGTGGTAGAGAGCAGAGGTGATGAAAAGGGTCAGATATTAAGCGAAGTTGGGGACAGGAGAGGCGGTTTGACCAGCTTCAAGTTGGCCTTTCTAAGGACACGACATGCAAATATGTCTTTACACTGCGGGATCTTTGCGGCTTGACCGAGAAGAAAACAGAAACATCCATGTGGCTCTTTCCGACCGCCGGAGTCAACAAGGGAGAAGACAGGAGGACAAGGGGGGAACAGGGTGGAGGAGAAACATTCAGGTTGCTACTGACGTTAGTGTCCAGTACTTGCTGCAAAGGCCAGTGTGGAGCAGACTCAGCAGAGTCTGGACCGAACCAAGCATCCTCTCAGCCAGCCACAACTGTTGTCGTCCAAGACAACTTGCTCATTTCCGAAACGTCCAGTCTCCGCTGCCTCTTCTGGGTTTGGATTCAGCTAGCCAAAGTCGGCTCATCTCCGCCAGAGTCCGGGACGCCTGCGGGGGGGTGTCACAGTTTCTGTAGCGGAACGCCATGGCAGAAACAGCTTCCGTTCCTGCTCTGCAAACGTGGCCCCTGCTGTAATCCTGGGATTGAAGGAAGCCCCGCAGAAACAGACTTGCTTTGCGTGCACCGATTGGCCGCTACGTGACATCCTCTCTCACGCGATTCGGCACATCAGACCCATACAGCTCATACAGGTGTTCATGGTACTTCTCATCTACAGTGACGTCCAATCTGGGCAGCAATGCCGCGCAATTCCGGCACGGCTTGCGGTACAGGTTGAAACCCGTAGCGTCGTGCATGGCGTTGAGCGTGCTGCTGTCAAATCTTCCTGGATGCTACCCAAGACAAGAAGAGATCAACAACTCATCCCTTTGGGAACGACCAGAAAGGTCAGTTAGGTGTACCTCTGTTGGCCCCTGGCCAGCCAGCATCCCGCACATGACATTGTTGAAATATCGCGGTTGCATGGCTAGCCCGTGAACTTGGGTGACGACTTGCGCTGGGTCTTGCTCCTGTGGGTTGTCTCCCGCGGGGGGAGGACACGGGAGGCGAAGTATCTCGGCCTGATGGAGTGACGGACGAGTTAGTTCTTGTGTGGTAATGCGAGAGAGGTAGATAAGGCCAAGGCAACAAGGAAATGGTATGTGTACGTCAGGACAGTAACAGGATACGTCTCGCAGCAGCGGCCGAGCCTTGCTTTGGATGGCTGCCCGAAGCCGAGGCCGTCGTCGCCGGCCTCCACCCAGAAATAGAAGCGCTCCAACATGTCGAGGACGCGGGTCCGGCAGTCGGGCGTGTAGATGGCCAGTACCGCAGCCCCGACGGCGAGGGCCTGGCCTGGAATTGCGATGGCTGGAATTTCGGGTAGCGAGGCATTGGGCGTGGGCTGTGTCGCGGGCGGGATGGGCGGCGGGGCAGGGAACGTGTGAGGCAAGAAACAGACTTGGATGGCCTTGATGATGGCTGCGTCCAGGGGAGTTGGGCTTGGAGCATCGCGGCCGTCGCAGTAGCTTGAAGTCCAGCGGATTTTCATGATGTCTGCTAGGGCGGCGCGGATGCTCTTGCGGAGGTGTGGATGGGCGTAGACCTGGTCCGATGACAGTGGCAGGATGTCGATCGGTGGCGGGGGTTGTATTGCTTTCCAGGCGGTTCTATGTTGCGTGGCGAGGTTGTCGAAACTGGTTTGAGCGGCTGATTGATCCATGATGACGGTCCGCCAGTCGCCGCGCTTTGCCCGCTGGTACTTCGGAGGGTCTACAAGCACACCTCCAGGGCACTCCAGCGTCTGGCCCCTCAGGAGGGCAAGAAGCCCGTCAATGATGGAGTCGACCATCATAGGCGGGTTTGAGGGGGTTTCAGTGTTCTGGCCGGGTTATAGAGAAGGACAAACCAGGGGCGAGAGCATGGTCTGATTCTAGAGGGCCATCGCGCTCCGCTTTGCCCCGTTCGCAGCCGCAAGTTGGCCAGAGTCAGCAGAGGACGGTGCGTAGGTGCTGCCGAGGAGCATGGCCAGACGGCCCTGGGCATCGTTGAAGTACATGGCACATGCCATCCATGGAACGTTCAACAAGCGAGGTTTCCAGTCCTGGCTGGCGATGTACGCCAGGTAGAGACATCGACTGTAGATTGCAAGTAACGGCACGACGTAGTTGCTCCATATCAACTGCGCCGGCCGGACCTGAGATGGCATGCGGGCAATGCTGAAGATGTAGCCGAGGGCCGTCGGGCCATCCGCGATCTCGATGAGGTGGTTGTTGAAAGACACTGTGATGGGCTTGGCCACGCACACCGGGGTAGAGGGCGACGGTTGGCCATAGCTGATGTCGACGGATGAAGGGCAGCTAGATGATAAGGTTAGGTGTTACGTTGGTGTTGATCTCACACTGTCGGTGTTGACCTTGGCAGATTTGGCTCACATACATGCTATCCACACCGTTGGGTGAGGGGAAGAAGTGATTCAGCAGGCGGAGGACATCGTCGGCGAGCTCGGCCGGGATCCCACCAAGACTGGCGTGCTTCTCCTGGAGTTGAGTGCGCAGCTTGTTAATCCAGTTACAGAAGCCCCGGACGTTGTCCTTGAGTTTGTCGCCGCTGAAGATGGCTCAGTCCAGTACGCAAGGGTCTTCGAACACCTGGAAGGTCGACCAGTCGTGATTTTCAGGAGGAGACATGGTGGGCTGGAGGTGTGTTCAACCGTGATGACTGACTGGAGTGGACCCACGCGGGATCGGACCGAGGGGACATTGAGCGGGTTGAGGAAACTCCCCAAGGCAGAGGCAGGGCTTTGGAGAAAGCCGACCACGGGCATGGCATGCGCCGACATACTTGGGTCCAGGTCAGGGCCATCGACATGAACACATCGTTGGATTCTTCCGCAGAAACAGACGTATTCAATGCGTCTCCGAAGACGGAACACCATACACAGAGTAACACGTGATTACTTCCAGTCTGTCAGGTCTCAGGCGACATGGAGGCGATGAAAAGACGTCAAGTTTGGCAGTTGTGATCGCGTCACATTGAGTGGGCGGCTAACGGCACGCATGCAGGGCAGGGGGCGGCGAAGCGTCACCGTCACCGTATGAGCCGTCCGCCGCCGTTTCGAAACCAGCTAGCCTCATCGAGGCGTGAGAGCTGAGACGTTCAACGGGGCTAGCGCAGGCTTCCTGGCGACGGGTGCATTGGGTGACTAATGGACGACTGCATCTGGCGATCCCCGATGAGATTAGCGTCCACGTGTGTGATGGACTGGACGGAATTCCCAGGGCGCGACTTCGTGTGACTGGAATGAGTACTTAATTACATGTATGGACATGGATGGAGACATGAATCTGGACCTGTATCAAGGGTCAACAACGCAATCCAGAGTCAAGACCTTTCCCCGCTTTCTCCACGTTCTGGACCAATCACTCTTCACGCTGCCAATTCTCCAAGTTCCATATTCGGCTTGCTACGGGTGTCGCAGAGCCATGTCTGCAGAGAGCGCTAAGCCACTTCCTCAACCTCCTCCCGCGCCGGCGGCTCTGCCCACAGCAACCTCGTCCCTCCTTCCGACATTGGACACTCCTGCAGGTCTCGGCCGCCAAGGTCGATACAGCAGCCGCTTTGTCCATCTTGGTGACTCGCATCCCAGCTGGTGGTCTGTTTGGTCCAACGATCCCGAGAAGATGCAAATGGAGGCGTACTTCTCTGCTGACGCAGGTACGATGATCCCTCGGAGCCCTTGAACTCATCAGGCTTGCCCCGTAGTAATATGGAGTGTGCTGCACGTGTGCAGAGACCCCCAGCGTCGGTTCCCAGTTCAACATGAACCTCATGCCCGTCCTTGTCAAACAAGACGCCGGCGCCGGCGACACTTTTCTGCTCGTCGACGACAAGGGGGGTGTTTTCTTATGGAACGAGAATGAGCTGGAGATGTATAGGTTTGTTGCGCGGGACGGCAAGACACTCGTCGTGGAGGATGTTGCGGCGAGGGTCAGAGGGGAGACATACACCAACGATGAGCTTGTGAGACAGTTTTGGAATCCCTCGGGGAGGGCTTGAACCCAATTGTGAATTTGATGCTGTTCGTTTGCTGTTTGGCCACATGTCCTCCAGTCCATGCCACCCATCGGGACCATGAAGATATGATCACAAGCGTGATGCCTGGCCACCTCCGGGAGAACTGGTCACCAGCCGGGGGCTGCCTGGCACGGAACTCCCGACAACCGACGAGGAAGTGGATTTGTTGACGTCAAAGTCGGCAGGCGTCTTGACCATGGTCAACACACCATCTCCCCGGTGTACCAGGTGGACGTGGTCGGTGGCAAGCTTCTCAAAGTCGACCTTGTAGGTCGTGTCCTCGCTCTGCAGTGCGGGAGACCAGGTCGCGCGAGTGGTAGTGTCCGACGGCCACGTACAGCGTGCTGGACGGCATGATCTGGTACAGCCTGCCGGGTAGGGGCACAAAGCTGGCGTATGGGCCGATGTTCGGACGCACCGAGGAGGTGAAGCCGACGAGGTACTTGTCTTTGCAATCATCTGTCAGTGTGGTAAGGATTGGTAATAGTTTGGCAAGTAGGTACGCACTAGCTTTGGCTTCTTGGGGGATGAAATCGGTTCGCGTGCGGATGGCGAAGCTGTCAATGGCGCCCAACCGGGTCAGGGGCGTGTATGGCTTGACGAAGCAGGGCGTGCCGTTGTCACACTCAATTTCGAGCGTCGAGCCAGGCACCTCAACCCCGGCGTCGGTGCGCGTGCCCAGCTCAACCTCGCGCTGGTCAATGACTTCGCACCCAGAGCCAATGGGCTTCAGGTGGTTCTTGTCGGCGGCCTGGACCTGGCGAGCGGTGGAGTCGGTGTCGACATCGTAGGTCCCGCACGTGGCGTACCATGACTTGGGAAGGAAGATGTTGGCTTGACCGTCCCCGCTGGGTACGTAATGCACGCTGGTGATGATGCGGCGCGTGATTGCGGTGATGACCTGGCTGTTGGCCTGGATCTGAGGCGCCTCGGCGAAGATGGCGTACGACTGCTTGCCGCCGTACTTGTTGCTGATCTAATGATGTATCGAGCCATGGTGACAAGGACTTTCAGTTGAGGACGTGCATGGTTGTCGGAGCCAAGTTGGATGGTCGCGCACACGGACATGGAACAACTGCTGTAAGTCAACGTCAATGCACGTCTCGATACAGCGGCTCTTTCAGCTGACGACTTCCAGCCCACGGCAGGGGGGCGGTTGCACTTGCGGCAATAGTCAGGAGTGGGAGGCGCGCGGTGGCGGCCCGCTTCCCTTCCCCCGGGATCTCCGCCGGCAGCTGGGCCACCGATTGCATGCTGTAGCTCGGACAACGTCGACATATACGGAATAGCGTGCTTGGGTCTCTTGAGTCTAGACCATCTCTCCTTTCAACCTCAACATCGAGAGTCCACAGGTAGCATCAGCATTAGCTGAGTTTACTCACCCATGCCACGATTTCTGACCTATCAGATGTTACGGAGCAGGCTCCTTCATATCTCCTGCGGTGTGCGATAGTTCCCAGCTGTATACTTACACTTGGACGCTCACCGATGGGGGCATGGCCTCGCGTCATATTCACGACGATGGCTGGCTGAGGTCTCGTCACCAAAACAGTTCCAGTCCGAAAACGATCCATCGGATGCGGCGTGCGCATGTGAGTGTAAGAGGGGCGGGTGATAGCTTAAGCCATCGGAGCGCGAGGGCAGGAAGCATAAAAGCAAGGAGAATCCCCTCAAGAACTGAGAGACTATCTGCATCAGCATCAGCATCATCCTCGTCATTCATCAGCTTCACTTTCCAGATCACTCCAGAACAAGAACATCCAGCTTCCCAACACCGCTAAAATGGCCCCTAACAAGTACACCATCACCATTAGAAACGAGAACGGTTCGGACCAAAACTACTCTCTGTTCAACCAGAAGCCCATCATCAACGGCAAGGTGCAGGAGCAGATCTTCTCCAACGTCTTCTGCAACTTCTCCACCGCCGTAGGCCAAACGGCTGAGGTTACCATCAGCACCCAGTACAAGGCCGTTGTCGGCACCCACAAGGGCGACGATAAGAGTGTCCAGGTCAAGGTGGGCATGACCCGCGACGTCACCCTTGGTGTGATGAACAACGACGGCACCGTCACCAACGGCACCACCCTTGAGTTCGCCCTGGCCAGCAACGGAGCCCCGACTTTCTCCGCCGAGCCACTTCCCTCCTCTGGCTTTGTTAACGCTTTCGCCATCAAGGCCCCAGCCGACAAGGGCTGGGACAAATCTGATGCAAAGGCCGGTAAGAGACCTACGCTTCTGACTCCCAACATGCAGTTAGTGCGCATTATGCTGATTTTATCTCTAACAAGGCAACTGGGTCATCGGCCTCGGTTTGTCCAGCAGCGAGGGCAACGGCCCGAGTGCTACCTTTACCCCCGAGCCCGGCGTCACGTATCAGATCCAGCCCTCCAACACGTTCTACCTCGTCGCACAGAACTTCGAGAAGGGCGTTCTTATGGATGTCGCCAAGATCGGAGACGTCCTTCCCATTGAGTTCACCAAGCTGCCCGGCCCCAACGTGACCATCGTCCACGGCAGGCAGGGCGGCCTTAACATTCAGAAGAAGCCTGATTTCTAAGCGCAGCGATGCTCGCAACGCGCTTCTTCACTCACCGGGAGAGGCAAGAACAGGGGACTGTGGCAGAGACGGTGGGTCAGGCAGGCGGGCAGTATACGTTGGGATTTAGTGAGAATGCCTTAGATAAAACACAGAAAATAGAATGCATGCTTCATTCTCCACCCAGGCTCTCGCCCTTTAACCCTGTTGGGGATCTACATATTTGTTTGCATTTTCTCGACTTCGGTGAGCACTATTGAACGAAGGTTGTAGTAGTGAACGAAGTGCATTGCTTAGTTAACAAGTCTGCAGTGTAAGGTACCTTACCTTTCGTTGTAGTGACTTAGCTGACCAGAGCCACTATGCTCCCCTAAACTCGCCTGCATACTAATATAGCAAAGAGGATGTCCTCGGACAACGAAGACAAATTCATCTCGAAGTTTCATCCGGCAACCGCTGTATTTTCTCCTCGCTAAGCGGGAGTTGCGGAAGAACCGTTGTAATGTAGCAGTATTCGCACACGACATGTGAGCATTGAGGTAAACATTGGGAGGTCAGTCTAAGAGGAAATAAACCGCTTCCACATAGGTGCTGTTTGCATTATTGCTTGTTAGCAATCCAGTCTCGTTGAAGACGATATTCAATAAGGTACACGGGCTACGACTTACGCACGACCACACTTTCTGATGCTTGTACCTCTGTTGCTCCCCTGCTGCGCAGGTATCGGGACCCGGAGGGCTTGTGGATGTACGCGGAACGGCCGCTGCCCGAGCAGCGGTTTCTGTCCGCGATGGCGCGTCCCAGGACGAAGACATCGTCCGGGTAGGCTTGTCTTGTTGGGAAGACGAGCCGGCTCCTGGCCCCCCTGAGCTCCGGCACAGTGATGAAGGCGGTTGACTTGAAGTTGAAATTGAAATAGGTGACGGTGGGGTGGCTGACGGCAGCGCGGAGGCTTTAGTTGCTGTTAGCTCTACACTGCGTGTCGGTGACAGTCCGCCCCACGTCCAATACGGCAACAGTGATTGCCCACTCCTCATGGAGGACGATGCCGATGCCGTGGTTGATGGCGTCGTTGAACCTTTAGGCGCCGCTGCTGCCCTGGCTGACTTTGATACCGATACCGCCGTCACCACCGCCGCTCCTTCAGCGCGCTTCAAGTGATTTTGTGTAGCTTTTCGGTTGCTTGTGTGGGCCAGTCTCAGACTCATAGCTGTTTCTGACGCTGTACTCTCTTCTGAGGCATCTCCGTCATTGTCTGTTGTGGATTGGGTATGTGAGGATGGTACTAAAAGTTCTCCAGTTGCCGTTCGTCCATCGCCGCACAAGGTTGATCCTTCGGCATGCGAGGATGGTTCCTTATGCGGTAAAAATGACCGTTGGAGTCGGAGTCGGACTCTCATGTCCTGCCAATTCTGCCTCGGGCTATAGGTTGCGGTTCGATGCCCCTCACTCTCCGAGCCCAGTTCAGACAGCGAGCGACATTCCAACTTTCGATAGGAGGTCGCTGGAGATCGTCTGCCAGGCAAGATGACCCAAACCGTGATGCCCGCCAGTAGGCAGGTTGAAAGTATGGTAAGCAGAGCATCAGTGCCCTGAAGACCCCAGGCAACTTTCAGAGCAGCCAGCATACCGGCCTGGACCTTGCTAGGGGTCCTTGCTGCCTGGGCCACTGTGTTCTCGACAACATGGTAGCGCGTGGGCAGAGGGGACTGGAAAATCTGGTCGCAATCCAGTCCCAGATGTGACCAGGGAAGTTGCGCTGCCTAAAATATTGTTAGCAGTGGCTTCAGTAACGCATTGAGACCGCCAGCGCGTGACCAGAAGCTCCTTAAAGGACGGAACCGACCTTCAGCTCCACACACAGCCGCTTGGCCTCAATATCGCTCTGGTACCGTTGCTCCTCGTAGATTCTCTTCGCGTACGTCTCGTCTTGCGATCTGAACCAGTCGAGCAAGAAATAAGACAGGGGACTAATGACTGCGAGACAGCCCCATATGGCTGCGGCTCTGCCGTAGTCTCCGCAACAGAGCCAGGAGAATTTCTGCATCCGTTCGCAGAAAAAAACGGTTAGATAGGCCTCTATTTCGTATGGGTATACTTAAGGCTCGGTTGTCTTACGCGTTTTCTCTTCTGGGGCTGGGAATTCACTGCGAGAGGTAGACCTTGGTTTCTTTGAGCATATTGGGAGTGCGAGCCGGCGGGAATTTGCGCTGGTAGTTGTTTCCCGCTACTGCTACTACTGTTGACATTATGCGCTGCTGGAACGACCCTCACTCGTCTTTGAGAACCCGGACCCGGAGGGTGTTGACGTGTGGCGGCGCGCTGAAGGCGGGATGCAGTTGCCATCTGAGAGTTTCAGTTTGATCACCCCAGGTTGCGTAGGGGTGTGCGAAGGTAGAAGAGGAGGGAGGGAGGGAGGCTAGAAAGGTTTTACAGGAAACAGAAGGCTGACTCGACTCACTTCCGCTCACCGCCACACATGCATGTCCCGGGCCATCATTGCCCGCGTGCGCCAAATGGCCATTCAACCCAATCAAGTTCCCGACTTTCACTTTTCCGGTTACCGATTCGGGGAAGACAACCTCTGCACTGCCCCTTGCCTCAAGGCTCGAGCTCAAGGTAGGTACAGTACTTAATTGTCATTGGGAACCAGACATTGCTGCGCCACGGTGACGGTGTATACACCTCCACTACGACTTTCCGACGTCAAGAAAACATGTCTAGTCAAGACAGATGGTCAAACTGATGCTCTCGTCCAAATAACTTCACTTAAAACAGCTAACGGAAGTGATATTTAGCTTGGCCAACCGAAGGTGATGTCGCGCAATACCAGCAGTTTGTTGCACTCGTCGCTCCGGCTTAACGGCCAGCCGACAGGTGCAAGTGTTGTAAGAAATCCTCCAGCCCAGACACGTCTCCTGTGTCCGCAGCGTTGGCTTCTCGTACGTGAGTCTGGATCGCCGTTGTGATCTCTCGGTACAAGTTCACATCGGGCATTCGTGGGTATTCGGAGTCAATCTTGATGTTCCCAACAAACGCCTTCAACTCCCCATCTACATCGTAGGTAGGTGGGTTAGCCGGCGCCTCTTGAGAAAAGCGGTTATCCACATCGGGCATTGTGGAAGTCCTGCTTCTGGCATAACTTACCGGTAAACATCGAACGGAACCCGTCGAATATCGTTATGCCGTCAGGCTTGCGCGGCCTCAAGGACAGGAACATCACGGCTAGAGGGAGGGCCCAGAGGCTGCCAAAACAAGCCTGAGCCACGGTGATTGCGGTGCGAACTTCCTCCTTGTTGGCAGCCAGGGCCAAGCCATGGACAATCTTCTCCCGGATGGTGTTGACTGGTTTCGCCCACTGATCCCGCCGTGTAGGGTCTGCCAGCTCGGGGCATAGGTTGAACAGCCCGGCATCAATGAGTTGCTGCATTGAAGTTTGCCGGCAGCGGCCGCTCACGTCGAGGCGTCCCTGGGAAAGGTATTCCCCATAGTAAAAATACACGTCTGAGTTGTCCTTGTCCTTGTACTCTGTGCGCATAGCCTTCATCCGTGCTAGGTTCTTGTCGTATCCATGGAAGGCTTCGATTGCGTCCAAGTCCTTGATGAATGTGCCTTTGGGGAACTTCCGGGTGTCGAGAACAAGCAGATATACCTGCGAAAGGCATGTGTCTCTGCCCTCCCGCCTGTCCTTGCTTTGCCGGTATAGCCCGTACTGGAGGACGAACAAGAGAGAGCTCGACCAGGACATGAAGTTGCAATCCCCCTTCTCGTCGTGGCGCTTGTTCCACCAAAAGTGGTCCTCCAGACACCGGGCAGCCTCCCATGGTTGGAGTTGAAAAAGGTCTTTTTTGTTCAGGCCATGGTCGCAAGCTGGGGAACTGACTTGGCGAGTGGTGGTAGTTCCTACTGTGCTCGGACCATGCACTCGGAAGAGATACGTGGGTATGTCGTTGAAGGACTTGGATACGGATCGCTGAGCAGGGCTTGGGGAGAAGAGAAGAGCATCCCTGACTTCCTCCAAGACGTTCACTCGTCTAGCTAAGGGCTCGCCCATGGCAGAGAGGGTGCTCGGACTGGAGGTTTCCTTTGAGCGAGTCGTCCCAGGTATTGGCGGCACCTAGGATGCAATTCAGGTTCTGACTGGCAGGATCAGTATTGCCAGTTGGTCCCAGAGACTGGTTGACTACATACCTGAAATGGCTATCTTATTTGGCGCCAAAAGAAGATGGTTAAGTACAGGTAAGAGAGTCGGTCGTCAAGCCAAAGCCGCCGTGAGCCTTGTGAGGAGAAACAGTCCTGGAGCACTGCAGGCTGCGCCCCAGAGGCGGGGTTTAGTTTCAGCTCTCTTCCTCAAGTGTGTGCCACAATGCTATTGGCTCACCGGAACCAACCGGAAGAGTGAGGCGGCCTATGCATTTCTCTTGCTTTCGGTATGATCTGGGGTGATTTGTGGTCCGAGAGAAGAAGCCTGGGGCGGCTTAGACATCTGGTCCTTAGAGCGCTTCAACTTCTGACCTCCACGGCTGTACATGAACCAGAGCTCTACAACGTCCGGATGTTGAGATCTACCCACACGCCGCTCTAGTTAAGGTATCGGGAGTTACTGCTCAGGGACTATAACTCTCATCCCCAAGCTGCGCACTACCTCGAAGTCACGTCCTACGACCAGGAAACAACGGATCGACCACATCATTTCCCAAGACAGGTTTATTTCGTATATACGCTCGAAGTCGGGATCGAAGATGATCTTCCACAGATCTTCGAATTCCTTGTCTACATCAAAACGTGTTAGCCAGGGCAATACGCCAGCAGAACCCAGCCTAGTGGCGACTGTCTTATTGTAAAGCTTATAGGTAAATTTCGGACACAACCCGTTGATGATTGTCTTCTCGTTATGTCTTCATAGCTGCAATGACAGCAGCACTATAGCGATAGGGGCGGCCCAGCGGTTGCTAAACTAGGCTCGAGCAGCTGCAATTGCTATGCGAATCTCCTCCCTGTCGGTCTCCTTGACAATCCCGCTGATTTCCAAAATGAAACGGTGACCTCTGCTAGTGACCATGCAAACCGCCAAGCAAGACCTCTGATCAATGACGATGTGGTTCGATGTCAGGGGGATATCTCAGGTCTGAAACGTATGGCTCGTTTTTGGAAACCCCCGCAGAAAACCGCCAAAGCCCTTTGATATCACTTTCTGAGAGGTAAATTTGACAGCCCTCCCGTATTGCCCGGCAATCACCTAGTAAGAATCAGTTAAACAACTTTGACAAGCCATTAAGCCAATGCAACTCGACGAGCTGCTCGATTCATACCCTTTATAAATGATGCATTGCTATGGTTGTCGAGGTCTACGAGCTTCAACTCCGGGAAACCATTTCGGTCCCTTAGAACCCGGCCGTCTGGCACCTTGAAAATTTGGCGCCCAATCCACTAATCTTTTAGGCTCAACACACTGATTTTCAGGACTTCAAATCTCGCGACAGTACAGTTCTCAAGCTCCAGGGGTATCTCGACCCTTCCTATCTCCACAGGAGCCACAGATCCGGGATAGAGCGAATATCTAAAGGGACCTCAAACCTAGGCACGTTCGAGTCGACCGCCGGCGACGGCGGCGGTAGAGATGCTGTAGCAAGCTGGGGAACGCCCCCCTGCTCTTCCTCTCCAGCAGTAGAAGATAGTTGGGGGGAAGTGGCCCCGCGGGATGGCACCCCGGTCGACGTGGGCGCCGGCGCGCGGCCCGGCGCCCTCGGTCGCCCGCGCTTCGGCATCTCGAGCCGTTGTACGACAGTGCTGCGTCCCGGACTGATCGTGACGGTGTACGAAGCTCGAGAGCCGGGGCGGCGATCAGGGGCTCGTTGTCGTCCTCCTCGAACTTGGTCGCTGCCACCGCCGCCGCCGGAGTAGTGGCGACTTCAATGGTCTCGCCTGCTCAAAGGCTTAGCGGGGGAGCATAGGGCTGGTTGCCCAGCCGACCGGGCTAGGGAGCGTTTACTCTCATCACGCCGTCGCCGTTTGGCGGCGGCAGCTTGTCCTACGGCCACAGCAGCGTCTAGGCGGCGTTTCCTCTGCTTCTCCAATCGCGTCCCCTTTTGGGGGGCTCGGCTTACAACTTTCGCCTTCATAAAAAGGAGCAGCTTGCCTTCATCGACAAGATCGCCGGGAAGTGGTCGCCCTAGCGGCCAGGTCGACTGTCTGGCGGCCCAGTCCTCAGGAATTGGGTCCCAATTTTTGAAGCACTAGTCCTATAGCGGTGTCAGGATGGGATTGAGAGTCGTCGTGAGAAGAAGGGGACCGGCCGACCTTCCACTCTTACTGTTTGGGCTTGTAGGCTTTGAAGTGTTTTGGGGCACCGTAACCCTCCAGGTTTAGGAGATAATATTCCATCGCCTCGCGTATGCGAGCATCCTCAATTGCAGTGGCCGCCATGGTAATCGGGCGAGAAAAAAAGAAAAAGGAAAGAGGATTGGGGGTTGTCCTAGGGTGCCAGCCGTGGATAGCAGTGGTGTTTTATAAAGTGACGGATGTTTTTTGCGCTGCGCACTTCATTGCAGGCCACGCGTCTTTGGAAGGTCTGGGCACGTAAAGGCTAGTCATGTGCCCCTTCCACTTCGTCATTTCTTTTGGCGGGCCGCGCGCGTTTTGTATTAGGTTTTCCACGAAAAATTGGAAGGTCCACTAAAGCTGATGACCTTCCAGCGGGAGCCCAATTTGGCGGGGCAAATGGAGGACCCACCGGTTTTTGGCGGACGAAAACCGGGTTTTTGTTACGCTTGGAACCTGAGATACCCACACGTTACAAATGACTCCGTAATAGGACCACGGTACGCGAAAATTAGCTTAGCGATTGACAGGTCCATCCTTTCACATGATCCGAAAAAATCTCCCCTCGCGCGTATACACCAACCACCGGCAACCAGAGGTTGATCCTGTTCACATCATTCTCATCAATGTCAAGTAGGTCGGAGTAGAGTTGAATCATCCCACCGCCTGATGCTCGCCCTAGGATGAGGGTCAGTACCGTCTGAGACCAACATATTTTGAGTCCACAACGCTTCAACCGGGCCTCGCTTCCAATAGACGTCTCAATCAACCGCATACAGTGAAAAGACATATCCCGCTGCAGCAGGGTTTGGTACTGCGGAGGCTGTTACCGCCGCTGGGTGTACATTGACCCTGGCGGCCTTCGGGCCTTCTGTCAGCAGGATTACCAGCAGAAGCTGGCATAGCGAGCCCGAGAACGGCGTTGCCGAGCAGGATAGTGAAAGCTAGCTGAGAGCCGCATGACTAAGGTACCTGTTGAATTGAGATGTAATGGGGAAAGCGCTTGGTAAGGTGGGAAGAGCGGGCTTGGTGTTGTGAAGTGGATTGGATATGGCATTACTCCCTTGAACGGGGTGATGGTTTAGACAGGTATTCATCCTTGGAGTTCCGAGCCGAATGTCAGATTCTTTTTGGATTGTCCCAGTGTCGTTGGGACTTCGAACTTCGGTGGGCGAGTGATGATCGACTCGAATCTTACTTGTCCTGTTCCCTGGCATTGTTGCTGATATGACGTCTCGGACTCTGAAGATCACGGTAACTTCACTAGGCTTGTCCCGCAACCTGTTTTCATGACTGGATGTCTTCGGGTGAGTCCCATGTTCATTGGAAACTGACATTGAACAGACCCCACGCAATGCAGTCGATCTTCAAAGGCACTAACTCAATCCTCAATTTTACGGGCTCGAAATCAAGACACTGTCAATGCGCTTCAAGGCTCGGAATAGGGGCAGCATCGACACGTGTGTAGAGAGAGCAAGAGAAAGTTGACGAAGATCGCCTTGAAGCCGCGGGCAGAAATCAAGGAGACAGACTGCCATGTCTCAGTTGGCCTTGGCGGAAATGTCTCAGCGTTAGAGCTGTCATTGGTTAATCTGTGATGCGGCTGCGTACGGACCATTCGTAATCGTATCTATCGTGTTGAGCTACACGCGCGTACCCAGCAATCACTTAGAAGCCCGCGACATGCACATCGCGATCGGCAAGTCTCACAACGTGAAGGTATCCGAGCCAACAATCGGAGGCATCGCTGGACTTGCGCCAGTCAATGCATAGTATTGTGAGACACCGATGGGGCACTCCCGCGGCTGAACTCGGAGGGCGAAGATCTTGGTCTTTCTTTGTTCATTTCAAACTCTTCAATCTCAGACGTCATTCCCGCTCGCGCCGTAGTGAAAATCACATAATTATGCGGCTGGCTGAACGCGAAGACTTGCCCGCCCATGTTCTCGATCATGGTTAAGCATCCCTTTGGTTTCCCTCAAAGTCTCAAACTCAGTTTCATCGCGGACACCTATTCTGTCGACCACGATTCCCGCTAGTTCCTGTTCAGAAGCCATGGCAGTGACAAATTATCGATCGTCAGCCAGAGGAGAGACCACTAAGCGCCTCGTCGCTCAGCTGGTCAATGAGCGATTGGCAACGCTGACTTTGCTTGATGGTACCGACCAACCCCGAGCACGGATCACAGGACCAGGCAATCCGGCCCGGTGGATGACTCTGCCCGTCACGGATGGCTTCAGTTTGTCGAAACCTCTTCGGCCAAATGACTTTCGGCTCCCCGTCACGCTCTGTGCCAATGGCATGGAATCCAAAGAAGATGATCCAGGCTCTATCTTCGCGTTCTGTACCTCATGGTTTTGCTGTGACGAGAAAACAGCATCGTCCATCACTTACGAACTTCGAAACTCGGCCGTGATGCTAGGTGCGTACAGACCTATCATTGTTATAATCGAAGGGAATCCTAACAAACACAAGAGAAATGGATGCAACTTGGGTCCAAATGGCCTATACTTAACATCAATTCTTCATTTCTGGACTGGGAGAGATGCCTCGTTACGGGCCATCCTACGCATCCGGTATACTGCCAACGTTTCTCCAGCCTTGTTGATGATTGTTGACATATCTCCAGTTTCACAGGACATGCTTTGCCCATGGCCTTCTGCAGCCAGTTGGACCAGATGACATCCCGAACATGTTAAACCCGGCCCTTTCGTTTGTCACCATCCCGAGATTCTCAGTGCGACTTTTTGGGCCGTTTGACAGACTTTTGCGACCTCTATTGGACCTCTTGGAGGTTCCTTCGCCTGCTGGTCTCGAGGACTACTACATAGTAGTGCCCTGTCTCTCACAACACCTCCCTGCCTTGCTCCACTTCTTCCCTGAAGCAACCCCTATCAAGACCGTTGCCAATCGAGCGGTAGCCCAGGCATCTATCCGAACAGTATCTGTACCCGGGTACACATACGACCTCAAGCTTTCGCTTGCCTGTCTGATCACTTCTGCCTTGCGGGTTGAGCCATGCTGGTCTGCAGCTGCAGCGCCAACCATGACCTCGCTTCTGAAGAAGCTGGTGCCAAAGAATCTCTGGCTGTTTGGAGAGGTTGCCGCTGCTACCGGTAGCCAAAGCAACACCAGTGATGCAAGGTACATGACTTGCATTTTGCGGGAGAATCTGGAGTCCAGAGCCCAGCAGAACAATGAAATGCTTGTTTTGGCCGCTGCGTTGATGGAAAGGCCAAGAGGTGGTCGTCGGACTTACGCTGAGATGCTCTGGAACTTGGACACGACGAACGACAGAATTCTCTGGTTCAAAAAGTAATCATGCGACTCCGTCATTTCTCCTGAATGTTGCGAGCTGACGCAGGAGGCGCAGATACGTTCGCAGCCTTCTGCAGCTTTCCTTGGATCCGTTGGCACGGTACGGGATAGGGTTTGAGTTCCATGCGCAAAATTCCGTCCTCCGAGTATGCCGACGTACCAAGGCAATACAAGGGTTCGCTATCCGCGATCTATCCGGCGTCAGACTTCACGGCCCAACCCTTGAAGCGCAGGGGTTCGACCTCACGAACCTGGAAGGCACAGTCACGGATGATGTCCACGCAGTTTGGAACAGAGTGCACCATGCACTTGTTCAGAACCATATCGGGTACATGCTGTACAGCTTGGGACTCGAAGGAGTGCACGATGGATGGCAGATTGTCTGCTCCGAGCTTGAGCGTGCTCTTGCCGGTAATGACAAGTCGCCGGAACAGATGATTTATCGGCATTTTATGAAGGAGACAATGCCGTTCAAGTCCTTCATCCGAATGAGGATGGAGGCATCGTTTGACAGCGTAGGTTGCTTTCACACCATGCGGCGGATTGTTCTAGAAATTATTTTGGCTGACATATTGGTTTAATTAGTCTTTTAGGATTGTCGAGCAAGAGGTGCCCAACCTGCTTTGGAAGAAGAGTCCTTGGCTTCGTCAAGTATCACTGGCTGCTAGCACGAGCGACGGGATATTTGTTTCGCCCGAGGATGCCGGTCAAGACACCCGAATCATGGAAACCAAATGCTTTCGAGAAGCCCTTCTCCGCAACACTGCTCCGTACGGACAGGTTCCCAAGAATGCCGTGCGACTCAACCCTCACCCCGCGGTCATCCCGAAGAAGTTCTTGGAGAATCTAAACCTGTTCCATGAGGCACTAACAATTGCACTGGTTGATATTATCAACAGGTGGTGGACGGACAAAGAAGCTGATTTTCCCAACCGAATGCCACTTGAGCCTCGGGTCGAGTCTCTCCTTCGGTGGGTGGCCATGGGCTCCGAAGAGGGGTTCATCCGGCCCTATAAAGGAAACCAAGGCAACCTGAGACCGGATGTGCTCATCCCGGCTAGCAATACTTCTTCGCCTTTCCAGTTCAGAGTCTGCGAGTTCAATGGCAGGTTTCCCATCAACTTTCTTGACTACACAGCCAGTGCCTACGAAGCGCTAGCCGACACCAAATGGCAAAATCCGTCCCTTGGACCAGCGTCCGACCACGCAAAACTCTTCGACAGTCTGTTCAAGCTGTTTGATCCGTCGGCCCCTATTCACTTTGTCAGCGAGTCCTCAGAATTTCCACTAGACAGCCCCCTCTACGGCTTGGTGGAGCAGCGCACCGGGATGAGACCAAGATCCGTCAAGCCCTCATCCCTTCGTCTCATAGCCAGCGAGACCGCCCCAACAGGGTTCGATCTGTACTGTGAGATTGATGTTCACGCGAGCATGGTCAGGACGTCTTCGGATTTGATCAACGTCGACGGCCAGGTCTTGGAAAAGGTCCACCAAGTGGGACTCAAGCTCTACGACTTCGAGCTCTTCGCCTTGGCGCCAGAAATGGTTCGACACATCGCCATGCGCAGCGTCAACGACGTGCGAACAGTCTTCATCGCCCACGACAAGAGAATGCTCGGCATAATACGACAAGAGCTCGATGCTCTTGTGCACAAGCACAAGGTCATCACCCAAGCCCAGGCCAGGATCCTGAGCGACGGCATCATCCCCACCATTCTTCCCGGCTCTCCAGAGCTACGACAACTTGCCGAGACTAATACGTTCCACAAGGATGACTTCATCTTGAAACCTTTTCGACTGGCGCGAGGATCGGGAATCGTGCTCGGCAAAGACCTCTCTGCCTCTCAGTGGTCCTCAATCATTGAATCCATGAGAAAGGTGGATTTCAACTCTTCAGCAAGACAGTATGTGCTGCAGCCTTTGCTCCCGCTGCAATCTTTCGACTGGTTCTGGGATGAGAATCGAAAGGTGAGAAAGAGTCGGATGGTGGGTATGTATTATTCCGTCAATGGGCAGTTCATTGGGCTGGGACTGTGGAGGACAGCGGCTGCGTCTGAGGATGTTATTTCCGCTTTGACCAAGGATGGGACACAGGTTCTGTCGGTGGTAAGCCTGGGGAATACTGAGTAGATAATCGCATAGTTCTGTACTAGGCACTGAGATAACATCTTGATGTTCCCCCGATCTTCAGTTCTGTCACAGTATCTGCTGTCCGATTCAAGTGTCCGTATCAAGGTGTAGTAACGAGTCTACAAGCTCCTACTCCACAAGGGACTCCTGGAGGCAATGGCAACGGTCGGGGTATGACCCGGTGAAGCTAAAGGGTTCACAACAACCAGGGTTTACTAGTCTCGATAACGTACATGATAAGCGAGCGGAACACTATTTCACGCGATGTGCCACCTCTATCCTCAGCACGTATTTTCTCAACAACCCAATATGCCTCCTACCTTAAAGGAAAACAGGGTAGTCTTGGCCCTCGAAGCTCTTCAAAACGACAAGAAACTAAGCTTGCGAGCTGCAGCCAAGCTCTGCAATGTGCCGGTTTCAACACTCTCTTACCGACGCGCTGGCCGGCCTGTACGACGCGATCTCCCGGCCAACTCGCGCAAGCTCACCAATCTAGAAGAGAAGGCGATAGTTTAGTATGTGATTGAGCTATCTACACGCGCATTCCCACCTAGATTGAGTGGTGTAGAAGAGATGGCCAACCATCTACTACGCGAACGCCCCCTGTCGGCAAACGCAGGCCAGAGCTCCGCACGCGCTATACGCGTAGATAGGACTACCACAGGGCGAAATGCGAGGATCCAAAGGTCATTGACGAGTGGTTTGCCCTTGTACAGAACATCAAGGCCAAGTATGGGATTGTAGATGACGATATCTACAACTTCGACGAGACTGGGTTTTATGATGGGCATCATCTTCGCGGGCATGGTGGTCACAACCTCGGATGGCTGTACCAAGGCAAAGATGGCTCAGCCTGGTAACCGCGAATAGGCAACGGTAATCCAGAGAGTCGATGCCCTCGGCTGGGCCATCCCACCGTTCATAATGTTGGCCGCGCAGCACCACCTCGCCAATTGGTACACCGAGTGCAATCTCCCGGCCGACTGGCGTATCGCAACTACCGACAATGGCTGGACTACCAATGCCGTGGGCCTCAATTTGATCAAGCACTTCGACTTTCATACAGCACCTCGTACAAAGGGCAAAACCGGTTGTTTATCCTCGATGGCCACGAAAGCCACCACTCGACCGAATTCGAGCTCTACTGCCAGGAGCACAACATCATCACGCTCTGCATGCCTCTACATTTCTGGCACTACCTCCAGCCACTCGATGTCGGCTGCTTTGGGCCACTGAAGCAGGCGTACGGTCGCCAGATCGAGCACTTGATGCGCATGCATATCAACCACGTGAGCAAGCTCGAGTTCCTCTGTGCCTTCCGCGAGGCCTTCTTCGCCTCCATGACGGAGAAGAATATATTATTATTATTACTACACCGCTGTGCCCTAGGGCGTGCCGGACCTTCAACAACTTACTATACAGGAAAACCGCGCCCTCGTGGGCCGGGTGAAAAACCCATATCATCAATCAAGGAAAGGATCAGCGTGTGATCCTGCAAATACAGAGTGAGAAGGCCTCTTGGCCTTCAAAGGAAAGGGATATCAGACCGCGAGCTCCAGCTCCAGCCTCCTGGCCAGACTGTACATCGGCAGTTTTCCCGAGTCCATCAGCCAGTCCAGGATCCTCCCCGTTAGCCGTGCAGCTTTGGGACTGATTCCCTGTAGGACAGAATAAAAGTCCCTTCGCGTTCTGATCTCGGCTCTCTCCCATCTTCGAGTCAACGGTGGGGCCAAGCACCACATCACAAGGTGTTCGACAGTCTCTCGCCCCTCTCCACACTCGCATATAGGCGTCAGTACCTCTGGGACTCTCCTTTCGAATAAGAAAGTCCGAAGGCCTATGGCCCCAGTTCGAATCTGGATCAACAGTGAACTCTTCGCTCTGCTGAGGCCGTCGTGTCTCTTTAGGGTTTTGTTTTGGAACATGGTTTCGTGCTGGTGGTCAAGGTCGTCTGCGGGCCTCGTTGTTGTCCGGCCGTCTCGTTCCTTGAGCCACCTCTCTCTCCAGGCCTCCTCCATTACTGTGTCCGTGTCGGCAGTCCCTCCCGTCCAAACTGCAACTGTGTTGGCGGCTTCTTCTACCGCGTGTGGGCTCCTGCGGCCCAAAGGCTCGCGGTCGGCCCCTGTTGTCCGTCCTCGAGTTGAGTATCTGATATATCTTGCCGCAGGCCGCATGAACAATACTCCCTGCAGTCTTCTTTCCGCCTCGGCCGTCGGCCAGAGTGGGCATTTGAAGCCGGACCACAACGTCAGCCAGTCGTTTGTTGAAGTAAAGGTCCAGTGGCGGCACCCATGTCTCCGTTTCAAGGTTCCGAATGGGTGTGGACTTGAAGGCTCCTGCCACTATCGGTAGACTCTCGTTTTGAGCTTTTCCAAGCGCCTTGGTGGGAGAAGAATATACGGGGTGGCTTTACAGGTGCTGGCCTTGTGCCTTACGACCCAGAGAGGGTGCTCTCCAAGCTGGATGTGCGGCTTCGTACGCCAACGCCTCTGAACTCACCGCCTAGCACTGCACAACCTTGGGTCTTCCAGACACCACACAACCCCCGAGAAGCAGAGTCGCAGTCAATGCTTATCAAGACTCGCATGGCCAACCATCAAAATAGCTCCCCGACTTCGATGTTGGGCGCTGTGGACCAGCTGACCAAGAGTACAATAGCTGTGATGCACCAAGTGGCTCTCCTTCAGGCGGAGGTCTCTTCGCTCCGCAAGGCCAACGAGGCACTAAGCAAGCGCCGCAGAGCTAAGAAAACTCGTGTGCGGCTTGGAGGATCACTTACTGTGCAGGATGCAAAATGATCTACTGGATCAGAGGGCTGTAGATGAGGAGGCAGGGCAAGAAGCGCAGCCGGATAGTAGTGGTATAAGGGGAGCTCGTTCGAAGGTTCGGTGCTGTGGTGTATGCGGCAAGCCTGGCCACAATGCACGCACTTGCCAAGAGGCTGCAGAATCATCTAATTCGGCCATTTCTGATGTAATTATAGTTGGTTCCTAGTGTTGTTCTGTTTGTGATTGAGGATGAATGTCGTAGGATAGTAGAAAGTCGTTGGGAAGCCAACAGCCACGATTCCACGGTGATCACACAGATGATGGGAGCTTACAACAATGGGTTTCAGATATTGGGAGCAGCCCAGAAGTTCTTAGTTGAAGGTTGTTCTTCTCTCATGTCTCCAGCGAAGGGGGAATCGCCCTGACCTCGTTACCCAGCGCCCTGGTTACCCGTCACGTTGCCTGACGCTCAGTTGGGCAGCCATGCATCCAACAGGAGGGCACTTGCAGTTGAGCGTCCGAGTTTCCAGTGCCACGGCTTTCCAACAAATGTGTTCCGCTCGCTTATCTGTTGCGCTCGCTTATCATGTACGTTAACTAGTAAACGTAACCTATTGCGTCACAACCAAGCAAAACCCGCCACTTACAGCACACTGCACCACGCTATCCCGCTCACCAATATATAATACTCTCCAGATCGCTTTGCTACAAAATCGCTATAAGCGAATCGTCCAACTAGTTGTTCCCTAATGAGTACTAGGATCTCCCTCCTTCCTGGAATTTGCCTTTTCCGTCTCCCTCGCCCTCCTATAAGGTTTCCAAGCGTATTATCTCGTATATCTTAGTTGCTAGTAAGACCCGTGACTTCTGTTAGGCCCCTGAGATGGCCAGTCACAGGGCTCTAAACTTGGACTTGTTGCACAAACAGGTACCTGGAGTTTTGTCCCGACCATGGCACATGTATCCCAAACGAATATAGTACGGAGTACATATCAACCGAGACGTATGGACTCCTCCCGACCAACCACTTCGGCGCCCGCAAACAACGGTCGGCGGAACAAGCGCTCCTACTCCTCCAGGAACAGATCTACACAGCCTGGCGGAGCCGAAAGGTAGCAAGCTTGATCAGCTTCGACGTGAAAGGGGCCTACAACGGGGTCTACAAAGAAAGACTTCTTCAACGGATGAAGGCACGAGGCATCCCAGACGAGCTGCTTCGATGGACAAACGCCTTCTGCTCGGAGCGCACAGCAACAATCCAAGTCAACGGACATTCCTCCGAGGTTCAAAGCCTGCCCCAGGCTGGTCTACCTCAAGGCTCTCCCCTGTCTCCGATCTTGTTCCTCTTCTTCAACGCGGATCTGGTGCAACGACGGATCGACAGCCATGGGGGTGCGATAGCCTTTATAGACGACTTCACGGCGTGGGTCACAGGACCTACAGCGCAGAGCAACCGGCAAGGCATCGAAACCATCATCAAGGACGCCCTAGATTGGGAGACAAGGAGCGGTGCTACATTCAACGTACAGAAGACAGCAATCATACACTTCACTCGCAAAATCCACAGGACCGACGCCCAACCATTCATGGTTAAGGGGCAGATCGTTGAACCCCAAAACCATGTCAAGATCTTGGGCGTCATCATGGACGCGAAATTAAAGTACAAAGAGCACATTTGGAGGGCTGCGTCGAGAGGATTGAAGGCAGCAATGGAACTACGGCGTCTCCGAGGTCTGTCCACATCGATGGGCGCGGCAGTTGTTTACATCCACGGTCGCTCCGGTGGTGGACTATGCCTCTAGTCTTTGGATGCACGCATTCAAGAACAGACTCGTTGGACCTATCAACAAGGTGCAGAGAATGGCGGCGCAAGCGATCGTGGGGACGTTCCTTACGGTGGCAACGAGCGTAGCGGAAGCGGAAGCTCACATCGCCAGCGCTCAAGATCGGTTCTGGAGACGGGCCATCAAAATGTGGACCGACATTCACACCCTGCCAGACACCAACCCACTACGCAGAAACTCGTCTCGGATGCGAAAGTTCAGGAAGCAACACCGCTCGCCACTCTACCAGGTGGCAGACGCACTCAAGGGCATGGCAATGGGCGAGTTGGAAACTATTCACCCGTTCACCTTAACACCTTGGGAGGCACGCGTACAAACCATGACACACGAGTTGACTACGACGCAGCGGAATGCCGACTGTGACGTACGCATCGCCGTAAGCAGCTCGGCGCGAAACGGCCTGGTAGGAGTTGGCGGAGCTGCGACGCTCCCGGCATCCGTGTACGGTAGTCCAAAGCTTGGAACCTTCTCCTCTACGCTTGGTTCGAGATCAGAACAGAACCCGTACCCCGGGGAGCTTGCGGCTATGGAACGAGCGTTGGACACACTGCCAGGGCTTAGATCTAGCCATATCGAGCTCTCAACGCGCAACAAAGAGGCCGCTCTCACGCTCCGACAACCTCGGCAGCAGTCTAGGCAACAGCACATTCGCCACATTTACGAGTCAATCAGAGCATTGCACAGAAACAGGAATACAGTAACAATATGGTGGCTTCCTGCGGGCGAAGAGAGCAAACTCTGGGATATTGCCAAGGGCAAGGCCAAGCATGCTTCTCGACAGGGCGCCGCTCCGGATGCACCAATACCCAGGATGCGGTCAACAATTCTCAACGAAGCATGGTCAAAGAGAGGTACCAGCAATCACCTGCCGGACAAAGTCGGAGCTCATTCAAAGCGAGTCGACGCAGCACTACCAGGCAAGCACACCGAACTGCTGTACAACCATCTGTCACGAACGGAGGCTGGTGTGCTCGCTCAGCTCAGAACAGGCATGGCGAGACTGAATGGTTACCTTCACCGGATCGAAGTAGCACCGTCAGATCAATGCGCATGTGGGCAAGCAACAGAGACAGTGGACCACTTCCTCTTCCGATGTAGAAGATGGACGGCGTACCGAACGGAGATGCTCGAATGTACACACACCCACAGAAGCAATATTTCCTTCTACCTGGGAGGGAAATCGCCATCGGATAAGAAAGACTGGACTCCAAACATGGCGGCCGCTCGGGCAACGATACGGTTCGCAATGGCTACGGGCCGACTCGACACGAACGAGCCACAGCCCAATTAAAACACCCAACCACCACACCCGACCGCACCCAACTCATCACCTCGTGCTACGGACAGCAGGCATCGCTTCAGCCGCCAAAGATAGGACGTTGAACACTTGGAGAATCGCCTTCAAGCCAGCCTGCTAACTACTCTACTAACCCACGAGAATCCGCAGAGAATTGGCAGAACGGACTGCATGGACTAGAATGGACTTTATGGGCTTCAAAGAGATTAGTACATATCTTGAGAAATGTATAATCAGGTTGTAATAGTTGCCCTTTCGGTTCACCCGCCGGGCGTTAATAAATTGTATTGTATTGTATAAGAAGTCTTGGCGCGCCCAGATTCCAGCCTTCCACCGCTGGTTTCGATGTCACACTTCTACCAGCCCAACGGCCTCCTCTCGCCTTGACCCAAGCTCTCATGGCAATTGCCACGCCTTTCTTCGATTACCTCTTCGCATGTGGCGCTGGAAATTTACCTAGAGACGTTGAGCCAGTCTTCATAGCTGATGCAGACCTGCGCGGGCCGTTGACTCTCCAGCATTGGAAAGCGGCCCATTCTTCCGTTCGATGTTTCCTTCGTCCGGACATCGACTTCTCAGAGTAACAAAAGGATGAGATCATCCGATGGCATGCCAAAGGTATTACATATGTCACCATAGGCGGTCGAACGCACCTCTGGAAAGTTCGCCACGGTGACTGACTTTTGTTGGCTTGGCCGGATAGCCTGAGCTCTTCAGTCTGTCAATTCTCCATTTGCTATGCTCGCAAACCGCCTAGTAGCTGCCGTTGCAGACTGGGCGCTATCTGCGGGTAGACGATCATCCCCCAGACTCCACGAAAGGGGGCTTGCTCGCATCTGGCTTGAAGGCTACAACCAAATTCAGAAAGCTCAGCAATCGCGTGCATCGTGATATCACTTGGTTATCTAGACGACTTTTGCCAAGCCTAAGGTACGGATGCATGCATGCAGTGCCTGGCTTATGTCGCCACCCTGCACGTCGAAGCTGCGAGCTTAGACACTTCCTGGTAAGCTGAACTTGTTGGGTTGACAGTTGCCAACAAGACGCAGGACATTACACTAGTCATTTATCCGCTGCTGTGAAGAGGCACTGCAAGGTACCTTCAGCCAATAATAGCTATGCCTTATGCAACGTGTGACGCTGACAATCGAATGATTTCGGCTGAAATCTGACTTCATGCTGTATCCAACAGCGCCAACACCGAATTGGGGCCCAAGCAAAACTCTTCTGCAGAACCCCTGTGAGATGGTGTCCAACGCAGGGTAGAGCCTCGTAAAGTCTCCAGTCAGTCTCTTGAAGTTTCACGGCTTCCAGGTGGCCCGCAAAGACCTGGAGATGATCAGGTCAACTTGATATGAAAGTAACTCACGAGCTGTCAACCACTGTGTGTTGGAAACCAACAGCCACAGGCTTGAACAAGCATAGACACCTCGCAGTAACCAGGGATGTTGAGACACGAAGATGGGATTTAGAATTCGCCGTCTGGCGGAGTGCTGTTGACCCTGTCTGGCCTGGGGCGTTGCCCTGACCCCGTATTTTGGGCACGCCCTGCCAAGCATCTGTGCCACTCCGGCGGTCGGATCATCATGCGGGATGCGGGCTCCGGGCCGGCTAGGCGTGAAGATTCCAGTTCAAGTTCAAACACTGGGCAGCTCCATGAACGACCGCTTCTCGACTGGGATCAGTTGTGGTCAGGGGCATTGAACCATATCACCAACTGCAGGAATGCGATGGTTCCCGGTTGTCGTCAATCCGAACCGAATGCGTCTTGTGCCCGGTCCGCTGTTCCCATGTTGAAGCACCTTCACGGCCCCTTGGTAGCGAGCCCGTATTATCGCTTATGAAGTTGGCACTAGAAGAACCGTCAATGTCGGTCTGAGGCGCGGTGCTGAAGGCTTGGTGCATGAGCTCGGATGGATACCTATTGACTTGGCGAGCTTGGATTCCGATATTTTTTTTTTCTTTTGCCTCTGCTTTTATTTCCACCAACCAACTTCCCACACACCTTAGCCCCTTTCGACGTAGAGCCTCCTACACCAGCCACACCAAACGTTTGGCAGCGAACACCACCAGTATCCCTTTTGTTCAAGGCCATGAAGTGCCAAGACACCATCGATAACAACCTATATACATGTTAATACAGTAGTAGCTCAATAACTTATCTTGTTACCCGCCGCTGGTTGTACTGCCTAATCCCACTGTTATCTCAGCCTTTTCTGCTGGCCCTAACTCAATTATAATAAGGTAGCCAAGGGTTAGCGTTATGGCGCCGGCTTATCGCCACCTACTTTGTTAAAAGGAAAGGCAGTTGAGCGTATTTTAATAATATCAATTAGGCAGCAGAGAGTAAACGTCTAAAAGACGTATAGTTATACCTATAACTATAGTTAATTGAATAAATGTTAACGTTAAGTATTTGGTGTACCATGTTGATTTGTAATGCCTATTACAAAATGGTAGTGTGGCTGGGAATCTGGAATGGGCTAAGGTTCAGGGTAATCTGATGGAAAAAAAGGCAGGCAGACGTCAAATAAAGTCTCGGCTCTTAACCGGACTCGGACACGGTCAAACGCTCACCTGGTCGCGAACGGGAGTACCTAAAATTGAGGTATTTATAGTAGTGAGATTCCCGCCGTTACCTACTCTCAACCGCTTCCCAAACCTCAATCCAACTCAAAGACAAGAGCCCCGTCGAAATGGTCAAAATAGCTATTCCCCTAGTTGCCCTGGCTATGGCGGCATCGGTCGCTGCAGTCCCTGCCGCAACCTCTCCAACAACGTTCTCCTTTGCGCAGTGGGTCGAGGACATCATCGCCAACCCCGACACGGCTCTCACGGTCGACGAGGCCGTCGCAGCTGCCCGCGCCGCTGACGTAATCGGCTCGGCAGCTGGCCTTCAGAAGAGGGCCTGGTGCGATCCGTCAGATTGGCCGCGCGCACCTGTACGTGGTCTCCTTCGCTGTGTTATACATACCTTTTGGTAGGGCGGACTTGATGCTAACGCGTTCATGTTATCTTCATCCAGGGGCGGGATGCTGCAGCCTGTGTTGACTACCTTGCCCGCAAGGGCCAAAGCGGCACCAACTGCGGCATTCCAGCGGGCGGTAAGTTCAACCCCAAATGGTTCATTGGATGGGCCCTGCTATGGAGTAACTAACATTGCTGAACAGGGCGCGCTGTTCAGATGTGCCGCATCGGTGGCGCACAGATTCAAGCGAGTCGAGGGACCCAGATTCCCCAGTCGGTAAACTGGTGAGTTATGCTATAAATAACTGTCGTCTTCGTCTCGTTGAGCGGAACTATAATAATGAACCCAACTCCTTAGCAACGACGTTGCTCGCACTGTGGGAATTGTCTTTGACAACTGCTGGCGATCCGACGATACAATTGCGGGCTCTGAGATCTGTATCTCGGAAAGTCGGATGCTGATTGGGGTTCTTGGAGCCTAAGGCTAGAGCCTAGGGCTGCTGGCATTTGCTATGTTTGCATGGTTCACGGCCGTTTTCCTAGGTCAACCCCTGGGAAATGTTAGGAGGGATGCCTATGATCAAATAGAAACGCTTTGCGAGAAACGTTCCGAGGACATCGAAGGTCGGGTTGAGAGGAGTGATGACATTTCGAAGTTTGGTCGCTGTTTCGGAATACTCGCCAGTAAGGAGATAGATAACCAGAACATTCTGATCTTCGCTTTGTTACATTTCTGCTTTACGCAGATGGACGGACGGGACGACTGTGTCCGTGAGCGCTATGATGACCATCCACTGACCTTCCCTAAGGAATTCGACCGCAGGTGGGAGGTTGACGAGCGCCAGCGCAGACTGAGACGCCGTTTCGGTTGTCGTCTCGACTTGCGTTGTGCAGAGGCTACAAGGATGTCGTCAAGATGCTGCTGAATACCATACTAAGTGAAGATGAGAACGTACGGAGGTACCTTACCTTTTGAATAGTTAGAAACAATTGGCTGCCGAAGTGCCAAGCATGGGTTGGTGGTGCAATATCTCAACAGGCCAGCAACTTGCCAGCGACCAAGTGCAGAAGAGAGTCGCGCGGACGCCGCGGTCGTCGATGACGAGCAAGCGGAGATTGGCGGCAGGCATGGTTGGCGGCGGGATGAGGTGCAGGACGGCGATTAGAAGGGCGACGGTGAACGCCTGGTGGTTGACTATATAGCCTACACCTTTGGTGAACAGATGAAGGGAAGGAGGAAGCCGCCTAAGCAATACAGTCCAAGTATGATTCGTCTAGGGAAACAATCGGTCATGTGTGAAAATGTGATTCCATTTGCGTGATGCGCCAACGAGTCTTGGTATCTTCGCCTAGCACCACGGCTGACACCACACCGGGTGAATCGTGTCCACCGTGGCCCTCCTGATCGCCTTCCTGCACCTACATCCCGCCGACTTCCGACCTCAACCTGCTCGTCCTCGACGGCGGGGCGTGCGCGACCTGCCCTCGCTCATCACACTGAGAGCCCCATAATAGTTCTGACTTTGCAGTGCTTCAGCACCGCAAGACTTGGGAACACAATTTACATCGAAGACAGAATTGACACATTTGACCATGAATTGACCTTTTCCCACGATACCGCCTTTCTGTCATGTACCATTAACACGATCTTTCAGACAGCTATATGCTTCCTGAACCACACGAAGGACGACGTCGTCCCTTCCCATTCGCATCAGCTGCCGCCGCGAGACCAACAGCCTGCCAGTAACCCAGCATCTTGGGTGTGCCGCTCTGTCGAGCGTCTGCGCCAACAGCCTCTCGTAAGAGTACCCCAGTGTTCTGCGTCCTTCGCGACCATTGTCATTCGCCCTCTTTGTGTCGTTTGTTCTAGTAACCTTGGATGCCCTGCAACTCCTGTGCTCGCAGGGAGGTAGTCGAAAACAACCCTGAAGTGGTAAGAGAGAGTATTTGAGATGCGGAAGAAGAATAGGTTTTGGTGTTGGGAAAGCTCCTCAATCACTTAAGGTAAAGAAAAGAGTCCAGGACGCCAGCACTACTCCCCATCGTCCCAGATGCAACTCCCGTCCTCGTTTACATGGTACCACTTTGATCTGTCTCACTCCAAGTCCAGTATACTTCACTCAATGCCAGTGGCGGTACAGCAGATCGTGTAGAGGTCGTGGTCTGCGTGGAGAACCCGGCCGCTCGTCGAGGCACGCTCTGGCGTGTTCTCCTGGGTGAGCCGTGTCACTTGCGCGGCTGAGAATGCTAGGGACTGCGGGGTGACCTAGTTATAACCAAAGGACAAAATCGGAAAGCTTTGCGTAGTCTGTACTGTAGTTAAGGTTGGTGCTTCCACTTGCTGTCGTTTGTCCAGTTTCGCCATATAGTTAGACTAGAGGCTGTGATGTGAACAAAGCTCAGAATGCTCCACAACGCATCATTCTGCACGTCGATAATGGTGTTGCGATACTGAACTGATCTTGTAATTGTTTGAGTCCTCGGATCCTGTGCTTGTTACTTAGCGCTAGCATCCAACACGCTCAAGCCATGACAGCACTGGTAAGACAGTCAAATCGATGCAAGCTCTTTCAATGCCAGCAATACAGTTACAAGCCGACTCAGGCTGTCGGGACGATGCGGGATCTTGCTGACTGCAGGCCCCCCCACGTATCCCAGCCCGAGCCCGTTGAGCCGGACAGTATTGGCTGAGAACCATTACGAGCACCTACGCAATACACAACTCCCGCCTCTCAACATATCCCGCCCGCGCACCCTGGAAGCGGGCCAACATTTTGCAGCTGGCAATGCACCTCCGCAAACTGCGCTTCAAGCTTTACAAAGAACGCCTCCTCGAACCGCTCCATCACCACGCGGTGCTCTGGTGGAGCAGCTCCCTCAACTGCTGGCGCCCCTCAGCCACGGATTCAGGGGCAAACCTGTCCCGGATGAGCTTCCGCAAAGAGGGCGTTCACCCGGGCGCTTGTTTCTTGACGAAGAGCTTTCTGAGCCTTGTTTAGCGTACAAGCGTCATAATTTGATTGGAGCAAAGAAGGAGAAGAAGTGAAGAGAGACAGGTCCCGTACCAGCAAGACAGCAAAATCCACCTCGGCACCCATCACTTCTGTTCGAGCTTGAGATCGACCGAAGGGTATTGCTTTTGCAGTTCCTCCGCCCGCGGCCATCGTAGCTAGCAGCTCCTCACGCGGCGGTAGCTTTTGCCTGGCGGTCGTGGTGCAGCCGGCCAACGCAGCTCTCTGCTCCTCGTGCAAGGGAAGGTCCTGCCCTGTAGTGGTGGCACAGTTGGCGGGCGCGCCACTGGCATTGGTTGTCGGGGTCCTCATGACGTTATTGGGACAGCAGATGCCTAAGGTACTAATCAGTCCTAGGGGAATACGGTATTAAATTGGTGGGATGAGGGTGCCAAGATTGGAGGGAGATTAAGATACGGCGAAAGCAAGGAGGGCGGGGAGGGAGCTTGACACCCTGATTGATCTTCATACTCGAGCCGCCCCGATGGCTGTTTGTGGCAGTGTGGCACAGTGCTCAATTCGCCTACCTGGGGCGAGGCACTATCACTTCCATTGTGAGCTTCCTCCTCCATCCTCCAATCCGCAACCCACTCTCCAACCACTCAATCCAGTTTCGATCAATTTACCCAATCACCCACTGTCAGTGTCACTAGCGCTTCGTTTACCAGCTCTCCTTCATCTCGGGGCGCACGATCTCGGCAAGCTGATCAAGAATCTCACCATAACCCAAGCAGTTCCCAACCCCCCGGGCGCCTCAGCGCTCTAAGTGTGGAATAGTCTACGGCAAACGAAGATACAACTCCTTCAACTTCTCAAAGTCCGGTGTTCCCAACCCGGTCACGGCATCCCACGCCTGCTTGGCCGGGAATGCCTCGCTGACTCCGCACCCGTGGTTCTTGCCGTGGTGTACATCCCTCAGTATCCCCCTATTCCGGGCGGCATACAGCACAGGATTTACGAAGCCCACGGTGCTCTTTCCGGCGTGCAGCCTCGCATCGTTGATCTTGGCGATCATGGCCGCGACAACGGGCGTCGACGCCGAAGTGCCAGACACGGCGCGGTAGCCGCCGTGTAGACTGACAAGGAAGCTCTTCCCCATGGCTGATATGTCGGGGTACCCCCTGCCGTTGACGTCGAAGTAGCCCTGCCTCGCCAGCTCGGCCGCGCCCGGGGCAGCAGCGAGGTACTCCCGCGTCAGGTTGCCTTGGTACCAGGGCGCCGGGAAGACGCGGCTGAAGCCGCCGCCGGAGGAGACAGTGCTGTTGTTGTCGAGCGCCGTCTCGCCGGGGAAGGGCGACACAGTGCTGCTGTTGCTGCCGTTGGCGGCGGCGACCGGCAGGAACTGCGTGCCACCGACCGAGGTCACCCACGGGCACGCGGCGGGAAACACCGAGGCAAAGTGGCCCTCGCTGGCAGTGTTGTTCTTGGGGTCGTTACGGTCAATGCAGTACGTCAACTGGTCGGCCGGCCCGCGGTCGGCGGAGCCCGTCAGCACCGTCACGCCCTGCAGGCCGAGCTTCAAGAACTCGAGACACTGGCGGCGGGCATACGCGTCCGAGTACCAGGCCTCGTTCCAAGCATACATGATGGCGATGACGCGCGGCGGCGTGTGCGTGCCGCAGTCGGTCGCGTTGTAGCCTCCCGGCAGCGGGTTCGGGTAAACGGGGTCGAACTGCGGGTCTAGGCCGGTGCGGCAGTAGTGCTTGTTGAAGGCGGCCAGCATTATGTTAAGGTTGCCCTGCACGATGAGGTCGCCCACCTGGATGTTGGTGACGGGGATCGGATTTGCCATGGCCATGGTGTACTGGTAGTCGAGGTTGGCCTCGAGGTTGAAGATGGGCCACTTGTACTCAGTCTGTCGCGTGCCGCCCGAGACCGACATAAACACGGGTCGCTGGCCGACAAGGTCCGGAGCAAAGTCGGTGAAAAACATGTCGAGGTCTTCGGGCACCCACGCGCCGTAGGAGGCCGTGTACACGCCAAGCGAGTTGTTTGGGTGAGCTGTCTGGCCGGCGCCGCCGTCCATGTTATACAGCTGGCGGAGGCACTGCGGCGCCATATATTGCAGGCAGTTGATGTTGCGCGTCTGACGAGCGCCTATTACGGCCTCGATCGGCAGGCGAGGTACTTCAACAGAGTTGGGAGCCGACGAGACCGGGTCCGGCTCCGGAGCGGGCAGGACGTAGTCGATGTACTTGGCCAGTCGTGATGGCAGCGAGTACCGCTCAGATGCCGTCTGGGTCGTGCCGCTGTTGAGCGAGTGGTACAGGTGGAACTCTGCACCCAGCAGCTGCTCTGCTTTGCCGACGCTGACGTTGAACGACAAGAAGGTGCTGTCCCTGGAGAGACGCATGGCCGATCGCGGCACTCCGGAGCTGTTGAGCCATCTCCCCACTTGGCGAATGCTGTCCCTGGGCGGTGCAAAGAATTGGGCGATTTTATCTAGGGTCCAGTGCTGTCCGAAATTTGGCGAGTCCGGGTCCGAGATACCCTTGAGGACCTGGGCCGCTTTATTAGAAACGTCCTGGTTGACAGAAAGCGCCAGGTCGATTTGGATGACCTGGTCGCTAGCAAGTTTCACACTCCTCTTCCAGTGTGAAGCCGCAGGTGAAATTGCCGGTCTGAGCTCTGTCCGTCTCTCAACCAGTGCAAAGACCAGGGAGAGGTGGCAAAAGATAGCAACTAGAGTCGCTCGCATGTTGAGCCTCTGCTGCCAATGTTGGTAAACGGGCGACTGAAGATTGACGTTCGGTCAATATCTCATCATATGGCGATAGAGCTGTCTAACTTCCAATCATTCCAGTTATACTCGGCTCAACCAGCTGAAGACAACCACCCCCTTTAGTGAAATACCGTCCCACTAGCAGGGCGGCCAAGAACTCCCTCCCGCCTTTCTCGCTTACAGAGGAGGAGCTGAATCAACAAATGCAGTCAGATTTCGGACACTTGGCGCCGTGTAAGATATGTCGGAGCACATTGGCAAAGAGGGGTAAACAGGGGCTGAAGTCCGGAAGCGAGCTGCTTACATCAAGAAACTTAGACGACAGCGACGTTGATTCAACCGCAGCAATGCCCGTTTTCCGTTAGTCTAGTTCCCGACGACGTCGAAGCCAGAATACAAGGTAACTTCGATTCCTATTGCTACCTTATGGACTACAGGCTCAGCTAAAGACTATTTCCATTCCCGTCTTGGCCTGCTGACTGCATGAACAGGAGCAAAGTAACGTCTGTCTTCTCCGGTCTAGTGTTCACTAGCTCTGTTACAAAGAGAGTCAAGACCTTGGACTTTTCTCCACTTAGCAGTGCACAGGTCGGGATGGATTCACCCGTGCACTAGTGCCGTGAGCTTTTTCCAACTCGGCTGTACTCGCCAAGGTAGGCTCGCGGTCCATCAGTACTAAATAGATGGAGTACCATCAAAAGGTGCTATCTCCCTAGCACGAGAGGGCGGGATGATGTGAGATATTGGCATGGCTTCTTGGCAGGCTTCCATCGAAGGACGAAGGTGCAGAACGGCGCAGCTTAGTCCAGTCCATGATCGTGTTGTTGTTGAAGGGGTAGCTCATTTAGACGAGTTTGCGTGGGCTCCCAAGCGGTCTCAAGGACAACTTCTTGATGAAGTTCTATAAGAGGGTTGAGTTTCCCAAACTCTTGCATCATTCACATCCCGCATCTCCTCATCGACCATCAAGCACTCAGCCTACTCCCAAACTTTGGACCTACCATTCACGATGCGTTTCACCACCCTCCTCACTTCCGTCGTCGCTGGCGTGGCCGGGGCGTCCCCCGCCGCCCGCTCGGCCAAGTCCAGCACTGCCGTTCAGCCTCAAGAGCGCGTGCGTCTCTCTCTCTCTCTTGTCTGGATATCGTGAACGGTTCAGTTGCTAACAAGCATTACTACAGGGTGTCTTGGCTGTACGATAATCGGCCCCTGTGAAAGTCTGCGCCTGCGATGGTTGTGACTAACCACCGCCCCAGGAATTCTGCGTCGCTATGTGCATTGCCACGGCGTGCGCTGGCACCGGGCCCGCCGGCCCCGTACTCTGCGCGGCCTGCATTGTCGAGTGCCTCGGCACGGCCGATGATGGCGGCCCGGTTGTTCTTGACCCTGTCGTCCTCGACAAAGAGTTAATCGAGACGGTTGAGGGGTATACCACTCATGGTGCCCAGGTCTAAACTTTCTGCGAGGCTTGTTACCGGAAGTGCTTATGAAAAGGGAGTAGATGAGCTGGTTATGTTCACTTCAAGTTGGCTTGGGATTGGTTATTCGTGGGCCAGGACTCGTCTCTGATCAAGGAGAAAGTTGTGGACGGATGTGACTGTCAAGCATGGAACCCTGCCATTGACCTAGAGAGTAGGAATACATTCCTTCCACTAAAATGACGCTGTCCGATGCTGGTGACTCAGTCAGAGCTGAGTGAAGAAGTCCTCTTGAGCATAGAGAACAGTCCAGGAAACCCAACCGAGGTGACTGAGGGAGTTGGCCGCACCACTATGATGTCTGCAGATTTCGGGCCACAAACATTTCTTCAGTCTTTGCCCTCAGGTTTATCGGGGCGGCACCATATCCGTCTTATGTTATTTTCAAGAACAAAACATGACTTCGTCTCGGCCGCCGCGCTAGATGCCTTATCGATGGACGGTAGGTAGCTTGATTATGTAGGTACTAGTGTAAGGTATGTCCACCTTTGCTGGGTAGCTTACCGTGAGACCATCGAAGTTCGTTTAAGGCCGCCAGCAACCTTACAGAATTGCAACCACGTGGCTGGATAAAAGAAGCAAGCGGTCCGACCTTTCTCCCGTCGTCGTTGGGATTTCCCCGCTCCCGAGCCTTGAGAAATCTCAGCCATGCTCCCACGGATGTGGGCCTCGCCTCCCTCCGGCCTCGTTGTCTCTTCACATCTCCCAACACTTGAGAGACTGGGCTTTCCGCAGAACAGCCCGCTCCCACGCCAGCTCCGGCTGGCGCTTTTGTTCTCTCACGACATACAAAAAGAGAGACGGCAGGAGAGCAATGCAGTTATTGCCAGGCCGCATGTCGCACGGGACCACGCCAAACAAGAAATCACGTTCTAGCAGAACCCCTGAACGCCGTGTTCGTCGTAGCAGCGGAAGGCGTCAGCCTTGAAGAGGGGACCTGACATGCTGTCCACTCACGTAAGCGCTGACCATTCGGCGATATTCTTCGGCGACACGGTCTGGATGATCCCAACTGAGCCGCACCGTGACCCAGGCCATCCGCAGTTGCGAACCTAGATGCTCCCAGGCATCCGACTCACTGTATTCGTATTCGTATAGTCGTAGTCATGCTAGTTTCTCGATAGCGGCGAAGAGGCCAATCAAGGCGTCACTAAGACGTTCTGTGGAGTCCTCTGAGTCCTCCGAATCCTCTCCTGACCCACTCCGGTACAGAAGGGACGCTCCAAATCACTCCAGTAAAGTAGCGATTGATGGCCGAAGCCGGAGGAGACACTGGGCTGACAGCTTCAACGGTGAACAAGGGCCCATGGCCGAGACAGACCAGAATCGGAGGGCCGTCAGCCACTGCGTACCTTGGGCGCGGTTCGTCTTCCAGAACAGCGACATCTTTGAGACCGATTTCGGGATATTTGTGTGCCATGCCCCTTCCGGCGATGTTTGGGGGCAGTGGCGAGACATTCTTTGCCAAAACCCAGTGGGGAACCCAAGACGGAAGAGACCATAGTCTGTTCTCCATCGAGCTACCGTCGTCATCCGTCGAGAGTAGCTTCAGGAAATTTGTATAATTTACATTCTCTGTGGTAAGTCGGCCAACAAGAGAGAAGGCCGGTATCGAGATTGTGATGTGCCGTCCGGATGTAGACCTGCTCGACCGAGGGGGAGTAGTCAACAAAGTTCTCGGGCAGGAATGCCGCGGCCATCTTGCCCAGCATGCCCAAGAGTGCGCGGACCATATCCCGGGTGTCGGAGGTTTTCTTTCCCCGGTGCTCCAAGAGCAGCCCCAGCAGGGTGGTGTCATCCTGCTGGAACTGCAAGCGGGTGGCGTCCATGCCTAGAAGAATTCGACTCGCCGGCTGTCGTGCCGGCTCAGCAGCGGACATTGAGAAAAGGGAGTAGAGTCTAGTCCAGCGCGTGCGCAGGCGGCCACACTGGCACCAGCGGGTCGCGGGATATCACCAGCTCCTATAGAATCTAGGTGCTGGTGAACCACGGCCGGTCGAGGATGTCACGCAGCCGGCTCAGGCCCATGCCGTGGTTCTCCTCCCGCTACTGCCCGGACAAGGAGGGCCAATGGCCGACGTTTTCGTCGGCGTTGCGCAACACCCACTCGGCGTTGGGCGTGAGCGGGCCGAGGTAAATGACCGTGTGGTTTTGGCGAGTCAGTAGATAGACCCCATCAGGCGGACTTGCCGGTTGCGCTCTGCGATGTTTGCCTGGTTGATGCGGAGGGCGTCAACCCACACGCGGCAGGCGACTGACGCTTCGCGGACCCCGCGGAGAGCAGCGTTGAGTGAGGCTGTCTGGGCGAAAGGCTTGCCATGGAGGACAATGGAACCCCCAGGGGACGGGTCGCCCCAGACGTACGAGATGGCGATGTACCCCATGTAAATGTCTGTCTCGCGTTCTCAGATAGTGGTGAGAATCACATGTCAGCGTAGCTCTGCTTCGGGACTCTCTGCGGGCTCCAGGACAAGTAACCGGATTGAGTCGTGCTCTGATAAACTCTCGTATGGAAAAGCGTCACTGATCTCATCCATATCATTTAGGGCGGTCGAGCCTCTTTTGAGTCACCCGGAACAGCGGATTTGGAAAGATCAAAACAGGTCGTATCAAGTCCATGGGTAGGGATGAGAAATCAGGCCCGCGATGCCCAATAATCGATAAACGCCAGCTGCTGAATCGTTTAATTATCTCTCGTGGCACTTGTCCTACGGTAGCGACGTAGGAACCCTAAACGGATATGCCTCTTAGTTTAGTAGTAACACTGGTATATAGAATAAGGGTATTCCTGACACTAACGTATCTTATAAGCGAGTGACCCATATAACCGAATGACCCACCCCCCCCCGACACCATAACAACTATCCTCAAATATACCGCAACAATACTAAGAACTAACTACAATTACATCGGAAGCAGGTGCGTCAGACAATTCTGCAGCTTCCTGGCAGGTGCGAGCATTATGTCCGGGTTTGCCGCACACGCCACAGCACCGAACCTTCGTACGCGCCTCCCCTGCACCACCACCATCCAGCTGCAGTTCTTGCGCCACCTCTCCACCCATGGCGGTCTGGTCAAGTAGATCCTTTGCATCTTGTACCGCAAGTGATCCTCCAAGCCGTACACGTGTTCTTTTTGCTCTCCGGCGCTTACTTAGTGCCTCGTTGGCCTTACGAAGCGAAGAGACCTCTGACTGAAGGAGGGTCATCTGGTGCATCACA